CTGTGCCGTCTGACACAGGACTGGTCAGAACCGTCACTGACACTGCAGCACCTCAACTGCAGCCGGAACCTCAACTGGAGTGTTGGAACCTCCACCAACACCATCACGACCCAGCCAGCGATCACGCCAACGGCTCACCCGATCGCCCACAGCTCTACGCTGCCGTCAAGAACACTCACGGGGCGTAGGAGCTACACCTACACCACCAAGTTACGCCGCGCTGCCTCTGAACGGAGTGTTCAAAGGGTTAGTCGATAGCCGCCTCCCACTTCGGCAGAGCAACACTACCCTACGCCAAGCTCGCTGATCTCGGCTTGCATTGCCTTGCCATTGCCAAAGTCAAGAGTTGAGCCTCGAGACGGCTATCAGGCACGCGTCCCCTTACAGGGAGCTGTGCCGGTGCGTGGAGCTGGTCTTGGTGTCCTACGGTGTGGGAGAATGTCTAACGGTGTAGATGAATCTGGCGGTGAGTGGTCTAGTGCTCCACCGGTCCTTTACAGCATGTATATAGTGGACGGCCCTTGTAGATTAGACGTCACTTCCCTAATTCAAGTACATTGTTCAAACCCTCCATACAACGTCTGTTGTCTCTGATTTATTCCCAACATTGCTACTGTCATAGCAACATTGGTAAGCTACCTTTTGAAGCCTACTTGCCTACTGTTGATCTCCCACTGCTGCTATTGAGGGGTTGATTTCCAATAGATACATGTATAACGCTTTGTGCATGTTGAAAATTGCAAGCCGGAAAAATAAAATCCGAAAAATTGGTGTCATTGTGAGAGGTTTGACTGAATCGCGTCGGGAAATCGGAGCGTGATCGCAGGAAATTTCGTAACTGAAATGCGGCAGGCGCCTCCCGATTTGAGAAGAGGCGGAGTCAGAGAGCGCTGTGCTGTGCCGTGTGACCTCAGCGGAAGAAAGCGAAGTGTTGGACTCGATTTTTCTCCTTTTCCATGAAATCACATCGTTTCTTCGGAAGCGTGCGAAAGAGAGAGAGAGAGAGGAAGCACGAAGACAGAGCGGCGTCATACTCTCCGGAGCTAGGAACCAGGTCGGCAGCGAGCTGCATTCGCAGATGGGACAAGGTTTGGTGCGAGTGCAACACCATCTTGTTTGCACCATACTTGCTACCTTCTCGTTCGACCGCAGCTCGCTCTCTATACCTTCTACTCTCAAAGCAGCGACCGTTGCGCTTTCTGTGGACGATCCTTGCGACAACTCAGTGACGGTGTCGAGCTCAATCTTGGCCGGTCGCTCTGTCGGAAGCACACCGTTCTTCTCTTCGGCAACTCCGGTCTCTGTGTATCTCTAGACTTGTCCTGTATCATCACCACCTACGCATCTCTCCAAAAGCTGCATCAGCATTCCCACGCTCGATACCCCTAGTCAGCAAAACGACCCGCCCGCCTTCCGACGACGAACAGCTCTTTGACCCGAATAGACATCGATCGATCGGTCAAGTGCTTCGACACACGCGCCCCACCTCGACACACTTTCTTCACCAGCTCAGCCATCGTTGCTCGTATGTCAGCTCGGGACCATCACTAACACCTAGCTCGGACCGTCATATCAGCACTTAGGACGCCGCTGCCCTCGATCTCCGATACGCGCAGCTCATCGATCGGCTAGGAGCTACCTCCTCCGTCCACTGAAGGAAGCTCGCTTGAAATGGCCGGTCGACCTGGCACCGCAGGCAGCATGCAGAGTCGTATGCTTCACAGCCCTAGCCCCATGCTTGGCAACGGTCTCATCGACGGCGGCAACAATGCTAACACCAATTCGAATGGTGCTCCTCCTCCCGGCATGGGCGGATCTTTAGCCGGCGTTGACCTTGGGCCCTCGATGCTGTCTGCTGCTGGCCCCCCGCCCAATGCTGGACCCACGATGCCAGCAGGTACCGGTCCTGGAGGCACGCCCACTACGGCACTCAGCGTCTACCACCTCATCACGCAGCTCTGCCAACGACCTGAACCCAACGCGACCTCGGCCACCAACCGCAAGCAGGGTTCCGCCTCGCCTCCTCCCTCTGCCAACACCGCTGATGGCGAAAGCAACAGCAAGAACGATGACACGCAGAACAGCAACGGAGACCGCGAAGGCGCCACCTCTCCCAGCGATCTCGACAGCCTGCCTGGATCCTCCGCTCAGCGTGAGCATGCACTGCTGGAGCTGAGCAAGAAGCGCGAACAATACGAGGATCTCGCTCTCGTCCTTTGGCACAGCTTTGGTGTCATGTCGTCGCTGCTTCAGGAGATTGTCTCGGTCTACCCGCTCCTCTCTCCCCCTGCTCTGACGGCCCAAGCGAGCAACAGAGTCTGCAACGCCCTTGCACTTCTTCAATGCGTCGCCTCGCACAGCGAGACCCGCGGCCTATTCCTGCAAGCGCACATCCCGCTCTTCCTCTACCCGTTCCTCAACACCACCTCCAAGACGCGCCCCTTCGAGTACCTCCGCCTCACCTCGCTGGGCGTGATCGGCGCACTGGTCAAGCAGAACGACAACTCGGACGTCATCACGTTCCTCCTATCGACCGAGATCATTCCGCTCTGCTTGCGCATCATGGAGACCGGCTCGGAGCTCAGCAAGACGGTCGCCATTTTCATCGTGCAAAAGATCCTGCTAGACGACATGGGGTTGGCCTACATCTGCCAGACGTACGAGCGCTTCTATGCCGTGGGCACGGTGCTGAGCAACATGGTCAGCCAGATTGTCGAAAGCCAGGCGGTGAGGTTGCTCAAGCACGTTGTCAGGTGCTACCTGCGATTGAGCGACAACCCAAGGGCGAGGGAGGCGTTGCGGGCATGCCTGCCCGGCCCTTTGAGGGACGCCACGTTCAGCCAGCTGCTGAAGAACGATCACATCACCAAGAGATGTCTGGCGACACTGCTGTTGAACCTGTCGGATCGCGTGGAGCAGTGATGCCGGAAACGACGCAGCTTTCCGACTCGCACTCGTCGCCGTCAAGGAAAGACTCGCGTTTCTACAGCAAGCTCACGGCGCATCGCTGGAGCATCAGCACGAACCCTTATACAAGCACGTACAAGGCAATGCACACCAGTTTCGACACCGTCGCCTACGAGCAGATCCCGCAAAAAGCGTAAGCCGCGAGCAGAGATCGTTGCTGTCCCGCCGCCCTTACACCACTTGTTCAACGTAATGCCCTTTTCTATTCGCAGCCAGTGCTCAGATAATGACAAATGTCGTACGGACTGTTGCGGCCGGTGTGATTGCGTCCATAACTATGAGGGTGTTTGAAGACTCGGCTCAGTAGATCTGTGAAAAGAAGAGCAAGTCGGCGCGTTAGTGACCTCCTCTCTCAACCCACCGTCTCGACTCGTCAAATGCAAACTCACCTCGTCAAACGGCCTTGTGTCGCCGAAACAACTCTCAAACACCTCGTCCACCACCCTCTCGGCCTTGTCCTGATCGCCACCGCAGTCCGGATTCGCCATGATGCTCATCACTGCTCTCCTCTTGACACACGTCTGATGTTGCAGCTTGAAGGCGTAGTTCTTCCTTGTGTACTCTCTGCCGAAGCCGCAGTCACCGCTGAGGCTGTTGGCGCGGATCTCGGAGCAGGCAAGATGCCTCAGATTTGTCCAGTCGACGAGGAATCGGCAATGGTCGTACCAGTGTACCATTTCGTGCGAGAGCGTGTCTTCGAGATGCGACTTGTTCATAATGCGGTTCGAGCAGATGAGGATCGAAGAGTGGCTGGTAGGCTCGCCAGGGATCGAGGGCGAGAAGCCGCCTGCTGTGTCGGGCGGACACGGCGCAATGACGAGTTTCGGCTGGGACGGTGGTGATGGGCTTGAGGATGACGAAGATGTCGGTGCGGGGAGGGGTGATGTCGGATTGCAATCAAGCAGGGTGAGGTGTTTCGACATGAATCGGACCATGGGCGAAGTGCGGAAGAGCTGATCGGTCCATTGCTCGCATCGTTCGCGCTCGGCGGTCTCTTGCTTGGTCTCGAGATGAGGGGGTGTCGGTATTGTTGCTGGCATTGTGCTGTGGATTCGAGCGAGGATGAGTGGGAGCGTGGGTGGTGTTGGTCGCCGTCAAGAAGAAACGAGAAGAAGCCTCCACCGGAACCCTGGCATTGGTCTGCAGGCTAATTTTGGGGCCAGGAGGCGGTGTGTTAGACCAGAAGCGATTCAGGGTCCTGCAGCGGCTGAGCTTACAAAATTGGGCCCGTGACCGGCACAGCACTTCTTTGCTCGCTATCATCACACTTCTGCCCGCCTCGACAACGTCACACTCGGCATTCTTCCGACAACGAGCGCAACGGTCACTCCGATTGATTCGCAGGACTTTCTCTTAGTATCAGTCACGATCTCAGTACCGGTAGACGGTTGATCCGAAGAAGCACAGCATCGACGGTTTGCTTTCTCACGCCACGATGGGTTACCTCCCCTCTTTCGGATCCATCGTCCGCGTCGTCGGCGGTGTGTTGGCAGTCGGTCTCGTCTCTACCGCTGGACTTCTCTACCGATATCAAACGTCACTCATCTATCCAGCTGGCTTCCCAGCGGGGTCCAAAGCCGAGGTCAATACTCCTGATGAATACGATCTGCCGTACATCGAGGAGGAGCTCATCACACCGGACTCGGAGCGCATACGCATCTTTGTCATGCTGCAAGGTACCAAGCTCGCCACACGGAGACCCACGCCCAAGATACAAGAGGTCGACGACGAGAAGCCTCCGCAGATCGAACGGAAGTCGACACCAACACAGACGGGCATGGTACCATTAGACGTGGTCGACGCCGATCTAGCGTCCCAGCGCCCCACTGTTCTGTTTCTCCATGCAAACGCCGGCAACATGGGTCACCGACTACCACTAGCAGCCGTCTTCTACAAGCGCTTTGGCTGCAACGTCATCATGCTCAGCTACCGTGGGTACGGCTTCTCCTCTGGCAAAGCCAACGAGCGCGGCATCAAGATCGACACACAGACCACACTCGACTACATTCGCTCTCACCCGTCTCTCTCCTCGACGATCCTGGTTGCGTATGGACAGAGCATCGGTGGAGCGGTAGCTATTGACCTCGCCGCACGCAACCCAGCCTCGGTGCACGCGCTTGTCCTCGAAAACACCTTCCTCAGCATCCCCGAACTCATCCCGCACGTCCTGCCGCCCGTACGGCCATTTGTCTTCCTCTGTCGAGAGTTCTGGAACTCGGGCATCATTATTGGCAAAATCTCAACCAAAGTACCCACGCTCTTCCTGTCGGGAAGGCAGGACGAGCTGGTGCCTCCCGCCCACATGGACGCCCTCTTTGAACGCTGCAACAGCAAGGTCAAGGTCAAGAAGGAGTTCCGCGACGGAACTCATAACGATACTTGCATCAAGAGCGGCTATTTTGAGGCGATCGGCGAGTTCTTGATGGCGCATGTAGTCGGGCTAGTGCGTGACAAGGCGGCGACGGCGACGGGAGAGAAGCTCGACCACGAATCGACGGGCGGTGCGAAGAAGGACAGCGAGGACGAGTCGGATGGCTGGGATAGGATGAGCCATTCCGAGGTCAAAGACGAGCTTAAGATGGGCGAAGTCAAGGAGAAGGATGCCGATGCGCCCACCCTGAGCAAGGCACCGAAGTTGTGAGGAGCTGTCTTCTGTGGATGCATGCCAAATCGACCATCTTTGCCATCCCTCGATCTGATGAGCTTGGGCTTGAGTTCTACGTGCTAGAAGACATGCACTCCCGCTGTAACACAGCACAAATGCTGACCTCAAGAGGAACAGACGTCGAATGATTCCAAGTATGCTCGTCACTGACGCTGACCTGCCATCGCCGATGTGACCACCAACGCTATCGTGATCTGCTACCGAACCCCACAAGCTCGCCAAAACCTTAATTCGCCGTTTCCCCGCAAAAAAGAACACCTGTCACGACCGCCGTGTCTTCCGCACTTGTCTTCGCCCGAGAACTTGTTCACTCTCCGACTGTATTGACCTCGCTCCGCTTTGCGGACTGTCGTGTGCGATTCACTGCGCTCAGATCATGTCTTCCGTGCGGTCGGTGATGCCTGCTTGACCGAGGGCAGCGAGTTTATGAACGCAAGTTGCACCGCCATGTTCTTACGCCATGCTGTGGGCTCACCGCCAAGGGGACCGATTGCCCTAGCCGAGCGTGTTGTCTGAGCGAGCTCCGCGTTGAGACGTGCGTCAGACCGAGTCTCTCGTGAGCTACGACCACCAACATCATCAAGACTGACGGCCCATCATGACGCAAATACTCGAAGCCAAAGCGCTCGTCGTCGATGAAGCCAAGGGACCATTCAAGCTGGTCGACATCCAGCTCGATCTTGCCGAGCTTCAGTCGGACGAGGTGATTGTCCGGTTTAAACACACAGGTGTATGGTGAGTGGTCCGCCTTCAGTTCTTTGCTGCTCAGACCTGTCACTGACCCACTCGAGGCAACAGCCACACCGACATCAACTCTCGCAACCTGGCCACACCCGACCTTCTGCCCTGCATCTACGGCCACGAGGGAGCCGGCGTGGTCGAGCATCTGTCGAGCACCTTCAGTGGCGATCTGAAAGTGGGCGATTCGGTACTGGCGAGCTTCTGCAGCTGTGGCGGCTGTAACAACTGTCTGTCCAGTCGTCCGGCCTACTGCGACATCTTTGTTCCTATGAACCTCGTCAACTACACCAAGGACATGCAGCATGTCACTGTCCCTTACACTGCGCAAGACGGCAGCAAAGGCGAGGCGCAGATCAAGTACTTTGGCCAGAGCTCCTTCTCCAGCCGCATGGCTGTCACCGACCGCAGCCTGACCAAGGTGAGCGCCAATGCCCCCACCAAGCTGGTCTGCGCCCTGGCCTGCGGCTTCCAGACGGGCTTCGCAACCGTCTTTGAAAAAGCGCCCTCGGACCAGCCTCGCTCGTTTGAGCTGTTCGATTCCGCTGGCGTCCCTATCCCTGCTTCTGCACGAACGTCATCCCGTTACGAGCGCAGTCAGCAGACCCTTCTCGTGACCGGCATGGGCGGTGTCGGCCTGGGCGCCATCTACGGCGGCAAGACGCTCGGGTTTGGCGCCATCATCGCGTGCGATCTCAACGACAGCCGGCTCGAGCTTGCCAAAGAAATTGGCGCCACTCATGTGATCAATGTCAAAGGTCTGGATACGGCGGCATTTGCGGCCAAGGTGAAGGAATGCAGCGCTGATGGGAGGGGTGCTTCCTTGGCGATTGAGGCGAGCGGGTCGCCGGTTGCGATCGGGAATGCGATCATGGCGCTCGCGGTGGGAGGCAGGTCGGTGGTGGTTGGCGCGCCGCCGCCGGAGGCTCCGCTGCCCGTGCCTCACGCTTACATCTTGGTAGGTCACAGCAACGGAATGATTCGAGGAAGGAAAGTCGCTGACATTGTGAGTGCCTGTTTGGGTTCTACAGGCGCAAGCAGCCTCGGTCGAGGGCCTTCTCATGGGTCAGTGAACCATCAGATCCTTCTTCCCACTTCTCAGCTGCCAGATCTGACGTCTTCCGCGATTTCCCTCGAACAGGCAACTCCGTGCCCTCCATTACGCTCCCCTATCTGGTGAGCAAGCTCGAGGCTGGCGAGCTCCAATTCCTCGAAAAGATGGTGGCGGTCTACCAGCCTGCCGACATGAACAAGGCGGTCGAGGATCAGGAGAGCGGGCGCGTCATCAAGCCTGTCATTGAGTGGGCCTAGATCACAAACTCGCAATGGAAAGGAATGCGTGTGCTTCTGCTTTGCTTCAACGATGAGAAATTGAGGACCCAAAAGGTGCACTTTGAATTCGAGGCGCAGCGGAGGGGCATGTCCAAGATGGCAAGCTGCGTCCTGTTCTTGACCCTGCACCCATTGTGTGATACGCCGTGCATACGTCTAGGAAGGGCACGTGCCGTTGCCCTGGATCAACGTCGCATTCAGCCCCTGTGCGACCGCCTCGATGGAACTGGAGTGCGCGACGTCGAAGATCTTGTACGCCGGTCCGGGCTTGTCGAAGCAGTACCTGCCCGTGAAGGTGATAAACGTCGCCTTGCCCGCACAGATCGATTCGACCCGCAGGTCCTCCGTGTAGCTGCCGAAGAGCACCACCTCATCGGGCGGGTCGTCGGCCACGGCACCCGTCACGTTGATGGGACCGTTGACCAGGTGCCACTGAAGCTCGAGCAGGGTCGGCTTGGCAGTGTACTTGATCAGCTGCTCGTGCAGGATCGTGCCTGCAAAGTCAATCTCGCGGATCGAACCGACGGTGTTGTCCGGCCCGACGGTGCGGTTGGGCGGCAGTCCGATCTGAAGTGTACGACAAAGCACTTTGGTCGTCAGCGTGGGCGAAGGGCAGGAGATATGAAGAAAGCGATCGGGATACTCACATACCACACCTCGTCGTAGAACGAGCCCACTTTGGCGTAGAACTCTTTCGCAGGGACGTCATACCGCGCTGTGAAGAATTCGAAGCCTGGGGTGGTGCCGGCGGGACATTCGGGGTCCCTGTAATAAGGAGGGTTCTTGTTTCGTGCCGCCAGCTCGGTCGCCGGGACAGGACTGGTTGCGCCCAGCAGAGGAAGTAGCGCTGTGAGGAGTGCGAATGACCACATTGTCGAGACTTGAATTGCGAAACGCAGGGGGAACGATGCACCTAGATGGCGCACGCAGCGACCTTATAAGGCTTGTCGGAGGGCCGCGGTCGGCCTGCAGATCATCGTCGCACAATTACATCCGATGGCATGGCGGTCTCACTTATGGAGCTCAGCCAGCTGCCAAAACAGCCGACTGGGCCATCAAACGAGGCTCAACGCAGCGGGCTCGGACTCATACGGGCACGATGATGGCTGCTGCGCTTGGACTGAACAACAAATGCAAGCGAGATCGTCGCTCAGTGCCGAAGTAGGCTAATGGTATTCAGCCGAGGTCGGGAGCTCACTGCTATCGTTGAACTTCGGACTGCGGCGAACAGAGCAGCAGCGCGGATAGCCGAACTTGCAGCTCTATCTTGTTTGCAGCACGGTGGTCAACTGACCTGCAGCGCATAAATCTATCAAAGTGGAACAAAGGAAGTCGGACTTGCTCTTGTTTATCTTATCGGATGATATGGTCACGAGGAGAAGGGGCACTAGGGAGCGGATAGCGCGGTTACAGCGCGTCCACGTCCATACAGAAAGTCGATGGGAGGGTAAGAGCCTCAGCGCGAACGACAGTTCCAGGGAAGGCACACGCTGTGAGCTGAATGGATACCCGACTAGAGCCAAATTTACCCTCATGTTGCCCCGTTACGGAGCTGGTACGCAGAGAAGGCCAACGATGTCAAACAGGGTCGCGGCAAGCGCGTCTATGCATGCCATACACAGATACTGGGCCGCAGGTTGAGGTATCTCTGGATGCCGATCCAGCCGCGCGAAGCGCGGTCCTACTGCTCTGGCTCCTCCTTGTTTTCGCGTCCGCCGGCACCCCTTCAAGCCTTGAACCCTTGCCGCATGACCTCCTTTTCCCGCGTGGATAGTCTCTGATACCGTAGAGCCGCGACGATCTGCTGCCTTGCCACTGTTCCGGGTCGGTATCGCAGCTCAGAAGCTGTCCTGCCTTGTCGCGCACATATGCAATACGCTAAGCTGGCAGAGCTTGAGCCTTCTGATCTCGGCAGCCGCAATGACAGTTCTACCACAGACAAAGAACCAAGAGGATCTCTATCAATTCCGCACTCCGCTCTCGCATCAACAATGCAGGCGAATTGCCACCTTGCTCTCATTGGTTGCCCCCGCGCTTGTACCTGAACCTTGTTGTCTGAGCGGGTTGCCCTTGTGCCCCGTCTTTTTGTCCTTGCCGCGGTCACTATCTCTGCTCTACCAGGGCCGGCTATCAAGCTCGATTGCTCCACTCGAAGCTCAAGCCGGACCTCGAATGCTGACCTCGTTCCTGAACGACAACGATCTTGCTGCGCTTTGTATATATGTAGCGTGGCCGCTTGGCTGCCCCACGATCAATGCCGTCCGTCTCCCCCCACCGGTCCTTATTCTGAGCATTCCACATCGCCGCTCCGCCGCTCGACACACCAGGCACCATCTTCAGCGTCCGCGACCGCACCATCAAGACCTGCGCCTCTCGTTGGTCTCATACCCCTGTCCACTTCCATTCACGACAGTAAGGACTGCTCCCGTCGCACAGACGCATGGCCACCATGTCAGACGCTTCCGACCACAAGAAGGGCGCCGAGGTCGGACACTCGAGCGAAGTCGCGAGCTATGCCGGTCACGATCACGTCTCCGAGCCGCTCATTCGCCAGTTCGGCCTGATGCCGCTTCTTGGCGTTGGCCTGCTCGGCGCGGGCTACTGGGCCGGCCAGATCGTCACCATGGTCACGGTCCTCAGCGTTGGCGGCCCGCCCGGTCTCTTTTGGGGTATCTTCGTTTGCGCCTTCTGCATCCTCTGCATCGCCATCTCACTGGCCGAGCTTGCCTCCGCCTACCCGACCGCAGGAGGTGTCCTCGACTGGGCCTACGAGGGATCCTCCAAGTCGAGCCGTAAGTTTGTCGCGTGGACCACTGCCTGGCTCAACACGTTTGCGTGGATCGTCACTGCGACCACCTGGGCCTCCCTTGTCGCGCAGCAGGTGCTTGCGCTCGCCGTGCTCTACCACCCGGACTATGTCATCAAGCAGTGGCACACGTGGCTCTTGCTCCAAGCCGTCCTCATCGTCGGTCTGCTCGTCAATCTCTTCGCGGTCAAGATCATGCCTGCGCTCGACAAGATCGGACTGGTGACCTTCTTCACCGGCTGCATTGTGCTTAGCATCACCGTCGTCGCTACCGCCCCCTCGCATCAGTCGGCGCGCTTCGTCTTCGTCGACATCATCAACTCCACCGGCTGGAGCTCCAACGGTCTCGTCTGGTGTCTCGGCCAGATCGCCACCTCGGGCGCTTTTATCCTCATCGACTCGCCTAGCCATCTGTCCGAAGAGACTATCGAGCCGGAGAAGAACGTGCCCAAGGCGATGGTCTATTCGGTGCTCATCGGCACTGTAACGGGGCTGTTCGTGACGCTGTGCTTCATGTTCTCGATCGTGGATGTGGATGGTGTGCTGACGAGCGCTACGGGCGTGCCGTACATCCAGATCATCCGCAACGCGACGCAGAGCAACGGCGCGACGGTGGTGCTGTCGCTCTTCATGATCATCCTCTCCATGTACGGCGCCGTGACCTCGGTGACGGTCGCAAGCCGTGTCTCGTGGGCTTTCGCGCGCGATGGCGGTCTCCTATTCCCGAAAACCTTCAGCAAGATGTCGACGAGCCTCCATGTGCCCGTCCAATCGCTGCTGCTGTGCGTCCTCATCTCGAGCTGCGTCGGCGTCATCTACCTCGGTAGCATCACTGCGTTCAACTCGTTCCTCGCCGCGCTCACTATCCTCTTCTTCGCATGCTACGCCATGGTCATCGGCTCGTTCATGCTGAATGGACGGTACATCGAGAAGCGCGGACCGTACAAGCTCAGCTCGACGGTCGGTTGGACCGTCAATGTCATCGCGATGGTGTACATGATCTTCTTCGGGGTCATCTTCTGCTTCCCCTTCGTCTACCCGCCGACGGCAAACACGATGAACTGGTCGAGCGTCATCTTGGTCGGTGTGGTGCTCCTGTCAAGCGTGGGTTACGTCACTTGGGGCAGAAACAGCTACGCCGGGCCCAGTGGAGCCGTCATGGCCGAACGCATCGGTCAGAGTGCTGCAGCCACTGCCTGAACCATCAACACCACTCCGCCAATTGTCGGCGAGAACATCTGTATCATTAGTCTCTACCCCTCGTCACGTAATAGTATACCATCTGAAGGCACAAATGGACCGGCTTGACAAACAGGTCCGCGCGCGTGCGGCGCTAAGGCATGCAACACTGTTCTTTCATTACGTTGAGCCGGAGCTGGCGTGAGAGACATGAGGGACATGAAGGACATGGACACTTGAACGCGAGAAGCTTGGGAAGCGGGACGACACGAGGGCTAACAGGAGACGAACCGGGCACGACGAGTGGGCCTAGCCACATTTCAGCGACTCAATCGCACTGCAAGATCGAGTTGATCACTTGAGGAACCCGCTTGCCTTCCACGCAGCAACGATCTTGCCGACCAACTCGGCATCCGTGGGGACCAGCCTCTCCTCGAGCTGCTGCTTGAGCCCCAGGTCGGCGAAAACCTCGCGCAGACGCTCGGTGCTGTACACCTGGTCCGACGCGAGTCCTCCGCCCGGCGAGGCGCGGAAGAACTCGAGCAGCTTGATGGTCGGGTTGCGCGCCGGGTCCGGGTCCGACTCCTCGAGGCGGCGCACCCACTCGGTCGGGTCGACCATCTCTACCTCCCCGCCGAGGTTGACCCTAAGCATCTGCACCACCTGTCGCCAGGGTACGGTAGCCGGGTTCAGCACGTGCACTACACCCTGCAGTCTTTCGGGAAGGAGCAGTCTCGCAATGATGAACGCCGAATCGTCCACCGGCTGCCAGCTGATGTTTCCAGGCAGATCAGGCAAACATCCGACAACCTGCGCCGACTTGATGGTGAGAGGCATGGCTTCCGTCTCGTTCCACACTCCTGCTTTGCGATCGCCGACCATCTGGCCAATTCGCGCGAGGACCGCATCGAATCCACCCCCGACGTGGTGCTGCGCATAGGCGCACAGCTGCTCGACGATCCACTTGGAGCGGCCGTAGCCCAGCGGCGAGGCTTGCTGAATTGTCGGCGCGACCGATTCCTCCACGGAACTGCCGGTGTTCATGGCAGCAGAGACCGAGGAGGAGTAGATATAGCGTGGGGTCAGGGTGGCCGGTGTGCCGGCGACGAGGTTGATGAGAGCGACAGAGCCGACGATGGGAGATCGAAATGAGGAGATGGACATGTTGAAGTTGACCGGCCAGCCGTTGTCGATCACCGCGGTGGTGGTGGTCGAAACGAGTTGCCATGCATCTGCGTTCAGGCCGAGGTGGGGTTTGTCGAGCTGAGCGGCGAAGCACAGGATGGAGGTCTGGGTCGACGTGGCGAGGGCGTCGAGCGTGTCCAGCTTGCGGACCTGCAGCGAGGAGTCAGTGCGCTCGAGAGCGTCGGCATCGGTGGGTGCGCGGTTCAGGCAGATCACCCGCTCGACCATGTCGAGGTGAGCCAGCTGGTGCAAAAGGTGGGCGCCAAGGGACCCCGTCGAGCCGGTCAGCACCACCGTCTGCTTCGCGGTTCCCTTCTGCACCACGTCGGACGCCAGCTTCGCATCGCGCGTGATGATTCGACCCTTCATCTCCTCCAGCAGCGCAAGCGCACTTTCGATCTCGGCTCGATCCTGCTCTTGGCTGCTCGAACCCTCGCCACGACTGTGCTTGAGCACGCACTTGGCCAGCTTGGCGACGGTCGGGTGCTCAAATACGAGATTGGCGGGCAGCGCCGACTGCAGCCGAACGCGCTGTTGGAGCAAGTTGCGGATGCGCGTGGCTTGCAGCGAGTCGACGCCGAGCGTGATGAGGTCTGCGTCTCGCAGCTCGGTCTCGAGCTGCTTGGAAGGAGTGCCGACAACCTCGGCGAGGATCTCGGCGACGATCGTGACACTCGCCGTCTCGTCCGTCAGCGTCATCTTGGCACCCTCGGCGGGTCCGGCATCGTACTTTGCGTAAAGCTCGTCGATCTCGCGCTCGAAAGCACGTGCGACCTTGGCGCGGATCAACGACCCCTTGTCGGCCGCAGGAAGCTTCGTTCCAGCCGGCAGAATCATGACCAGCTCCGGAATGATCTGCGAGTGCGACGGTGCTTCGGCGTTGCCGCTCTCCACTGCGGACCAGATGAGCTTTTCGAGCCGCTGCGTTTCCGTCTGAGATGAAGCTTGGGTCTCGGCCTGTTGGAACGCCTTCTCGCTCGGTACCACCAGAATACCGGTCTGCGAGCGGCCCGCGCCGAAAATCAGACAGTCGGCGACGTAGAGCGACGCACGAATGGCCAGCTCCATGGGGACCGGGTTGGTCTTCTCGCCGTTGTAATGGACGAGGGTGTCGTCTGCGCGGCCGGCGTACTTCCACAGCCCCTCGCGCGTCGGGTGCTTGACGAACAGATCACGCGTAGCGTACGAGCCATCGGGACGGTTGCTCTCGGTGAGCGAGGGGAAGCCGGGGAGCACCACCATTTCGTACGGCCCCTCCTTGTCTGTGCCTGTGTTCTCGAATGCGATGTAGTCCTTGGCGTTGAGGATCGGGCGGACGTACTCCCACTCCTTGTCGGTGGCAAAGTCGCGTGCGCTCGACAGGAGGAAGCCGGCCTCGGTGGAGCCGATGCCGTTCTGCAGCGCGACGTTGTGCTCGTTGACCAGCGTGTTTCCGATAGCAGTCGGGCAGGCGGCGCCACCAAACGTGACCAGCGTGAAGCTCTGAAGCGCGCGCAAGCCGGCGGGAGACTCGGCAAGAAGCTTGAGGACGAACGGCACGATGAACGCCTGCTTGGCCGTGCTCCTGCCGATCGCTGCGGCGATGAGGTCGGCTGTGAGGCGGCTGGTGTACATGTAGAGCTTCTTGGTGGACAGCATGGGCGAGAGGAGAGTGTTGAAGCCGCTCACGTGGAAGAGTGGCATCGTCGAAAACGTGTCGGTGGCTCCCGTTGTGAACAGCTTGTTGGCCGACTCGTGGTGACTAGCATGAAGCGGTGGAGCAAAGACGCAAAGCGCGAAATTAAAGGTTAGCCAAAGGGCCGCTACAGAAGCAATGAGGGGATGATGGGCTGCAAGGTCCATTCTAGTCGAACATTCGGAGGGACTTACGTGAACGTGCTTGGTTTGGGAAAGCTGGTCGAACCACTCGAGTGGAGAACGCTGGCCTTCTCTGAAGCTTCCTCCTCGGAAGTAAGCTCCGAAATGTATTGAGCGCGATCCATCGACGCAGCGAGCGACAGGCTCACTGCTTCAGCAACGGTGTTCCGCCTCATAATCTCAACCGAGCCCAACTCCTGCTGACCGAGCTCGACCTTGAGCGCAGCGGCAGCCTTGCTCTGCTCATCGCTGTACAGAACGTGCTTGGTCTTGGTGATCCTGACCAAGTGAGCGAGGGCAGCGGTGGAATTGTTGGTCGAGAGATAGACGACGCAGTGCCCGGCACGGTAGAGAGCCAGCGCATTGAGAGCGTAGTCGAAGCTGCTCGGGGCGAGGATGGCGACGGTCCGAGTTGGGATGTTGCGTCGTTTGGGAGGCAGCTTGGCGGCGTACGAGGCGCAGAGCTGGTTGAGGAGCTGGTCGATCTGGCCATAGGTGTACTCGTCCCAGGCGAAAGTGGAAGCGTCGTTGTCAAACCCAGGTCGAGGGACACACAGGAAGATCTTGTCGCGATGCGTCTTAGCGCGGGCGGCGAACAGGGCGTTGAGCGACGCCGGGGCGAAAGGCTCGGCGGTCGGCGAGCTGTCGATGGACATGATGGCAGCCGAGGGTTGTTCAGGATTGCTGATCTTGATGCGCTGTTCCTGGAGAGAAAGGCTGAGAAGACCCTGGAGTCGATGAAGCCAAGTCGGACGGTCTGCGAAAGTCTCTTTATTTATCTGCGTGGCGACCAGTACATGAGCGCCTTGGATCCAGTGCCGACATCGCAAGAAGAAGATCAAAGTGATGAGCTTGCCTCTGAACTCTCGCCGCCGGGATCCGTTCCGATGCAGTAAGGTTAATTTGCTGCCGAAGCATGCCTCGCAGACGAGCCCACAAGGCTTGGCATTGGGCTACCTTCATCCCAAGCTTAACCGTGGGCCTGCATTCCAAGCTTCATCGATAACGAATCGAACAGAGCATCCGCCGGCACGCGAAGCTACCGGCGCTACCTGTCAGGAATGCTGACGACACCTTGGTCTGCCTACGTCCCAAGCTTGATCGTGATTGAATTGAAGGGGATCCGTCGGAACGCGAAGCTACCTAGGTTAGCTCACGGGTATGCTGACGAAGCATTGGAGTGCCTACATCCCAGGCTTGAGCTTGAGCAGCTTGAGCTTGAGAAGATCCACCGGCACGCGAAGTTAGTGGCGTGGGCTCTCAGGGGTGCTGTCGACAGGCGTTATCGAGCGGAGCTTAGAAGGCTCGACGGCATGCCGATGCAATCTTGAGATGGCATGCCGATGCAAGCTCGGCGGCCTAACACGCGAGCCCACTATGCATGACATTGGTCTGCCTAAGCTCGATCGTGAACGGACTGACTGAAAGCAAAGGATCCGTCGGCACGCGAAGCTAGCAGCGATCGCTCTGCTCACGGGGCTGGCGATGGCATGCCGTTGCAAGCTCGGCCGGCCTAACACACAAGCCCACAAGGCAGATGCCGATGCAAACCTCGGCGGATAGAACCCACGATCCCAAGCTCACGTCGATCCAAGCAAGGCCAATCGGGGATCAAAGCGTTGCGATCCCGCTAGATGCCGCTGGCTACCCCTGAAGATGGCTCGTTACCTCAGTAGCCTCTTTCGCTTCGAGTACGAGCACATCATCTTCATCCGGCAGCAAGCGCACCGGTGCATCTGCGCGCCAAGTTCGACCTCGATGCATTGCCGATCAGGTCGCTCGCTCAATTTCGGCCCTTCTTCGCATCCAGGCGCGAGTTCTGCAAATCGGTCTGCTGTGTATTCCCTCGATACTCTATATCCTCGCTTCGAGTCAAGCCAGGTCGAACAACGCCTTCAGCTGCGCCATGGTATCCTGCGGGTTGGTCACCGTATGACCCTCGGTCCTAGGATCCTCAAAGATCTCATTGTCGTTGCCGCCCTTGTAGGTCTTGTCACCGAAAAAGTGAATCGCATCCCAGCCGAGGTCGCTGGCCGTCTTGCTGGCTTCGACGCTGAAGCCGGGAAGGCAGACGTTGCGAAGCGCATACGTCTTGTCCCAACCACACGGGAAGACGTCGAACGAGATCTGACCGCCGATCGAGTAGGTGAGGCCGTAGTCCGGGAACTGGGCTTTGAGGGCCGAGACGAAGGTGCTGCGGATGTTGTGCGTCTTGTCGTACTGCTCGAAGGCGATGCGCTCGTCGATGCTGCGGAAAGGAGGGGGAGAGCAGTCAGTATCAAGGCTGTTGCTGGAGAAAGCGAGGGTGTGAGCGTCACTTACGAAGCGTTCCTGCCAATGGGCGAGACGTTGATCATTCCGTTCCTAAACTCGATAAACGTTCCACTGTGTGCATCATTCCACAGAACAAGGATCAGTCCCTTTGCCCTTCCTCATCATCTCTCGTCGTCGCATCACTTACCGCATGACAGGCAGTTCCAATTCGCTGATGTACCGCAAGCAAAACCTGGCGAGCTTCTTGTACTTCTCCTCGCCCAACCAGCCGATAAAACTCTGACTGTCGAGCTGCGTTCCATCCTTAAACGCGGTGAGTCCGTTTTCGGCGAAGACGTAGTCGAATTCGCTCGTGAAGTCCTTGGACCCGATCTGGAGTTGTTCACGGACCTTTTTGAGATCGCTTCCTCCCACGACGCCGATGACGCACTGGGTGCGCAGCTTGGCGAGCAACGCGTGGAATTCGGGCGTGATGGTCTGGCGCGCGAGCGAGAGCGTGCCGTCGACGTCAAACAGGCAGAGAGTGCGCGGGTGTGCGCGGTCGCTGTATTGGTTGACCATGGCGATCTGCGAAGATGTGTGTGTTGGTGGTGGTGAGGAAGGTGAGGAAGAAAAAAGTGTCGGAGGACGAAATGCGGTTGCTCTGTGCGTTGGCTGCCACGTTTGAGCGTCGCTCAGGGTCCAACACCGGGTTTGGCCTGCAGCTTCGTATGCACCCACGGGAAGCAGGGTTTTTTCCGCCGTGTCTCACTTGATCCTCCCCTTCGCCCGTTCGTTCTGCACGCCTCGTAGTCTGAGCAGGCATTTTGATGTCGATGCGCATGCTCGTCGACGTGTACACCAGTGCAAAGGGGCGACAGCATCAACGACGTCGACGTGGAAGCCTTCCCGAGTCAACCTTGGCGCCACATCGAAGCCCGCGCCCTGTTCTTGACGTTAGCCGAGGGGGAAGACGTGTCACTGCAATTTCGCCCAGAAAAAACAACGCCGAGCGGCGGGAAGGCTCGGAAGCAACACGTCGATCCCATCCTCGCACACAAACAATGAGCGCGGCACCACGTGCTTGACCTCTCACAGTCTGTCAGGCACACACTCAACGTCGAACACGGAGGGTGAAATGAGATCATTGACGTGCGCATACAAGCGCCTCGTTCGTGTGAGAGTGACGCATCATCGCCGCCCAGCCCGTCGTCCACCCGCCCGACTCGCCGGCTCGACAAAGTCATCATCATCCTCACCCTGATCGTCCACAATCGCGTCCTCCTCATCGTCGCTGATCTGAATGCTCTCCTGCTGCTGTTGCTGTCGTTGACGCGATGCAGCCGGCTTTACTGCTGCCCTGCTCTTCGCTGGTGTTGCAGCCGCTGTCGCCCTGCTACGGCTCTTGCTCGGCTTCGAGGCGGCATTCTGCTTGCTGAGCATGTCGAGCACGCTTGCGTGGCCTCGAGTGGGCGCGGGTGCAGGTGTGGAGGGTCGCTCGTCGATTGCCATGTCCGATTCTTCGTCTTGCCCCTCGGCGTAGGCTGATTCGGGGCCGAGGAAGGTTGGGGCTGGAGTGCGGGAGGACGAGGCGGTTGCACGAGCGGGTGTTCGAGCAGCGGTGCGAGACGCAGCTGGAGCTTTCCTGGCTCGGCTTGTCGAAGCCGCGGCGGCGCCCTGTCGGGTCGCCCCTCGGCGAGTGCTGCTGGCAACGCTCGCTCCGTCATCAAAGTCATCCTCCTCGTCTTCCTCGTCATGGTCGTGAGCAGCACGGGCATTTCGTCCCCTGCCACCGCCTCTAGCCGGCGCGGCAGCACGAGGCGGCTCGAGATCATCCATCATCGAATCATCCGACTCGTTCCCCCTCGCTGCCCTCGCATTGCGCTGCGCACCCTCCATCTCGAGCTCCATCTCTCGCCTCTGCTCCTGCTGCTGCTGCCTCAATCGCTCCAGCTCTCCCTCGATGCGCGACTCTTCCGGATCGATCGTCACCAACCCTTTGACGGTGTTTTTGAGCATCTTGGTGACAAAGCTGTCGATCGCCTCCCTGTCGTCCTTTTCGACAAAGTTGAGCACCGCGCCCTCCAGACCCTCGGGATTGAGAATGTCGAGATTCTGCGCCTGGAGGTATTCCTGGACCAGCTTGCCCACGTCCACCTTCTCGAGCCGTTCGACGGCCAGTAGGCCTTCCTCTTCCACGTCAACGTAGGCGCTCGGTCCATTGGCAGCGTCGGCCTGGTCGCGACGTCCACTGCGCAGACTCTTGCGTTTGGTGAATTGAAGCACTTCTTTGGGGTTTGCTACCTTGCCGGCAAACTCCTGCCCGAAGCGTTGCGGATTGCTGATCTCCTGATTCGTGTACTCGACGCGCAATCGTACGAGCGGCAGGGGCATCTCCCGGTCCGGATATCGCTTCTTGAACTCCTGCTTGGCTCGCACAATCAGACCTTCCACCCGCTTACGCAGGAGCTTGATGATGTCGCTCCGCTCCGACGACAAACCTGCCTCCTCGAGCTCCTCGGACAGCACCATGTCGTCCATCACAAACGGCCTTACTGTCTGCAGCGGGATAGGCTCGATGAGGAAATCCGTCTTCTCAACGTGAACGATTGCAACGCACTTTTCGACCGTCTCTCCCTGACTGAGACTCGTAGCCACGCTGCTGCCCGGCTGCGTGATGTGGTACTTCTTCTCGGTGACCGGTTGCGGGTTGATCATCTGCTCGTGCTCGTGGCCCCAGACCACCAGATGGATCGAGTCGTCGAACATCGTCTCGGGCACGCACGCTTTCGGATTGTGCGCAACCCGGTTCTGATGCACGCACAGGATGTTGAACCACGAATCGGGGTCTTCGGAGGGTCGATACATCCGGACGCGGTTGGTGCGAAGTTCGAAGTGCATCCGCTCGTCTTTGATGTTGCCCATGCCGTAGAGGGCGAGTTTCGTCTGGCCTTTTTGGAGGAGGACGGGCTTGATGCGGATGCCCTTTTCCGCGAAGGCACCGCCTCGTGCTGTTCGTGCGGCCGATGAGCCGGCGGTCGCGTCGTCAGAGGGGAGCTCGATCTTGCCAAAGTAGTTGATCAGGCCCGAGACCGACAGCAGGTCAAGCGCTGATAGTGCGCCTGTCTCACCAACGCCTTGCGGATCGTCGTGATTGCCGTGGATCGAAAACACCGGGATGCCGACATTGAGATTCGGATCTTCGTAGTTGATAGCTGGAAAGTCTCTACCGGGAAGCGCACCGTCATTGGGGTCGCTCAGCAGCTCGACCGAGATGGGCTTGTCTCCGAGTGTGTACTGTCTCAGCAACGCCATCGTCTGATGCAGCGTAGCTCGACTCGGCTTGTTCTCATGGAAAAGATCTCCTCCAAGCAAGATGAAGTCGACCTCGTGCTGCACCGCCAATTGGAGGATCTCTTCGAAGGTGCGGATCGAGTCTTGACCACGAACGGGGTCGCGCTCCATGTAGCCGATGTGGTTGTCAGTGGCGAGCATGATCTTGATGTGATCGCCTTCGCTTTGCGCCGAGAAGGTGGAAGGCGGAAGCTGTTGAGCGTTTGTCCCGGTGTCGTGTTCGTCAGCGAGCTGATCTGCCTCAGGCTCAGCCTCGACGTCCATCTCAGCTTCGGACGCTTCTTCGAGCTCTTGCACCTGACCAGATGCGCCGCTCCGTGTTCGACGGTGCGTACGGGTATGACTGGGCTGGTCGGTCTGGACATGGTCCTGGTGCTGAGAGGTGGAGGATTCGAGCTGATCGTGCTCTTCGCTGTTGCGCTGCGATGCCGTTGACCTTTGCGTGCCGGTCCGGCGTGTGAGGCGGACCATGATGATGTCTCTAGACTGCTTGCGTAACAACCGCCAGTGGCTACTACTTCAGCCTGCGCCGGTGTGTCGGTAGCTGTCTGCTTCGACGAGTCAAGCGGCTTCGACCGATCGACGACCCTTTAGGCCGAGCGCATGCTACTTCGACCGGCGGTGACTTTGCGTCCAAGCTTGCGATGGCTGCGCAAGTGTCGGGTGGTGATGTGAGTATGGCGCCGATGGTGGCAACGAGACCAGACGGGCGAAGGTGATGGGAGGAGGCAGGAAGGAAAGGCTCGGTCAGCCCGAAATGAGGTTGCTGCGCTTCTTCTGACACGAGACCAACACCTTCTTGGCCAAGGCGCGTGAGTGGTGGGGAATTTTTGGCTGCGGGACCCTGAGTAGCTCAGAGGTGGAGGCGAACAACCTCATCCCATACCTCAAGTCCATGCTTCCTTCCTGTCGTTCCCTCACAGACTGCCCCATCAGAGTGACACACAGCATGAGAGACAAGCACAGTCTAGTAACGGATGGCAGAGCATGATGTAGATACGAGAATTGTTCAGATTGATTAGATTAAGCGAGTGTGGTTCAAAGAGTGTGCAGGCTCAATCGGCCCATGCGCCCTGGATCGTCTTCATGCACTTGGCCCAGCGCAACAGCCTTCCGCCCTCTTCCGGCGCCACAATAGGAAGCAGCGTCAGATCGTTGCGAGCGCCTCCGCCTTCGAAGCTCATGCTGCCTCGATGCAGTTGCGAGTGGAACTTGGGCTTGGACAGGCGACGACTACGTTCGTAGGCCTCGATGCCGGCGTTGTCCGAGGCATTGATGCCTTGCGTGCGGTCCATGTACGGTGAGATGGACTCGTCGTCGAATGCATGGCCCAGCTCAATGTCGTCGTGCGCGATGGCTGCGGCTTCTTCCAGGTTCGATGCGGATGCTGATAGTCGACGCTCTCCTGACAGACGGGCGAGCTTGTCTTCAGCGTCGCACCAGAAGAGCTGCCAGCCGGTGCCCTTTGCGTCGGTGTCGATACGCACAAAGCCATTCGAGCGCTCATAGTACCACCGGTTGACCGGGTTGTTGGCCCGCGACTTCCAGACGAGATCTCGGCCCATACCATAGCCGCCAAGCCCACCGTTGTCGTTGAGCGCGTCGAGCAAGCCTAGACCCTGCACTTCGTCACGCAGCGCACCCCACAGAAAGTCGACCGTGCCCGATCCTTGCAGCGAGGGAAGCACCGCAAACTTGTCCAGGTAGGCGATGGGCTCTACAGCATCGCGGTCGTCATCTGGCGCGTACTCCTTGGTGACGATAGCCGCACCCTGATAGTCGCCGGTCACAATGACAAAGTCGAGCGACTTGCGCAGCCGGTCGTAGTAGCCTTGCTGGTTGAGCTTGCGTCGAAACGAGGCTTCCAGCAGAGCCGCCATCTTGGCCAGATCGATCTTGTCAAAGTCCTGGATGACCTTGATGGGCAGACCCGGACGGACGATGGTGGGCGTGTGGCGGACATCCTGCTTGTTGGCGAGCAGGCGGTGCGGCAAGGAGGGACTGTGAGCTGCCTTGTTGGTGATGAGGTTGGCGATCAGAGATCGTGGAGAGCGATGCGTGACCAACACTCCGGACGAGGTCTGTGGCATGTACGAGAGACAGTCCGAGATGGCGTCGAGGTTGCGCAGTGCTGTAGGATGCGTTTGATCCCAGACGAAAGACTGCTTGATCTGGTGATACTCGGAGGCCAGGTTGATGGACAGATGCGGATCACCGCCACGGGCATGCGAGGGGATCCCGCCTTCACGGTTGATGACCATGAGCCGAAGAGGCATCATGTCGACTTCTCCGCCGGTCAAGGCGGCGAGTGGGTCGTTGCTGGCTGTTGAAGACGATGCTGAACCTTGCTCTGGCTCTTCCTGTTCCAATGACCGGTTAGCAGCTACTACCATGTCCCTGGTCAGCGCAACCATGACGTCGTCGGCTCGCACGCAGAGTGTCTCGAGCGTGCCATCCTTTTCGTTCTCAAAGAGCGCGTAGGGTGCCAAGACAGGGATCTGGCCGGATGCAAGGGCCGATCGGATCGAGGCGAGACTGTCGTCCGAGACAAGCGGTGGACGGAGACGCTGCTCGCCGCTGCTTCCGTAGTGAACGGTCGGCGATGTAGACGAGGATCCGGCTACGACGGCGTCACCAGGCTGGGCTTCCCCCGATGTTTGCGTTTGCTGAAATTGGCGCACCTCGGCCTCTACCCGGGCAGCGGAGTGAGCATCAACCTTGACCACAGCCTGAGGGAAGGGTCGAGCCATGGCACCCTTACGGTTGAGGCTGTCGGTCAATCGCAGTGTCTCTGCCATGATTCGCTTGCGGAGGCGTTCCTGCTTCCGACCAAGCATACTCGAGCGACCATTCTCGGATGCCTTCTGCTTGCCCTTGGAGGACGCCGTCTGAGCAGAAGCTGGCGCCGGATGGGCAGCTAGCCAGTCGCCCATGCGTCGCTCTTCCACTTCGTCTTTGCCTGCCACGAGTTGGCCGTCACGATCGATGTCGGCCGAGATCTCTGGCCAATCGTCCTGGTCGACGACGACTACACTGACGAGGCCGAGACGCTTGAGGTAGACGAGACCCTCTGCGATCGAGTCGAGCTGACGATCGGTGAAGGGACCCTGTACCTTGACGAGGGCAGTATGCGAGTCGGCCAGCGCGTCTGAAACGGGTGTGACCTGTGGGATGGCCACAGTCGAGCTCTCTTGCGGGGTGACATGATGCGGTGCCGATCTGTGTTGTTCAGTGCGCGATGCAGCGTCTTGACTGGAGCGCTGCTTGTGTTCCTGGAGGATGTCGAGGATGGCCTTGGGAAGCTTCGGTGTAGCTTGATCGGGACGAATGGTTGCATGGGGATCAATCTCGAGGGATATTGAGTGTTGGGGATCCCAGGTGGTGGTGGAAGGGTTGTGCAGACTACCGGGGTGGGCGATGTTGTGCGGGATGGGGAACTCAGGGTGGCTGAGTGAGTGTGCTGCTGAGGACGAAGATGCGATGCTGTTGCTAGAGTCGGATGAAGCGGGGTGTTGGTGTGAAGGAGTTGTTGGTTTGCGTTGCGGTGGAGGCTTGCGAGGTGCAAAGCTGTTGAGATAGGTTTTCGAGTCTCGAAGCGATGGCTGCGCCTGGAGTATCTCCATGATCAAGTTCTGCATGCGTTTCGACATGGTGACGAGCACAGCAGAGTGGGGTGATATCAAAAGCGTGGGAAAGGCGGTGTCAGCAAGTCGGAATGTCCTACGATCTGCTTGGCTCCTGCCTGCACAAGCTCGGATGCGCCGACCAGCCAAGTGTGCAGGTTTACGATAGCACGTCACAAGCCATCGACGGTCCAAGGTGCTCAGACGCGGTGGTGATGGAGAGGAACGACGAGGCAACAATGAGCGAGCCAAGACAAAGGCTTCGGAAGAATTTGGAATCTGCTGCCGGCTCTCTTGTCTTATCGTCTTTTTTTATCTCGCGGACTCTGTGACTCGCAAAGCGAGAAGCATCAACAGCATCATCATCTCCATCATGAGCACCAGCCATCGCCTTTGTTCTCTCTGCGTGGCCCGACATGAGATCCAAATTTTGAATTTTGCTGCTGAAATCTGGCCTTGAACCCTGATCTGCTGATCCCTCATTAGATCCCCCGACACGAACGGAGATCAAAGAGGAGGCTCTTGACGAGCTGTCCAAGATCGAGTAAAGCCGAACCCATCTTAGCGCCTTCCTTGCCGACGGTCGCTCCGAGCATGTCTTGGATCAAAGCTTGACTCTGACATCAGAGTCTTCGCCCATTTCGACCTGTCGCTTTCCGCATCGGACTCGCTCTCCACTCCGGCGCGAAACACAAACTCACCTTGTGCATTAGCCGCTCCACTTCGTAAGCCGATGCTCGACTCGTGCTGAACCGAGACGTTTGCTGCTGCGTCTTGTGATTGAAGGGCGGAGCGCTGACTGTGGGTCGACCGTCGTCGCGATGCAGATCGAAAAGATGCCCTTCGTTCTCGTACAGGTCTGAGTAGAAGCTTCGAGCTGGTCCAAGGTGCTGGATGCGACTCGGTCCGGCTTCCAGCCAATGCTGCAAGGGCACCGAGGGTCGTTTACATGGTCTGACAAGCATATTGCTATGGGTCTTGCCTGTTGATGCTGCAGGTAAGTGCAAATGGCGCTTTGTTGATGAAGATGGGGAGGCGGCGAGATGAAGAAGGGGAGATTTCAGCTGCGACAAGTCTGTGCCGGCGCCGTCTTGATCATATATACGTCTAGCACTTGATGCTCATCAAGAGCCAGTGAGTGAACACCGTCGGTCAGAGAGACACGCTGCTGTCTAAGATCCGCGTCACACCTAAGACCCTGACAGCTCGGAGCGCTCTCTCAGACAGCATCGAGCAATCCTAGGCCCGAGCCGCGCCCTAAGCCTTGCTCGCGTACTCTGCTCGCCGCAGGACTGCCGCCCTGGACCCTTGTTGACGTTGCAGCTTGCTTTGTGAGGCGATATACTCGATGCAGACTCGCTTCTAGAAGCATCATCAGGGTTCGGCACTCGCTTCACGTAGCTCAGTCGAGGCAGCACCCCGCTGGTCCGTCCTGTCCCATGACCTGCTTTCAACAGCCTCGAGATCTGCAGTAGGCTCGGTCAGGAGACGAGCCATTGGCGTGCAGATGGAATGCGGGTTCGCAACGAAAAGCACAAGTCTACTGTTATGGAACGAGGGTTTGGGTCCAGGGTTGACTATCGACGGACGAGGTTCAGGGTTCGAGGTGTCGAGCGCCATTTTTGGCGGATGAGCTAGTGCAGATGCTAGGGTGTAACACGCTTCGTCGAAAATTCAAATTTACTTCGGATGTCAGGTCGCTTCATCAGCTGTCCGGCAACGCCGGCGAATTCCCCGGGCCGCCCGCTGCAGTCGGACCCTTCTCCTCCGCAATCAAGCAGTGCTCAGACCATCATCTTCACGTCATCAACCATCTGTCCTAGACCTCCAAATCGCCCACCACCATCGCAAACGACAGCACCATGAAGGGCAACACTCGTCAAGCCCCGCACGACATGGAAAAGGGCCCACACATCGTCGCACTGGCAATCCACGGCGGAGCAGGAGGAACCACCACCCCCGACCTCCCCGCCGACCTCGTAGCCGCCTACCGCAACCGTCTTCGCACCATCCTCGTCAACACTTACCATCAGGGCCGCACATCCTCACTCGATGCGGTATGTCACGCCGTCTCTCAGCTCGAAGATACACCTTTGTTCAACGCAGGCAAAGGTGCGGTGTTTGACCTCGCAGGCCGCACAGTGTGCGAGAGTTCGTTGATGACCACCCAGCCTGGGTTCCATTCTAGGAATGTTGCTGTGACGGGCGTGAGGCGGACCAAGAGTCCGATTCTGCTGTGTAGAGCCCTGCTCGAGAACAATGAGCAGCTGGGCGGGCATGTGTTCTACTCCGGAAGGGCGGCAGAGGAGGTGGGGTGGAAGCATGGCACTGAACGTGTCAGCAAGCGGTACTACTTTACCAAGCGCAGATGGGTCGAGCACAAGAAGGGAATCGAGACGATGAAGCTTACCGAGCTAGCCCGCGAAGCAGACATTTCCGATGAAGAAGACGAGGTGGAAGCAACAAAGGCGAATCCACCCGCGTACTCGACATCACCTCTTCCAACGAGCACCAAGGCCGACCACGAAGACCTCGCGATCTTTGACAGGTACGCACACTTAACCGACTTCCTCCCGCAAGGCACGGTCGGTGCCGTCGCTTTGGACTCGCACGGTCATCTTTCGGTAGCCACCTCGACCGGCGGCAAGACCAACAAGTTCCCCGGTCGCATTGGCGATACTCCTTCTGTTGGGTCCGGGTTTTGGGCCGAGTCCTGGTCCGCAACTGCTAGCAAGCGACGAACTTTGCTTGTCCGTCTCATGCGCTCCATCTTTCCACGTAGCTCAAGCTCCAAATCCACCTCGGACGCAGGGCTAGCAATCTCAGGCACGGGCGACGGCGACTTTTTCCTCCGCGCCAACTTCGCCTCGTCCATCGCGCACAGGATCAAATACGGCAGCGCTCCGACGGGCGAAGCTATCAAGTCGGCCATCGATGAGCTGGCGGACATGTTTGGGAGCAAAAAGGGCGTAGGAGGTGCGATTATTCTTGACAAGCAGGGGAACGCCTACTTCCCGCTTGCGGCAAGCACTATGAACCGAGGGCTTATTTCGGAGGCTACAGAATTCCTGCCGAGGGTGGCAATTTTCGATGATGAGAAGATGGAGTAAAAGGGCGTTATACAAATACAATCTACTAGACGTGTTTCATGTTGGACCTTGCACAGGTGGGGAGTGTCGCGAATCAGACTTCGCACGTCGAAGGAGGGGAAGGAAATGCATTTGGGGGGCGTTGAGAAGTGTGGTGTGGAGCTGTGGTAGGTGTAAGGAAAGAGGGTGAGAGGCTCGAGCAATCGATACAGGGCAGAATTGCAGGAAACGGACTAAAGACGAAGCTAGTGCTGCTGCTGCTGCAGTTTCTGCGCCTGCACCTGCTTCCTCCTCTGCTCCTCCTGCTCGCGCTTGCGCTTCTTCTCCTCCTCGATCTGCTGGTCTTGGGCCGCCTTTTGCTGCCATTGCTGCTGCTGCTGCTCATTGACGGACTGTTGTTGGGGCAGGTTCTGGGCTTTCTGCTGCTGCTTCTTCTTCTTTTTAGCGTCAGAAGTGGCCTTTTTAGCCGCGTCATCACCCGTCTTTGCGCCACCATCGCCTCCGCCGGCGGTAGCAGCATTAGCGCCGTTAGACCCGCCACCAGCCGCACTACCACCCAGCCCGACCTTGTCCGCCACCTCGCCCGTCGGCAGCGCCCCACCCAACCCCTCGCCCACCACATCCTTCAGCACCTGCCCAGCGCTCGCCGTGCTCGGTACCGGTTTCGCATTCTCATACACGTTCGGCTGGCAATCTCTTCCGAGCTGACCCTTGCATTGACCACACACGGCCTTGTCACTTGGCGCGAAGGCTCGTCCTGGCGTGGCCTCGTGCAGGCTCGTCTGGGCGACGTTCTTGAACACGTTTCCTTCGATGAGCACGCTCACGCCGGGACCCATATCGAATGAGTGACCGGTAGAGGTGTCGAAAAGGGTGTTGACAACGTGCCACACCGAGTCGCCGCCGGCGTTCATCGGGTTGGCGATCCTTGGTGAACGACCGGAACACTGCTTGAACAGGTTACCGCTGAACGTGACTCGATCGGACTTGCCATAGCCCAGCACGGTCCAGTAGTGACTCCCATCGCAGGTGGCAGAGTACTGCGTGCGACAGTCGAAGAAGCAATTGCTGATGGTGACTCTACCGGCGGATTCGTAGCCCGTCACGATAAACTGACGACCGATGTCGGCGAACGTCAACTTGTCGATCCACACCAGATCGGAATCGTACAGGATCACGCCATCGCCACCCCAGATGGCAGCAGCGTTGATGTCCGAGATGCGAAAGTTGTGCAGGATGACGTTTTTCTTGTGGGCAATGCGAAGACCTTTACCCCGAATCGCAGCGTTGGGCGTGATACCAATGACGGTTTTGGACGAGCCAACCTGGATAGGATTGACACCCGCCTTGTCGTACGTAACCGGATGCGAGGGCTTGTCCTTGCACCAACCCTGACCGTTGTTGATCGCGAGCTGACCGCGAGCACCGCACTTGAGGAAGGAGTCGGTGGCGCAGCCGGCACAGTTGGTGCAGACGCCTTCCGAACGGGTGTAGTCGTAGACTTTGTCCAGGTGGATGACGCGGGGTTGGGCGTCGGTGAGGAGGGAGGTGAGCTCATGAATGTCTTTCGGGACGATTGGTGAAACAGAGCCGCCACCGGTGACAGAGGAGGCAAAGCCGTGCGGCTGCGTCGAGATGGCAGAGGAGACGGTGTGGACAGAGCCGGAGCCGGCAGCGCCGCTGACGGGGGCTCGGGGCATGTTCTTGGTGTAGTCCGCACCTAGGTCCGAAGGTGTGAACGGGTTGGCCGAGCGCCTGCCGTGCTCGTGATTGACCGAAACTCGACCGTGCGAGCTGAGAGAGCGTCTCGTGTGTCCCGTCTTCTCGGTTACGTTGTGCCTCTTGTCGGCCCACGGGTCCTTCAAGTGTGTGCCGAAGGTCGGGTGATACACCTTCATGTCGTCAGGAATGCCATCACCGTCCTTGTCCTGTTCGGGGCTAAGCGAACGTTGCTGGAGAGGAAGCGTGCTGAGCGACTCCTTGAGCTTGTCGGCCTCGCTCAGCGACGGCTCACCAGCGGTCATGGTGCCGGGGTTCTGATAGCATCCCGTCGGACTGACCATCTCCCACACCTTCTTGTCGCCCTGCGTGATCGCCACGTGTCGCACGTACAGCTCGTTGAGCACAGTACCGACGTCTGCTTCCGCGAAGTTCTTCGTCTTGAGCCAGTGAGTGTAGCACCTCTCTTCCTCGTCCGTCACCGAAGGGGCGCCGAGCTTGGTCGCCGCTGCAGGACCGAGGATGCTCGGGTCGATATCGCTCTGCTTCTCCGACAAAGATTTGCCTTTGAGCGTCTCGCGGTTCCACTCTTTCTCCGCCATGTCCTTCATGCTGCCTCCCTTGCCTTCGTCGTGCGAGACAGTGAGCTCACGGTCGAGGTCGACGAGCATGACATAGACGAGATTTTGGATGGTGCCCGCGGAAAGACGTTTGCGCTGCACCAGCTCGAGCAGGTTCGACCGGTCGATCGAGTCGAGCTTGACCAGACGTCCCTCGTCCGGGCTGCAGTTGACATAGCGAATGCCGTTGCGGAAACAGATTTCGTCCGTGTCCGGCTTGTAGTAGGTGGGGAGGATGGGCTTGCCGAGAGTGATCAGATCGGACTCACGGATTGAGATGGCGTGAGCGGTGAGGGTGAACAGGAGAGTGGAGAGGAAGAGGCAAAGGGGCGGTCCAAAGGACCAGCCGGTGTTGAGACGTCGCATCTCAGAAGCGAACGGATAAATGGATGAAGAAAGGAGAGAAGTGGACCGCTACCAGAGCGTGAAGTTGGCAAAGAGAATGGGACGAGGGCTTCTGAGCGAAGAGAAGGTGAGGAAGTGAGGAAAGGGGAAGAGACGAAGACAGGGGGCCGAGCCTTATGTAGCACGAGCAAGAGACTTGCAAGCAGCTGGGTTACCGGATCTGCATTCAACATAGTGGGTTTTCGGTCAGATCCAGTGGAATTGAGATGAAGGCTGCCGTGCCCCTGTTTGTTCTCCTCCTGTCATGTCAACAATAGCTAGGCCGTCGAATAAAGCTCTGTCGAAGACGATGCTTCTGTCGCATCACACTCGGTCTTGATCGTCTCAACGCCTGCCAAAGTAGTGCGACACTTCGGCCAGAAACATCGTTGTAGCACCGCAAACGCTCCAACTCAGCTAGTCCATAGTCACGGGAGATGACGATCTGTGATCGCCTTCATTTGGCGGTGCGGCGTTCTCAAGCGCCGTCTCTTGGTGGGTCTCACAGCGCCCTGGTCAAGAATCGGTGTCGCATGCACCCCTGAAGGCTTCATGTCTGCACGAATCGCAGACGATCGTACCCACCGTTGATCTCAGCCACTCCTACCTCATCTCACACAAAACACACAGGTCTCTTTCTGAGACGACGCTTCAATGCATCATGCTTGCATTGTTGTGCTCACGTCCGAGCCCGAATCATCCGCTCCCACATGCCCATCTGCGAGCCCAGCACAAGCATCGCGTCCTTCTGCACCTTGGCATCTTCCAGCTCAGCGAGCACTTCCACCCTGACCCGCGCCCAGTCGGTCTTGGCCTTGTCCCATTCGACGCCTGCCATCTCGCCCTTGAGCGCGGCGAGGTCCGCTTCGAGGATGGCTTGCGTACGTGCTGTGCGAGCGGTGGAGGCTGTGTGTTGTGCGATCTGGGCTTCGAGTGAGGATGTGTGGGTTTGCGAGAGCTGCAGCTGCGTGCGGAGGGTGTCGAGTTCGAGGAGTGCTGCTGACAGCTCTGCTTGGACGGCTGAGTTTGCTGCTGACGATTTTGAGGGCGCACCCGCTGGTTCGAGAGGGTGAGCTGAAGATGCTGGCTCAGCTTCGACGTCAGCTGGACCATCCGACGGTGATGACTCGGGAGCCAGATCCTCCAGCCCGATCCGTGCGACAGCGCTCACCAGCTCGTCGAGATACCTGTCGTCCTCGGTCAGCAACATGGCACTGATGCTCTTCCGCATGTCGTTACTGTCCACCTTCGCGCTCCCAGCCCGCAAGAGTTCCTCATCCTTCTGCTTCGGTTCGTCTCGGCCACTGCGATCAGCTGTCAGCTTCTCGGCGAGGACGTCGTCGTTGCTGTTGGATCCAAGCCTGATGGACGCGAAATGAGCTTCGAGGTTGAGCGACTCTCTGAGCGCCTTCTTGAGACGGGATCGTGTCTTTGCGGACATGGCGGCAGACGGAGGGTAGGCACGAGCGCTCTTCGATGGCGACAATGAAGGCCCAGAGCCGGCGACAGGGAAAGGAGTGGATGGGATCGAGGGCACATTCCTGTAGCCTCGATGACGCACGGGTGTTTCTGAGACATCCTTGGCGTTGTCATTACTTGCGACAGCTGGGCGTCGTGGAATACGCAGTGCAGCAGCAGCCCGGAGAGATGGCGAAGCGCAGGACGTGTCGGTCGCGTCCTCGTCGACGTGGGTCTTGTCATGCGCCTCGTCGTCAGCTCCTCTTTCTGCAGAATCATTGTTTGGCTGAGACTCGGTGGCCACGGCTTTCGGCGCCGCGAGTGCAGCAAAGACGCTCGGTGGTGTGTCCAGATACGATCTGCCCCTCGCCATCGGCGACCTGAGCACGCTGACGTCCGAGACGGGCGAACCCGCAGCCAGATCGAAGGCCATGAGGTCGACGGAGACGTCACCAGCGATTGCCTCGAGCTCCTGGGATGCTTCTCTTCGCGCTCTTGCGTGCGGCTTGAGGCCGTCGCCTTGCGGAGAATTCAAGCTAGACTCGACAGTCGTGGCATCCGTCTGTCGCGGAAGTTGGCGCCTTTCTTCGTCAAGCAAGTCTCCGACCTTGAGGTTGGCCTTTTGCGCAACGACTCTGAGACTTGCGAGAAGGTTCACATCGATTTCGTTGGACGAGAGGACATTGTTGCTCTGAACGACCGTGGCGTGTTCGGTGCCTGTCGGCACGAGATTTCGCCTGGTCGGAGACGCTGCAGCCTTTGATGCATCCGTCGGCGAAGTCTCTTGCCTGACCGTCGTTGGGAAGAGCAAGAGCGAAGATTTGATCGGCGAACGAGACGCCGAGCGAGGTAGTAACAAGGTAGACGTGGAAGGTGTCACGGTGTTCGCTGCTTCCAAATCGGCAGCGCTCGACCGTTGCGTACCCTTTACGCCCTTCTGCAGTCCCCGCTGAACAGAAGACGACCTCGCAAGACTCGAACCGCGCTCCGAAGGTGATGCCGTCGAACCAACAGCGCTCAGCGAGGAGGAAGACAACGACGAAGACATGAGTACGCCACTGATCCTCTCCTTTGCCTTGATCAACGCCTCTGGAGTGCTGATGGGCTGATGTTGGGTTGTCTTGGCGGCTTGAAGCGCCATGATGGAGGGGTGAGCAGGATTGGCTCGTATAATGGAAGATTTGATGCCGAGATCTGGCCTGCCTGACCGAGTTGGGAGAGCGCTGTCCATGCTGACGTCGGGCTTCAACGCTTTGGCCGAGTCGGTCTGCAGACCCCGTGAGCGAAGCGCAGACAGCGATGAAAATTTTGATGGCGATGTGGGGATGCTCGTAGCTGTTTCCACTGCTTCAGCTTTCGGATCCTTCTCATCGTGATTGTTAGCAGTGCGGTCACCAGAAGCGTCCGGCGCTTTAGCTTGCGGAGCGGGCTGCGACACAGCTAGCGGCAAGCTCGAGCGGGTCCGTCCTGGTACGCCGAACGAGGCGCTTATACTCGGTCGCTGTGACCCTGAGCTACGATGCGCTGTGGCTGGAATCTGAGAAGCATTTTCCTTCTCGTTCGCTGATGTCTGAGCAGCGACGCTGTTGCTGGACGACCTTCTCTGAGGACGACTCGACGGTCTGGGTGCGGTAGCCTTGCCGATGCTGGGGATCCGTGAGCCTGACGAAGTAACAGAAGCAGGCGGGTGCATGCCTGTCGGTGTCGCTGGATGCTTCTGCATCGCCGCCGTGTCCTCGAGCCGCCGAATCGCTGCACGCTTGGTACGAATCCTCGACACGTCAGGACCTTCCAGAACATCCTCGTCGTCCTCGTCCTCATCATCGTCGGAATCGTCGTCATCCTCGTTACCCTCCTCTTCTTCATTGTCGGAGTCGAGTCCGTCTTCCATGTTACCCGCAATCGCGCCGAACACTGATGGCCTCGGTCGGTGAATGGGCCGTTCGTCGAGTAGCGTCTTGATTGGCGCTGCTTTGGGCTTGAGCTTGGGCAATGTGCCGATCTTTTGCTTGTTGAGCGGCTGTGACTGAGTCGTCGGTCTGCCCGGTGCGCTGATCGTTCGGTTGCGCACACCGGCCAACTCGGTGCGTGCCGATGCGGGCGAGACAGTGTTTGTGATCGGAGCCTTGGTGCTCGCTGCGTGCACTTCGGCAACGCCGTCGGGTCGTGCCACCTTATGAGGTGCCTTGTTTGTGGTGGGAGATGGAAGTGCCTTCGATGTAGCAGGAGCGACACTCCAGTGTGCGCGAGTCGACGGAGGACCCGGTAGCCGCGATGTCTTGGCGTGAGAACGAGTCGATGCGGCGGTCCCGCTTTTGCTGACTGAGCTGCTGCCGGCTACTGCCGAGCTCTTGCGCATGACGGGACCAAAGTCGCTCATCAAGCTGCTGTCTCCTGCTAGATTGACTGTCGTAGCCTCGTCCATCGGTCGCTTTCCGAGCGAAGACGAAGCGCGGGTCGTTGCCGGGCTAATGTCGGCATCCTTTCGTCTTGGCAAGGTCGAAGTGAAAGAAGAATCGGTCGAAGCGGAGTTGAAGCGACCTCTGCCGCTCAGCGAAGGGATGCTGCTGGTGTTGATGCTGCGGGTGGGTCGGCCTGCACTGATCGTCTGCGAGTGTAACGGAAGCTGCGATACAGCAACGTCGGCACTCGAAGCGGGAGATCCACTGGACGCCGGGATGATTTTGGAGGCGAGTTTGGATGCTTTGTGCTGGACAAGCGCAGCACGAAACGAGAACTTTGGTGAAGAGAGCACGCCGATGGGTCCGATGCGTTGAGGTTGCTGCTGCGGCTTGCGCTTCGGCGACGCCGAGCGTGACTCGTCCGCAGCTGCCGACATCGTGAATGCTGACGAGGTCGTCGGCAGATTCCCCGTTGATGGATGTGATGATGGTGGGAAAGAGCGAAGCGCGTGATCCGATGTGACTTCATCTCAAACGTGGGAACGGTGCTAACTTAGCGCAGAGACCAACACATCAACACACGCTTGCGCAAAGGGTCCACAAAAATCGGCTCGGCCAAAATTTAGACGCGTCGTCGTGAAGTGCCTGCCATCTCTCACACATCTCAGCTTCCGACGCTCGGCTCCTGAATCACATCGAGTCTTCTCCTGAGGCAATGGCAGCATCCTGTCTGCCATTGAAGCTGCAATGCTCTCTAGTACTGTTGTGTTTTCCATGCATTCTAGCACCACCAGCCATACTCGTTGCACACCCACTCAATCTTTTCGCCCTTCTTCTTGTCACCGTACCAAGCCAGCGCAGGGAGACTTGCGCTGCTGCCCTTCCTCTCCACCACCACGCCTCCTTGCAGCTCTTTCTCGAAGCTGTCCACCCTCTCTCCCTCCTTGAGCTTGCTCTCGTCCTTATCGGTAAGTTTGGCCTCCAAGCTGGCAAGATCGACGTTCCAAGCGACGACCTTCTTCATCCCGAATTCGGCTGCTTGTTGTCTTACCGCGCCTACCAGCTGCGCAAACGCAGAGGGAGAAGTGTAGCGCAGTCTAAGGAACGCCACTTTGCGCTCGATGAAGTCAAACATCCAGACTGCATACGAAGCGTCAGCTTCTTTGCCGCTCGATGACGAAAGCTTGAGCCCGAAGAAGGTTGGCTTGGGTGCCGACTCGGGAAGCAGCGTCGTAGCGTAAAAGTAGGAGCGCTTGATGAGCCATCGCCACGATGTTGCTTCGGGATCGTCGACGCAGAATCGAATGGCGGTAGAGTCGGAGGAGGTGTTCTGCAGCTGCGAGAGCAGATACTGGCGATCGATACGACCGACCTCGCTGAGCTCTTCCGGCTGGAGCCACTTTGCTCCGTCCGGAAGGGGATCTGGCCTGTCTTGGCTCGAAAGGGGCTTCCACTCGACGTGGCGGTTGCCAAGCACGGTCCATCCGGCTTGCGAGTAGAAGTCGCCTACATCGCTGTACAGAAACGAGCACGTTGCGTTGCCACCGTACTTGCCGCCGTCCTTGAACTCGCCACCTTCCTCGTGCAATGGAACCACCAGCGCACCGCTCGCTTCGATGCTCGCTTGCTCCTGCTGGTCCAACAGCGCAGGCACGTCGTCTTGCGGACTGAGGCTGTGCTGCAGCAGCCTCATCATCTGCCCCGCATATCCGTTGCGTCGCTTGTTTTCCGGGACAAAGACCGAACAGACGCTGTACGAAAGGGCTCGCTCCACCTCGTCCTTCCCTGGCCGCTTGACCAGGATCGGTCGGCGATACGTCTCGCATGCAGAGAGAAAGTCGGTCGTTGTCGTATCGTCCGCAGGCACCAGCGCCCACCGCTGTCGACGAGTGACGGAAAAGTCCGTAGGCCCAAGCACGCGCTTCTCACGAGTAATGAATTGGTCTTGCGTCAACAATGGCTTGCCCCATTCCTCCCACTCGCGCTCGGTCGCGATCTGGTCTTGTGCTTCCGTGGCGGGAACCAGGACGTGGCCGGCGATGGTCTTGTTGGTCATCGTGGCGGTTATGCTACCTGTAAGCGTCGTTTTGCGGTGTGTTCGATGCTGTGGTGATGGTCAGGCGGGATGAGCCATAGGAAGGCTTGTGCTGCTCTTGACCGGCTATCCATACCCCGCTCGGAACAACTTCTTCGAGATCGTCCTCGGCCTCGTGCCTTTTTTGGCCGAGGCTGGCGAAGCAGCGACCTAACAAATTGGGGAAAGTGCGGGCTGACGTGTTGGCTACGCTTGGTCCCTCCACCGGCTCAGTTGAACCAACACTTTCCCGCACAAACTGAGCTTCTCCTTATCGTCCTACCTGTCCTTCACACGACCACCACGCCCAGCGCAACACTCGAAGGCAAAGTGCATCCCGCCAGTCGGCCGCAGCATCATCCGACGATGGCATCGAACGAGCAAACGTCTACGCCCTCCGGCTCGTCTTCAGCACCTTCCGCAAACGCTGTTCGAGTCTTCCTCCCACCCACCGCATCCTCCTCATCCTCATCAACGATTCAACCCCCGCTTCCGGCAGAAGACGACCTCAAGCCCACCCCTGAAGAGCTCAAGGCGGCGTTCCGCTCGACCATCGCCCAGCGTCACGGTCCGGATGCGCCACTGCTCACCCGAGCTCTGCGCGAGCGCGAAGAAGCCCGCCTCGGCCTTCACTCCTCTCGCAATCGCACCTTTACCACCGTCCGCATCCGCGTTCGCTTCTCCGACCGAACCATGATCGAATCGACCTTCAACGAGGCGGATACCATCGAGGCGGTGTACGCCTTCCTCCATGCGTCTCTCGACGAGGGTGTCCGGGGGAGAGGGGTGGTACTCTACACGGCCCCGCCGCGGGTCGAATATCGGAGAGAGGATAAGAAGGTCAAGGGCAAGACGTTGAGAGAGTTGGGGCTGATTCCAAGCGCAGTGGTCAATGTCAAGTGGGAAGAGGTGAGGATGAACTCGAATGGCTTCCCGGCACCGTTGAAGCAGGAGCTGAGGGGTAAGGCGGAACCTGTGCCACCACCGCCCAGCTTCGATCAGCCACCACCGACGGCAAACGCAGCAGCACAGAGTTCAAGTTCGACTACGGCAAAGGACGCAAAACCCATGCCCAAGTGGCTTAAGAACATTGTTAGTAAGTTGGCGAATCCCCACTCAAGAATGAAGGACGAAATTGTGGACTGACCGTTTGCTTGGGTGGGACAGAGAAGTAACCTCGACGACAGAAACGAGCCGAACAAGCGACAGCGTCTCACGCCGCCCTCAGAGCGCGCGGCGCACGGAATGGAACAAGTCGCCGTCCAGACGGACGGGCAGACGGACATGCAACTCGATTGACCCTTCACACAGATACCACCCGCAGACTGTCTCGCAACAGACTGTACAGCAATACAATTGACATTGCTCTTCCTTCCATGACGATTCCGTGAAGCGATACAAATACAGATCCGTCAATGATGACCGTTCCTTCTTCCTAACATCCGATGCACGTCGACGGGCACGGCGTAGCTCTCCCCCACCAACTCCTTGACCGCCACGCACAGCTTGTCGATCCGCACGACCAACCCGAACAGCGTCGCCACTCCGACGCTGAAAGTCATGTACTCTGCGTCTTGGAGCGTGCTCATCGTGATCTTTGCCGGGAGGCTCGCGAGAACGTCGTCCATGGGACCGGCGAGGTCTTGTGGCAGGTACGTGTTGAAGCCGTGCGGGGTGTCCATGAATCGATCTACCAGGGGGCAGGGTGTGACTTGTGGTAACGGTTCGCCCGTCTTCAGGGCGGTCGAGCACATGCTGATAACGCTGACCACGTCGCCGAGGAAACGCGGGTCGAGGAAGCGCGTTCGGCGCAGCAGCGCGATCGAATATGCCGCGCCTAGGCGCTCGAAGATGGCCAGACAGTGCGAGAGGAGCTTCGAGATCTGCATCTGGACGTCGAAGAGCTCGCGGTAGCGGGCGGCAGGCCATCGACCGCGCAGGGAAAACTCGTACGAGACGTTGACGGAGATCATTGACAGCCGGCGGAGTTTGGCGCGGATGGCGATGATGCGTTTGCGCACCAGGTCGGACGAGGGATGGGCGTTGAGCAGCTGATGTTCTTCCGCTTGAGGCACGAGCTCGATCTGGCTTCGCGCCTCCTCGTTGTTGTGGTGCAGAGACGCTCGACGAGACTCGGGCCTCGACTGCATCTGTGTCGACTTTGTGGTTGGCCCCGTTGATCCACCTTGCTGATGCGGGTGGCTAGCAATGCCAACCACCGCGCAGTAGATCCTGCCCAGCTCCGCTATGGTGGCCGCATGCGACAGCCGCTGGTACTGCCTCAGTGTCGAAGTGGGCGGCAGGTAGCTGAAGACGTAGGCTGCCGACACACCAATGATGACCGCCACCAGCCTTCGCCACGCCGTGTCCCATCCGTATCCTGGTGCTCCTGGCAGCGGGTTGGTCACGTCCTTCCAGCTGTATCCAACGATCAACGCGGTCGTCACCGAGGCGATGATAGGCGTGATAGGCGGACCAGGGAAGTAGATCCTGAACAGCATCAGGAATGGGAAGGTTACCGCGGTTGTCGCGCCGAGACCAAAGGCGTTTCCGCGTCCATCGCCCGTCGAGATGTACCAAATCACAAGTGCGAAGACGCCGCCGATGACGGTGGCGAGGATACGAGAAAGGAGGGCAAACGCGGTTTCCCCACGGAAGCGTGCAAGAGTGAGCTGCGCCATGAAGATCGCCCAGATCGCTCGGTTCTCGTAGCACCAGCCTGCGGAGGACTTCATGAAGGCGGGCAAGGACACGAGCGCGATGAGCACGGCGGCCTTGACGCCAAATAGCGTGTTGCCGTGGAAAGGTCGACGTGACCAAAAGTAGATCGTGTGGCCCACCACCTGCAGGAAGCCCTCTGGGTCGAGCGCGTCTGGGTCGCGAGCGCGCGTGGTGCCGAGGTCAACGATCGGGTCAAAAGGCTTTTCAGCAATGTCGTCGGCCTGTCCAAAATGAGCGTGTGCATGGCCGTGGGCGGTGGCACCTTTGTTGGTCTTCTCGCCGCTGCCATCACGCAGTCCATCCTTGCCCTCGCGACTTCCGTGAGTCGAGTCATCACCAACGACCGTCTGGCTGCTTCTGCTCCTCTGTCTCGAGGCTGCTGGAGTATCACTAGAGATGTCCGGAATGTGATCGGGCTCGCCATCTGGTTCGTCCGTCTCGTGCGCCGCGCCAGAAGAGTTGCGCCACACGTCGGCAGAAAAGATGCGTGGCCAGTGTGGATACCAGACGTGCGCTGCCGTTCTCTGCCTCTGAATCGTCTCAACTTCCCGAAGCAGCTCGAGCATGCGTTCGGTGAAGCTGATTGTGTGGAACTGATGAAGCCAGGCTTGATAGAGATATCTGTGGTGGATCTTGCCAAACTCACCTGGACCCGTGCGAAGATCCAGCTCGGTAGCGAGGTCGTGACTGCTGAGCGCGGCCTCTTCGTGCGCTTTCAGAGCGTCCTTGAACGGATCCAACACTTTGAGTCGCTGAGATTGCCTGAAGTCGGCAAGCTTCGCCTCGACGCCGGCGATCACCTTGCTAGTCTCCTCTGCCTGCTTGAGGCCCTTTTCTGTCCGTTGTTCCTTTGATAGGAAGATACGATCGTGCAAGAAGGTGTAACGATGCGAGTTGAGGTGGTTGAGCCAGGCGACAATGTGCCTGATCGCTTCTGCATTGGTGGTCAGCAAGTCGGACGACGTCTCGCGAATGAGCTGAGCAAACATCTCGGTGATGTAGTTGGATGCCGACGTGTGCAGGAAGGTCTCGAGATTACCAAAGCGGATCGACTCCCAGATAGCAACGGGAGCCGGGTCGCGTTTGTGGACAAAGTTGTGCAAGAGCTGATTCGATCGATCCAGTGCCTGATGGTAGCGGCTATCGCTGGGAGAGTGATGATCGCGGACATCATTCGAGCTGTGGTGGCTGTGATAGATCATGCGACGTGGTGAGGAGCTGCGTGAAGCAGATGCGATGGAACGCGCCATCTTCCTGAAACGGGAAGAGGTGAGCTCGTTGCCCGGCTGGACAGATGGATGTTCGTCGAGCTGACGAAAGCCCGCGGCACTGCGAGAGGGTTCATGTGGGAACACTTGCGAGTGCAAGGGAGACTCGCGGTACGGAGTCGAAGAGCCAGATGGAGGATGGTGGAAGTGCGGTGCATCATGGTGTACCACATGAGCGGGTGCTGAGACGCTCCCTCCTGCAGCCGGCGAGTGAGCTGTAGGTACTGGTGTAAGTGGCGTCAATGCAGGCGAGTGGGTGCGCGATGCAGTGTGCAGATGTGAGACATGATGCGTGTGGTGGTATCCACTTTCTCTGTGCTGAGAAAAGGCCTGCGTAGGCTGGAGCGTAGCAGCATGATTGGCATGACCCGACTCGGAAGCATCTCGGGATTGCTCGAGCGATGTTCTAGGGGTGAGTGCTGGTGACATGGCTGGCGTTGCGAGGCGAGAGGGCACCGGCGTCCTCGGGAAGTGAGCAGATTGAATATCAGCCTTGATCGAAGTGTAGTAGTAAGACCAGCCGTCTGCCGGAGCGATCAGGGAGCGTGACATGCGCTCGAGTGCCCTGAGATCATCGCCGTTAGCAATTCCGAAGGATATTTCGCGGGTCAGGAGCCGTGAAGCCATGGTCATGGGCATCATGCCACCCTCGGCGGCGGCCAGCTTCTTCTTGACGAATTCGAAGTCAAAGCCATCCTTGTTCTCTTTGCCAGCAACCGGAGCTGGTTGTTCGAGCTTCTCGCTGTCGGGATCTGTGTACGGCGTGTCGAGTGGCGATGTCTGCAACAGCTTGACCTGATCGCCGCAGGCGTCGGCGATGGGGTTGAGAACTGCGACGAGACGCTCGACAAACTGCGAGTTGACCGACTTTGGGAAGAAGATGGCGCTGAGAAGGATGTTGATGGCAGCTTTGACAGCTAAAGGCACCACGACGGACTGACCAAGCGAGTAGAAGGCGAAAGGATAGAGTGGTCCATACGTCAAGCAGATGTTGAGAAGAATGCAGCTGAGCACACTAGCAAAGAGGAAGGGACTCGGACCGAAGCGGATCTTGATGTAGAGGACCACAGCCGAGCCGACCGAGAGAAAGACGGCACATACGATGCTTGGGCGCACTTCGATGTAGTCGCCTTGAATCGCCCTGAGAATATCAGTCTGCGCTTGTGCAAGCTTGTTGCGGCGCACAGCATGGGAGATGGCGATACCGATGTTGGACCAGGCCCAGGCAGCGCAGACAAAGAGGAGCGTGAAGAACTCGCGCTCTACGACGGCAGCGAATGGCACCTCGGCAGGCTGGATGAAGGCGGCGACGAGAATAAGGAAGGACGCGTTGCCCAGAGCACTCTCTGCTGGTCTGATGAGAAAGATGACCATGCAGATCCAGGCTAGCAGGGCCGAACGGATGACGGGCTTGAGTTTGGGCCAGGTGAAGCACGGCGGAGCCCAGCTGATATACCACGGAAGAGGATCCAAGCCGATGAGCTTGGCGAAGCGCTTCCAGTGTCGTTTGGCGCTACTGAACCGAGGCTTGTGCTTGCCATTATTGGTGTCATCGCGTGTTGATGAGCCGGGCGATTGTTGCTGCTTTTCTGCTCGATCGACATCGTCAGAGGTCGACACGCTCTGTGCTGGAGCTCGCGGGAGGCTGGATTGCGGTTTTGCTCGTTGTCGTGTGCCCTGAGTTTGTGTGGGCGGGTAGGTGGTGGTGGAGTTGGGGACTGAAGGAGACGATTCTTGGCTGGTGTCGAGGACCGGAGAAGATAGTGGCTGCGGCGGCGGATGCGATGTGCTGCCCACCGATGGAGTTGGAGGCGTGGCTTCTTGTGGCTGTGGCACTGGCAGACTATCCGATCTTGTGACTGAGATAGCTGGTATGACTGACGGATCTTCCGACTGTACCGTGACTCCCGCCGCCTCGACATCCTTGCCGGAATGCGATGGTATGGAAGGATCCATGGCTGAGTCAGTACTGCGGCGCGTTCCGCTTGAATGCCTGCTACCTTATCATCTTCGGAAGCGATCCGGCGTGGCCACAATCTTGGACGTGATGCTGTGAAGATGGGAAGGGGTGCTGTCGAGAGAGCAACAGACGGCTAGCAAGCTACACAGAGTCGGGCCGACCGCATGGCCGAAATGAGCCTTGCATTCGGCAGCAAACCTAAATTTCGAGGCTGCAGCGCGCGGCACGATGACTCTCAAAACATCATCACTGCAGGCAAATTTTTCTGATTCTGTTAGACCCCACTTCTCGCGTGGTAAATGAAATCCAAATGCACCCGGCTGCAGCGTCTGATCCGCGGATGTGCCTGCAGCTCGAAGTGGGATGGGATCATCCGACTCTGCCGCCCTTAGCTAAGGCCGTGCGCTGTCGAGATCTTCCAGCTTCGCGTTCCGAAGCGGATGGACCCTGAGAAAGCGACGTTGCGCTTGTCGATCTTGCGGAATGTGAATGCTTCCGAGCTTGCGACGCACATCCCTTTCGTCTTCGTCATAGTCATCGAGCTCTCTCTCTCTCTCACGCCATCATCGCTGATCCCGACTCCCACGCATTCAATCGCCCAAGATGAATCAGGTCTACGAGTTGCTCGACCGCGGCTATCTCCCCGACGTGGTGCTGCGTCGGGCGATCCGTCTGCTTAACGCCCAGCGCATTCGCAGCCTCGCCAAACCCGAAGACGACTTTGGCAAGCATGTCGCCATTAAGAAGGAGTACATCCGCTCTCTCAAGACGCGCGAGATTGCTATCGAGCAGGACAAGGCCAACGAGCAGCATTACGAGGTTGACACGGGCTTCATGCTCAGCTGTCTCGGCAAGCGTGTCAAGTACTCGTGCTGCCTCTACGAGACGGGCAAGGAGACGCTCGACCAGGCTGAGGAGGCCATGCTCAACTCGTACTGCGAAAAGGCCGGCCTCAAAGATGGACAGGACGTGCTCGATCTGGGATGCGGATGGGGGAGTTTGTCCTTGTATCTGGCCGAGAGGTATCCCAACTCGCGCATTCGAGCGCTGTCCAACTCACGCACGCAGAAGGTCCACATTGATTCGATCGCAGCTAGCCGCGGCTTCAAAAACATCGAAGTGCACACCGGCGACGTCAAGACTTACTCCTTCCCCGAAGGCTGCTTCGACCGCATCCTCAGCATCGAGATGTTCGAACACATGAAGAACTACGCCGAGCTCTTCCGCAAGGTCTCCTCCTGGCTCAAGGATGGTGGTGACTCGCGCCTGTTCATCCACATCTTCTGCCACCGCACAACGCCGTACCACTTTGAGGAGGATGACGGATGGATGGCGCAAAACTTCTTCAGCGGTGGCACCATGCCCTCCTTCGACCTCTTCCAGCACTTCCAGCAGCATGTCACCCTGGAGGATACGTGGTGGGTCAACGGAAACCACTACGCAAGGACGTGCGAGGACTGGCTCAAAACCCAAGACGCCAACCAGAGGAAACACGACTCGATCAAGGCGCTCAGGAAGGACGCCGCCAAGAAGGGGAGCACCGAGATCGAAGGCGAAAAGACATTCTACAGATTCAGAATCTTCTACCTGGCCTGCGCCGAGTTCTTTGCTACCAACGGCGGCAACGAGTGGGGCGTCGGTCACTACCTCTTCTCCAAGAAGTAAACATGTGATGCACGGAAGTTCCGCTTGTGGCAATGTTGTCACGCCACTTTCACGCTAATCACAATCATTGATAGAGATGGCCGCAATCGGAGTGTGATATCTGCATTGAACGCTCACTTTGATTGCGCAGCTGCTTCGCTCTGCTGCTGATCATCCGCCTTGCCGATCTGCTGCTGCGACTCAGGCTGCGGCTGTGTGCCGTACAGCGCCCAATTGGCAAACTCGGACTCGCCAAAGCGCAACAGTGTCGTGATGCTCCCATCCACCACAGCCACCACCACCGTCCTCCTCCCCGCCTTCAGCGGTGGGAAGGGATTGCCTGTTCCACCTCTTCCGCTGCCCGCACCCGGGTTGCGACCTTTGAGCTTCCCTCCTGCCCCACCTCTGTTACCGTGACGACCCTTGTCAGTCCAACAACCAGGGCAGTGGCTAAACAGCCTCCCTACCGTCCTGAGCACCGCAAAGTCGAGCAGCAGCACCTTGATGACCGCCCTGCCAGCCGTGGTGTTGCTGATCCTGCTCATCACTCCTCCAGCTGTCTGCTTGGTCTGCTGTCGCGCACTCCACGCCGCCTGACGAGCGGCCGCCTTTTCGCGCAGGAACTTCTGCTTGCCATCGCTGAACTTGCCGTACGCAGCGCGATTCTTGGCCTCGTTGGACGCTTTGAGCTTCTTTTCGTACTCGAGTCGGTCGCGAATCGCCTGCTCGCTCATTCCGCCAGCTTCGCTGATTGTGCCATCGCTTGTGGATGCCACTGAGGCCGCGCCGAAGAGCTCCTGATCCGACCCAGGGATGGGGATCTGCGCAAAGATCGACTCAAACTGCCACACGGAGGGCACAGGTGTCGTGCGCGCGTTGAGAATCACAATGCGGAACTCGGGTGGGGGAGGATGCGACTTGCGATAGAGGGTGGCTGGTCGCCAGGCGTAGTAGAAGGGCTTGAGATGGTCGTTTGACGGTCTTGATTCGCCTCCGATGGTTTGCTGCACAGTGGCGCTCGGCGCTGCTGGCAATGCTGTCGGTGTCCTTGCAGGCGGTTTCGAGTCGGAAGGGAGCCAAAAGTCGTGGCCCGAAGGTACGATCTGTAGAGACGAAAAGACCGCATCGTAGCTGTCCCATTTGACGGCACCCTTCTCGCCCAAGAACCGCCTTCCATCTTGCTGTCCGTTGCCGAGACCAAGACCTAGACCGAGACTGCCGACGCTTCCTCTGCTTCCCACTCTTCCGCCAAAGACCTTGCGTGAGGCTGCTGCGATGGACGCGATCACCTTCGCGGTCGTGTTCTGCCATAGTCGATGCAACCATCTTGCCAGCGCGTTGATGCCATCGCCCGCCAGCTGGACGATCCGCCGCGGTATGTAGAGGAAGATGTCCCAGATGGTGACGAGCTTGATGGGGCGGTCCGGATCCGCGATGATCCCCTCGTCCTCGGCTTTCTTGCCTGAGATTAGGGCGAAAGGCTCCGCCTGGCTGCCGTTCTTCTTTGCCAGCGCAGAAGCGGAGATAGGAGCGGCACGAACAGCATCCACAATGCTAGCTCGCTGCACCACATATCCGAGCCGCTTGAGGTAGGCATAGATCAGGTAAGCTTCCCTCGTAATCGGTTCGTCTTCGCCTTTTGTGCCATCCGAGGGTGGCTGCATTAACGCAGCGAATGCTTGCTGGAGCGACAACTCCACCGTCTCCCTCAATCTGTCGGTTGTCTGTTCGAGGATCTGCAAACTGCCCCTTTCGGCCAAGAAGAGCGCTTCTTCCGGCAGCAATTCGTTCCACGTTCTCGTCCTTCCTGTCGCCTTGCCGAAAAGCGCCTCTTCCAGCACTCGCTCGTTCCATTCTGGTGTATTCATCTCTACTGGCTCCTGTTCCGCGACTTGCTCTCGTCGGATCACACCGACGGTCTCGAAGATTTTGCCCTGCACGTCGACCAACCGCGCTCTGCAGGTCTTTGGATCCCACACTGCCCTGACGAGCGATCGAGAACCGACTCTGCGCTCTCCAGAGACAGCTTGAAACATAGCTTCTCTACTCCGCTCGAGGAGCTTTGCTTGCCCACCGAATCCGGTTGGTTCGAAATCCTTCTCGCCGCGTTTGGGGATCACGATGCCGCCGCTGCTGGATGCGTTGGAGGATTTGGATTTCGAGTTGAGCGTCGACATGAGGCGCAGGTAATCGGGCGCTTCGTCTTCTCCGTCCGAATCGTCGCCATGTGGAGCGGAGGAGGTGCCAGGAGCGGCACGACTCGGTGTGGCGGTGGGGTCGTCCATGTCGTCGTCCACTTGTGCAGACGGTGTGGATGGTGTGAATGGTGTGGCCATCGCTCTGCTGCTGCTGGGGCCGGCCGCGCTTGCAGAGGTAGATGGTCCCGCAGCGCGACGCGGTGTGCTTGGCTGCGCCATCTTTGGTGTGCTGTGCCTCGTTCGAGGTCTCAAGACGCTCGTCAGGGATGGTGGTGATGAAGACGATCAGCGCATCGAAGTCCAGATCCAGGTTTCGGCTCTCAGCTCTACCAGGTGGAGCAATTTTTCTTATCCGCCAAAAAAAGTCGCTCAAGAAGAAAAAGTTGGACCCTGAACGGGCGGAACGGCGGTCCTCATCAACGCTACAAGGCACGGACAAATACGACATGGAGCAGGTATCCTTGCGATGGATTGCATTCAGCTCGTCGTGGATGACGGAGACCACACGGTATTCCCTTTCTGATCCTCTACCTTGTCGAAGTACTTGGAGCCGAGCAACCTGCTCTCCTTGTCTCCCGGCGTGAGGACTACGCCGTTCGAAGAGAGCACGAACTCGATGCCGTCCTGGATCGCCCGTTCGATGTCGATGTAGATGAGCCTGTTGGCCGACTTGCGCATGCCCGAGATGACGCCCTTGTCGCCAAACTTGCCCTTGGACAGATGGATGTGGTTGCGCGACATGGGTTTGAGTCCGCCCGATTCGAGGATGGACTCCCACGCTGCTGTGTATGTGCCGTGGATCACTTGCACTGGGCCGGTCTTGCTCGCGTCATGCTCTCCGTCGATTTGCAGACCTCCGAGCTTGGCATCGACCTCGTCCACCAGTCCGTCGTCCTCATCTTCTTCGTCCTGCTGTCGTACACTCAGCAGATACAGGTTGTCCAACGTCAGCGGCACATGCTGTAGCTCGACCACGCTCTTCAACGAGTGTCCCTGCACGGCTCGCACCCACCACTCTCCCTGTTCCTCCTCGGTGAGCTCGAATCTCTTCTTGTCGTTACTCTCCACGATCTTCCTCACATCCTCAAGCCCTGGTCTCCTCTTACCGCCCTCCCCTTCGGCCATGTCGACGCTCTTGACCCTTGGCCGGTCGAGCACGTCCTCCAGTCGGATGTATCCATCGTTTCGAATCGCGAGACCCTCCTTCTCTGCCCCGTGGCGCAGGATATAGGCGAGCCCACGCGAGAGCTGCTCCTCGCTGGATTGAGGCTTGCGCTGCGCCTTGTCCGGCTTCGGCTTGGAAGAGGACGCTTGCGAGGCTCGAGCGGCCGCGGCGGCAGCTTTCTTGTCGGCAGACTGCTGCGCTTTGAGCTGCTTTGCCGCTTCCTTGCGTGCTTTGCGCTCGGGGTTGACGGGCGGATCTGCGGATGAAGTGGACGCTTGTGGTTGTTGTGCCACTACTGTGGGTGGCTCTGACGACATTGTTGCTCGTGCTGCTAGGGTGGTGATCGTGGGCCTGCAGGTCAAGCCGCTCTTCTTGAGAAGAAGTGAGTGTCGGAAGTAAAATTTCAGTCCAGGAGTGTGAGGCCGACATTTGTCTCAAAAGTTGAAATTCCTCCGTGACTCGTGCGGTTGGAAGAATCCAAGTCGCGTCTGTGCGCAGTCTCGCTCGGCTCTTCCGGAAGCGTCCCCGAACCGGGGCAATTCGTCCAGCTTTGGCTGGCATCGTACGACATCACTGAGCACACCAATCACAGTGCAGAATCACCTGGATGAGGCTCAGACTGTTCCTACCGATTAAACGGATGCCATGTGACGCTTGAAGAGGACGGAATGGAACCTCTGAAGGGGACCATGAACTCACAGTGAGAAGCGCGGGCGAAAAGGGGAAACCGGCATTGTGGAGCGGAGAGAGCTGTCCATAAGCGAGGGCGGAGGATCGGCATTAATGGTGCGACAAGAAGAACAAGAAGAGAAGGGTTCAGCCATGTTGACACCGCCTTGTATCCCCGTCTCTGGTGTGCAAGGGGCCCCTTTCAACGCATGCTGACTCTGAAATGCACGGTTCTCGGATGTTCCATTCCTGTTCTTCTTGACCGTTCCTTCTCAATCTGTTCTTCTCCTCCTTTCACTCTTCAACGTCACCGGCCAGCAACGCCATCCCTCCATCTCGCGCAAAATGATGACCTCGAACCCCACCTCTGCGGTCCCCTCCGCCTCGTCCTACCAGGGTCACCTCACGGGCGGGGACGGCATGCTCGCCTCTCGCCTCCACAAGCCCACCCATCCCTCTCTCGTCCAGGTCGTCTTCAACAACGGCTCGTACAACTCGCACCTCATCTCGCTCCAGAACTTCTCCCGCGGTGACCTCATCACGCCCTTTTCGCCGCACGCCGATTTTGCGTCCGCCAAGAGCTATTCCACCGTCCAAACGGGTCCCGAGACGCACATTGAGCTCAACTCTGATCTGCTCTACTGCAACCACTCGTGCGATCCCAACGTGGCCTTTGTCATTGGGGATGCGCGCGACAAGGCTTCTTGGAAGGCTCGCGCGGAGAAGGACATCAAGAAGGGCGACATCTTGACTTTCTGTAGGTGCCCCCCAGCACCACCACCAGCATCCACTCTTCCCTTCCCAGAATTGACCCCCTTTTGTTTTTGTGTGACACAGTCTACCCAAGCACCGAGTGGCACATGTCGCAACCGTTCGACTGCTCCTGCGGCTCATCGTCGCATTGTCTGGGCAAGATCGATGGCGCCCACTCGATCCCGGAGGAGACGCTCAAGAAGTACTTTGTCAACCAGCACATACTCGAGCTCAAGTCGAAGCAGTCGAGCGCATAGTCGCGCCACTCTAGACAGCATCTGCAGAAAAGCAATACAAGTTGACATACACAGTCACGTTGCGCATTAGTGCGCTGTGATCGGATGGACCGTCGATGAGGCGGTGTGATCGACTAGAACAGCAACGTCGGAAACGATGCGTGTGCTGACACAGACAACCCTCTCCTTCGGCTGCCATCCGGATCGTGAGAAGAAAAATGTGTATCGATTCCAAAAGACAACGAACATGAACGGGGATCTTGCCTAGACAGCCACCATATACTGCTCGGTGAGCACAAAGGGAAACTGTTCCTCCTCCAACAGCTGCGCGTACTCTCCCGGTGCATTGTCCGCACTTGCCTCCTGTTGGCCCTTCTTCTTCTTTCCCTTCTTCCCGCTTTGATCGTAGCTCTCGAGGTATTCAAAGTGATTCTGAAGCGTCGTCATCAACGCCTTTGTGCGTTTGGGGTTGGGTCGAATTGTAACCGCGAAGTAGTCCGCGGGTAGACCGTAGCGCAACACGCTCTCCACGTAGGTCCTGACGACCTTCAAGTGGGCCAGAGCCTGGTAGGCTTCGCTAAAGTTGGTCCTGGCCAATCGCAGAAGTTCGGTCCAGAGCTCCTTCTCGCTGTCGCCCGCCTCATCCAGCTCCTGCCTCTGTCGGGCTACCAGGTCGTCGTCCCAGGCGAAATCCGTTCGGACCAAAAACTTGTTCTCCCTACACTTCTGGACGAACTCGTCCTTGACCTTCTTAAACACTGTGACGGTGAACAGGGCGTATTCGTCGTCGGTGTCGATCTTGTGTGAACTGCGGGGGACGACCATCTGGGTCAGACGTTCGTATTTCGCCGACCAGTCCTTGGTGTTGTTCTTGTTGACCGCAACCAAAAGGGTTTCGAGGTATTCGGATTTGGGATCGACAAAGTCCTCCTTGTGGACGACGTCGGCGAGGCTGCGAGTGGACAGGTTGCCCTGCTTCTTGCGTTGGAGTTGTTGCAGTTGACTCTTGGCCGCGTTGTAGTTGCCGAGTTTTTGCTTCATGACGTTGTCGATGCTGGTGAGTTCCTTGCCGAGCATCTCGACGGTTTCGCGAAGTGAGCGGTCCGCTCGGTACTTGCCCGTGTTCCACGCCCATCCGAGCATGTAGTCGTCCAGACTCTGCTCGTTGACCAGCACGTGCTGCGCTAGTGCGGACTCGTCGTTGTTGAGCAAGGCGCGGAGGGTGTCGATGATCTTGGCTACGATCTGGGTGTATTGCCCATCCAGACGCGGAAGGTCTTCCGAGAGAGAGATGAGCGATTCCAGCGTGCCCGTTTTGAGCGGTGGGAAGTTGAGCTGGCCAAAGTCGTTGGATGCGGAACCGCCGTCGGAGAGGAGCTTCTTGCCGAGCTCGGAGAACATGCGGTGCGGATCCGAGTCCTCCAATGGCACCGAGATGATCCAGTAGGCCAGATCGGACGGCATGGTGGAGGCGGAGTGAAGTGACGATCAGAGAGTGTCTGTTGCGGTAAAGAGTGGTTGATGTGGCGATGGTTGGTGCTGGCGATGCGAAGATATTGCTGCTCTGGTTCCGTTGGTGTGATGTTTGTGTACGGGTAGCAGGGAGGTGATTGCGACCAGGCTGGATGGCAGTGATTGATATCGAACGAGAGGGTGGGATTGGCAAGCGGTGACGAAATCTACACACGCTGCCGCTGCCGCTGCTGCTGCGATACGACAAATTTCTGGGAACAGCTGGCCTGGCTCGACCGCGCACGCTGACGCTCCACAGGGGCTATCGCCTGCTGCATTGAAAAAAGTCGCTTTTCGAGTCCTCTTTTTTTGGCGTCGATTTCTGTGGGTGCATTTTCTCATTTCTTCTCAAATGGCTGTCACTTCGGCTCAATTGTTTCGACTGAGCTTTGCAGCAATCCCTTCTCACACCATCATCCCGGAACGATCCCAATCCGACGGTTCCTCATCGCAACGCTGAGCTGAACCCGCCACCAGCTCAGCGCGGTGTCCCCACGTCGCCAGCATGAACGTCGTCCGCGAAATCACCCGCATCAACCAAACCGAACTCGACATTGCCATCAACAACCCTTCCGCATCTTGGCACGAACAATACAAGGACTCGGCGTACATCTTCATCGGTGGTCTGCCGTACGACTTGACGGAGGGCGATGTCATTGCCATCTTTTCGCAGTACGGCGAGGTGGTGGATGTCAATTTGCCGCGGGCCAATCCGAACGCGGGAGAAAAGAACGACGACCGGCGAGACGGTGCTTCGACGTCCCAGCCGAAGCCCGTGGGGAAGGGCAAACATCGTGGATTCGGGTTTCTGATGTACGAGGATCAGAGATCGACCGTGCTCGCGGTGGATAACTTGAATGGAGCACAGGTGCTAGGACGGACGCTCAGGGTGGACCACGTGGCCAGCTACAAGCAGCCCAAGGTGACGGATGACGAAGGCAACAGAGTGGATGCGGAGAGCAAGAGTTTGAATGCTGCTCCGCCCCAGCTTGGTGTTGGCGCGGCAGGTGGGGCGGAGGAGCAAGACGAGCAGGACGACTTGGAGGATCCAATGGCGGCGTACTTCCAGCGAATGCGACGGGAAGGGAAGGGAGCCGACGCTGATTCGCAGGACAGAGAGGAGAAGCGACGCAGGAAGGAGGAGAGGGCGAGGATCCGAGCAGAACGGGAAGAGAGGCGGGCGCATACTAGCGGTTCAGGCTCGACTTCAAGACGGCCTGTTCCTTCTCCGGGTCGTGATCGACACCGAAGCCATCACCGTGGAAACGAGAGGGAAGACAATCGAGACCACAAATGGCATCGGTTGCATCGCGATCGTGGGGACGACAGCGAAGAGGAGGGCGTCAACCGCTACGAGCAGATGAAGAAGCGCAGCATCCTCGACACGAATGGATCGGACCGAATTACTGCAGAGCGTCAAACTTCCTCGCGGCGGCAGTCACGCTCAAGGACACGCTCTCGCACACCGCCAACGTCATCCTCTTCTCGTCGGAGAGACACCGAAAGAAGAGACGAGAGGAAACACGGCGAAGACCGACATCAAGATCGAGCGGCCTCTTCGTCGCACCATCACAGCAGTCGCAGGCGGTCTCGTTCGCCGCGTCGCTGAAGCAGCCATGCAATACACCTTTCAGCTCCTCGAAGCTCTTCTGGCTCTCTCTTTTGTGTGTGTGTTCTTTGAAAAGCGTATAAGAAAGACAGGATAAGTCGGTGCCTACTGGATCGGGTGAAGAGAGTGAGCGGATCGGGTGTATGCCTCCACAAAAATTTGGAGAGCCTTTCGCCGTCGTCCGTGCGCGGTGCAACACCGAATCTTCTCAACTGTATCCCTTGTCCTCCTACCTCTCAGACCTTGTGAACACTTGCACATTCCACGAAACTACTGCAGCAACAATGTCGGACAAGCCCGTAGTCCTGCTCACCGGAGCATCGCGCGGTCTGGGACTGGCGATTCTCAAACTCCTGCTGAGTGGCTCGACCTCTGCCAGTGCCGCTTTCCCCGCCTCGCGCGTCGTGACCATCTCGCGCAGTCTGCCGGAGGAGCTCTCTTCTCTCCAAGCTCAACACTCATCGGACCTGGTTTGCGTTCAGGGCGACGTGACATCGAGCGATGTCAACGCAGATGCGGTCTCGAAGGCCGTGTCGAAGTTCGGACGGTTGGACAGCGTAGTGCTCAATGCCGGGGTGGTGTCAACCCAACGACTGGCAGATCTCTCCCCCAAGGACTTTGCCGACATGCTCAACGTCAACACTGTCTCCCTCATCACCACGCTCACTGCGTCCCTCCCGGAGTTGAGGAAGAGCAAGCTGGGCACCGTTGTGTTCGTCTCCTCGGGCGCTGCAACGGGCAACATTGCCGGTTGGACCGCGTACAACGCCTCCAAAGCGGCGATGAACGCTATCGCTCGAACGCTCGCTAATGAAGAAGAGGGCATAGCGGCCTTTGCGGTTCGACCCGGCGTGGTGGATACGGATATGCAAACTCTGCTGCGCGGGGCAGGGAAAGATGCAATGAAGCCACAGGAGGTAGAGAGGTTCGTGACGCTGCACAAGGAGGGAAAGTTGCTCAGGCCCGAACAGCCCGCGTTCAGTATCGCTGCGTTGGCAACCAAGGGGACGAGGGACGAACCCAAGGGGAAGGATGGCAAAGGGTTGGGTGGCCAGGGTGCCTTTGTTACCTGGAACGAGGACGTGCTGGAGGGGTACAAGAACGAGTAGCGGGTGTATGGCCTTGAAATGCAATACGTCGACATTACGCTGGTAGACCCATGAGACGCTCGACGTGTGTATGTGACGATCCACCATGGCATGATTCATCCGTCCACTCACCACGCCAAAAAGCGCTCGCATCGCCTGCCGAGGGTCACGCCATCAAGCTGGCCAAATTCGCAACCCTTTCCGTTCCGTTTTCCAACGTGCAGTTTTGGACGTGCTTTCGCTTCGGTCTGCATCATCTTCGCTTGGGCTCCCACGACCGCACTAACGCTGAAAAGAGCGGACTAGTGAGGTCGTTGGTTGTCTTGGCATCGTCCTTCTCTCGATAAGTGACCCGCTGAAGCCGCGGTTGATGCGGCATTTAACGGTGTCCGGCGTGCAAGACGTGATGTTGCGGCGGCAATGCATCATCCGTGATTGCAGCTCCGTCGGGTGGCAGACGGCAAGGGCAAATCGAAGTGCTGCAGATCTTGGCCTCCTTCTCGCACCCCTCAGCGGTTTCCAGCAAAAGTTCATAGACCGCAGTAGCCGTGTCGATTCCAGCCAAAGCTCTTCGGCGGTGGCGCGCAAGGATATGGTTCTTCTCGGAATCACATCATCTGCCCTTGCTACTTACACGCCGGCGTTTGCACTCACGGATGCAGCATTCAAGTGATGGTGTCACAACCGCTAGCGAGAACAAGGTCCGTCGCTGCAAGCTGCCATCGAACTTGTGCGCCTGCTTTCGACCTGGATCGACGCAGTGAGAGCGATAGTTTCGTATAAGTACATCGCTTGCCATGGTTGAGATTTGCCCTCGCCCATCGTTCATAGCCTTCTGCATACGTGAAGCGTTCCCTGGCCGCGAACTCGCAGAAACAATGAAGTTGACCCTACCCTTCCTCTCCCTGGCGCTCTTCTTCGCGGTGCTGGATAGCGCCCACTCGAGGGTGCTGCCCGTCGAGTCGGCGCCCTACGCACGCAACTCTGGCGGCATCCCCGCCCTCGTCCCGCGCTCTCCCCCCTCGGCACCCGACAGCGTCCTCCACAGGCGAGTGACGCGACACATCCGCCCTGAGTACCCCTCCGTCTCGCGCCGTCAAACCGTCGACAACGGCGGCATCAACACCACCACCAACCCGCAACCCATCCGAGGTAGCAAAGGAGCTCCCTTCCTGCACGACTCCAACACGCCCATCGATCGTCAGAACCCGGACAGCATCTCTCCGCCCCCCACCGACGCGGGCAACGTACCCAACCTCAAGTGGTCCTTTTCGCTCTCGCACAGCCGGCTGCTCAACGGGGGCTGGGTGCGCGAGCAGACGGTGACCGACCTGCCCTCGTCGCCCGGCGTCGCGGCGGCCGAACAACGGCTCAGCCCCTACGCGTATCGCGAGCTGCACTGGCACCGCGTCGCCGAATGGGGTCTCGTGCTCAACGGCACCGTTCGCATCACGGCCAACGACGAGGAGGATCGCAACTACGTCGGTGATGCGGGCGTGGGCGATCTGTGGTCGTTCCCGGCGGGCATACCGCATACCCTCCAAGCGGGCCCCGAAGGCGCCGAGTATCTGCTGGTGTTTGACGACGGCAACTTTGATGCGGCGGGGACGACGTTTATGCTGGACGACTGGATCGCGCATACGCCGCGCGAGGTGCTGGCCGAAAACTTTGGCTGGAACGCCAGCGTGTTTGGCTCCATCCCTTCTCCAGACCCGTACCTGGTCCCCGCTGGACAGAACGAATCGTGGCTCTCGTTGGAGGAAGCGCGCCAGGCAGTCTCTACCAATCCGGGAGGAGAGGCTACTCCATACGTCTACGCGCTCAGTCAGCAGAATCGCACCCAAGCCCCCGGCGGCGGTGGCTGGGTCAAGGTGACCGACTACCGCCAGTTCCCCTCTTCCCCGACGCTCGCCAGCGCCTACGTGCACGTCGAAAAGGGTGGACTGAGGGAGCTGCACTGGCACAAGAACGCCGAGTGGGGATACATCGTCAAGGGCAAAGCACGAGCGACGGCTTTCGCCGGTGGAGCCACGGCGAGGACGTTCGACCTCCAAGCAGGCGATAGTTGGGTCTTTCCCACCAAGTAAGTTCCTGGCCCTTCCCCCAACCCTTCATTTCTCTTTTCCTTTCTTCATCTGACCGAATGGCGCGCGACTGACACCCACACCCGCTTCTTGTCTCTGCGCATCGATAGCTACGGCCACTACCTGCAGAACGTCGGCGAGGAACCGTTGGAGTTCATCGAGATCTTCCGCGGCGCCAATTTCGGCGACCGGGTGCGCTTCGACGACTTTTCGCTCACCCAGTGGCTCGCGCTGCTGCCGCCGAGCGTGGCGGCCAAGCAGTTGAACGTCACCGAGGCGCTCGTGCGCCAGCTCAAACGGGCGAAACAGGTCATCGTCGCTGGGTGAAGGGCAAAAGCAGTCGACTCGACCGGACAGTGTTTGGCATCAGCTTTTGCGACCCACGCACTCGGACTGGTTCCCAATCGGAAAGGCTCCATGCGCCCGGCGCGGCCAGCATCGCGACATGGGACGCATCCGTGCGCTTCTGGGGACATTCAAATCCTGTTTTGTTGTTCAATTGCATGGTGACTACGACTGCTGCGCCAGCTTTCGCTTGACCGGCTCGAGATAGCCCTGTTCATCCCAGACCTTTTGCCACGCCTCTGTTTGCTCGACTGCGTCCCACCATCGCTTGAGTCTGCCGAACCCCTCTCCGCCCGCGTGCACCTCGTCGTAGACCTTGTTGCCCTCTCTCTCGGGAAGCAGACCGTGCTTGCTGATGCTCAAGATCCTCCCTACAAAGGGGACGATGTTGAGATCGGCGTATCCGAACCTCTCCTCACCCAGCACAAAATCTCCTTTGCCTTGATCAAAGCTCTCCAACAGGTCATTGAACGACCTCAACCCCTCCCTCAGCTTGCCCACCGCAGCTTCATCGCGCAAAATGGCCGCCGCGTAGTAGTGCGGCTGCACGAGCTGCGCGTATCGCTCCACCACATAGCGCGAGGTCGCCTTGTGGGCAGGCGAGGTCGAGGTGAAGATGGACGAGGTGAGGTCGTGAATGTATTCCACGATCACGAGTGATTCTGGCAGTTTGAATTGGTGGTCGTTCTCCTCGCTGACGAGGACCGGCACTGTTGCATCGTTTCAAGAGGAGTGAGCGCAGCGATTTGGTACCGATGTCAAAGGAACGCATCGATTCGGGATTAAAGGGCGAGGTCAGCGAGTCGGTCCAAAAAGAAAGAGGGTCTGAGGGGCAAAACGCACCTTTGGAAGCAGCATTGATCCGCTCGGCGTACCACTCGGGCTTGTTGAGCAGGTCCACCGCAAACGTCTCGTAATCGATGCCGGCGACTGCCAGCGCAAGCTCGGCGCGCGCGGCGTAAGGGCACACTTTGGCCGTGTACAGCGTCAGCTTGGCGTTCGTTCCGTTGGTGGATGGCATGCTGGCAATTGGGTCTGCTTGACAAAGGCTTGCGTTGCTCTGATTGAAGAATGAGTTTGGCGAAGGGCCGGATTCATCGCGCGAGATGGAGAAGGAGGAGTCCAGGTGATGAAGCGGAGAAGAGGAAGACGGGTCGGATCGGTGGGCTCTTATGTGCACAGCTGGACCCTTTCAACGAGGTTCGCCGGGGTTAAGGGCTCCGATGGCGCGTGCGCTCAAGCTGTCAAGAATGGCGAAAACAGAGAACCTCACGTCATCTGCTCCGCGGAATCACGCAACTCCCTGCTCCCTGTCTCCCTCTCTTGCTCTCAACTCATACTCTCGAGCCTTGTTCTACACCTTGTGCGACTCCATCTGATTCGAAAGTACCAAGATGCCTGCTTCAAGATAGCCGGAGAATACAGAGGTTGCACGTTTCGATCATTTCGATGATGAAATCAATGAATTGGCATACATGATGAAGATAAGAAAGGAAAGGGAAGGCGGGAATCAACGGGTGATGGATGGGATGACGATGTGGGTGGTCCATGGGGTGAAGCAAGAACCGCGTTTTGGCATTGCAAGCCCTTGCACTGGCTTCCTCACGCTTAGGCAAGGAGCCACATGCCCGAACCAAGGAGGGCAGCAACGGCAGCAGCACCCGAGCTGATCTTGAGAGCGTTGGCGCCGTTTCCAGCGCCACCCGAGCCCGAACCGGAGCCGCTACCAGATCCAGAACCAGAACCAGAGCCGACACCAGGAGCAGCGGTCTGGGTAGCAGCGGCAGCCGTGGCCGAGCTGAAAGCCGAAGCGGCCGCCTGGGTGTTCTGGGTGGTGTTGAGCAGGACACGGTCGATGACGTGGACGACACCGTTCTTGGCGACGTAGTCGCTCTGGACGATCCTAGCAGTGACGTTGCCCGAAGTGACGAAAGCACCGGTGGAGTTGGCGACAAAGGTCAGCTGGTTTCCGGCGGCCGAGATGGCATTGGGCGTGTTGGCGAGGCTGGTCGAGTAGACGACGGTGCCGTTGAGCACGTGGTTGAGCAGCACAGCGGTGCGCTGCTCCTCGGTGGCGCTCTGGACAGTCGAGGCGACCTGCTGGATCGCCTCGTTGGAGGGAGCAAAGACGGTGACGATCGAGTCGTCAAGCGCCTCGACCAGGTTGGCGCCTTGGAGAAGCTCGGCGAGCTGCGAGGCACCGAGCTGGGTGGCAATCTCGCTGGTCTCTCCGGGGACGGTGAGCACCTGGGTGATGGGCTGGACGCGGATGTTCTCGTACTGCGGGCCGTCCTGGGTCAGAGCGAACGAGACGTTACCAGAGGCCAGCTGGACGTAGGCAGTGTTGTTTCCAGCCTGCTTGGAGAGCACGACGACCTGGCTGCGGTTGCCGGGCAGCTCGACGTACTCGGACGAGTTGAGGGCCGATGCAGCGATGGTCTTGTTGTTGGTTCCGAGCTGGTTGTTGGAGATGGACCCGTTGAGGACTGTTGGTGAGAAAGAATGAGAGCAGAAAGATGAAAGTCAGCAAGCCTGTCTCTGGAGGATGCTGTCAGACACATTTGTCGCAAGAGCAGCCCGGGCTTCGCTTCAAAGCAGAAGGCGCTGCTATATCAAGCGCCGCACCCGCTCGAAAGTCGCTCCTTGCCGTTGCTGTATACTCACCATGGTAGGCAATGGTAGCAACGAGCGTGTCGCTGTCAACATCGCCAAGAGCCTGAATAGCCTGGTTGGAAGGAGCAAGAACGGTCTTGTTGCCGCCCTGGAGAGCACCGAGGAGCTGCTGCGAGTTATTGCCAACGGCATCAGCGAGCGCCGAGAGGTTGTTGGCTCGGAGAGCGCTAAGAAGGCCCTCAGCGAAGGCAGTAGCGTTGGTCTGCTGGGCAAAGGCACCAGCGGTGGCCGAGAGGGCGAGGGTGAGAGCAGCAAGGAACTTCATTCTGGTGAGAAGAGCGAGTAAGGGTCAGGATGGGGGATGACGAGGAGGGCGGCTGCGGGTGTCGACGTGTATGAGGAGACGAGAGGGCGACGATGTCACGTTGCCAGCCCGAGGCAGGATGCTTTATATTGCGTCTGGCAGGAGACTGCGGACAGACCAACGAGATTTGTCCAGACATCTACGGAGGCAGTTCGGCCGGACCGGATGCGAGGCCTTCGGACAAAGACAATGACGAGAGGCGGTGGACACAGCATCACAGCATCCAAGCACGCAAAGTCGAGTGTGCGCCAAGGGGCCAAGCCTTGCTGCGGTCCAAGCAGGGGGACATGGAAGAGCGACGACCTTGCTCATGGTGCAAATTGACGGAGCGCGAATCCCACGCTGACTTTCCATTCTGGGCGACTGGGCGACGGAGAATATGGCTAGGCGAAGGGAGGAAGGTCCGTAGGAGGGCAGGGCGAGACCCGCATGCCGTTGAGGGAAGGGACCAAAAAGCCAAGCCTTGGGTAACGGTAAGCAACTTAGCAGCAGCAAAGTCGACAGCTGTCTGGCGGCAGTGTTGGAAGGGGGGTCCGGACCAGAAAGGCTCGAAGGTTGGCCTGAGACCTCGCTTAGACCAAGAAACAGAAATGTGCATGATGGTGACTGGTGTGGAGGAACGACGTTGAGGCAATTCCGCGGCGCCGTACGGTACTCGAATCAAGGAAGCAACTGCCCCGGCACCTCACGACGTCGAGGGAAGCACGATGAGGAAATGAGAATTGACGAATGCTGGCTCCAAGGGGCATCAAAAGGGGCTTGCTTGGATTCAGAACATGACAGCGGCGGTGCAGGAGCACGGCTGTCCCGAGACTCGGCTTTCTTCTGAAAGCTCTGTGCTGGATCGATGCGCAGAGAGTTGGCTCGTCTTATACATCAAGGCTCGAATCTCGCCCCTGGATTCCGCTGCCACGCAACGCCTCGTTCTATCGGAACGCGTTGGTGGCTGGTGCTCAAGCTCCTTCCGTCATGCCGCAATGGAACGAGATGTGGCTGGCATCATCGTGCATATGACTGGTCGCAAGTGTGAGGTCTGTTAGCTTCACCCAAACCTTGATCGCAATGAGCAGGCGAGATGGCGAGCCTGGACAGCAGTCGCTGCCCCGGAAACCGAGTCTCTGTCCGAGATGAGCGAGTGGAGAAGCGAGTCTAAATTGGCTGCTCGATCTAAAGGTGTGGATGCCAAGAAGGAGCATGCGGTCGGCGGTGCCTCGAGAAGCGACTCTGCTCATCTGCTCTCATCGGAAGACGTGCCGAAAGGGTCACGAGGTGTTGCAGCTCGCAACGTGCATAAAATCGTGACAGAAGAGTCTCGGCTTGGCCGCAATTTGCAATTTCATCAAAGCATCACGCTCCTCTGCCATGGATCTCGTGTTGCTTACGCAGCCAGTCAACCCTGGATCAATAAGGTTCGTCTGCTTCAGCAAACAAGGGTGCACCAATGTGCGGGGTTGCTTCGTGTCTTGTCTATGCACCAGCAAGGGTCTACGAAGCCAGCGTTCCGTCCATGCAGGCTTAGCCAATCACGGCAGATGCTTGTCGAGGTGTAGCGCCCTCAGGCGAGACCATGAGCGGAGAAGGCCAAGTTGCGATCTCGACGGACCTTCCGAATCGGATGTCACTTTGAAAGCACTCACGTTCTCACGCTTCAGGGATGGCGCTGGACTGCAATGCATGGCGTGACCGACCAGCCGCATCGGAGCTCGGAGCGTTTCTGCCTCTTCTCTATCTCGCAGCGTCTGACAAGGGCGTAGTCACCCTTGAATACGAGGACAAGCTAGGTCAGCTAATGATGAGAAGGCGTCCGAATATGAGATCAGCCAAGTCGCTCGGCGCGGCGGCTAGGTAATACAGAAGATTGCCAGACGCTGGTGTACGGACGGCTATACATTCGAACATCGAACAACCTGGTTCACCGTGGCTCGAGCACGACTGGGCATCCATCAAGTTTGCCGCTCAGCCGTTTCTGGCACACATCTCTCATATCCGAGGTGCACGCCTCTCCTCTTGCTGGTAAAGCGCTTGACATCGGTCAACAAGTCAGAATCAACACATCTTGAACGAGTTCCTGTGGTCGAGGACAAGCGAGTCGCGAGTACCTAGCCGTCTCGCGAGCAATGACAGGCGAAGTTCGCTTCTGCACGTACCACATGCTTCTACAGCGAGCTTGATATTACTTTAGCGTCTCAGCTTAGCTGATCACCAGAGCCAACCTGCTTGTACGGTACGTACGTACATGCTGTGTGTCCCAGAAGATCTCGCCGACATCCGACTAAGCGGACTAGCCGCGGACAGGCGTGGTTCATGATCCGAACAGCTGCGCAAAAACGCGTTCCGCTGCGATCGCCAAGCCTTTGCTGCTTTTTCGGGAGCATTCCGCTTTCCTGGCTTGAGCTTCATTCGCGCAACACGGAACCCACTCCGACGGCATGATCTCGACGTCTTTGTCAGCATGACTTTGCCTTGGGCTCACCTATCGACGATGATCTGCGATCGGCTGCTCCCGACTTGTCGAGGTCACATCGGGGATCCCGTCGGATGAAGCTGACTGTGAGATGGCTCAGTCACACGCCTTGCCTTCCAAAAACGAGGACAACGTCGGAGGTTCGAGCTGTCTACCGAATGCCATTGCGGTGTGCTGTGCGATGCTATAAAGGGATACCCGCTCATCGGCCATATCTCTGCTCTGCCTTGGCCAGCTTCCGTAATGCTGCTACAAAGTCAGTGCTGCTGTATGCTTGATTCACCCGCAATCTCGGATCGTAGAACAGGTCGGTGACTCTCAATGGCCATGCTGGAAAGCCGTACAGCTGTCTCGCTCTTGGTCGACCACCGAAGACCACCAGCAACTCGGGCTCGGACAAGTACGCTGCCTTTTTCAGCGTGGCGTCCAGCTCGTCCGCCGTCAGTTCCGAGGTGTAGGGAGACCGCTTTGACACCCACAATTTGCGCAGTGTAGACGACGAGAAGCGCTTCGCTCCCGACGCCGCTGACGCCATGTCCGGGACGAGGACGTCCGACAAGTACGATGAGGCACGATCTTGGATATGCTCGCTGACGATCTCCGAGAGCCGCTCCTGGCCATCCTGTCGGCTCAACAAGGTCACTTGCAAAGGCCGTGGTGTCTGCCCGTCTTGCACCGTTGCGTCTGATTGCTCCGGAATCGAGTCGGCTGCTTTTGATGCGGAACCGAGACCGATGCGAATGTTGACGGTGGCATCAAAACCGTCTTGCTGTGCTGGACTGTCGCTCTCTGCGGTGTACGACGATGCAAGCGTCTCATCCAGCGAAGGAGGACCGAGTTCCGAATCACTTGACGCTGGCGACCCCGGTGAGCTCGCAGAAGAAGAGCTGCTGCTTTTCGCCACCGACCTAGGCGTCCTTCTTCTAAGTTCAGCATATCGTGACCAAGCGTCCCCTCCATCGACGTTCGCCATAGGCCCCTGTACCGGTGCCTCTCGCGGAAATACGGCCTTGGTCTTGTATCCGACGTGCAGCATACGGCCCAAGGATTGTAACGCAATGGGAGATAGCGGTTGCGACGCGTGCACGCTCAGCTGCTGCACATTGCTGATCCTTGCCAGGTGTACGATAGCAGCGATATCTCTGATACGCTTCAACTCGACAGCTTCGTCGTATTGTATCCTGAACTCGCGCCATAGGTCACCGGCTGGCGCTGCATCTTGCCGGCGCAGACCCAACCAGAGCGTGGATAGGTAGAGACGTGTTGACGAAGGCGCGGTATCGGCAAGTACCACAGCCAGATGCTGTGGGACCTTGATCGTGCTCGATTCGCATTCGTACGCTGCAAGAAGATCCTCTAGGGAAAGGTAAGATGCTGGAGGTCGGTTCGCTTGTCGTTTGATCGCACGCTTGATCGCGTCTTTGGCCTGGAGGATGAGGAGAGTGATATGATATACGGTATGGAGCAGTCCGAAGGCGAGCCACATGAGCGGTGTCAGCAGAATCCACAGGATCGATCCGCTGCTCGACGCCTTCCTTGCTGCAGGCATGTTTGTGTGTCTCCTCGGGGCCGCCATCGTCGGCCCAACCTGCTTGCTTGCAGAAGTACTGGCTGCCGAGCGCATGGTCGACATCGCGGCCGCTCTAGACGACGTCGGCACTCAGGCTCGAGCCATGAGTGATCAGCAAACCAAGAGAAAATCGGATGGTGGTTCGAACAGGTGCGATGATGGTCGACGTCACGGGCCAAGATCTCGTGGTGTTCCACGTCAACCTCGGCACGACGTCTCAACCACGAGCCCAAAAAGAAAGCTTTTTCCGGATTTTGGTGTCCGCTCTCGCTTTTGCATGTCTCGGGCGGCTACGAGGCCAAGTGTGGAGGAAGTAGAAGCCTTTCAGGGTCCAGTCATCATCCTCATCTTTCTTCGACAGCAACGCCATGGCAGACGCGGGAGTTTGGAGGTAGAAGACAGACTTCGTTCACACGCAGACGCACAGTAGCAAGACTTGAATCATGCTGGCGCCAGGCTTGGCCCTTTCACTTCGAAGCGCCGCGCAGTTCAGAGCGGGGGCAGCCTGCCTTCAGCAGGCCGCTGCATCGCGGACTTCGCTTTCAACACCTTTGATCGGCTCGGCCTTGCCCACACGGCGTCCTCTATCGACCGCATACCCTCTACTTGCTCGATTGGCGCCATTCTCACGGCGTAGAGAGCCACCGCAAGCTGTCAAACCGCAACAAACCGACCCTTTGCCCACACAAGAAGAAGACGCTGCCCTCCTATACTCCGACCTCCCACCACCGCCCAAGGACGCCCAACAACCGTCGATATCCCGCGCACTCCTCTTCCTCTTCGGCTTCTCCGCTGTCTCTTTCACGTGTGCGGCATGTTATTCGCTGCGAGACACCGAACGTATAGCCTGCGAACAACGAAGTCGACGCGATGTGTTTGCCAACATCTCCTCGTTCTTCTCGGGCGCTGGCGACGATGCACGCGGTCAAGACGTCTGGGGCCCAGGGGCCACAGACAGAAGCCTTGCCGTAGCAAAGAAGCACGAAAGAGCGACTCGACTGGGTCTGCGTATGGACTGGCTGGTCGGATGGTGTAACCAGCTGCACCTGCCTGCGGGGTTGACTGAGTTCGTGGGGAGAAGCTATCTCATCGTCACCGAAAAGTACATCAACTTGTCGCCGTCAAAGGAGGTCGTGCTGCCCATCGTGGTGGCTAACGGAGCCGTCTTTGCTCTGTGGGGGATCGCTTCAGTACGGAGAGGAGGAATGTGGCGTTGGATGACTCAAAACTTCCTCCACCGACCGAGCAGCAACCGCATGCATACGATGCTCACCTCGGTCTTCAGCCACCAAACCTTCCTTCATTTTGCCTTCAACAACTATGCTCTGTGGTCGTTTGGCGGATCGGCACTCATCGTGGCCGCGCATCACGCTGCATCGTATCGCAGCGGGGCACATGTACCGGAAGCCTCGCCCACGCCGCACTTCCTGGCCTTCTTCGCGACAGCCGGCGTGTTTGCGGCGACGGTCTCGCATATCGTCGCCGCCGTCCGGTTCAGGCGCATCTCAGCGCTGCACGGGTTGGACGTCGCCCGTGCGGCCCTCGGACGGCAGGGCAGCTTGGGCGCAAGCGGCGCCGTCTACGCTGCAGTGGTCATGTCCGCCTGCGCCTTCCCCGACGCCCAACTCGGCATCATCTTCTTGCCCTTCATCACTTTTCCCATCGGTGCGGGCGTGGCAGGGCTGGTCGCGGCCGATGTGGCGGGCGTGCTGCTCAGGTGGAGGATGTTCGATCACTGGGCGCACCTGGGAGGGGCCGCATTCGGTTGGGTGTACTGGTGGTACGGCGCAGAGGCATGGGAACGGCTGAAGCGGGTACTGGTGGAGAGGTTGAGAATGGGAGCCAGAGGTGCTGTCGAGCAGCGATGATGGTTATCATCGGCTAGGCTTGTGCCAACACAGATGTTGTAGAAGAATTGGGCTACGCAGATTGACACCACTCCCACGAACCTGGCGCAAACGACGCAGTGACTGTTTGCCCGAACGATAGTCTGCGTTTCGTATGCTATAAAAGTACAATCCCCTTCCTGGCTCACGAGAACCGCCTGATGTTGTCCAGCTCCTGAAGCAAGCTATCCAACAACGCATCGTCCCTCGTCGCCAGCGTCGGGATCAGCGCCTTGGCCTCGTCCACCTCGGTAATGCACAGGTTGGCCAACTGGGCCATCTCGAACTGGGTGAGTTGGAGGCCGCCCGCCTCGTCGTCTGGGAGCTCGTTGCCGTGTTCGTCGACCAACCTTTCGTCCAGCTTGGCGTGCTTCAGCAGCAGCCTGTTGGAGGGTGTGAAGGTGAAGAAGGGTAGGGTCAGACGATGTGGTGAACAGAAGGGATGGAAGAGGGATAGATGCTCACTCTCGAATCTCTCGAATGGTATTTGGGTCCTTGTAGCGGGAGAACTCGGAGACGTAGTCTTTCGTTTTGGAGAACACCCTATAGACATCAAGCAACAGTGTCAGTATCATTGTCTTGCTTGCTATTCATGAGCGACGGCCAACTTACGCTGTAGCAACCTCGTCCCTTCCCCCCGCACCAGCTTCGCCCGCCGACCCCAACGCATCAGGTTGTGAGAAGACCAGCTCGACTTCTGAGATGAGCAGGCAACCAGCATCTTCGAACTCAGTTCCGAGCTTGCCGATGGCTGCATCCTCGTCTTCGATCATGCCGCGATGGCGACGGTCGCGGCCTACGTCGTGGGCCTGCATTGTGAAAGAACCTTGGTAGAGCTGCGCTTCGGAGGGCTCCTATAGGATTGAGGCTGGAGACGGATGCTGCGGAGATGGGCCGTATAACGAGACTACGAGAGAGCTGCTGGCGTGGTGGTGGCAGCGATGCTGGGGAGAGTGACTGGTGATGATGCGAAAGAGAAGTATGAGGTCGCGACTAGGAATCAGAAGGTGTTGGTTCTGCCAAATCGGTTCTCGGCGTCAAAGGCTCTGCGCCCAAATTCCAGATCGGGCGCGAATCGGCTCGCTGCACAGTCGCGAAGCTTTCATGGACCCTTGAACCTCCCCACGTCCTCAACCACCGGCCTCACTATCATTGCTACCACAACGACATGCCATCATGACAATAGCCATGTCAGACGACGTGCTCATGTCGTCCGCTCCCACCGCCTCTTCCTCATCCTCATCAATAAGCCCTCCAAATCCGATTTACACCCTCTTGGGTCACACGAAATCCCCCACGGCCCTCGCCTTCTCCCCGTCCGGCACGCTCCTCGCAACCACCTCTGCAGACAGCACGATCAAGCTCTGGTCCGTATCCACCGGCGTCCTCCTTCACACCTACACCACCCACACTTCCGGCATCAACGACCTCTCGTGGTCCTCAGACAGCCTCTACCTCGCGTCCGCATCCGACGATCGGAGCATCTGCATCTTCAACGTTGTCACTCACACCCTCGTGCGCACCTTCGCCGAGCACACTTCCTACGTCCTTTGTTTGGCATACAATCCGCAGTCGACGCTGCTGGTGTCAGGGAGCTTCGATGAGACGGTGCGGTTGTGGAATGTCACCCGCGCCAAAAGTCATCGTGTCATCTCGGCGCATTCCGAAGCGGTAACGGGGGTGGGGTTCAACGGGGATGGGACGATGATCGTTTCCTGCTCGTACGACGGGTCTATACGTCTATGGGATACGACAACGGGGGCGTGTCTAAAGACGCTAGTGCACAAAGAGCAGGCGCCGCTCGGTGGGGTCTGCTTCACACCCAGCAGCGCCCAACTCCTCAGCACCAGTCTGGATAGCACCGTGCGAATGTGGGACATCTACAACTCCAAGATTGTCAAGACCTATACGGGACACAGCAACGGTAAAATTCCGCTCACCGCACGGCTCGCCTTCCATCTCGAAACGGCGACAGTGGTGTGCGGCGGCGAAGATGGCAAGGTGACCCTGTGGCACGTGCAGAGCAAAAGCGTGGTGCGCCAGTGGCAGGCGCACAAGGAGGTGGTGGTCGCACTTGCAGTCCACCCCACAGCGAGGGTCATGGCCACTGCAGCCGTCGAACCGGAGAACGCGGTCAAGGTGTGGTTCTTTGGCGAAAAGTAGCGCGCAACAGACATGTGTAACAGTATCGAACATCAATTTTGTATTACTTTGGATGGTTGGTTCAGCGGAGCAGTCGATCCTGCGTCGCAATTGAGATAAGGAAGAGGAGGGGTATGATGGTGTGAAAGAGCGCCCTCGCCTACTGGCTCTTCTTCTTGATGTTCTGACTAACACCCCAGACATTCGCCTCAACGCGGCGCTTCTCCTCCTTGCTCGCCACAACATTGTAGTACACAGTCCTAATCAGGGTGTCGATGGGCAAAAACATGCCCACGCGTTTCTGATAATCCTTGTACTCGGGGTACTTTTCCGCCGAGACCTGCTCCGAGTAGCGCGCGCTGGGCAAGAAGAGCGCGTTCATGGCGAGAGGGGCGAGGATGGCGTAGTTGAGGAAGTGGGACCAGTGCGATTTGCTAAAGTCGAGGTCGGTGGGGAGGAAGGTGAGGGGGACAAAGGCGTAGAGGATCCACCAGGTGGTTTGCTCGCAGGCAAAGTTGGGGTGGCGGCTCCAGGCCCAGAGACCTTTGGTGACGAAGCCGCGCTTGGCGTCTTCGGGGGTGGAGTAGGGTGTTTCGACCTGCTCTCGGGCGGGAAGGCCGGTCTTGGGCTCGATTAGGGCGCTGGGCATGGGCTTCTCTTGGGGGGTTTTGCCACGCTTGTAGTTCTGGTAGTTCCACTGCTGCTGGTCGGCGTAGAACTGGATGGTGAGGTTGAGCACGAAGAGCGCGGAAAGGATGTAGTCACCGAGGATGAGCTTGTTGACGGGGTGCGGGACGGGCGCGGTGGTGTGCTTGATCGAGGTGGTGGTGAGCAGGAGGTAGTTGGGTAGAGCGGTGATGGCCAGAAGGATGTTCTGAGCGATGGCGATGAAGAAGATGGAGAAGAGGTGCCACATGGGTCGCGACATGGTCTTTCGGAGCAAAGGCCATCGGTAGTCCTCCTCTCCGGGCTTGAACATGTTCCTCCTGATGGCGTTGTAGGTGAGCCTCGCGGACCAGAGCACCGAGAGCGCGGTCATGAGCGCCAGTCGAGGCTCGACCTTGTCCCAGACAGAGGCGTGCTCGATGCCGTGGAAGAGGGTGATCTTAGCGGGCTGGTAGGTAAAGTACTTGTGCACGGTAAAGTGGATCGAGTAGATGAGCGGAAGGAAGGTCCAGAGGCCATCGACCTGGGAAGCGTTACCGGTGATCCTCTCCATGAGCCAGACGTAGAAGCTGACAAAGGCACAGAAGGCCATGGCCGAGTGGAAGGGGTCCGCATCCGCATAGTAGGCCTTGTAGGTTGCGAGGTGGGTGAGAGTCTTGCCGCTGCGGAAGTACGAGGTGAAGGCGGGCCAGAAGGAGCGGGCGGCGGGGATGAGGTGGGTGTTCGGGTCGAGGACCGCGTGGGCCCAAGGCGAAGTGGAACCAAGCATGCTGACGATGTCTTGTCCGAGTGGATGGATGGATGATGGTTGAGCGGATGGAAGTGCGGATGGATTACACTGCTTCTTGGGTGAGTTCGAGCACGAGGACGAGGAGGACAAAGCGTTGTCAATTTGATTTTGAGCGGGGTTTCCTCCACATCCGCCTTTTCACGCATGCAAAGTCATGTCACTTTTCCTCTGCTCAAATGCGCTTGGCTAATCCACGCTTGCCGCCCTAAAAATAATCGTCATTCGAGTCAATACAGGTCTAACATTTTCACGAAAATCAATGATGCATCACGTGCAGGTGTTGTTCGTTGGTCGGCACATGTGCGCGTCGAGCTGGACTTGAGCGTGTTGTTCTTTTTCTGGCTGCTGCACTCTTGCATCGGTTTGCTGAACGGCAGGCCGACTGGACCTGCTCGTCGTCACCATCATCACCACCATCTTTCACCTTTCCGATTGCTACGGTAGACACACGCTCACTTGCGGCGCTCCCAATCATGTCGGGCTCCTCTCAGCTTCGACGTCAGCCGTCGTCTTCCAATCTCACCCGCCCAGTTCAACCGCGATCCAGGGCACCCAGCGTAGCACCGCCCGTATCGTCCGCAGGTGCAGCTCGACGCTTGACTGTCAACGGACCCGCACAACCAGCATCTCGCTCGGTCTCGTCTTCCAGCACCAACGATGCTGACAAGAAGCGCTCCGAGGCAGGCGAGTCCAACATCCAAGTCGTCGTTCGTGTACGAGGTCAAGCTCCTCACGAGCCAAAACGTACAACTCCCGGCATCCTCACGACATCAGGTCCGAGATGTCAGCAGATCGATGTAGCGATCGAGCCGCCCCCCGTCTCTTCTACCTCGGTCATGGCTTCGTCCTCCAACCTCGTACAGGAGTCCTCCACACGCCAAAAGAGCTACCATTTCGATCAGGTCTTTGGTCCCGAGGCAGATCAGGGAATGGTCTACCAGGATGTCGTCGGTCCCATTCTCGAGGAGGTCATGTCCGGCTACAACTGCACCATCTTTGCTTACGGTCAGACCGGCACCGGCAAGACGCACACAATGGAAGGCGACCTTACTTCTCAGATGGGTACCTACAGCTCCGAGGCTGGTATCATCCCCCGGTCGCTCTATCGACTCTTTCACACCCTCGAGCTGTCCAAAGAGGACTATTCAGTCAAAGCAACTTTCATCGAGCTGTACAACGAAGAGCTCCGCGACCTTCTCAGCCTCGAGCCTTCAGCTTCCGAAGCCTCTTCCAAAGATGCGCCGCATGGGCTTCGAATGTACGATGACGCGCGAGGCAAAGGCATCGTAATTCAGGGTCTCGAAGAAGTTGCGCTCAAAGACGCTGCTCACGGTCTCTCGGTGCTCAGACGTGGGAGTCAAAAGAGGCAGATCGCGGCGACAAACTGCAACGAGCAGTCGAGTCGTTCCCACGGTGTCTTCACCATGACTGTTTTCATCAAGGACAAGGGCTCTCGCGGCGAGGATGTCCTCAAGATCGGCAAGCTCAATCTCGTTGACTTGGCAGGCTCCGAAAACATCGGTCGGTCCGGTGCAGAGAACAAGCGCGCCAGAGAAGCGGGGATGATCAATCAGAGTCTACTCACCCTCGGACGTGTCATCAACGCTCTGGTCGAGAAGAACAGTCACATCCCGTACCGCGAGTCCAAACTCACTCGTCTCTTGCAAGAGTCTCTCGGCGGTCGAACCAAAACATGCATCATCGCCACAGTCTCGCAAGAACGGGCCAACATCGAGGAAACTCTTTCAACGCTCGACTACGCTCTGCGCGCCAAGTCCATCAAGAATCGCCCCGAGCTCAATACCCGCATGACTCGCTCCGCGCTCATCAAAGAGTACGTCTTCGAGATCGAGCGTCTCAAGGGTGACCTCCAGGCATCCCGTGATCAGAATGGCATCTACCTGACTGAGGACTCGTGGAAGACGATGCACTCCGAGCACGAGGAGCGCAAGACACTCGCCGAGACGCTCAAACGCAACGCCGAAGTTACCGAGAGCAAGCTGAACAGCCTCAAGGAGCAGTTCGAGCAAAACATGCAGCTCCTCGTCAAGCGCGACAACGAGGTCAAGGCGGCAAAGACCGAGTGCGCAGACAAGGTCGCCGAGCTCGAAGCCATGATCGCCAAAGCTGCCTCGCTCGAGCTCACTGTTGACCAAGAGATTGCGCTCCGCAAAGCCTACATGGCTAGCGAGGCGCACCTCAACCAGACCGCTACCTCGCTCGCCGATCTCGTGCAGCAGAGCACCGCCGATGTCCAGGCCCTCTTTGACAAGCTCGAGAGGAAGACAGCCGTCGAGCAGGCCAATCGTGCTCTGGTCGCCGAATGCAGAAACGCGGTCTCGCAAAGGGCCGGGCAGCTCCAGTCGAGTTTGGCGAACTTCCACTCGGCGGAAGGTCAATTTCATTCCACACTCAAATCAAGTCTCGACACCCTTATCAGTGGAACAGAAACCCGCCACGAAGAGCAGCAGCAGTTCCTGCAGGCACGACTCAAAAAGATTTCAACCTCTCTCCGCGAAGTTCGATCGGGGCAGATGGAGTCCAAGGATGTTCTCACCGCGCTGCTCGGCGAGCTCGATGCCACGGTCAACGAGATGCAGGCTTCAAGCGAGGCAAGTCTCGGCTCGCTCAAACAGACTTGCAGAGGCGCGATCAACGATGTTGTCTTGGCCAACACGCAGCGTTTCGCCCAGGTTGCTGCGTCGCTGGACTCAATGGTCCAGTCTCACGTCGCCACGTTGAAAGATGTGACAGAGATCAATCGATCGAGTCAGGATCAGATCGCCCAGATCAAGGCAGCGGCCCAGGACGCCAATGCTCAAGAGTTGGCGCGGTTGAGGCAACAGAACGCATTATTGACAGCGACGGTGGACGAAATGAAGCGCAGCAACGTCTCGCTCAAGGCTGACCTCATGGCCGACTTCGGCAAGCTCCTGACCCGATTCACGGATCAACAAGAGTCGGCGGTTTCCGCCTCAATTGGCTCTGCCCAGGCGGTCGTCTCGGCCTCGGTCCTTGCCGTGGAGGCTCAAGCCGCTGAACAATCGACACAACTGGAATCCCTCTCTGCTGCAGCAACCGAGGTGGCCATCCAGCTGGAGCGCTCGCAAACCTCGCTCGTCGAGCAAGCCAGTGTCACCAGCCAAGACGTCACCCAGGCCAGCAGCGAGCTGGGCGCCAAGATGGATGCTTTCGCCTCTGCCATCGAAGACGATCTCTCTTCGACTCACACCACCACTGCGCGTGGGCACGAAGAGATCTCCTCGCTCACCAACAAGGCACGCGAAGAGATTGAATCGCGCACCAAAGCTCAGTCGGCCAAGATCAAGGCGGGCAACACCAAGCTCACCGAGACGTTCGACTCGATCACTTCCAACCTCCAGACCTCGGCGCAGGACATGGCTGCCATTGTCAAGCAAGTCAGCGGCGTTCTGGACGAGAGGCAAGACGAGGTCAACGCCTGGAGCGAGCAGATGGGCGGGGGCCTCAAGGGCTTGTCTTCGGACTCTAATACCTTGTTGGCGGGCAAATTCAAGGAGGACAAGAGCACCGGTCACACGCCGCAGAAGAAGGCGTGGAAGCTGCCAGGAAGGTGGAACCTCGTCCCTGCGAATCGCGAGGACGCGATTGAAGCCGGGAGGCAGGTGGCCGACACGCTGCTCTCTTCCGCCACCACCATGGACGACGTGCCCAGCTCTGACGTGGCATTCGAGCCATCCTCGGAAGCTGACGTCGATGCAGCAGCTGCACCTTCGGCAGACGCGAGCGTCGAAGCGCACGAGACCGTGACACTGCACGCACCCACATCGCCACCCGCCCCAGCACACGTCGAGACATCACAAGAGTTGCCGACCAGGACAGCCACTCGACCGCTGCGAGAACTTCCCTTCGGCCACTCCAACCTGCCCATCTCAACGTCTAATGAAGACTTGGCTCCCATCAAGGCCATCGAATCGGTGACGGCGCTGCCGAAATCCAGAGCCGCCAAGAACAAGCTCGCTGCCACTGCTCTGCCTGTGAGCAAGCGCGCGAGATCGTAGACATGCTTCATCTCTCCCCAGCTCGAACATTTGTACTGTTACGGAAGACCATCCCTTACCATGCTTAGAATTGATACCTTGTTCAGAAGTGTTTGCTCTCGATCGTCGATGCGTGATGTCGTGCACTGCGGGTGTGGTGAGAACAGTTCAGACGAAAGCTATATGATTCGGCACCCATCGCAGACGGGAGTTATGTTACATGCTGACAGGTTACATTTACTGGCCGTACTTCTTGCCAGTGATGAGTTCGTATGCCTCCCTGTACTTTTCCTCGGTCCTCTTGACCACGTCGTCGGGCAGTGTCACAGGCACGCCCTGATCCGCGGCCTTGTCCAGCCCGTTCGCCTTCAACCAGTCCCGCACGTATTGCTTGTCGAAGCTGTCCTGCCCACGACCGACGGCGTACTTTTCCGCGGACCAGAAACGCGAGCTGTCCGGTGTGAGCACTTCGTCCACCAGAATCATGTGGTCGTCGCCGACGATGCCGAATTCGAACTTGGTGTCTGCCAAGATGATGCCGCGCGACTTGGCGTGCGCCGCAGCTTTGGAGTAGAGTGCGACAGCAGCGGTCGACATGCGTTTCGCGAGATCAGCACCGATGATGCCGTCCACTTTGTCGGGGTGGATGTTCTCGTCGTGCTCGCCCTGCTCTGCTTTTGTGCTCGGGGTGAAGAGCGGGCCGGTGGGGAGCTCTTGCGATTCTTGAAGACCTTCAGGGAGTTGAATGCCGTGGACGGTGCCAGTTCGCTTGTACTCTGCCCAGCCGCTGCCGGTGATGTATCCGCGGACGATGGCTTCGATGGGCAACACCTTTGCGCGCTTGACCAGCATCGAGCGGCCCTCGACCTGGTGCTTGACGCTGTCGAGAGTCTGCTTGAGCTCCGCAGGAAAGTCGGCGTAGTCGGTAGCAATGATGTGCGACTCGATAAGGGAAGGCGTCAGGAGACCGAACCAGAAGGTCGAAAGGGCGTGAAGGAGCTTGCCCTTGTTGGGGATGCCGTTCTGCAAGATGATGTCGAAGGCGGATATCCTGTCGGTAGCGACAAAGAGGATGGCACCCGCATGAGGACCCTCGGTGAGGCCTGCATCGTAGACGTCGCGGACCTTGCCCTTTGCGATGAGTTTGAGGGGCAGGTCGGTGGATACGATGGCTGATTGCGACATATTGAGTGCCGGCGTGAAACTGCGTCCGATGGTGCTGGAAGATGGTCCAGAAGCTTAAAAAAGTTGATGGTGTTGAGTGCGAGTCATTTCAGCTTGCCCCTTCTCAACGGCCATTTTCTGTTGCTTGCGAACCAACGCACGGCCAATAGCCAAAAATCAGCTAGTTGAGTCAAGATGACGTCTTAACACGTAAAGACGACACGTGACCTCTTGTCGTGGACGCGGTACAGGGGCCCTGGAGTTGTGGGGTGTCACTGAACAGCCAAAACTGTCAAACGCCCTTCATCCAGGCGATGTTGAGCTTGCAAGAACACCTGAACGTCACTGTTCAAGGTCCTATGAGCCCCACCCTTGGTTCGACAGTGTCTCTCAGCGATCTCTGTACGCTGTCTGATCACGGATTGCTCCACCTCGTGAAACGGCTTGACTCGCTTCTCATGGCAAGCTGCACTGAGCAGAAGGCGCTTTGTATCCTTGAGAAGACTGCCGTCTGTCGAATCTTGCTTTGCAAGTCGCTCGGTGACCTCAGTCCTGCAAAGCCGCTGGGTCTGGCAAGATGTGGAGAACTGTAGCCGAGTCGAGCTGAGAACAACACTTGAAACGCGCTTCTCAGCTTCAAAACGCGCTTCGGAAAAAAGTGAGGCTCAAAAACAGTCAGCGCTGCTCGTGTTGCTCTTAGTGTGACTTTGAAAGAAAGCGCAGCAGTTGAAATTAATTTGGAATCGATCCAAACCCTGATCACGCATCCACCACGGCCTCTCTCCACCATCACAACGTCGGCCCTATCTGATCGGGAAACAGGCCCACAACTCGTCACTCCCGCACACACGGGACAGCCACATCTCGTTGATCGCTCGCGGCCGCGATTGGTAGCACCGCCAACGACATGGCAAAGCCTGCCGCAAGGCATGCCACCCCGGACGGCGAGAACGATCCCACGCTTGCTACTCCTCGAGCCAAACCAGCTCAGCTACTGCCTTCTCGCAGTAGCATGACCAACATCACAAACTCCGTCGCCTCGAAACGAATCCTGCCTCCGCACATGCAATCAGCTGCCATGCCAAAGCGACCCTCCGAGTCACTCAAATCTGCCATGAGCAGCTCTTCCAATGCGACCCCTCAGCCGAGGAGGAAGCGCACAGATGCGGAACCCGCCACCGTCACCCCTCGCCCCAAAACCTTCTTTGACAAATCTTCCGGTATGCGCCAGATGCAGTCCGTCAGCGACATCTCTAGGCTCACAGCCGCTTCCTCCTCCAGCGATGATACCTCCAGAGCCGATGAGATCGAGCCCGTCAAAGCGTACCTCCGCATCCGACCTCCTTCCAACGATGCGCCCAAAGAGTCGGCTCGTCCTTACATCGAGGTCGTCAGCGATACCGAGGTTCTAATGCACCCTCCTTCTCAATCCGCTTATAGCAGCGGTATCCCCGGTTTCAGGTCAAGAACCGCCAGCATCGCCCCTCCGACCAAGTACATCTTCAGCAAAGTCTTTGGCAGTCAGACCAACTCTTCTGGCGCCCAGCAAGACATGTCTCAGTCCGCCTTCTTCCAGCAGACCACACTGCCCCTCGTGGAAGCACTCCTCCAGGGCGAGAGCGGCCTCATGTTCACCTACGGAGTCACCAACTCGGGCAAGAGCCACACCGTCATGGGCAATAGCGAAGCCGGAGGCGCAGGCATTCTGCCCCGCTCGCTCGACGTCATCTTCAACAGCATCAAAGGTGTCGAGAGTACCGCAAGCATCCAGCCCTCCGGTGTTTCTGGGGTTCAGCGCTTCGACAAGCAGTCTGCACAAGCCGAGGCCACTTCCAGCCTCGGTGTAAATCCGTTTTTGATTCCCAGCGTCTCCCGCCGGCTCTTCGGGGAGGCCCCTTCTCGGGCTGCAAAGCCGTCAAAGCCCATGGAGCATGACGCTACCAAGGTACCCGTAGATCGCAACCTCCGATACAGCGTTTTCGTCAGCTACGTCGAGATCTACAACGAGAAGCTGTTCGACCTCCTCGATGTCTCGCCTGGCTCCACCCTCGGTCGCTCGGAATCGGTTCGTGGCTCCAATTGGAGTCTTGCCAACCTCGCAAACGCTGCCCCGAGCTCCATTCCTGCAAGCGCTAGCAGCATCACGCTGAACCGCAAACCGCTCAGTCTCAAGAACGACCACGAGAATGGCGGTAAATACGTCGCTGGTCTTCGCGAGATCAAGGTCACCTCGGCACAAGAGGCTCGCGACCTTCTGCATCGAGGTCAGGAGAATCGCGCAGTCTTTGGTACGATGGCCAACAGGGCCAGCTCGAGAAGTCACGGCATCTTTACCATCAAAGTCATTCGCCATCATGGGGGTCTCACCACCCTGTCCGACGACGATCTCGACTCTTTCACCACCGCACGTCTCAGCATTGTCGATCTGGCAGGCAGCGAGCGTGTCGCCAACACCGGTCTGGCCAGCGGCGACCGTCTCAAGGAAGCCGGCAACATCAACAAGAGCTTGATGTGTCTCGGTCAGTGTCTCGAGACGCTCCGCAAAAATCAGGTGCGCCTCACAGGGTCCACCGAGGGCGGCCAAGCTGCGACGGTGAAGCGGCGCATGAGCATCGTGCCATTCCGTCACTCAAAGCTAACGGAGCTCTTCCAGAGCTTCTTTGTTGGCGAGGGCAAAGCTGTCATGATCGTCAACGCGAACCCTTACGATACGGGCTTCGATGAGAATTCGCACGTCATGAAGTTCAGCGCTATCGCCAAAGAGGTCGCCGTTCCTCGTCACACGGGCGCCGTAACCAAGATGTTGCCTCCGCTCCCGCCCGTACAAGAGCGCGCGTCAGGATCTCGCTCGCTGCCCAAGTCAAAATCGAGCATCGACATCATCCCATCAGACAGCGAGACTAGCGCAGATGTCACCATCATCGAGGACGACGAAGAGCTCGACGACGAGAACCACGACTCTTTTGTCGACATGCTCGTCGAGAAGCACGAGGAGCTGCGCCAGAAGCTGCATGCTGCTGAGCTCCGCTGCGCCACCATCGAGGCCGAGGTGCGACAGGAGATGGCCGATGAGATGGAGCACCGTCTCCTCGAGATGGAGGAGTTCTACAACCGCAGAATGATGACCGACGCCGAGCAAAATGCACAATTCACCAATCGCAAGATCGACTTGCTCGTCAGTACGCAAGCTCGAAACGAACCAGACCTTAGTACTCAAGGCGATTCCGAGTTGCACCTCTCCGATATGAGCGTCAGCGATGACGACCATTACGAGTCTGGACACGACGAGGCGGAGGTCGAAGGTGCACTTGCTTCCAAGAGAGGCGGCGGTCTGGACCGCAGCATGAGCGAAGTCAGCGCTAGTGATCAGGACAGCGTGTTTGACGATGCAGTCGAGGGTGACATCTCAGCGCCCATCGTCATTGACGACGATTCCGAACAGGAGCAAGCCTCTGACGGCGAACATGATGACGACGACGAGTCTGCCATCCTCAAGCCAGGGAGGATTCCTCAGCGCCGAGCAGCCAGCCAGGGCAAAAACTACGCCATCTCCGAATCCTCCATCTCCGAAGCAGGAGAAGATGATTCTGACCTTGAGTCGGAATCTGACGCAGCGTCGGCGAGCGACGAGGACGACGACAACATGTCTTCAGCTGTCAGCGCTGCCGGCGACGACGAGAACGACAGCAGCGACGACAGCGACGCTGACGAAGATGACGATCCGGACAGCAGTAGGCTCGCAGCCGAAAGAGGCGAGACGCAGGCCTTCATTGAGATCGCGTCCAGCTTGCCCGACGGCAGCCTCGATTCTATCGCCAGCGCTCCTGTGGCAAAAGATTCGGACTCGTCCTTCGACGATGGCAGCGCCTTCTCTGACAGCGACGAGGACGAAGACTCTCGATCCGCACCACGTCCGCCACAACGCAAATCCGGTCGCACCAGCAACGTCAACAACAGCGCTCGCGGCAGCAACGGCAGCACTGCCACGACCCGCGCCCGTCGCTCTTCGAACAAGCCGCGCAATTCGGTCATCGACCTAGCTGGTCAGCTCACAGACCTGAGTGACGCCAGCATGGTCGTCGAAGAGACCGTGACGCCTAAGAAGAAGCGCAAGCTGCGCAAGAAGGCGGCCGTGCAGGAAGACGACTGGGTCGAGCAGATCGGTGACTCGAGCCTCGTCGAGGCGGTCTACTCGACCAACAATAATTCAGCCAGGGCATCGGGCGCGAGTCGGGCTTCGCGCAGCTTCAGCAGTCGAAAGTCTGGTCGCTATTGAGGAGTGGCCGAGAGCCAGTGCGCCATACCATCTCTTGCTCTTTCTATCATCTCATCGTCCAATACCCATCTGTCTCGTTCTTCGATCTCGTGTGAATGTCTTCATGAGATTATGTGATGAGAAGAGGGCTTGACCAGCTTCGTGCGTGAGCAGATCAACGATGTCTGTCGTCTCATACCAGGCTTGCCAAGCGGTCGCCGCTGATGTCTCGGTCTGCGTCCATGGCTTGCGACCATGACGCACACAAAACGAGCCGGTCTTCAGCAAGGCTCCGAATTGACATCAGGTGGTTGCTGCACCCATCGGTCAAGCTGGAGGTCGTCAACGTTCAGAGACAGCACTTGGTGCGCTGACAGCTGCCGCAGTACATCCCTCACCTCCTGAGCTTGCGGAAATGCGGTCAGAGTTGCTGTCTCCGGGGTCTCTTTGGGTTGGACCTGATGGTCGAGTCGCTCGAAGTCCAGTTGAGTGCCCGTCGCTGGCGAAGCTCGTTCGCTTGACCTCACTGCTCGTTGTTCTTCTCGCTGAACGAGACTGATGTCCCTTTCGCCCCCCCATCTTGCAGTCGCTTGATCTCTAGACCCACGAAAGAGCCCATCGTCTGCAGCAGGACCGAGCATGGCCGCTCAACACCATCGTTGTCGCTGTTCAGTCTTGTTTGCGCGAAGCATTATCCATTCTGAGCTACGGCGCCGGCTCCCCATCCCCTTTGATCGCCCCGATGAAGAGCACACATACGCTCCGACTATTTCCCAAGCATGCATCTCTGTCCTCGTCTGCGCAGGAGTGACCTTCGCCTCGCGTGGCTACTCAGTATGCGCCTTCTCGTAATACTACTTGGCGCGGGAGCCACTGCCTCTCGGTCGCCATCATGGCTTGCTCAATTGGACTGACGGCAGTGGGAGAGGGTCGACGGATTCGTCGTCTCCGGGATCTTCACCTTGTCGGCATGACGATGTGATGTGACCGCGTTCGCTCGACTGAATTGCACGGGCGAACAAACTTTTTCCCGACTGGGAAGCCGATTTGACCTTTGTGGGCGCAATTTGTGGGCCCTAAGCATTTCTGACCTCGAAAAAGACCGACAAAAGATCCGATTGATCAGATTGAACTCAAAGATGAGATTTTGCAATTGGCATCGATTGCGCATTCGACGTGTTGCACTCAAATTCACAAAGATGAGCAGAATCGTGCTTATATTGTTCTTTTCAATGTTTTTTGACACTTCGCTCGATTTCTCGACCCCGCTTTTTAGCTGACATAGCAAAAACGACTCTCACAACTGCGAAAATCCGTTGCGAAGTGCCAATTTCTACGAAATTTTATCAACTTGTTTATGTGGGTGACCCTAAGCATCAAGCATGAGGACTTCAAAATATGCTTGCGTAGCCTTATTTGGGCCGACGTCGGCGACTCAAACTTCACAGCCGGGATTTTGATCAGCACTTTCGACAAAAGTTTCGTTGGACGACACATCTCCACAGGGTTGCGTTGACTCGGGCCTTGTCAGTGTTTTCTTCGTCGCTGACAATTTCTCTCACCAAAGGTAATTCACGTGTTTGACTCGGTGGCGCATCCGTTGGATGAGATTGGGGACACCAATGAAAGATTGGCCCCAGCTCCGTCGCCGACCTTCTCCAAGGTAAGGGACGATGGCGAGCAGGGTGGGACGTCTCCGGTGCCGACCCGGCGGACGACGTGGGCTTGCACTATTCCCAAGCATGCCGACACCAAATGATGAAGTGGGGCCATCATTGCGATCGCGAGGGGAAGTCCTCCGAGCTTGTTCAAAGGTCGGCTCAATTGGTAAGGGACGAAGCGGAGGCATAACGAGGCGAGGGGAACGGCCGGCAGCCCGAGGGATAGGGCAAGGCGCCAACCCGATTGATCTCGCTCAGGCTCACAAGCTGACGGGGACTTAAAAGAGGTGATGGTGAAGTGTATGCTGATTGAATGCGATGCTAATGCTGCAGGAAGGTGAACTCAGAAGTCCATCGAGTCGCTGATCATGCGTGCCTTTCCGGTCTTGGCTTTGCCGCCGGCGTGAGCTCTGCCGCCCTTGCCAGCGTGTGCCTTGCGTCCGTGATGCTTCTCGGCGCGACGGGCAGCTTTAGCGCGATCGGTGGCCACCAATTGGGCAATTTTGGAGTCGTCACCGTCAAGCAAAGCTTTGCGGGCAGCACCGCGGGATGGCTTGACGCCGTTTTCCGCTGCCGCCTTGGCTGCTTTGCGCTCTTTCCTGGTGAGTCCGTCGTCCTCTTCCTCTTCGCTCGTGGCATCCGTCCCGGACTCATCCTCGTCTGAGCCCTCCTCATCCTCGTCGTCCTCGTCTTGTTCCTCGTCCTCTTCGTCCAATGAATCCTCGTTCTCAGGATCCGCGACCTCGATCATCCCCTCCGTAGTGCTGAGACGCAGGGAGGACATGTACTGCGAAGTCATCAATCAGGAAAAAGTGTTTGTCAGTCTCACCGAACTCCAGCGTCCATACTCTTGTTTGAGGCAGCAGGGTGTACTTACCTGTTCAAGCTCGCGATCTTGTTTCGATCCACCAAATCCACTAGCCTTGGCGAGAAGATCGAGACGCACGTCGCCGGTCCCTGTTGTTGCTGCACCCTCCTCGCCCTCTGCGGCTTCGGAGTCTGGCGCCGGTTTTGGTAGCTTCGTTTGCTTACGTGCATATTCTGGCACGACATCTTGGAAGCGAGGAAATTCGTCGGACTGGTACCGGAAGCGCTTCCGGAAAAACCTGCGTACGCACTCGACGTCGCGGTCGAAGTAGCTGATGAGGGCGGATGTAAGAAGGTGGTCAGCCACTGTCGCATCTTGCAGCCAGACCTGGCTAGACTCAGGTCCTGCACTTACTATTCGGCGTTTTCGTGGTTGATGCTGACCATCTGCGGGAAGTCAATAAGGATCGGTTCAACGGTGACATCGTCTCCGAGATGGACCTGGCCCTCTGACGCGCCCTCATCGTCTTCTTCTTCTTCTTCCTCCTCATCCTCTTCATCTGCGGACCCATCGTCATATTCATCGTCCTCCGCGACCTGTAATGATGCTGATGCCACCACCCTCTGGAATCCGTTGCCGCGCTCAATTTCCTGTCCTTCCGCGAGATCTGCTTCGAGACCATCATTCTCCGCTTGGCGAGGCGCATCGCTCTGTTCCTGCCGACTCGTGCTCGCTGGCTCTGACTTCTTGGCTTGCGCCGCCCTGCCCGAGTCGGACTCGTAATCATCATCGCTGGAGGTTGTGACCTCTCGGATGAGCAAGTTGAACTCGTTGAAGTCACCGTGGATGAGACCAGCTCGAGCGAGACGGACGATGAGCTTCATGAGAGCCGAGTATAGATGCGGAATCTGATCTGGTGGAAGTACGGCGATTTGTCGGAGTGGGAAAGCGTCGATGTAGGACATGACGATGCAGTGGCGAGCTTGATCGATAGGCTGTGGCACCGGGAAGCCGTGCTCGTGGAGAATCTTCATGAAGGCGTACTCCTTGGCTGCGGCGAGGCGACTCATGTACATCCAGCTGGCGCTCTTGCGTTTGCCCATGTAGTCACGCTTCTCCTTGATGGCTCGGAAACTGATTCGACCGAGACGGTGGATCTTGAGAACGCGCTGCTCCTGGTCTGGCGAGGAGACAATCATGATGTCGCTTTCCTTTCCTACACCGATACGCCTTCCGACGGCAGCGACGCTGTCTCGCTTGGAGAACGCACGCAGCGCAAGGTAGTCGTACCCTCCGTATGTGAGTCGATAGCCGTCGTATTTTGTGTTTTGCACTCTGGCGATGAGGTTGCGCTTCGCCAGAGATCCAAGAAGTTTGTTGATACCAGAGTGATGAAGACCGCAGATCTGAGCGGCAAGCGTCGAGGGGACGACTTCATGATTTTTGGAGCCCATCTCGACCGCAGTCAGGACGCGGAACTCCTGACTGGAGATGTAGCGCAGGTCCGTTGCATCCAACCTCATGGTGGGCGAGCGTCTGCGTTGGAGCTACTGGTAGTGAGGATGCAAGGTCAAGATGATGATGGTGAGGAGGTGGTGAAAGTAGCAAGAAGAATTCAGGCTCCACGGAAATTTTGTCAAAAAAAGTTGAGCCACGCTGAAGAGAGGACCCTGCAGAGCGGCGAGCTGTGAGTTGTGTTATATGTGATTTTTCCGAAATGTTACATCGACTGGCAATGACGAAACCAGAGAGGGGCCCGCAAAAAAAAAGAAACGGCGTCGATCCTAGAGAGGGTTCAGTTGCTTAAGCGACTTGCCTGCTGCAGCAAAACTACTGTTGCAGTCAGGCAGCAGCCAACTCCACATGCACGCCCATCCGGGCAGTTCATCAGTCTAATCCCAACATCCAAATTCGGCAGTGATATTGAGCTGAGTTGCCTCTCGTCATTGCACTCGTCCACCCTTGCCATCCACCGACGACCATACAGAGAGGCATCACGCTGCATTCACACCAGCGTTGGCACTCATTCATCATGCACGCAAGATTCATCGCCGTCACCTTGGCATCCCTTTCCCTGGCCTCGCAGGCTCTGGCATGGGGTTGCTTCGGCCAGGACTGCAACCAGGCCGCCAACCAGATCGCATTCTCAGCACCCCAAGCCGAGAGTCACAGCGGAAAGACCAAAGCGTCGGCGTGGGAACCTACTCCTGGTCAAGGCTGGCAATGGGCTAGCTGCGGAACCGGCGACGAAGTGGTCGACATCGACAGCATCGTTGTCAGCCCTGACCCGCCTGTTCCCGGCCAGAACCTCACCGTTCGTGCCAAGGGCACCGTCAAGGACGAAGTCAGCGTAAGTATCAAGTCACTGACCCTTACGTGCTGGATGCGCTTCAAAAGAGCTGACCATGTCTTTCGACCTTCACACCTCTGATACAATTGCATCAGGACGGAACATTCGCAGACGTCGTGGTCAAGCTCGGTCTCATTAGGCTCCTTGCTCGTCGGTTCGACGTTTGCGAGCAGGCGAGGGAGGCCAACGCCGAGATCCAGTGCCCAATCTCGGCTGGCGACTACGAGCTCGAGCAGACCGTCGCTCTGCCCCGAGAGATTCCACCCGGCAAGTTCAACGTTCACGTCACTGGCCAGAACCAGGACGGATCAAACCTGCTCTGCCTCGACCTCAGCATCCAGTTCGGCTTCCGTCGTTAAGCAGTTCAAGAAATCTTGCCGCTTTCGTCCAGCCAGCTCCGATCTGCAATGTCAAACAATGCTGGCAGCATACATCTCACACGCATACGAGGAATAGACCAATCAATGCAAATTTTGCAGTCTGACCTTCTCGCAGCTGCTGTCCTTGTGTTCGCAGACTTGACGATATCAGTGTGCCGAGTGAGCATGACGAGCAGAGCACACAGACGATTGGCTCGATGGCCCGGTGCAAGGTTTCGTGGCTATTCAAATTTCATGAAGACGACATCAACGGTGCGATTCCGATGAAAGACAGTGCAGTGTCAAAAAGGTACAAGATGCGACAATGCGAGAGAGCGAGGGACGTGCAGGGAGCGAGACATATGTGAGCGGTGACTAAAGCAGAAGCGGGCTAGTTGAACGTGAGAAGGGCAAGGCCGACTGATGTGGCGACGATGGCTTCCGCGTGTTTGGGAAGGACGCTCGGCTTATCGGCGGCATCCCACCAGGTGCGGCCTTTGGTCAGGCGATTGATCCAGCCAAAGCTGTCTTCGTCAATGACGAAACGGTGAGTGCCACGATCGCTCTTGACGCCATCCTGCGTTCCTGGTCCACGGTAGCGAGAGTGGGTGGCTCCGCGCAGCTCCCATCGACCCTGGAACTCGGGCTGTAGAGAGACTGCGACGGGTGCGACCTCGCTGGAAGCATGGCAGTGAAGCGGAACTTCACGTTGATGGCCAACAAACTCGAGCTGGATCGAGCCAGTCTGAGATTGTGCGTCGACTTTGACGAGATCCGTCTTGCCCAGACCAGGCGCATCGAGTCTTGCAAGGTCAGGCTTCTCGACGTTGACGGCTGCCTCGATTCGACCGGTCTGAGAGCGCAAGCTCAATGTATGATTAACGTTGAATACGGCGCTCTCTGCTATGATGCCTCCGTTGAGCGACTCTGACCGCAGTGTGGTTGCTCGGAGGCTAGTGTGCTGTCCGACGCGGATGTGCCCATTCTGAGTTTGCAAAGTGAGGTCGTACGCCGCCTCGAGCTTCGAATCCTGGTCAATGTCAAGATGACCATTCATCGTCTTGAACTCCAAGGACTGAGCTTCGAAGGATCCACCGATGTGGAGCTTGCCATTCGATGTGGTGAGATGAATGTCGGCAAGAGCGCGGATGGACGCGGACCGCAACTTGCCCACTTGGGTTCGGGCGTGCAGCTTTCCGAAGTAGAAATCAGGCCTAGCTGGCGGATCGCGAGAACGAAGGCTACGTGACCGGGTATTCCTTTTCGCAGCAGGCGGAGACTGGAAGAGATCAATGTTGGAGGCACCTGCGTCTACTGAGAGCGTGGGGATGTTGACGTGAGGGGGGATGATGACCTTGACGTCGTAGACAAGCGGGCTTTGCTCGGTCGAGACCGCTTTGGCATAAGTTAAGATCTCGACGCCCTCGTCATAGAGACCTCGCTTCATCTTTGCGACCAGGCTCGTGTCAAAGAGCTTCTTGTAGGCCTCGTCGTAGTGAACGGTGATCTCAACCTTGACCAAGTCCTTCTCAGCGGCCGGAACATCGTCGTCCTGATGTACTACAGTGACAGTGCCAGGAACGCTTCCAGCAGGTGCAGGGCGATCATCTCTGAGAGGATCGACATCGACAAAGATGGACTCCGTGGATGCGAAACTATCTTTGGCCTTGTTGGGATTGAGAAGGAAGCTCGAAGTCTGCATGCACTGAACTCGGTTGGTGCCTTTGATGGAGGCACAATTGTGCCATTGCCACTTAGCCTCTTCAACGATGTGACCGTCCTCATGAAGCGGTGCTGGTTTGGTAGAAGGAATTTGAGAATAGTCCCAGTCCTGATGGAGGCCGGCGCCGATATTCTCGCTGTAGTCCTGGGTGAGGGCGGGGCCTGTGAAAAGCACGAGAATCCAAAGCCCAACGATGAAGACGCTCGCCTGTGCGAATCGATTGGTGGGCCAGCAGCGCATGACGCCCTTGTAGCAGCCGGAGAAGGCGGTGGAGCAGGTCAAGAGGTCGCCATCACTGGTGCGAGGAAAGCAAGCTTGGATGTGCTCCTTGGTGGTTCTGGATATTGAGAACCACGCGGCCGGGTTCCATCGGGATTTGTGACGTGCATCGATGCGGATCGTATCATCGTACGAGGGCGGAAGCGGTGGATACTTTGGTGAAGAGGCGGCGTCGTCGTCGGCGCGTTGCTCTTCGGCGAGGCTATCATCGATGGCGAAACGAGTGTCGAGCTCGACAGCTTGATCGTCAAGCAGAGGTTGCTGATCTCGATCCAACGAGCGGCGTGAACGGTCCATGATGGTGGATGATCGACGGCAAAGCGTCTTGCTATCCCCAGAGTATTGACTGACTCTGCGACAAGAACGGCTGCTGTGCTCGGTGGTGAAGGAGGGAGAGGATGGTGTGGTATGAAGGTGAAGCAAGGCAGTCGGAACCTCATTCCCGAATTTGAGTATTCTCGGCTGATTTCACGTCGACAAAGCTAAAGCTGAGCCGTCGAGTGCTGATCTGATCTGTCTTGGCTGCAGCCTGCATGCCCCGCCTCGTCAGGCACAGCTTGGCGTTCGCGACACTCTAACATCGCTGCATTCCAAGCCGGGAATCGGATCTTGTTCTGCACCCTGAATTTGGCTCGTTGACGTTTCTTCTCAAAGTTACACAACCAACACGTTGAAGCCCTACGTATGTCCATACGACCCACCAGCGCCGTTCGAAGCAACTAGCTGCAGGAGCTACTGAACGGGCGGATGCTGCAGATCACTGCTATTACAGCAGTCGGTGCTGCGCGTCAAGCACTTCTGGCTGGGCTAGTACCGCCATGCTCTAGCTTGGGAGCTAGAAGAGGGTACAGCACTGCAGAAGCCTCCTTTCGCGTGCATGTGCCCAAAGCCAGTCGGCAGAGCAACAGACGAGAAGCGACATCAATCACACGGAATGCAGGACGCCAAGCGTATCGCAACTCGAAGCAGCGCTCATCGACAATGTCCAGCACTTCCTTCCTCCCACCTCCAAACAAGCGTTTCCTCGCGCTTGGTCCACACCAGACGCCGCAGACTGCAACAGGGTTCTCAGGAAATACGGATTCGCAACTCATCACGCTACAGAGGGCCATAGATGGCCAAGACATCACCTCGATATCCTCCGCGTGGCCAGACTTCGCCAGTAGCGTCTACCAAGTCGGTCATTCCGATCATCGCAAACTTCTGCGCCTCTGCTCTTCCTACGCTTCCCACTTCCAAAACGCAACCCAGGCTCAGGACTGGGCGCCTCGCTTCAAGGTCTTCGCCAAGGCTGCAGCACTGACAGGAGACGTCGACCTGATCCAGGACTGGTTCAAGCTTCTCCTTGCAAACGGGCAAGCTGAGGACGTTGTCGCCATTTGGCAGAACATCATCGCTTCGCGCCTAGAGAACGGACCCGGTCAAACTCTGTCCACAGAGGATGTGTCCGAGTCAGAGGCCCTGGCGGACGCGGATCAGGACACATTCGTTCGACTGGACATCTCGAAGGACGGGAGCAGAGTCGACATCCACGACATGGTCTGCCTCGTTGTGCTCGCAAGTGCTAACTCAAGCCGCGCGTCTGAGTTCGTGGGTCTCTTTGACAAGCTCGAGATTGGATCGCCGTTTCGACTCTTCTTCAACTTGTCTCGCGCCAAGCGCTTCTTCTCGTCCTTGTCTCCCTCCGCATCTCCCGCGAAGAATGCGCGCGAGCTCCAGAGCTGGGACGCGATGCAATCTAAGCTGCGGGATGCCGAACTCGCCCGTGGTCTCTCCTCTGGCTCTGGCGGGCCCCAACGTATAGCGAGGCTTCTTGGATCCTTGTTCCACTTGCGGCAGATCGACGAGGCATATGCTATCTTTCAGACAGCGATGCAAGCTTCTTCCGGTCCAGAGGCATGGCTTGCGCTCGAATCACCCGGCGGGATCGAGGCTTCTTCACCTGCCCTCAGAGCCCGATGGACAGAAAGCTGCTGGTCAGTCTGCCTCTCCAACTTCATTGCTCTAGGTCGCACTGACCTCGCCATGGACGTCTGGAAGCAGCTCCAACGAAGACGAGTCCGTCCGACGCCACGCATATGGAACGCGTTGCTAGACGGATACGGACGCGCCAAGAACCACGCCGCTGCCCTGCAGACATGGTCGACTGCGGTCAAACAAGGCAGCACCGATTCTGCCACGTCGGAAGAGCTGTCGGGAAAGCTACCGGACGAGCAAATGTACACCACCATGATCAACATCCACTTCCGAGCCAAGCAGGTCGACGAAGCGATGGCTCTTCTTTCTGACATCAAAGCCAAAAGCGACAGATCCGGAGGCCAACTTCGCGTTCAAGTCGAGACATTCAACGCTGTCCTACACGGCCTGTTCCTCAATCGAATGCACGCACAGGCACAAGGCCTTCTCGACGAGATGATCTCCAAAGGCCCGGCGCCCAACATCGGCACCATCAACACATTCGTTCGAGCCCATGCCAGGGTAGGTGACCTTCAGTCACTAGCAACGACGCTGCGACTGGCGGACAAGCTCAGGCTCACACCGGACATCGTCACCTTCACCACAGTCCTGGATGCTCTACTTCGCGATGGTGGCGAATCAGCCACGGATGCGGTCGTCAAGACCCTGGGAATCATGAACGACATGGGCGTACAAGCGAACGTCGTCACGTATACAGCGATGATCAAGGCTTGTTTGGTAGGTGCAGAAGCAGCTCAGCTTGACCTAGCGTCGCAGAATCTGCTGGGCGACGCGGACGGAAGGAAGTATGGAAGGCGATCGTCGAACGAGGCGCGCATCGAAGCAGCGCTGGAGTTGCTCGATCGGATGCATGAGGCCAAGGTTGCACCCTCCGAAATTGCCTACAGCGCTCTGATTGGCGGTTGCTTGCAGAACTCAGACGCCGTGGCTCACGCCTTCTCGACAAAGGCCCTACCCGACCACTACTTGACATCCCCAAAGCTGCTAAAACGCCTAGGAGAGACACAGCAGACCATGCACCAGTGGTTCAAGAACTCGCCTCACATCTCCTTAACCCTGCTCCTGCTCGAGCGCATGAAGGGACGTGGTCTCTCGCCAACATCGACGACGTTCCGCTTCCTCATTGAAGGCCTGTGCAGCCCGCACACCGACCAAGCGGCTTTCATGCGATCTATGGATCTTATCGATGACATGCTCCTTCGTACGCCCCTCTCGCAGCCATCACGTACATTGGGGCCGTTCGCATTGACAACACTGAAAGGCGAAGACGCCTTGCTCGCGACGTTGCACGTCCCGAGCTTCAAGACATGGATCACCATCTTCAGCTCGCTCATCGACCGGCTCGAGAATGGACCCCGAGACAAGGTGGCCGTGACGACCGGCGCCAGAGCGTTGAACACAGCCATCCGCCTTGTCCGCGAGATGGGCTCGCTGTCAGGAGCCGAAGGCGGCATGTCGCTCTCGCGTCTCGTGGAACGAGCTGCTTCGCTCACATCCAAGTTGTCTCGCTGAAGCATCAGATGCGAATGAGATGCAAATCAATGTCATTCCTGTGTGCACAGAGCTGTGAAAAAGCGTGTGATCAAGCAAGAACTGCTTGCCTCTCCTCCGCCGGTTGCGCCTTTGCTGGCTGTCGTTCGGGCTGCGTTACGGGTTCTTGTGCGATTGGCTCGGTCTGTGGTGCTGATGGCAACGAGATGGTTTGCTGCGGCTCGTCGGTGCGGATGCCGGCTTCGCGCTCGAGAGCCTCGAGCTCGGATTGGACGGCGTCTTCCTCTTCGGCGGTCATTTGTGATGCCAGCATCTCGTCGATCTCCTGTTGTGTGGGCAGATAGATCGAACGTCAGCAGCTGTTTACATGGAACGGCAAGACCGTGCGGCTCTCCGAAACTTACACGTTGGTAGGCCTGTGCCTCGGCGGTCTCCTCCATCAGCCTCTCGACCGACTCGGGGTTCATCTCCTTGTGGATCTCCTTGAGCACTGCGTTACCTTGTTGCAGGCCGAGCATGACACTTTGTTGGATTTGGGAGAACTCGATTGACGACACCTGTGCGGCTCGAACGAAGCAGATGTAAGCGAATTGCTTCTGTGCGTGCAATGGTGGGGGAGGGCACTTACAAGGCCTTCGAGCGTTTCAAGCTGCGAGTCAGTCTTCTGTATCAAGCTCTCCTGGTACTTTCTCCTTCGTAGTGCCGTCAGCGCTTTCGTCTTGTCGCCCTTTGCGAGGCATTGTCGTGCGATCTCGTGCTCGCGGTCGAGGATGACTTGGATCTGTGAACGGACGAAGCAAGATTTAGGGGTCCGGGGTCAACAAGTGCAAGGCAGGTCACAAGGGCCGAGGCCACGGCTCACCTTCTTCTGGTACTGCTTGATGCGGTCACGTTGGAGCTTCAGACTATGGAAAGGAGCGTGTGATGGGACAGATGAGTGAGCGAGTGTCAGCATGCTTCTTTTCTAGCGATGATAGACTCGAGGCGGAAGCGACTCACTCCAAAACAGCGCGATCGTGCGGGGTGATCTTTGGACCCTTGGAGCTGGTCGCGCCCATCTTGCGTGCTGGTCCCGACTGATCTGAGAGGGCAGTGACGACTTCGACGTGCGGCGATGTCTGTGAGCTGGCGGACCCTTGACGAAGTGCCGATGAGGATGCCTTGGCGTGTCGCTGCTGCGCCGGTCGTGCAGGTAAGATGGTGATGGTGTCGAAAGGGTCGCACGCAATCTCGGCTAGATGTGGAGTTGTGCGACTTTTTCTGCGATTGCGACCCTGCAGCTGCCAAAGCGCGTGCGTTTTTCCGCTGTCACAAGAGTTCACGTAGCGCAGTCTTGTCACAGTCACTGTTGACACACGTTGGAATCACACGCAGAAGATCCGAATGGGGTAGCACCACACGTGAGAACAAGTTTGAGAGATGCAGATGTGGATTGAAGTCCATCCGATAATGCCCAGTGAGATACAAATACAAAAGACATGATGCTAAGATGCGAAAAGGTGACTGATAAGGAGGCTGAAGCATCGATGCTTCGGACCATCGAGCTGCGAATGCTTCGTGCGAATCGTTGGGTCATGAGATTTTAGGCTGGTCTTACTGCCTCCAAAGAGGCGAGACGGCAGGGGCTTCAGGCGAAGTGTTGCCGGCGCTAGGTAGCTGGGTGTGGAGTGTCGCGCTCTGTCGGCTAAAGGTGGTCGCGACGTCGTCAAAGGACTTGGGCTCGTCGTACTTGGACGTCTTGTGGCTGATACTGGTGAAGCCAAAGTTTGGACGCAGGTGGGTGGGCGCACCCGTGGGAGTGGTAGGAGTCGAAGCGGTAGTGGCCGAAAGAGCTCGGAGGGAAGCCGAAGGGCTGAAGAGAGGAAGGCTGAGCAGCTTGGGAACGGACCAGGATCGGGTCAGAGTCGCCTTGTCCTCCGATGCCAACTTGCTGTTGCGCTCGCGACGACGACGCAGAAGCTCGCCAGCCTCGGCATTGAGCTCCTGCGGGGTGGTCGACGAACGACGGCGGGGCTCGAGAGGCGAGAGCTGAGCCGGCGACGCGCGCTCGTCGGATGAATTATCGCTGCTTGAAGCCACGAGCCTTTCGAGCGCGGACGATCCGAAGTCGAGCGCCATCTCTGCCAATCGAAGCACAAAGTTGCCGCCGTAGCTTCGGATGATGTCGCTCTGCGCTTGATCCGAGTCGACATCTCCGAACAATTTCGGCTGAGCCTGAGAAACCGAACGCGGCAGTTGCATCGACGAACGGCGCTTCGAGATAGTGCGGCGTGACGCTTTCGGCGAGCAAGAGTGTCGACGTTGCTCGCGAAGACGGATGATGCCCGCCGCAAGCTGTGCCTCGGGATCCTGATCACCGGCATCGCCGTGGCAAGAGCCGTCCGATTCAGAGCATTCGATGCGCACAACAGGAGGACTGCAAGTCTTTGGAGATGGACCGACGGTTGCGATGGGAGAAGGTACCTCGATTGATGCCGAAGATGAGCTAGGAAGAGTGGAGACGTTGAGAGAAGGCAGACGAAGCGGCTGGGCAGTGTCGATGCTGAGTGGACGCGCAGGCATCAATCGGGTTTCAGAGCCGATGTTGGATCTGCTCCTGTGCAAAGTGGGAGCCTCGTGGGTGGTGGAGGATGAGGCGATGGAAGGAGCGGTCATGGAACGAGCACGGATCGACTCGGCGGGGAAGCTCCATGCATCGGTGAATGGGAGTGTCGAAGATCGACTGCGAGCATGATAAGCAGAGCTGAAGCTGTTGCTAGCAGACTGAGAGTCGTAGTCGAACGCATCATCGTCCGTATCGCTCGACTCGTCGCTGTCGTAGTTCAACGTGCTGGTGACAGGTGCGAGCCAGTTGGCACTCCAGCGGTTGAGTTCGCTGTGTCGGCTGCTACGTCGCTTCAGGAGCTCGTGCTGGTAGTCGAGGCCCGAGGCGTCCGAGGCAACACGGCCAAGGAAGTGGGTGCGAATGAAAACGGGATCATTGTCGGAAGGAGCTGGTGCAGAGTATGTGAGAGAGACCATGCTGAAGAAGGATTGCTGCGTGTGTGGTGGTGGTGATGCCGAGTGTACGGTGGATGGGGGACAAAGAGGCTTCTTTATTAACCGCCAAGATTGTATATATGATTCCGAACCTCTCTCGAGAAGAAGGCTGCGATATGGCACTCAAGGCACAGCCTGTCAAGAAAGCTCAGAAGGCACAGACGAGAGGGCGGCGGCGAGCGGCGGCTAAGCACATGCCACCCTTGTCAGCTGCAGGACTAAGCACCCTGCCCGAGTTCAAATTCGTTCGAACAATGAGGCAGAAACCTTGCGTTCAATGCATGGCCCAGATTTTCGAACAGCAGCAACGGCAACTTTGACGGCAGGCCAAGTCAGGGGTCAAGGCATGCTCGAGCCTGTAGGAGAAGCCTAGCCGGAGACGCCACAACTGCCGAAGTTCACGGGCCATAGCCGAGAAACCGAGATGGGTAGTGGGTGGCTGACTGACTGGCTGGCTTGCTGCAGAGAACGTAAAACTGGAGAAATTCTTGCGAACGCTGTGGCGCAAAGAATAAAACGTCAACCCAGAAAGGGCACCAGGCCAGTGAGTGTTCCTTTGCTCGCAGAAGAGTGCGGGGCAAAAAGAAGAGGAAAGAAATAGGCTTCTCGTGGCCATGTGCCTGCAAGATGCACATCACATTTCGTCAGTCGTGCCGCCTGCAGGCTGCAGAGTGCAACCCTCATCCGCCTGCCACGGGCGTGGCGCTGCGCTTATCGACCGTCTGGCCTCCTTGCCCGAAACTCGTGCATTGCAATTCACCGCAAAAGCTTCTTGAAGAGACCTGTCACATCAGACCTTGCGGCTCTGTCATCAAGTGATCCTCACCTGGAGCTTGAAATGGGCAGAGATGCGTTATCACCCTAGGACGCGGCCGCGGCCGAGCTCGAATAGACACAGAATGTCGAGGCAAAAAGACGGGTGAGCTGAGATTGTTTGCCAGCCTTTTGTTTGCCAACAAAATTTCAATTTCATTCTTTCCTCGCCGTCCCGCGTTTGCAATCTCAAAGTGCGGCAACCAATCAAGCCTGCGCATGGCTTGCAAGGCTTGCTCAGGTACGCGCCGGAAACCCACGGGCTGCAGTCGATCAGATCATCTTTGGCAGCCACGGCTGGCATTACGGCATCGTAGAACAGTGCAGTGGCCTATCAACGCCGGCAGACATCTACTGTAGGCTAGTGTCGAGCAAAATGAGACAATATCGAGACAGCCTGACAGTCGGCAGTTGGCATAGGAAAGAGGGTCGCAGCAAGAGTGCCGTTGGTCAGAGTGAAGTCGGATTGGTTCCGAGATCCTCCTTGTTCGTTGTCCGCCACAGTCGTCGTTGTCGATTCAGCCAGGGTTTGCTTGTCTCAGGTAGCGCGCCGCGGAACACCACAAAGAGTCAGTGAAGACTGCCATGTGCTCTGCAAGCCCAGTCTCAGAACTTGGCTCTCGAGGATGGGTCAAGAGGTGGGGGGAGGGGAAAAAGCAAGATGTGCAAACCAGTTCGTCGGAGTCTTTCGCGCAATTAATTGTCTGAGATGCCTGCCTTTGAGGAATGTCTGTTCTGCAAGTCTGCCGGGCGAACATCTGTGACCTAAGCGAACCAAACCCTGCGACGGCAACGCGGCGGAATTCCAATTGCAGCTGGGAGCACCGTGCAGCGCTTTCTTGGCAGATCCTTCGGGGTCGGAAGCCTGATCCGCCAAGCACAACGACCTCTCGGATGAGTCTGCAGAATGAGACGAGAAGGAGCTTGTGGCATGTTCCGACTCTGCTTCATGCTCAGGAGCATGCTATCAATTCCTTCAAGTAGCCTCAGCCACGCGAAGGTTTCGTCGAAATTTAGACTCGCCTTGCAGGGCTCTCCTTCAATGTGCAGAGTGCCGAGACAATGGAGCCCCATATCCTGCAAGCCTGGTTGGTTCACGTCTTGCCTGCATAACCGCATTCCTGTTCTCTTGATTGGCTTGATTCGCAGTCCATCGCAACAATGGGTCCCGACGGCACTCGGCGGCCGTGGATATCGCTTGACGATAAGGTGATGGCCAGCCAATAATGGGCGCTCCACTTTCTTTGTAGATCAACACCCAAACACGCACCACACAACCCACGGGCAAAGGCTGTGCCGTCTCTATTACTATCAAACGGCGTAGCGAAAGACTAGGTCTCAGATCCGACACGAGGAGGGCGCTTCAGTCGCTCGGAAAGCTGCAGTCGCTACAGGTCTGAGCCCCAGGGTCATCTCGTTTTCCTCTGCCAACCCAGAAGCGAGCCACGCATTTCGCTGAGGCTCCAAGCTCTCCTGACAGCGAGGCTAGTGTGCCATGTATGATGTAATGGCCATGACTTAAAGCTTCTCCTAGCTTGATGTGCTAGCCGAGCCTCATTCGCCGTTTGCCTGAGAGCCGAGGATTTTCCAAGCTCAGCTCGCTTCATGTCACCCGAGTCACAATATTATAAGGAAATCTCGACGCCCAACACGACTCAGTTCACTTGGCCAGCCAGCCTGTTCTACAGAGAAATCCTCGAACACCAACACCTTTCGAGTGGCAACCAACACCTCAGCTTCACGTGAAGCGCGATGTAACACCATAGTCATATTTCTCATCGCCGACCCATCGTGCCCTGCTTGTCTCAACTCGGAGCGAGGCGTCCAATGGCAGCGGGGCAGCTCAGACCCGTTTGCTCGGCCCAGTCCCACTTCAGGGACGCTCGACATAACGGAATCGTCGCTCAGACCTGTGGTCCAAGATGCAGCGTCGCAAGATGACCTCAGTTGCAAGCAACGTCGATCAATCGCCGTGTGCCGAGCTGCACCGCCAGGGCGACACGGGGCTCAGGGACTTGCATCCTGGCACAATGAACAGATTGTTGTTCGGCTGAACGTAGCCGGCACGCTGCGTCGATAGCTCTTGACTGCCTTTGCCTGAGCTCTGGTCAGAAGAGCGCTTACTTTCGCGAAACCCACCCAAGAGCGAGTCTAAGCGGGACCTCTTAGCCCCTCGGCTGGGCGGCGTGGACCGTCCGTCCAAACCTGGAGAAGAAACTTTCCCATGCACCATCTTTCCGAAAAGGGACGAATTCGTGCGAGCGGCACAGTTGAGTTAGCCGAGCACTTTCGCCTCGCCCGGACCTCGAGGTCCTCAGTGGGCGTGTCATGGAATGCAACGGCATCTGAACGTCCAGGAGTAGCTTGCGTTCCAAGTCGCCGAGTTTGACCCTGGGGGACGAGCACTCATCAGGTTGCTATTTCGGCTTGGCCAGCACGATTCTGCAAGAGCACGGAAAGACCAGCCCGAGGTGGTAGCACTCTGCACCGCAGCCGGAAGCCTAATCAGGTCTGCCGTTGAGGCGTGTACCTTTCGAGAGACCCATGAAGGCCAGCAAACGGCCCGAAACGCCTTCTCTGGACTTGTCACGACGTGCTTGGCGCCGAGCCCACAGTCATCCTTTGCCAAGCACACCCTCACGGCAACTTCTTCCGCGATACACTGGCTGCGCCCACCCGCTCGGGACGTCCGGTACAACAAGAGCCATGGAGCCAAGATGCCGAGCTCGGCAGGTGCGTGTCCAGATAAGGATGGCAGATGTCAGCAGCGCTTTATCCTGTCGTCTGGGTCTGTGCGAGACGGGTTGCACGCAGCCCACCCAGGTCATCTTGTGACGATCAGCGAGCGTTTGCTCGTTTGACTTCACTGGTCTGAGCACATACGCAACTGTCTTTCGGGTTGGCCTGACGTTCACATCCTGCCCCAAGTGTGAAACAAACGGCTCACCCCGCATGGCCTGTGCGGCGGAGTTGTTTGCTGCCCCGCACATCAAACACGAAGCTGGATCATCTGAGGTATGCAATCAGTGCGGAGTCAGAGATAAGGTGGTGAGCTGATCGCTCAGCTACGAGTCAGGGATGCCGAGGCGGAGCATGAGGCGGAGAAGGCGGGGTCCAACTGATAACAATTTAACGGCGGACCATGCTGGCTAGGGCCAGCAGGGCCAGCTTCTCAGGCACGATAAGGGTCAAATCGGCATAGCGGCTGCGTAACGCACGGGGCCGAAACACTGACTTCCCCGCAATTGCGCGTCCGCTTCTTCAGGGTCGCCTTTGTCGGCGCGGAGCTAGATGCCTTGTCATTGTCGGCACACTGTCTGCTCGCAGCCGAAGCACGGTTCACAAAGTGTCTTTCGTCGCAGCCTCGTGAGCTACCAACGTCCACAATGGCCTGCAACGCCATTCTGCTTCCGGAACAGTCCCAGCTCGCGCAGATCACATGAGGAGGACCGTTGAGCGCATTCGAACGATGATAGCTGCGGGGCCAGCGGGCGTCCAAGGGGTCGCGTAACCTTGCAAAGACGCCTTTGCAGCGCTATATGGTCATCTTACCCAGCCAGAGTCTCGATTTCAGAATCACACGAGGTCGTCACGGCACCTTTTCCTGCTGGCTAGATGACCGATGTGGTGTGCTCTCAGGTCCCCGCAATCACAGCCACGATTTCCACACTTTACGGCATCCTGCATAGTGTGGAAGCGCACATGGCTAAACGTGCCTGCGTCGCCGTGTCGTAACGACGCAGACAGATAAAAACCGTGGGAAGTGGGCTGAGACGTCGATCTCCAAGTCAAGTGTCTGTCAACATCGTGTGGCGCCAATCGAAGCAGCTCGTGCTTCTGGGTAGCAGGTGGCGTGAGCGCAGTTCATGCTGTGGGTTCCTGATACGCACGAATGACAGGTGTCAAGCTGAACTCAGTAATAAGCATTACATAATGCAGGGGCAGACCCTGACGATGTCGGAAAAGGAGCGGCTTCGGCGTCATGCAGCTCTTCCGATATTGGCCTTTTACTCTCGCCTGCACGTCATCTTCAACACATCTCGGTCTGTATTCGCATATCATTCTTGATCGAGCCCTCCCAAGCAGGCCGCTACTCAAGATGGCTGCCAGCTGGAATCGGAGCTCGCGGATGCTGTTGAGTCAGGTTCAACGCAGCAGCGGCGCGAACCTGGCATCCAGCAGTAGCAGAAGCATCATTCGTGCTCGTCGGGCGGCTTCCTCCGCAGCGAGACTCATCGACGATGAGGACGCTTTCCCGCTCCACTCTTCCTCATCATCAGCAGCTTCGACGAGCTCAAGCACAGGCCTGCACGGCGATCGCAAAAGGACCTACGGACAACCGCTTCCACATTCGCATCCACACTTGTTTCCGCGGCGCGGTGTGCTTGGCTCCGAGGATGCGATACTTCGGCCTGGCGATCGACTTCCGGATGCTTCGATCTTCGACGAAGGTATCGGCCTCGTGGCGACCGAGCAGCTTACGCCGGGCATTCCCAAATCCGAATACGAAGAACGACGCAAAAAGCTCATGGACCGATTACCGGACAACAGCGTGGTTGTCGCCATGTCGGGGAGGGTCAAGAGCATGAGCGGCAATATCTTTTACAAGTTTCGTCAAGAGACCAACTTCTGGTATCTGACGGGCTTTCAAGAGCCCGACTCCGCCGTGATCCTCGAGAAGGATCCCTCCAGCCCACGTGGCTACAAGATGACCATGTTCGTCCAGAAGCGAGACGAACACAACGAGACATGGAACGGACCTCGCACGGGTCTCGATGGTGCTGTCGACATTTTTGGTGCAGACGAGAGCCAGGAGCTTGACCCTGCGATACTCTTGAATCACCTCAAGCAGATCCTGCCCAAGTACACACATATTTACGTCGAACCACCAACCCAACCATCGACGCCTCGACGCGGCGCCACAGCGACCACAAAGACGGGCAACGTCCTCAACTACCTCAGCCCACCCAGCACCGGCCCCTTGGACCTGTTCTCCAAAAAGTCCGACTTTGACGCCGTGATCAAGCTGCTCGGCGACACGCGCAAGTGTCACTCGCTCACACGCGAGGTGGAACGGCTCCGGTTCAAAAAGTCGCTCAACGAAATCCGGGTCATGAAGCGCGCTGGGCGAGCGAGCGGCGAAGCAATGGCGGAGACGATGGGCTTTGTCCGCCCCGGCGTATCCGAAGCGCAACTGCAGGCCGTCTTCGAATACCATTGCGGCCTCCGAGGGTCGCAACGTCCCGCATATGTACCCGTCGTCGCCTCAGGGGCCAACGCGCTGACGATCCACTACGTCAACAACGACCGTCTCGTTGGGCCGAATCAGCTGGTCTGCATCGACGCTGGCGGTGAGCTGGACGGCTACGCATCCGACATCACGCGTGCCTTTCCCTCCAACGCCGACGGCATGTTTTCGGAACCGCAGCGCGATCTGTACAGTGCAGTGCTCAACGTGCTCAAGTCGTGCACCGCACTTGCGACCGAATCGCAGTGCTACACGTTGGCCGACCTGCATCGTCGATCGGTGGACTTTTTGCGTCAGGAACTCAAGCAGATCGGCTTTCAACTCACCGGCGGGTCGCTCGAACGCATCCTCTATCCACACTACATCGGACACTGGCTCGGGATTGATCTGCACGACTGTGCGTCGGTGGAGCGGACGACCAAGCTGGAGGAGGGCGTGGTGGTGACCATCGAGCCAGGGGTGTATGTGCCGTATGACGATGCATTCCCGAAGCATTTCCAGGGAATCGGGATCAGGGTCGAGGACGATATTGCCGTGCAGGCGGATAGCAACATCGTGCTGTCCAGTGCGGCGCCCAAGGAGGTCGTGGATGTTGAGGCGGCATGCAAGCGCTTCTTGGATCGACAGCATACGGATGCCGACAGACCCGGCTGGCAGCCCGATCTCACGTCGTGAGCACCAATCACTCTTTTCATCTTTCATCTGCATTGCATTGCGTTCACCGCGTTCCTCATCAGCATGGCATGTCTCGCATCTTACGCTGCCAAACTTAAAGGTCGTTGATGATGTTGCATGGGCCTGTTGCGTTTCTAGCATGATTGATATGTATCCAAACTTGGTGTGTCTGAGGAGCGGCGAAGCGATCGCATCAGTGCAGCCCGTCGCCGTAAACAGTCTTGAAGCTCGGCCTTTCGGAGAAGTTGGTCCACAGACCCCTGACCTTCTCGCCGACCTTGCCACCGCTTGCGCCGAGCACGGCGTTCAAGCTCGCCAAAGGATCCTTGTCGCCCGTCAACCCGGTCGCCACCGCACCGAGCCTCGCGAGCCACGGGATGACATGGAGGTCGGCCAGACTGATCTGGTCTCCCAACGCGAAGGGGCCCTGCACCACGGTTTCGAGCTTGGCGAGCGTTTCGCCGACGGCCTTCCATCCTGCGGTGGTGGCCTGGGTGAGCTGTGCGATGGCGGCCGCGTCGCCGTTGACGTAGGCGCTGGTGAGGAGGGCTTGGGATTCGATCTTGTTGGCGTACCACTTCTTGAGGTTCTCGTGAATCGCCGAGGACTTGGGATTTGCCGAGCCATCGAAGGCCTTGCTGGCCGAGCCGCTTTCGAGCTCCCGCGCGTGTGCGAGTAAGGCGTTGTTGCGGTTGGTGACGAACGTTCCTGGCAAGCCTCCCTTGGCGGCGTTGAGCTCCGCCTCGCTCCTCGCGCCGAGCAGGAGGAAGTTCGGATCGACCGATGCGTCGTGGACCAATCGAATGATTTCGTCGCTCACCGCCTTGCCTTCGATCGTGGCCGGTGCGAGGATGGGCGCGGGAGCAGCCGCCTCGTCCCCAGACACGGCCGAAGCTCGCCGACTCTTGTCCAGAAACTCGAGAATCGCCTTGGTGTCCGTGATCGCGCGGAACTTTGTTGCCACTTCGGCGGAGGTCGTCTCGAGCAGGGGGACGACGAGCGTGGGAACGGTGCCCTTGGAGTTGATGCGCAGGTAAGAAGGGTCGAAGTTCTCGGCTTTGACGAGGTCGACGGTCTTGATGTCGATGTCCGAAGAGGCATAGCCCTTTTCGACCAGCGCCAGACGCGGAGCAGAGGCCCAGACCGAGCCGTCGAACGTGTAGAGCGTTGCTTTGGGTACTTCTGACATGGTATCGAAGGTGAAGTTGATTGTTGGAGGAGTAATGTTGGAGAAAAGGGAGGTGGTGATTGCGGGAAGCGAGGTTGGTTTGTGCGTTGATTGGCGTTTAGTCACGAGCTCGTGGCGCTCGCGGGGCTGATCGCTTGCAGAAGCAGCTGCACCACGACGTCGCTGTCTTGGAATTCCGACTTTTGTACGCGGCCCTCCGCTACCCCACTTTTTGGGGTTCGACTCCACCTTCGCATCGACACCGCTGAGCATCATCCCTCGTCACAGCTCTCGACTTGCAAGCGTCCGTCGCACAGAGGGAGCCAAGATGCCCGTCTCGCCAGGCGCGATCATTGGTCGGATCTTTGTTGCGCTCTCCTCGATCTACCTGGCGCCTTCAGTGCCTCCACCCTTCCCGGATCGCCTCGCGCAACTCGACCCGTCCTCATCATCGCTGGACAATGAGATCTACGACAACCAGTCGTTCGACTGGGGCCGGTCAGGGCTGGAGCTTCTCAACCCTGCCCGTGTCGGATACTTCATGGACAAGCTGCATCGTCATGTGTCAACTCATTCGAGAGGGACGATTACGATCCTCGACCTGGGGTGTGGAGGGGGTCTTGCGATTGAGGCGATCCACTCTGCGCTTGTCGCCTCCGCCTCCGACAGCTCGACTATCTCACAGACCAAGTCGGGACTTGTGGTGGACGGTCGGACATACAAGCTGATCGGCATCGACGTGTCCGTGCGCTCCATCGAAACCGCTCGTCAACGTGCAGCATCCAAGTCGATGTCAATCGAGTATATCGTGGGCGACATCTACGCCCTCCCCTTTGACGCCGCCTCGATCGACGGCATCATCTGCAGTGACGTCCTCGAACACCTCTTCGACCTCCCCTCGGCATTCCATTCCATCGCCCACTGCCTCGCTCCCAACGGCTTCTTCTCGTTCGACACGATCAATCGCACCCCCACCTCGTACTATCTTACGATATGGATTCTGCAGGATTTGCTCAGAGCGATGCAGGGCGACGCTCACGATCATAGGATGTACGTCACTCCGTTAGAGGTCCACGCCGTGATGCGACGGAGCGGCCTACGACCGGGACCGGACAAGGATCTGGTCGGGATGAGACCAGGGATTAGATTTCCTCCAGTGGCGCTGTACAGGCTCATGACCGGACAAGGGTTCATCAACAGCGTGCTGGCAGACTTTAGACTGACGAGCGATTTGAGCATCTCGTATCTGCATTGGTGCGAGAAGCCGTCGTCCTAGCGCGGAGGGTGTTGGAAGAGAGAGCGCATTGTAGCATAGGATACCCTTGATAGTCCAATAGAGACGAGATTTCGAGCCCAGAACGGTTCACAGGCCGCATAAATTGCACAATGAGGCTGAGCAGGAAGCGAGTACGACCCCCACAAGAATGCAATCGAGCACACGGACGAAGACGCAAAGCGAAGCAGAAACAGGGTTGTATCAAGAGAAGGGTAAATGTACATGGGCTGTCACGCCAATGAGCGAGACGGCCGCACTTTTGAGTTGCGCGTAGAGTCGACGGATCTAGTCAACCCTTCGAGCCGAATGACTGGCATCGTCATGCACGATGAGAATGCTAGCAGCCTTGCATTTAGAGACCCTTGGCGGCGTTCTCCGGGCGGAGAGCACGGACCTTGTGGCCGACCTTCCACATTTCCTGGGCGGCGATGGCGTCGGTCTCCTTGTCGAAGTCCTGGCGGTAGGTCTTGCGGTTGCCGAACTCGAGCGCCCTCCTGGTCTCGCTGCCGTTGCGGACAGACTCGTAGAGCTTCTCGAGCACGGGCTTGCAGGCCTTCTCGAACTCGGGGGCCCAGTCGAGGGCGCCACGGCGGGCGGTGGTGGAGCAGGCCTTGTACATGTAGTCCATGCCGTTAGCGCCAACGAGGGGGTAGAGCGACTGGAGGGCCTCCTCGCAGGTCTCGTTGAAAGCCTCCGAGGGCGAGTGGCCGTTGGCACGCAGAACGTCGTACTGGGCCTTGAAGAGACCCTGGATACCGCCCATGAGGCAGGCACGCTCACCGTAAAGGTCCGAGTACACCTCGCGCTCGAAGGTGGTCTCGTAGAGGTAACCACAGCCGACGGCGACACCCATAGCCGAGACCTTCTCGAAAGCGTTGCCGCTGACATCCTGGAAAACGGCGATGGAGCCGTTGATACCTCGGGACTCGAGGAAGAGCGAGCGGACGGTACGGCCAGAACCCTTGGGGGCGCAGAGGATGATGTCCTTGTCCTTGGGAGCCTGGAAGCCGGTCTCCTTCTGGTAGGTGATCTGGAAACCGTGCGAGAAGTAGAGGGTGTGGGTGTTGGGCATCTTGTCCTTGATGCCGTCGTAGACCTTGGCGCAAGCAGCGTCGGAGAGGAGAAGCATGGCAATGGTGGCCTTCTCGGCGGCCTCCTCGATGGAGAAGAGGTTCTTGCCCGGCTGCCAGCCGTCATCGAGGGCCTCCTGCCACGAAGCACCATCCTTTCGGACACCGACAATGACGTTCATGCCGTTGTCACGCAGGTTGAGACCCTGACCGTGACCCTGCGAACCGTAACCAAGAATGGCAAAGGTTTCGTTCTTGAAGTAGTCCTGGAGCTTCTCGAGAGGCCAGTCCTCACGCTCGTAGACCTTCTCGGGGATGCCCTCGGTGAACTCGATGGTCTTGAGACCACGAGCGAGCGAAGGCTTGGCGGCGGCCGAGACCATCTTGGTGAGCGAAGGGCGGGCGGTGGCAGCGATCGAAAGCGATCGAGCGGCACCGGCAGCACCACGACGGGGAGCGGAGCGGGTGGCGGCCCTGAGGGCGGTTCTTGCGACGTTGGCGTTCATGTTGATGGGATGTCGACGGGGGGTAGAGTGACGACTTTTGTGGATGTGATGATGGAGAGAGGAAAGAAGAGCGAGTTGGGTGGCAGACGGGGACAAGTCGGGCTCGCTTTGACTTGCAGGAAGTTGCTTGGCTGCGTGGGTGGGCGGCCAATTGACTGGCGAGAAGAACTGCTCTTCCTCTTCCTCTTCCTCCTGCTCCTTCTCGAGCGGAGCGGGCGTGACAGGGCGACGCAAAGCCACAGCGGCAGAGACACACACATACCGACAGTCTAGATCCTTTTCCTTCTCGTGTAAAATGAGACTGCCAGCTGCAACCTCTCTTTTGGTGACTCTTCCCTTCGCCCTGTCATTCGTCCCCGCTTGACTTGAGCTGCTGCTGTGGGTCACGCAAGGCGAGGAGGAAAAAAAAAATTAAAGCTTCAGTTCTTCTCGCAATACAAATCCCTGTGCCACTCGGATTGACAAGTAGAAAATGAACAAAGGTGTTCATTACAAAATGCTTCTCCCTGCGGCGTCCGCCTTGATTTCCCCTTTCAACGAGTCACCTTTTCTTCCAGCCTGTCCGCTTCATTTCTTCTTAGACGCTTGCTGCTGTCCGTTCTGCCCTGTGATTGGATCTCGGTCGGTGACCTGTCAAGACCCACCCAGCATTCAATGTGCTCGACCTCACGCTTGCAATCTTCGTGATCATTCCACGACTGTCTTTGTGAAAGCAGTCTGAGGCTGCCTTTCAATCGTAGCGAGCTGCTTGCCCAATCTGGTCCGCTTAGTTGGCCAAGTGTTGACAGAAGCAGGCAAAGAGGGGCCGGGAAAGCACCGACTTGGTTGCGGGCAGTTCTTGAGATCTAATCACAGAATCTGGACCCCGACGAATCAGATTTTTGCTTCTTCAACCGAGCGAACCGGTTGCATCTGATGCCGCTGAAAGGACTCGATTGGACGCCCGTCTATTCGCCGAGCTGCAATGGTGGACCCCTCGCTTTCTGCTGACATCGGCCATCACATCGGAAGTGGCTCGGGCTCGATCAATGCTGGGCAGCAGTGGTCACAGCTTGCCCATTTATGAGGACAGGTTCCATCCAGCGAACCTTCGCTGCGAGGTTGTTCTGAGCTGTCCAAAGTGAGCGCAAAAAAAGAAGGTCGAAAAAAGAAGCAAAAGAACTGCAGCACCTAGGATTCCCGCGTGGTCCCCCACCGCAGTACTGACTAGGCGATACCTTGCTTAACTTCGCAGATCGGACGGGATGCGGTGCTTTCAAGGTTCTATGGCCGCAGATGTCAGATCAGCCTGTTTAGCGGTATATTAATCGCGTTTCAAAGTGCTCCTCTGTAGTCTCAATGAACATCGCCGCACAACCAAGCCTCCCTGCTGCCATCTAACTTACTGTTTCCACGGTCCACAGTCAAGCACGATGTCACCCCTGTCTAGCAGCCCAGCGCTCTTTGCACACACGCGAATGCAGTCGGCCCGTTCCTGATTCATCGACTTGTCGCATCACAATAAGCGCGCTTGGACCGTACTCAAAAGCGTCAGGCACATGCAGTCTTGGTGACAATAAGCTGAACAAAGGTATCATTGATCTCGAACTCTGGGTATGGGAAGGCTCGATGACGGTCTGCATCGACTTGGAGGTCTGAGCGTTGGCGTCGGATGGTCGGGTCGTGCTAGAGTTGCTGGCAGTGCTGCGCTGCGATTCGACGAAGAAAGGGGAGCGAGGAGGCCTGAGCGCCGCGACCTGCGTGTGGCATCGACCGTTTAAGGAGAAGGACGCTTCGAGACATCTTTCTCTCTTCCGTCCACCATCTTCTTCTTTCTCCTCTTACCAGCATCCATCTCCCTTTCATCTCTCGTCCAGCTGGTCGTCTCGGTCAAGCCCGCCTCGGCCTCCATTCGACATAGCACCAGCACAACCGACCTCGACATGTAGCTCGACACTCTAACGCGCATATCGACCCCGCTTACATCTCAGCAAGCTGGCTGAGGGCAGCCGTGCTGAGCATGTTGCCCGACCTCGATCCGCTAGCAGCGTTCACTGCGGCGGGTGGCACGTTGGCACCGGGGCCAGTGCCTCCAGGGGGAAGGTTGTCGTCACCCGAGAGATCGTTGAGGTTCATCGGCACGAAGATGACCTTGCTGTTTGCGGTCTTGGCCATGGCCTGCAGGCTCTCGAGCGCACGGATCTGCATGGCACTCTTGGACGCCAGGATATCGGCAGCCTGGCGCATGAGTCGAGCAGCATCGACCTCGGCCTGAGCAGCAATCACCTTACTCTCGCCGATTCGCTTCTGCTTAGCAGCCGAGCTGAGCGACTCTTGCAGCTCCTTGGAGAAGACGATGTCCTTGATGAGGATGCTTTCGACCTGGACACCCCACTTCTCGGCGATATCACCAACAATCTCCTGCACCTCGAGGGCCACCTGCTCTCGGTCCGTCACCAGCGACTGGAGGACTCGGCCACCGATGACGTTTCGGAGGGTAGTCTGGGCCCTCTCGATCAGGGCGGATCGGACGTCGGCGATACCGAAGGAGGCTCGGTAGGGGTTGGAGATGTGCCAAAAAATGACGGACTCCGCGCTTATAGATACGCTGTCACGAGTAATGGCCGTTTGATGGGGTATGGGCGTCGTGTTGATTTTGACGTCGACACGGCGTAGAGTTTCGCTGCAAGGATTGATCTGCACTAGACCAGGGTCCTCCGACCTATAGAACTGGCCAAAGCGCGAGATTAAGCCGACGCTGCCTTGTTCGATCTCCTTGTAGGGGTTGGGACAGCAGAAGCAGAAGGGAAGCTGTCCAAAGCAACCAGCGACGGCGCCGATGCCGTTGATCAGGGAGCCGTAGAAGCCGTGCTCGACCGTTTCGAGGCCGAGGTTCTGCTTGTAGGAAGGCTGCATTTCAGAGCGCTTGAGGGGTTGAACGGTCACGAGGCCGCCAGTAGTAGGTCGAGCAGCAGACGAGCTGACCATGGTGGGCTTCTTGATGGCATCGCCGTTATGCGAGCTGCCCGGAAGGGTATCGTTGCCGAGTTCGGACATCTTGATGAAGCAAGAGGTGACTGAAGGGTCAAAAATTGGAGGCAGAAGGCGTGACTCTGCGATCGGATGGTTGTGGATGTAAAGCTCGATCTGGTGACAATCTGACGGTATATATGCCTTTGCAAGAGAGGTGGGTCCGGTGGGGACGAGGGTGGGGAAAGGGGCTGCCGGAAAGCTGAGCCAAGTGGAGCTGCGCAGCGCAGTCCAAAAGTGCAAGAGAGCGCCAAGCGGAGTATGTGCATCCGCATTCACTCTTTTTACGCGAACAGCTTTTCGGCAGGCTTGCTTTGTGTGGTCTCGTGCCGGATTCTAGATTGGACCCTTGCAGAGAATGACCTGACTCTCTCGCTTTCGGCACGATGGACAAATAGCCGAACAGAGCTCGCCTTTGGCTATGTGCCGTACAATCGACTCTCGCTCGCAGCCTTATCAGCGTGTGTGTGGAGACGCTTGGCTTTCCGACGGGACCGCCTTGGCACTGTTTGGTCCATGTGCCATGGCTTCGGTGCATCCGAATTGGAGCAGCGCTAGTCAGCTGAGCTTCGAGCACCTTTAGTCGGCTTCGCCCGAGATTTATCCTTGTGACACTGCCATCCTGACCTGAATCTGACATACTGTATATCATGTCAGTATGGCGAGATGTGGGCGACAGACGCAAGGATGGCCCAACTATGAGATTGCCGAAGTTGCTCGAGCATGAACAAGGACCTGCAACTCACTACGTCAGGGCACGCTTGGCCTTCACGAGTGATTTCGGACGAGGGACACTAGTGAGCGTGATTTCCATGCAGAGAACAATCTACGCCCGTAGATTTGTCTCGCCTGACCGGCTCCGCTTCATTCCCTACACAGCCCTGTTTATGCTCTCCTCCATGGTGGTACCCCCGGCTGACGCCGGAAGCGTGGGACCCTTCTGCCCAGCTGCAGGTCCCGGCAGAGCTGTCCATGCCAAGACATGCTGAATAGGAACGGACAGCCAAGACCTGGGGTTCGGCAGCTGTCAACGCCATGCGCTCATCGCACAGACCGGCCACCTTCGGGGCTGGTCGGATGGATGCCTCTTACTGTTCCGCGGAACCCGGTCAAGCCGACAGCCGGCGGGATCGCCGTTCGTCCCATGTCCTTGTGACTTGTCAGGATCTCTACCTCACTTTGGCATGCTACCGAACAGTCACAGTCACGACAGCACGTCCTGCACAGCCTCAACCGGAGGGGTCAGTATCACCTTGAGCATTGGTAATCTATCTATGCCAAGAACTACCACGGCTCCGTGCCGCCTATCAGTGCCCTTACAACTTCCTCACCGCCGCTTTGAGGATGGTAGTGACGGCGGGCAACACAATCTTTCGGTTGGCCCTTGCGTTGGCCTGCTGATACACCTTGGCCCATCTCGGCTTTTCCGCGGTCGAGTTGTCTTCCCTCTTGCCTTCACTGTCAATGCCCTTGACGCGCTCCTTCTTGCCACCTGCGCTCTCTGGCAGTCTCTGTCCCTTCCACGGCTCTTCGAGCATCAGTCTTCGATCCACTTGGTCCGCTGCGACGTGTGCATCCGCCTCCAGTCCGCGTCTCAGCTCTTCCCACAGCGCCGAAGCCTTGCTCGCTTGCATAGTGCGCGGTGCGAACGCCAGCACCAGCTCTCGTTTGTGCTTGCCAGCATTCACCTCGCCCTCCGGCACTCGGAACGAGCCTGTCATGACGGCTATGTCGATCTTGCGCTCCGCCATAAACTCGTCCAACACCTTCCACCACGCCGCCCACGCCTCTTTGACTTCCTGCTTCGGGTGCGCCGCGTCGGTGAGTCGCGGCGTGGGACGGTCCTTGTGCAGCCACTCGACGAGGCTGATGGGCACACTGGCGAAGCCCAGCTTGAGCGCAATCTCGGCGTGAGCGGCATCCGAGCCTTCGGGATGGGTGAAATCGAGTTCTTTGTAGTCACGACGCAGCAGATCACGCCCGCTCAGATGCGAGACCGCCTGCTTGGACTGCGAGAGCACCTGCCAGTAGGGTGCGAGGACAATCTTGGCACTCTGCGTCGACGAGTCGGTGTCTTCTGACGGGCTGATCGGTTGGATCGGGTCTATCGATGGTCCTTTGGAGTCTTGTGTGTTGTTGAGAGGGGAGAAGGAGAGAGCAGTCTGTCGAATCTGATCCGACGTGGCTGGGTTGCCAAAGGACGAGGCCGGGAAGAGCGTTTTGATCGCATCGTAATCAGCTTGAGTCGCTTTGCCTCGTGGGGCGCCTCGAAGGTTGTCCGTATCGATGATGATGGCGCTGATTAAGAGATCTGCCACCTCGCGCATCCCCGCGTCGGCTGGAACCGACTTCCCGAAATGCTCTGCAAACAATTCGGCGACCATACTGCTGCAGCTCCCCACTGGATCCTTCGAAGGCGACTTGACGATCCTCAGCGCCGCATTCGCGTGGTCGCCAACATCCTCGTGGTGGTCAATGACGATGTCCACCTGACGGTTCGCTGCCCTTGCTCCGCCCCACGGTCCTGTTAGGGAAGGGTGATCCACCAGACCGATCGCGACATTCGCCGATGGCGCGAAAGCATCGGAGTCGAGCTGCAACCCCAGCGTCTGTTGTACGTCATCGAGGTAGAAGATGTGCTCAGGGTTGATGCCCGCCGCGCGGAAGGCAGCCGTGTTCTCCGGTCGAAGCACATCGTCCGTGTGCATGCTCTGTATCAACGGTACGTACGTTGATGGGGGGAGCTTGTAGCCCGAGGGAGGTCCATACCGCGACAGGAGATAGCTCAGCCCAATCGCACAGGCAGCGGAGTCGAGATCACCCGCCTCGTTGCCCATGATTAACGTGAGCCTGCCCTGTGAGCTTGATCCGGCTTTGAGATGGGCAGACGCATTCTGCTTGGCCTGCACCAGATACTCGTCCAGCGTCAACGACTTGACATCGGCAGTCCCATTCGAAGTCGAGAGCGAAGACGAGGAAGCCATGATGGCAGAAGGTGCTTGCGCCGAAGACGGCTTGAGCGACTCTAGGCTTGACAGTAGTGTTGGTGTCCGAGGTTGGCTCTGACTCCAATGTACAAGGTCGGTCAGAGATAAGAAGATGACCGACGAGACTGCAACGAAGGCGAGTAGAGCGATCAGACGAACGATGACCTGTTGGCGTCCAGCGGCGGCTCTTGTAGTCTGAAATGAGTAGATAGGCTCGTACTGCTGGGGCATGGGGTATCTAGGTGGACCGTTGGCCAACAGGGTGTGTTGCGGTCGGTGATCAGACAGGCTTGACCAATGTTGAACGACAACAACCGGCGGGCGAGCGACAACCAAAAATTGACTTCCATATTCCGAAAATCTCGTTGATCATTTCAGCACGTGGACTCGCCTTGGGATCAGGTTGGGATGAGTGCTCTTGCCATGCATCTTTCAGGAGCTTTCACGGTTTGTCACCGCTGCGCATCAACATTGCTGTACATCACAGCTTGAAGCTCAAATAAGCTCTTTCCTGACGACGTGCTCTGTCGGTACCGTTGGAGCGAGACTCGTCCAATCAAAGATGTCGAAGCAAGTTGCACAGCAAGAAAGGGATATTTGTCACTGCAGCTGCAGCTGGCGGATAAACAGGATGACCGACATTACCTTGTGCTGTTCGCTTACCGGTCTGCGTCGTTTGCATAGGGCAATCCGCGTGTTGTCAAGAGCCATCAAACCCGAGAGGGTTCTAGGCCCGTCCCGCTCAGTCCCTCCTCTGTATTGATATCACCGAAGCTGCTTACATGCAGTGCTTGACCGACTTCAACTCAAGCTCACAGACGACATGGCAAGTCGCCAAGAGAGCGAGTCCTTCGTTGCCAATAAGCTCCTGGCTCACCGGGGCTTCCAACGGAAGCCTCTGAAAGGACCTTCGGCAATATCTTTGAGACAGCGTTACCAGCATGAAATACCACTCCTTGCGGACCTTGAAGAACAGGCTATCCGTCTCTCGTGAGGCGCAGCTTGCAGCTTGCAGTGGTCCAGGTTGCCGGGCCGTTGCGTCTGCGTTTCGACAAGTCTTGGCACGACTTCTACTGTATAATGGAGAGCGGGTGACTTCCTATCTGTACGACTCTCTATTGCCCGAGCTCTTTACAGCTGTCATGCAGTCACCTCATGCTAGGCGAGGCCGTTCCTGATCTGTTTTTCCGCAAGAAATTTCCACAGGGTCAGCAGGGATTCACAGAGGTCATCCGTGGTGATCACTACCGGCTATCAAGCGAGTTGTCTTCCCGACCAAATTCTCGACAGCATAGCCCACGGAGGTTTCCTTTTAAATCTCAGCTGCTCATGCAGTCGGTCCCTTGCCTCCTCCAGCTCCGCTCACATTACCCATCCGCATCACCTCCATCTCATCCGACATACGATCACCGTCGCATCTCAGCTGCCGCCTTACCTGATCACCGCGCCCATACAAGACAAACTCAAACCTTATTTATCGCGCTTGAGTCGATTCAGGATGGCGGCTAACTTTGTCGAACTCGTGCGTCTGCGCTCGACATCGCAGCCAGATGTCTACGTCTCGTGCTCCAATCCCGAGAAGATGGGCAACCCTGCCGACATTGCCTACGGCGGCTGTGTGCAAGCTCTATCGGTGCAGGCGGCGTTCAAGTCGATCGAAGCACGCAGGGAGCTGCACAACTTTGAGATCCACTCGCTGCTCGGTGTCTACCTCGGTCCCACGCTCGCCGATCGCAAAGTCAAGCTCACCGTCACCACAATTCGCAACACGCGCTCGTTTGCGACCCGTCGAGTGACTTGCACTCAACTCTTCAACGACGGCTCAGAGAGGAGCACCTTCACTGCCACCATCGACTTTACCGCCCCCAACAAGATTGACAACGCCAAAGCAGGTGCACCCTTCACACGCTACGGCAGGAAACCGAGAATGCAGTATGCGCCACCGGAGCAGCTGCCGTCGATGACGGACATCGTCTTGCGCAAGGTGCAGGAGCGTAAGGTGAATCGACAAGCGGCGGATTACTTGGAGAACGTCGTGTTTGCGCTTAGCAAGAAGGTCTCGGTCAGCGTGTTCCCGCCGCAAGGGCTGCACGCACAGAATGCGATCGGACTCGACCCGCTCGCAGAGTCAGAGCAGCACTCGGCCAAGCTCACCGACCGCTTCTCTGTCGACTGGGTCAAGTCGCTCCAGGACCTGTCGGCACCGCCTCACTCACCAGCAGAGTCGGCCGTGCAGCCAACCGACTTCAAAGATGTAGGCGCGCCGCTGTCGGTCTCGACTGCGTCGGCGAACGCATCCTTCGTGGCTTTCATGATGGACGGTGCACTTTCGTTCATCCCATTGACGTTCTCGCGGATGACGTTGACCGACGCTAGTGCCGTCTCGTCGCTCGACTGCGCTCTGCGCTTCTTCTCTGTGCCCGACATGAACGACTTCCACCTCAGAGAGATGCAGACCATCCAGGGCAACGACTGCAGGACCTATTCGGAGGCCTTCCTGTGGGACAGGAATCAGAGCATGGTGGCTAGCATGACACAGGCCTGCATCTTGCGGCCCCACCTTCACAAGCTGTAAAGCACATCCACATGGACTTCAACATATATCTATGAATGTTTCCTCTTCTTGGACTTGCAATCGCTGCGGTACCAATGAGTGATGTGATGTGATGTGAGTCTTGAGATGAGGTCGGCAGAAGCCAAAAGGTGATGCACGCCTGGGCGCCTAAAATTTCTGGACCCTGAAGTCGCCATACCATCCCGTGCGTGATCATCGGCAATCTGTCGCCTCGCTCTTTCTTCCGTTCAACCACCGTCGCAACATCCCCCTCTTGGACCATTCCAGCCCGTCTCTGCCAACATGTCGTCGTCTGACTTGTACGACCTGACTGTGGCGTCTCATCTCATCGTCGAGCAGTTCCTCCTCTCGCAAGGCTACAGCTCCTCCGCCTCACAACTGCGCACGGACGCCTCCTCCTCCGGACTCAGACTCCCGCCTCTTCCCGCTGACGCTGGCCAGTCACTGGATCTGCGCCAGCTGGTCGAGAGCTATCGTTCCGGCGTACGTGCAGACGAACGCAGACGTAAAGCCGAGCAGCTCGCTGCCACCCACGCTACACGTGCCATCGCCGACCCACTCACCCTCACCCTCCCTGGCCCGACCACGCTCCCCTTCAAGCTCGAAAAGACCCACTCGACGCTCCATGCATCCAACATCCTCTCCATTGCCAACCTCAAACTCCCTCGTCGAAGCTTCGACACGGGTCGAGCACGATACGTCAACACGATCGAGGACTGTCTCGTGACCACAGCTGCGGACAAACGGATCGTCTTTTCCAACGCACGCACGGGTGAGGTGGAGGAGATCCTCGAGGCGAAAGATGGGCATCAGGCGGCGGTACTGAGTGTCGCCCAGGACTCGATGGATCCTAGGTGTCTGATCAGTTCCGGGATGGACGCAAAGGTGGTGGTGTGGGACCTGCTGACGAGGCAGCCGATCCAGGTGCTGAGCGAGCACAGCAAGTTCGTGGTCAAGGTGGTGGTGAGTCCGACGGGAGAATACATGGCGAGCATCGGATACGACAAAAAGCTCGTTGTGTATCGCAGGACGCAGCAGACGTTGTTTGTCGCGTCAACTGCACCCTCGGCTGAAGAGGAGGAAGATGACGAGGAAGACGAGGTGAAAGATCTCAAAGGTCCAAGATACGAAAAGGTGTTCGAGATGGAGACGCAGACCAATCCGGAAGCGATCCTGTTCGTTCGAGCTGCTGTCTCGCCCAATGCAGCAGAGGTCGCCTCCGAACTCGCGAGCGGCACAGAAACCACCGCGGGCGCAGGCGAGCTGGTCATCCACGAAGCCCGCGAGCAGCGCACCTGGCTCTGCTTCACGGTCCGCAACGACTGTTTCATCCACTACATCGCCCTACCTCTCTCCGCCGACGCCTCGGTCTCTTCCATCACCGACTCTCTCTCTGCCAACTCTCTTCATGATTCCGCCAAGCCACCGTCCGCAACTTCGCCGGTCGCGGACTGGTCTCTGCACAGCTTCAACACGAACCCCAACCCGTCCGATCTGCACGTCTCGTACTCCCTCCTCTCGCTCTCCCTCCATCCCTCCTCGCTGTATATCTGCGTCCAGACGGGCGACCATACCTCTCCGGCGCTCGCCTCGACCTCGAACGCCACAGCGCCCGGCTCACTCTCGCGGCTTCTGCTCCTTGCTCCGCTATCGGCCCACCGCGCAGCGACGATCTGGACCGGGGTGCCAACGAGCTCCTACGCCGTACCTCGACACTCGTGGCTGCCATCGGGGCGGGCGTGTTGGTTGAACGCCGAGGACGGCGTGCTGCGACTGGTGGATCTGAAGGGACGGACGAGGGCGACGGTGCTAGCTCATGGCGTGGCGCAGGATGGGGAGGACGGAGAGAGAACGGCCGCTGCCAGCTGGAGCAGAGGCGGGAATACCATCGTCAAGGACGTGGTGGTGTTGGATGAAGGCAGCGTGGCCAGCTGCGGGTTCGATCGGACGGTCCGAATTGTCACGCTCGAGGGGCAGAGTCTGGCATGAAGTCTCACTCACACACACACTTGACAGAAGGGCATAGAGGCAATCTACATTCCAAACCGAAAAAAGTACATGACAAACGAAGCGAGGATCAGAGCTTGTTAGCAGGCTCGTTAGGCATGCCGACGGCGGTGCTGAGTTTCTCGTAGATCTGGTGACCGTGGCTGATGGGGGTAAAGTTGACGTGAGTACCGAGCGCCCTTGCATCGACCATCTCGGGAACGACATCCTTGAGCGTCGGTGCTCCGAGCAGACGCATGTTCATCTCCATCTCGGCCTTCAACAGCTGCAGAGCGTGGACGACACCATCGGAGCCGTACGCCGAGTAGGCGTAGAGGAAGGGTCGACCGATGCCGACGGCGGTAGCTCCCATAGCGACGGCCTTGAGGACGTCGCTGGCACGACGAATACCGCCGTCGACAAAGATCTGGAACATGGGGTTGGGGAAGAGGTTGCGCGCCTTCAACGCCTCGACCACCTCGCCGAGGACTTCGATTCCGGAACGGGCAAAGTCGAGCTGACGACCGCCGTGGTTGGAAAGCACCACACCGGCCAGACCCATCTCCGCGGCGCGCACGGCGTCCTCCCACGTCTGCACACCCTTCAATACAATGGGCATGCGGGTGACCGAACGCAACCAGGTAAGGTCGTCCCAACTGAGGCTTGGGTCGATGAAGGAGGAAATGGCGCGAGCAGCACCTTGGGATCGATCCACCGTGTCCTTGTTCTGATTCTGCTCGTTGGATCCAACATCGTCGAACTTCATACGCATGTCCTTCTCCCTCCTGCCCAGCTGGGGCGCGTCGACGGTGACGAACAACCCCTTCACGCCGGCCGCTTCGGCCTTCTGGATGATGCGCTCGGTGATCTTGCGGTTCGAGTTGACGTAGAGCTGCATGAACTGGACTTGGTTCTCGTCGACTCGGGCACCGACGATCTCGTCGAAGCTGCAAGAAGCGAGGGTGGGGATCATTTGGATGATGCCCTCTTTGCCAGCGGCGACGGTGAGGTTCTTCTCGCCCTCCGGGTGACCGAGCTTGCCGAGCGCGGTGGCGGTGATGTAGACGGGAAGGGTGGATTTTTGACCCAGGAGAGAGGTCGAGTAGTCGACCTTGCTGACATCGCGCAAGATGCGCGGGCGGAACCAGATTCGACCGAACGCCGAAGTGTTCTCTCGCATGGTGACCTCGTCATCGGCACCCGACGAGTAGTACGCCCACGCAGTCGGCTTGAGCACCTTCTTGGCGATCACCTCGAAATCGTACAGGTTGAGGCACTGCGAGAGAGGGGGGATGGCATCCTCGTCGAGCTTGGCCGCGGGCTTCTTCTCGGTCTTGACCTCCTCCTTGATCGTCGAGGGGTCGACGGGACCGAGGCACTTTTCTTTGGGCAGGTTCTCCTCGAGAGTGCCAGGAGGGTGGATAGGGTCGTACTCCTCGGTGGCGTCCTTGCCGGCATACTTGAGGATGATGCCCGCTCCACCCGGGTGGTCGGGGAGGAACTCGGTGACGTCGTAGGCGTTGCCGTGCACGATGACCCAGCACGAGTCCTTGTTGTTGTGCTTCTGAACTTCGTCGAACTTGAGCATGTTGGCGATGGTGTAGGGGGTCAAAGGATGTGGTGTGAAAGGAGGCGGGAGAGAGCAGGGCAGTCGTGTATATACTTGGGCGAGCTGATAGTGTGGCCCGGAAATCGAGGAGAGGTGCGGGGATGATGGATGACACGCACCGATCTGGGGTAACCCGACCAAAAATTCAGAGACCGAGAAGAGCAGCAGCAGCCAATCCCATTTCGATGCTTTCTCATACATCACAGCGCAAATACGGCGCACGGCTTCCATGTTGCTGCCTGTCCTTCGTCCTTCCCGCCTCCCTCAACTCATTCTGCATCTTGACATTCTCATGCTAGCTTGCGCAGTCATCAGAATGTCTCAGCAAGCATCTGAACGACAAACACGATCCATGTCGTGAAGCGTTGGCATGAACAGGGCAGATCTGTGCATACAACGTCGAACAATGAAACGCACCGGACAAGCGCGGACGGACGACGTAGCTGCACGAGAGTTTCTTCCGCTTGGCCCCATGCTTGGCGGCAAGCCGGTGAGCGTAGCAGTGGCAAAGGGTCTACCAAACGGCGACTCGCTGAGGGAGACAGCGTCTCAGCTCGAATTTTGTCGTCTGCGGGGAATCGGCAATCTAAACCGACACGGCCGCTGACGGAGACGGAACATTCGGGCGGACGCACCAGTGGCACTGAAATACGCAACGCGCTCTAACAGCTTGAAATGCAAACCATATCATGGCCAGAGATCATATGTGCAACATTAAGCGAGATCAAACATGATCGCTTCGTTAGCGTAGTTGGATTATCGCATCCGTCTAATACACGGTGCCTCAGATACATCTGAGTTTCATATTAACAACGGAAGGTCACTGGTTCGAGCCCAGTACGGAGCATTTCTTTTTGCTCTCAATGGACCCTGGCGCGCGCGCGTGCGGGTGAACGAGTCAGGCGACGGGTGTCAAGGCCAGCTGGCTCGCTTACTCTATTGATGCACGAAATGGTGCAAGATAAGGGGACAGCGCATTGCCGCCCACCTCTTATCATTTTGTCGAGACCGCTTTGACCGAGCGAGCACCGCACAACGCTGCTTCATTGTCCCACGGGATCGAGCGCCGGGCTCCTATCGAGCTTCATCGTCACGGAAGGAGCGACTGGAGACGGCATCGGATGGCGCAAGAGACGGGATGAAGTCGGTTGAAGTGACCGAGGCGTGCTGACCTGAGCGGGTCCCGACGGCATCTCATCGCTTTTTGCCTTTGGGTTGGAGGAAGCTAATCTCGCATATCGCACAACCGAAGCTCGACAAAGTTGACCGACTCGACGCCATCTGCCTTGCCCCACAGTTTCAAATCGATGCCGTCGAGGCTGAGCACAAGTAAGCTCCGGGACTCAAGCTTGATCTACTTCTCATCTAGACTACCAACGATGACTGAAGCAATGTACCCGAACGCAGAGGAAGAAGAGCGGGCGAGTATACGGGCAATGGCAGGCGAGCTCGACATGGAAAGATGGCGATGCGTGATTGACCTTGGGTGATGAAAGAAAGAGAGCCGCGTTGTCAGCCAGCCATTCAGCCAGACAAAGGGCGAGGCTGCTGATCAGCAGGAGCCGCAAACAGGCCGACCCTTTTTTTGGTAATGCGGGTCTGACGCGCAGAGACCCTTGATTGCGATTGTGCCACTTTGAATAGGATATGAGAGGGGCACATGAGCAGTGTCTCTATCTGGCTGTCGATCCCAAAAGTCACTCAAGCTGTCACTCTGCTGCAGGTGAGCTTGGTCGTGCATGCTTGCAGCTCTCTCTCTCTCTCTCTCTCTCTCTCTCTCGCGCTCACACTCTGGCTCAGTCGTATCTCTCTTCCCATTCCATCTCAACCTAGCTTCCTCTCTCTCCTCATCGCCCATCGTCATCCCCCTCAAGCAGTGTCGGGCGCGGTTCTTTTCTTTCACGCATCTATAAGCGGCACCGGCTGTTGCTTCCACTTCCCGCATCCATCTGGATCATCTCTAAGCCTCGGTCTCGGTCCCCGCAGTAGATACCTTGGTCCTGTCTAGCATCTGATTCCATCATGGCCTTCGTACATCATCAGCCGCGGCAGCAGCGTCGCGATCGCCAGGACCATGCCGTCGACTCTCCATCCGCCGCATACTCTACGCCGCAGCATCGACACGAAAGAGATGTCCCTCAAGACTGGAGCATCGTCTTTCCGGGGCGGTCCCGCGAGACGCCCGCATCACCCACGATCCAGCTAGCTTCTCCTTCCCGTCCATCACGCTCGCTCGACACGCCTTCCTCCGATCACACCGACGACACCGATCCACTCGCACTCACCTTGCCACCGCTCCACGACGGCACAGGTCGATTTCTTGCTTCTCCACTTAGTCCTGCTTCTACAGACGCTGCTTCGATTGATGCAGCACTCCAATACAGCGGTGCTGAAGATGACCGCCATTCCGAAGCTCGCCACTCTGAGGACGTCTTTCCCGAATCCGTCTTCAGTGGTACTGACTCGCAGCTCGATGCAGACGAAGAGCTTGGCTTTGGCTCCGGCTCCGATTTCGACTTTGAAAGCGATGCTGTAGCTTCGCATGCCAGTCGCAGCTCGGTGCGTCGCGGCAAGCGTCGCACAGCATCCCGAAGGAGGCCATCCAAGCTCAGCCATGTCAGCATCGGAAGCGATGAGGAGGGCGAAGAAGCTGCGTCACAATCGCAGAGCCAGATGCTCGGCAGCAAGGCATGGTCTCTGCTTGGACGAAGCAACGCGCTCGAGCGTGTCGATGAAAGCCCTTCAGCTTCGACTCAGCTCTACTCCAGTGCTCGTTCGAGTCGTCAGATGGGTCGCTCCCGACGCACCGCCCACGATCTGCCTGTCGTGCTCACCAGCGGGTCGGAGCGCGAGGACGACGATGGTCAGGACCTCGATCATTCGCGAGCCACGGCACGCCACGCTGCTGAGGCCACTTACGATGCCGATTTGGCCGTCAGCAACCTCGCTCAGAGTGCTGGTCTCTCGCATCTCGACCATAGCGATCTTCTGCGAAGACCTAAGCGCAGGCATCGACGATCCGCTGCTGGTCGTTCGAGCAAGCGTAGCAACACCTCGCAGTCGCTGCTCAGCATCGATTACGAGTCTCGTCTGCTCAATGCTCAGCAGCACGCTCACAGTCGTCGACATGGCGACGGCGCAGAGACGCCGAGATCAGCAACGCAGGCATCAAGGATGGCTCAGGAGCATCCCTCCAAGACCTCACGCATGATCGGCACCATCCTGCGCAAGGTGTTCGATCTGGAACCGGAGGTGCTTGATGCGTTCCTGCAAGAGGATGTTGGACGACAACGTAATCAGACTCGGGCGGCCACTGGCCCTGGATTCGCCTTTGAGGCGGCAGAAGCGCCGTTGGCCTGCGCTCCGCTCTGCGACTCAACGACCTCGCCAGCTGCAAGTGGAATGATGCTAGACGGTCGAAGCGAGCACGAGCGCTGGCAAGCGTCATCTGACGGCGAGACCGAAGTCGAGGGTCAGCTACCCATCATCGACCCTGCCACATCCCCGCTGTTCTCCAACGCAAAGACGGTCGACGGCGAAGAGACGGCAGACTCCAGCGGCTGGCGGCTCACCGAAGCGGCGCTGCTGCAGCGTGGTTCCGTGACAACTCGTCGCGGCAGCGGTTCGCAGTCGCTCATGGAGCCAACGACGATGGAGGCGCTCTCTGCGTTCATGAATACGATCGCCATGCCTGTGCCTATGCCGCTGCGTCTGCTCGGTGCGTTGTTCGGCTGGTCCAGCATCTGGTCGACTTCGTCCAAGACACACCCACGGGAGCAGTCCGAGCAGCACGACTCGAAAGCAGCAGAAGAACAGGCGGCAAGGGATTCCGAGGAGGAGCGCAAGTACAGGTACGAGCGTCTGCTCAGTGCGCAGCAGGCCAAGGCGTGGAGTCGGAGGTATAGGGGGATCTTGTTTGCCAATGTGGACGATGAGGAGCCCAGTCCGGACGTGCCGGAGCTGTGGAGGGGCGAAGAGCATCCTGCCATTGCTGGACATCAGGATGAGTAGCTGGCGAGCATTGCATTTCGTCTGTATCGCATCACGACATCTGTCCCCACTCAACGGCACAAATACGAGCGTCGATCATGATACCAATTCCGACTGCCAATTGCTTCGGTGTGAGAGACGCTTCCACGGTGACGAAAGGCTGAATTTGGTAAGCGTTGCGGAGGCATCGATCCGATGCAGCTTCATTTTCACGCTGCAGATACTGAAATGAAATGGCAAATGTCAAGTTGAGCAAAGCAGTTGCCGATCCGGATGGCTGTTCCTTCTCGCACGTGCCTTTAGGGCAAAGAGTCAGGGTCCTTTCTTCTCGTCCTCCTCGCTTCACACACCATCTCGTCTCTACCTGTCCCTTCTCCCAACCGCGATAAGCAGTAGCGTGCAACAACGATGAAGGTCGCTGTGGTAGGAGCCGGCGTCTCGGGTCTGTCCTCGGTGTGGGCTCTCAACGAGTACTCCTCGCACGAAGTCCACCTCTTCGAACCCCTCCCCTGGATCGGCGGCCACGCCAACACGGTGACCTTCACCTCTCCCACCGCTGCCTCCGCATCCTCTGCGGAAAAGACACCGGTCGATACGGGTTTCATCGTCTTCAACCGCGTCACATACCCCAACTTCCTTCGCTTCCTCCAACTCACCGGCGTGCCCATCCTCGACAGCGACATGTCGTTCTCCGTGACCCGTTTCATCTCCTCCCTCGGCGGCTACGGTGCCTTTGAATGGGCCGGTGGTAGTCCTGCCGCACTCTTCTGCCAGTCCTCCAACTTGTTCAACCCCTCGCACTGGCGCATGGTGTGGGACATCATCCGGTTCAACCAGCAATCCGTCGACTACCTCCGCCTGTGCAAAGCCAATCCGGTCGAAGGCGCCGAAATCAGCATTGGTCAATGGCTCGATGAGCGATCCTACAGCGAAGGATTCCGTAAGAACTACCTCATCCCTATGACGGCGAGCATCTGGTCCACAGCCCCCGAAACGGCCCTCTCCTCCTTTCCGGCAGTAACACTGCTTCGATTCATGCACAACCACCACCTGCTCCAGATCCTCGACCGTCCACAGTGGTTGACGATCAAGAACGGCTCGCGCGGCTACGTCGATCGTATCCTCTCAAAACTCCCCTCTGAACGTATTCACCAGGGTAACGAGGCCGGCGAAGTGGTGGCGGCATGGATCGACGCTCGCAACGCCAAATGGACGCTCAAAACCGCTGATGGTACAAAACACACTGGATGGGATCGCGTCGTATTCGCCTCGCACGCGGATCAAACCCTGAAGATGCTCGCCGCCGGCGAGGCGGAGGGTCTCACCGTCGGTCGAGAGGTTCTAGAGACGCTCTCTCGATTCCACTTTAGCGAGAACGTGGCGGTTTTGCACGCGGATACGCGCTTGATGCCGGTGAGACGCGCCGCGTGGTCCGCGTGGAACTTCCTCGCCGAGACCGTCCCCGCGTCCACCGCCACCGGGGAAAGCAATGGCAAGCAGGTAGCGAACAAGTCCGGGGACGACGTGGATCGTGTCTCCCTGACGTACTGGATGAACCTCCTCCAGTCTCTGCCGGAAGAAAAGTTCGGACCGGTTCTGGTGACGTTGAATCCAACGAGCGATCCCGAGTCGCCTTACACGCCTAGGCCGGAGCTCGTGCTCAAGCGCCAGGCGTATACGCATCCGTTGTATACGCCAGATTCCGTGTTGGCCCAGCAGCAGTTGCGCACGCTGCAGGGGACGAGGGGCGCGTACTTTGCGGGAGCCTGGACGAACTACGGGTTCCACGAGGATGGGTTTGCGTCCGGTCTGCGGGCGGCCGAGGCGATCGACGGCGTGTATCTGCCATCCGAGGTCAAGGACGCGGAGCGACACGTGCCGCTGGTCAAGCAGACGGCGTTCAGGGTGGTGGAGCGGCTGGATGGCGTCGGACGCGGGAGACTGGTGGGTACGGTGGTAGGGATGTGGTTGGTGGTGGCGGTGCACCTGTTGGCGGTGCTCGAGGTGGCGCTGGCGGTAGGAGGCGGGAAAAAGGAGTGGTGGGAGGGCGTGGGTAGGGTCAAAGGGTATGTCGGCGAGTCGGCGAAGAGGCAACCCAGGAGGATCAAGTCGACTTGACCGCATGCACGGATTGTCTTCGCACAGCATGGATACAACGGAATAGAATGGATTGTCCAGGTTTCAATGCTCGATTCACTTTGCCAAAAGAGTCTTGAAAAACCTCTTGGTCTTGCTTCCACCTTGCTCGCCCTCGATCTTCTTCCTCTCCCGCCTCATACTTTGCTCGACCCACTCGACAAACACCCCATTCATCTCCGCCTCCTCCCTCTTGATCCAGAGCAAGCGATAGTCTCGATCCTTCTCGTAATTGAACCAGCTCAATCCGATCATCCAGGGCAACCTCTTCCTCGCCTCCTTTCCCGTCACCACCTCCAACCACCTCATCTTGGCGTCCATCTCGACTTCCTTGGGTGGATCGAACTGCAATCCCGTCTCTCCCAGCACAAACGGTCGGTCTTTGCTCGCGTATCGGTCGTGCACCCTCTTCATCTTGCGCACAAAGTCGGATGCGTCCAGATTGCCGGCGGCAGGGCAATAGTAATCGATGCCGACATAGTCGATATGTTCTAGCGGTGGGAGGAAGGTGTCGTACTCGGCCTCGGCGCCCGAGGAGGTGGAAGCGATGTTGGGGCACCAGAAGAGTTTGATCCGCTCTCTGTACTGCGGGGCCAGATCCCGGCAGGCGAGAGCGACGGCGGTGAAAGCGGTGCGGTAGTCCCAGCCTCGATCGGCTGTGGTTGGGGGAGGATAGAGACCGGAGGAGATGTAGTAGTTCATCTCGTGCCCGAAGCGAAGGCGGATCTCTGCGATGGCAAACTCGTCACCCGCACGACTACGCTCCAGCATGGTCTGCATGACCTGCGCGACCTCTTTCGCTTTGATGTCGTTCTCGGGTGTGTAGCCCGTCCAGCTCTGGAAAGGCATCACCGAGGCCTCGTATACGAAACGCGTGCGACGATGACACCGCGTGTGCTCCCTAGTGATGTCGTCGACGAGCGGCATCAGCTGGAACCCCGTAAATTCCTCCCCGGGGTACGTCTGCGCATACCATCCGACGACGGCGATCGTTGGCACAGGCATCGTATGATGACCAGCCGGCCAGGAGAGCGCAAGCGCATTGTTGAGGTCCGAGAGGTACGACGTTGTGCCGCCAGCATCGCCTTCGTCCGGGTAGAAGCCGAGGGTCACGCCGTTCACTGCGAGGGTGGTCATCTTGACTTCGAGTGTTGGTGGTGGTGGTCGGGAAGCATCCTTCGAGCGAGCGCGAACGGATATAAGAACGTGTGGCGGAGGTTTAGGGGCCAAGCTGAGGTTGTCACCATCGAAGCTCGTTGCAGCCCTCATAAGCAGGAGGGTATCGGTTGTGTGGCTTCAGGGTCCACAATGCTGGGTTCGGCTTGCAACCGGCAATCAAGGCGTCCTTTCCACCCGATTCAGTCAAACTGCCAGATCGGGTGGCGCGCAAATCAAGATGAAATTTTTGCCTTTGCTCCTCGCGGCACCAACAAGAAGATTTTCGAAAAATTTGGCAGCAAAGCAACCTTGATCTGAACGCTCTCTCACCATCCCACCGAACCACATCATTCTTGTCACCCCCCGCTTGCACTGCAACCATGCCAGCCGCAATCGTCTCGAACAGCACCACCTCTCTGGACGGCACCGCCCTCGCCGCAGCCTCGTCCTCCAAGTACCTCCCCACCACCGTCGACGAGACCCCTTCACCCTACCAATTCGACCTTGGCCTCCTAACCTCAATCAACCCGAACCCGCTCCCTTCCACGCCTCTCACCTCGGCCACCCTCACCTCCCGCACGAGGGACGGCATCCAATCTCTCATCAACCGCATCTTCACCCTCCCCATCGTGCCCTCCCCCGACCATGGCCCCCTAGCCACGCTCCCCGCGTTCACCACCCGCCTCCCCCGGGAGAAATCCATGCCCAAACCCAAACCCTTGACCAAGTGGGAAAAGTTCGCCAAGCAAAAGGGCATCCAATCGCGCAAGAAGGACAAACTCATTTTCGACGAAGCCACCTCCACCTGGGTCCCCCGTTGGGGCTTCAAGGGTGCCAACAAGGATGCTGAAGAACAATGGATTCACGAGCTCAAGAACAATGGGCAGAACGACCTGGATCCTGCTGCTACGGCGAAGAAGGAGCGCCTGGCCAAGGTCAAGAAGAACGAAAAGCAGAGGGCGGGCAACCTTGCGCGTGCGGCGAGCTCCAGTGCTGCTGCAGGGGTGGCCAAGGGTGGTTTGGGCGATGCGAATGCTGCTAAGCTGGCTAGGGCGGCTGCGAGGGAGAAGAGGAAGGCCGAATTGGAGGCGGATGTGTTGCGATCCCGCGCATCGACGGCGAGCCTGGGTAGGTTCGATAAGACCCTGAAGGGCGAGACCAAGCAGAAGGGGTTGAAGAGGAAGTTCGATCCTAATGAGAAGGATACCAGGGAGGAGAGACAGGGTAATTTGGCGTTGTTGGAGAAGTTGGGCACGAGCAAGTTGAGGAAGGCGGCCAAGAGCGCGGAGGGCCAGGGCGATAAGGAGCTGGTGAACACGAGGAAGGCGGTTCAGTTTGCCACTGGCGGGCATGGCGTTACGAGCATGAGGGATGGCGGGCGGGGCGGAAGGGGCGGACGGGGTGGCAAGCGGGGTAGGAAGTAGCGAGGTCGTTGAGTTGTTTTATTGTGGTTTGCATTCAGTTTGACTTGATACATCGTTGACCGTGTGACTGTGAAGGTCGTGAGCAACGGCCTGCTGGTTGAGAACCTCGCTGTTCATCGGCGACATCCTGAATCAGTCTCTCGCTCAACAGACGACACACACGCACATTCCGAGATTGCGTCAACCCAATGCTGACATTTGCTCCGCGCTGTCAATCCCACAACTTGATCTCACCATCCCAGCTGCCGGTGACGACCTTGCTGGTCTCGTGCGGCAACCACGCGCAGCTGATCACCGCCTCCCTATGCGCGCCCCTCAACCTCTTCAACAATCTCGTCGTCTTCCAGTCCCAAAAGCACACGTTGCCCTCTCCATCACCACTACTAACGAACTTGCCATCGGGACTGAACCCCACCTGGCACGCGAACCCGGCAACGTTATGACCCTTGAACACCTTTTTCCGGTTCTGCTTGAAGCCGTCCGCTGCAAACGTCAGGATCTGGTTGTCCATGCTCTGCGCAGCTAACCACTTGCCCGTCGGGGACAATGTCACCGCCGGCATGGAATGCATCGTCGGATCCGCAATGTACTTGATCACCACAGGGATGTCGTAATCCCACCCGCGCATCGTCTTGTCGTCCGAGGTCGTCACAAAGCGTCGATTGCCATCGACAAACGTGACGCTGTTGACGGCGCCGAGGTGGGACGTGTACTCCTGCGTGATCGTGTGCGAGTTGATATCCCACTGATGGACCTTTTTATCGCTCATCCCTGTGAGGAAGATGTGCTGCTTATCCTCGTCCGGGTGGAAGGTGACGCAGTACGGCGTGGCACTGTTGGAAAAGCTATCCAGACAAGCGCCCGTCTCGGTATCCCACAGCTTGACCACCCGATCGTACCCCGCCGACAAAAACCGCCTTCCATCATTCGAAAACGCCACATCCCTCACCGCCTTCCCATGCCCCATGAACGTCCGCAAACACTGCCCTTCGTGATACACATCCCACAGCTTGACCGTCGTATCCAACGAAGCGCTCAACAACAAATGCCCCGATTTCGGAAAGACCTTGAGCGTCGACACCCCTTTCCCATGCCCCTTGAACGTGTGGATGCACGTTTTCGGCAAAAAGCACTCCTGCTCGCCCGCCTCGCCGGACAGATTGACATCGACGTCCGTAGGCACGTGCATGTACGTTCGTCCTTGGTAGTCGTACATGCTCTTGGCGTGCAGGATCGAGGTTTCGGTGATCTTTTCGGTTTCGGAGGTGGTCTTGCGAGCTTGGGCGGCGAGGAGGGCGTCTTTCTCGCGCGCGTCGGATTTAGCTTGCGCAGCGGTGAGTTCGGCTTGGGATGGACCCACGGTGGCATCCTGCCCCAAGAGCTGCGTTGCAATGTCGTCGTCTTCGGCGCGTTTCGCCCACGGACCGACGTAGGCGCCATCGCCATCGAGAATGCCTGCATCGCCTGCTTTGGGATTTCGCTTCTTCCTGTGCGCCTTGCTACCGTTGCTCGCGCGAATCTCGGCTGCCGAGGCGCCTCCGAAACGCGATGCTGCATACTGATCACCGACGTACGACGAAGAGCCCTCCGCAGACTGGTGCAGCAAAGACGGATCCTTCGCATACCCATAGACGTGAAAGGTACGCTGTTGATTGCGGAAGTCGAAATCGGAGACTGCGGCGGACTCGATGTGGCCGGTGAGAGTGTTTTGTTGGGCGCCGAGGGTGCGCGTTGCAAAAGGATTCTCCGGGCCCAATTGGGGCGCTGTCATGTCGGCATAGGAGATGTTGACGTGCATGGTGTTGTCGCCGGGTCGCAAGAGGAGAGCTTCGGCGGCGGAAGAGTTGTCGATCACTTGCGGCGCGAGCGCGACTGCGGTCGAAGTGGACGAAGATGCGGAAGAAGGGCCGGAAGGGTTGGATGTTGAAGCCGGTGCCGACGGTGCTGCGGCATTGCTGTTCCTCTTTGACTTCTTCGACGGCCGTGATGAGGAAGGAGGTGCTTCGGGAGATGCCTGTAGCGCTTGTTGTGATGTCGATGCTTGCTCAGGCTTGAGACTGCCCAGTCCAAAAGCGTCGGTGGGATCGTAGTCCAGAGGCTCGGTGGTCGTTGCTGTCTTCGACTTGACCAGCTGGGGCGAAGGCTGCTCGCCGATGTCGCTGTCTTCAGAGCCGTAGCCTGCAAGAGCGTCCATGATTGCACCTTTCACTCGTTCGGACCGAGTCTGCCTTCGTTCGTTGGTTATAGAGAAGGGTCAGAAGAAGGTGAGCAACGGTAATGCAAGACCAAACCTCGTTCTGCGGCCATCTGAATCGCTCCGATTTCCGAGCTTTGAAGCAAAATTTACTTTTTTGCCGCTTCTTCTTCTTGTTCTCCACACCCTTCTTCCTCCAGACACCAAACCGCCTCGAAAAGAGAAGACAGCAAAGTCGCAATGCCGTTCGACTCACGCTTGAAGTCGCGCAAGACGACGACGCTACCCGCAGCCCTTCGTGATGAACTTGGACTGCCTGCCCCTTCCGCGCAGAGACGTCCCTTCCGGCCACACGACCGAGGCAACCGCTTCGACTCGCACAATGGGTCGGGCAAGCCACAGCTCAAGGCGATAGGCAGGCCGCAGAGCGCCGTCAATGGTGCAGCAAAGGGGACGTCGAGGGGCCCCATCAAGTCGCTGCGGAATCAGGAGAAGGAGCAGCAAGAGCAGCAGCAACAGCGAAAGCAGCAACGGTCGCAAGCTGGACCGTCTTTGCAGCACAAGGGCAATAAGCCAACCACGAACCGCAACGCGAACGCTAATGCAGCCTCATCGAGTCGCGCAAACAGCAATGCTGGGCAAGCTGACAAAAAGCGAAAGTCGACCAACCAGCCAAGAGAGGAGCTCAAAGTCATCAAGAAGCCCAAGAGCACCAAAGCACCTCTACCACAATCGGAGGATGAAGAGTCGGTCGAACAGAAACAGCGACTCAACCCGTTCACTGGCGAGCTCGAGGTAGTCAAGCCGAACAAGAAGAGGACGTCCTCTACTAAGCCCACTGCGCTCGAGAAGATGCTTGCGCGTGCAGAGGCGGGCCCATCCACCTCGTCAAATGGCAAAGCAAAGGCGAGCGAGGGTCTGGACGGCGGCAAGAAGAAGGGCAGACGACACATGACACAGCAGGAGAAGGAGGATGAGGACGAGATCCGATGGCTCGAGTACAGTCTAGGCAAAAGCAGACAGGGGGAGGATGTGGTGCGCGATGATCTGGATGACTTCTTGGACGATCTGGATCGGTTCCAGGTGGGAATGTATGATGAAAGTGATAGCGACGAGGAGGAAGAGGAGAGTGATGACGAGAGCGACGACTCCGGGTTGGAGGACGTCAGTGCGAGCGAAGACGATGAGTCGGAGGAGGGTGAGGAGGAAGAGGGAGACAGCGAGATGGACGGAGAGAGTGCCAGTGAGGACGAGGAGATGGAAGCGTTAGAGGGAGAAGGGGCGTACGACTTCGACTCGAATGACGAAGACGACTTCAGCAACTGGGATGCTGCCATGGCCACAACAGACGAAGAAGCGGAGGAAGATGATGACGAAGAAGCCAGCACCGACGAGGACGACGAAAGCGAAGAAACCGCCGAGGAGGACTCTGAAGCCGAGGAAGCCCGTGCACTCATCGCTGGTTCCGCAAAGACAGCCTCATCCGACACCGTCGCATCGACATCCGCATCATCAGCTCCTGCTGCCGCAACAGCCACCAAGTACATCCCTCCAGCTCTGCGCGCAAAGCTCGCCGCCGAGTCCTCTAGCACAACCACACCCGCCACTTCAAACGCTCCATCCGGCCCAGGCATCACGGAAGCAGAAATGGACCCCATCGCCGCGCAGAAGCTGCGCCGCCAAGCGCAGGGCCTGCTCAACCGTCTCGGCGACGGCAACATCGACACGATTCTTGGCGAGTACGAGAACCTCTACCGGTCCCACCCACGCGCCCATGTCACCTCGACCATCACGCAGCTCATCATCGACATCATCACCTCGCGCTCCAACCTCATCGACACCTTTGTCATCCTGCATGCCGCCCTAGTTGCCGCTCTGCACAAGGTCATCGGTGTCGAGTTTGCTGCGTACTTCACTCAGCGTCTCGTCGAGGTCCTGACCAAGCACTACGACGAGCTGCGACAGAACGCGGGGGTGGAGGTTGATGACGAGGAGGACAAGGGCAAAGAGTGTCTCAACCTCACCGTCCTAGCCTGTGAACTGTACAACCTGCACGTGGTAGCGTGTCCGCTCATCTACGACCTCATCCGCATGTTTCTCGGCGAACGCACCTCGTCCGCAGACGTGGGGAGCATTACGGAAGTGGACATCGAGCTGCTGCTCCGCACCATCCGGTGCTGTGGCCACCAGCTCCGCTCGGACGACTCGACGTCGCTCAAGGCCATCATCACCTTGACCCAATCGCGCGTCGCCACATCGACCGCATCGACGCGCACCAAATTCATGCTGGAGCGCATGACGGATCTGCAGAAGAACGCAAGGTCGAAGTCCAACGCCAACGACGCGTCCAATCCGGCCAGTGCGACGGGTCAGCTGTTGACGCGAATGAAGAAGTTCCTTGGTGGGTTGGGGAAGAAGCGCACCGTCAAAGCATACGAAGCTCTTCGAATCGGGCTCAAGGACTTGCAAGACGCGGACAAGAAGGGCAAGTGGTGGCTTGTCGGCGCAGCATGGACTGGTCAATCCGACCAATCCGACGCGCAGGGGTTGACCAAGCTGACGCCCATGAACGCGCGCTCCTCCGCCATCCAATCCTCCAACATCACTCAGGAGCACGACAAAGCGCAGCAGGAGCTGCTCGACCTCGCCCGATCTCAGGGGATGAACACCGACGCGCGCCGTTCGGTCTTCATCACCCTCATCACAGCGACCGACTTCCGCCAAGCAGCCGAGAACCTCCTTCTCCTAAAACTGAACGACGTGCAGCGACGCGAAGTCATCCGCGTCCTCGTCCACTGCGTCGGCTCCGAATCCACCTACAACCCGTACTACACGCTGATCGGCCAGGAGATCTGTCGTAATGACCACGGCATGCGCGTGACGCTCCAGTACTGTCTCTGGGACTTCCTGCGTGAGCTAGGCCAGTCGGACGTTGGGGGTGAGAAGTTCGCCGCTGCGCACTTCGGCGATGCCTCTGCAGATAAGACTGTCGATCCCCGAAGGGTGGGCAACCTGGCTCGCGCCTACGCTTGGTGGATGACCCACGACTGTCTGTCGCTGCAATCGCTCAAGACAGTCGATTTCACTATGATGCGCACGCGACCGGGGGAGTTTTTGGGCTTGTTGATGGTGCACCTCGTGCTGAGCGTCCAGGCGAAGAGCCCGGCGAGGACACTCCATCTGCCGACGGTGACGAAGGAGTTGAAGGTGGAGAAATTGGGCAAGTGGATTCAGGCAAATCTGTTGGGTGGCAGCGCGGATTTGAGTCGGGGACTGCTGTTCTTTTTGAACACAAAGCTGGATGCGAGGGCGCAGAGGAAGTTGATCTTGGGCGAGGAGAGTGGGGATAAGGGGTTGAGGCGGCAGATGGCGCCGCTTTTGGAGATTGTGAAGGAGGGACTGGGCGTGATGTTGAAGACGGTGGAGGGGATCGTACAGCAGCAGGACGTGGTTGGTGATGGTCTGGATCCCTTGGATGGGGACAGCAGTGACGAGGACGTCGATGACGAGGAAGAGTAACGTGATTCACGTATTGCCCGAACGCCCGTATTGCTCGGACGATCCGAAATTAGACTTTTGGGCAGTCTAGCTGTCTTTTGTGCATTTGGTACCATGCTCTTTGAGATGCTGTCAATGCTACCACATGCGCCAATGTTATGCAGTGAGTTGTGGTACCTCTGGCGGGAGGGTGGAGGTGAATGGTCCATGCCTCGTTTTGCGAATAAGTGGCATCGCTGTCAAACAAATTGAGATGGTGGTTTGGCGAACGGAAAATCCCTGGCCTTTAGGCACTTCAGCAGTGTAAACTGCAGATCCCACAATGCTCGTTCTTACCTGACGACAACGCACGACAGGCAGCAGGTGACTTCACAGTTGCACAAGATCAGGCGTGTGCTTGATCTCGCCGGCAGGAAGCCCAGGATCAACAGAGATGGTGGTAGTGATCAGTGATGGTGTCAAAAGGCGTGAATTTGTGCACGCACATCGGCAGTGTCGATATTTTTGAATAATTGACGTCGTCTTTGCCATCACGGATCACGACGACGATGATTTGCAAGTCCCCTTGCCGCGCTATGGGCTTGTACAGCCTGTACGGCTCCACGTCGTTGCTGTTGAAGCTCTCGTCTGCCGTACCTTGGCGCTGTTTGGGGGCACAAGCATTCAAGAAGGCGCTCTACACTGCCAAAGTGCCCAAAACGGGCTTCTGCAGCTTCAGACTACCACAGCTCAGCGAGAAGGCAATGCATAGCATTGATGTTGCTTGTACGATGTTCAACAGCATCTGCGTAAGCGTCTTTCCAAGAGTCTTCCGCCGACATTGTGCGTATCCATGCATTTGCAGCCGTCTCAAGTGATCACCACTTTTTGCAAAAAGACTGCTCAGAAGGCGTTGACCAACTTTGCAGATCGTTCGAGCAATACGGGCGTTCGGGCAATACGTGAATTACGTTACTGAGCTTAGAGATTCACCCATGAAACTTTGTGACAAGAATCTCAAACATGCTCATCACTGTGTGACTGCGGTGAATTGTGTGATTGCTGTGCACCTCGCTGACCCAAACATCGACAGTGTCTACTTCTCCCCGCCACCTTCCTTCTTCCCCTCGGAAACCTTTCTCCTCTTGCTCCCCGCAATCATATCCCTCCTCTTATTCGCCTCTCTCCTACCGACACTGCTAGCCGCACTCGTCCGGATCTCCTTCCTCTCCGGCGCCCGCTGCTTCAGCTTCTTCCTCTCCTTCTTCCCCGGCCCCTTCAACTTGACCATCCACTCGGGCACCTCGCATCCGCTCTGCCTCATCACGTTCACCACCGTCTTCAGATGCCCTGCGTCCTCCTTGGTAAAGTACGTGATCGCACGTCCCTGCCTTCCCGCTCGACCCGTTCGCCCGATCCGATGAATATAGCTCTGAACGCTCTGTGGGAAATCGTAGTTGATCACCAGCTGAACGCCCTTGAAGTCAATCCCTCTCGCCATGAGTTCGGTGCAGATGAGCACCCACACATCGCCCCTCTTGAACGCGCTGATCACGCCTTCGCGTTGCACCTTAGGTCGTTCGGAATGTATCACATCCACGTGCAGCCCATCGTAGACGAGCTCATGAAACAGATCCTTAGCTCGTTCGATGGACTGGACGAAGAGCAGCACGGGGGGTTTCAACCCTCCTTCCGTGATCAACGACCTCAATGCGTGCAACTTTCCGTCTTCCGAACCGACGAATAGCAACTCTTGCTGGATCGTCTCTGTGGCGCTGTCCTTGGTGCCGACGATGACGCGACATTCGTCGACCATGAACGTCCTTGCCATCTCCTCGACGCCCGCAGGCAGTGTCGCGCTGAACAACGCCTTGCGAAGATCCGGATGCGTGCAAGCAGCCAAAATCGAATCCGTCTGCTCCAAAAACCCCTCTTCCAACAACCGATCCGCTTCGTCCAGCACCAAATGTCTTACATTGCCCAATTCGACCTCTTCCTTCTCCACCGCGTGCACAAGTCGCAGAGGGGTGGAGATGAGGATGTCGAACTTCTTGCGCTTGCTCGGCTCTTGAGAGAGAGACGAGAAATCGGCCGTATTGGTGAGGACGCAGATCCGAAAGTTGCGCCCGTCGGAGAGACGACGGAGCTGGTCGTGGATCTGTTGAGCGAGCTCGCGGGTGGGGGAGACGATCACGGCGCGGAAGGTTTCTTTTTTCGATGGGGCGCGGAGGTGGTGCAGAAGGGGGAGGAGGAAGGCGAGCGTCTTGCCTGAGCCAGTGGGTGCGCCGGCGAGAAGGTCGCGATTGGCGAGGAGGACCGGCATGGCACCCCTCTGGATCGCCGTCGGAACGGACCAACCCCACTTGTCTAGGTTGGTGCGCAGCCAGGGTTGCACGTTGAAGCGCGTCTCGAGTTCCGACCACGATGCCATGGGGAGCGGCACGTCGGTGCCTTTGAGCTTGATCTTGTTCGCCTTGAGGAAGGTGCTGAGGGTTGCTTTGGTTACCGGTGGCTCGTCTGCTGCTTGTTCATCCGCTTCAGCTTCTGAGTCGGATGACTCGTCCTCGGCTTTACGCTTGCCGTCCTTCTTACTCAGCCTCTCCTCTCTCTCGACAGCCGAGGTGGTAGACTTGGCCTTGGCTGCGGAACCAAAGAAGTCGAGTCCATCCGGCACAATGACCTTGGCTCCATTGGTAGCGCTGTGCTTCTGCTCTCCATCCGCCGTAGTCTGGACGTCACTGCGCTTTCTCTTGCCCTTGCTCTTGGCATTCGCCGTCGAGGTGGAAGCCTCGTCGTCAGCGCCACCAAAGATCTTGAGATCGTTCTGGAAGCGCCTCTTGTCGAAGCTGGCGCCTCCGCCTGCTAGCGTGCGGAAGATGTCCATCGTCGATGCCGTGGAGGGAGCCCTGTTGTGCTGCTCGGCTGGAGCTTGATGAAGAGCGCTGAGTGTCACCAAGATTAGTATGGTGTTGCAAGTTCAAGCCTGAGAAGGACACAAAGTTTACCGCGAGCCTTCGAAAAATTTGGCTGAGGTGGAGCAAAGATTTTCCGACTTCCGCGAATCGAAGCGTTGGACCTCACACACAACAGTTGAGCTCTGCTCGAACGTTCCTGCTCTGACCGTTCAGAAACAGCTTCAGCGGCATACGGACGAGACTGACGGCTACAGGCAGGGTGATGAACTGGATTGATTGGAGCGAGTGGCCTCAAAAGCATGGTATATTGGTGGTACAACGTAAAATACAGATGATGACGATGACAACCCGGCGAGTTCATCGAGACAGGGATTAGCCGAAGGTCCACACCTGCACCCGTTCACGAGGGTGAGATGCATCGAGAGCAGCGCCAATAGAGCCTGACGGCATTTCAGTCGCATCAGGATAAGTGACGATGCTGACAATCTTGTCGAAGGCGGTTGAGACCCAACGAATGATGCCTTGAGCTTGACGGTCAAGTACGCGGCTGCGAACGAGCTGGCCCAGACAGGGACCGGAGGATCGGCCTCGAATGAGCTGATGCGTGCTTGTCTGCGTCTCGTCCATATCATTCGTGACTGTCTGCTGCGGTTCTGTTGGTGTCCTTAGCGTGAGCACGTGAGCCATCTGACTGGCAGCCTCGTCACCCTCTTCCTCCTCCAGAATTGTTGAGCTGGTAGACCTTGCACCAGTGCTTGGTGTCCAGTCAGATCGGCCTTGACCCCGTGCTGCAGTTCGAGCGTTTCGCATCGCACTGGCGATCGAGTCGGTCTCATTTGACCGGTCCCCCAGAGTCCAGATCATGACGCTACCATCGGCACTGCCGCTGACGCATCGTCCGTCTTCGAGCGCAACGCTGTGAACGCTGCCGGTGTGACCGTGCAGGCTGCGACGATGCACCAGCCGCAAGACTTGTTTCTGCGAGTGAGGAGTGGCGGTTGCTGAGCGTGGAATCGAATTTGAGTCTTGTTGACCCGACCGCACGAAGGTGGTAGCGCCCAGCAGCTCGTAGACCTCGACGAGATTGTCGCTGGCTCCAAGCACCACGAAGGGGTCGTCGTAGGTCAAGCTCGTAGATCTGCTGCCATTCGAGGTGGAGACCTGGGCCGGCATGGGATGACCCTGATCCAGAATCGGGCGTTGAGCAGGCAGGGATTGAGCAAAGTCTCTGCCAAGCATGGATCGACCTCTCAGATCTACTGGCGTCGGCCGAAAAGGGTGCTTGGCTGTGGCATGGCGACTCGAGACTTGTGCTGTAGGTGTCGACGGGTCAAGCCGTACGACAATCTCTTGGACCGAGACACTCCACGATGAAGGATAGCTGGGCGTCGAGTAGACCAGAGTGACTCTGAACGCCGACTTGTCGGGACCTTGCGTCGGCGCATGACGCTCCGCAGATGAGGACGACGAAGTTCGTCGAGTACGTTTGATACTGTCGAAGTACGGCAACATCTTGAGGCGTAAGGACGCCGGCCACGAGCATCGGTAGCTCGACATGCGATGAATCGGAGTCATCTTCGAGGGTGAAGCAGTGTCAAGCCGATAGAAAGCGACGTCGAACTGGGAGGAGCATAGCACGAGGGCAGGGAAATGAAGAGCCGCCATTGTGACATGTTCTGCCGAAGTCGTGGCTGCGGGACGGTGGAACATCTCCTCCACGGTCCTGACCGTGCCTTGCACACTCTCTATCGAGAACAGACTAATATGTCCGGTCGAATAAGCAACGAGAACTCTCGCTGCTGGACTGCCGCAGCATGTCTGGTCTCCAGGCGACTTGCGCTTGCGAGGACCAGACGCATCAGCAATCGCTGCATCACCGGCGATAGCAGCATCGACTGCGATTTCGGTGATGTGCACATCAGATCTGCGGGCCGAAAGAAGCTTATCTAGCCCTGGTGAAGAAAGGGTTGCGACTGGCACCTTTTGATGAAGATCGCTGGGTATCTGATTGTTGGTACTATGGAAGCGACCGTCTGAAATAGGTTCCGAAGAGTAGATCAAGACCCGTGGGGCATATGTGTCATCATGGATCGGAGTAGAAGATGCTGTGAAGATGAAGTCGTTCGACACCCTCACGACAGTGGGCTGAGGCGGAGATGGATGAGGTCGTGAGCTCGAACCAGCTTGAAGCTGTTGTGCGGACAGCTCGGATACGGCGAAGTTGCCTCGTTGCCAGTTGCGCGAAACGCTGTAGATCTGTTCCCATTCGAGGAGTTGACGCTTCGAAGTATCGTTGAGGCCGACGCTGTCGAGGTATAGCGACGAAAAGTCCCGATCGACGTCGATGTGCAACGCCGTCGAGCTGTAGAAGCGGTCGGGCAGTCGCTGTATCTGGCTGGGTCCGTCGCCGGTGACATGCTTGCCCGGCAAGACATTCTGATGCAACAGTAGGGATCCTAGCTCTCGCAAAGTGGGGAGGACGGCGGAAGTGTCATGCTGGACCTGAACGCTCTGTGTGGGTCGCACAAAGTTGAAGTAGAAGAGACGTTTCCAGAGCAGACGATCCTTTGCGAGCGTGCGAAGGTGCTTGCTCACCTGCTGCACTCGAACAAGATCCTTGGCGTCGAGATAGCTAAGAATGCGCAGGATCGTCTCGTCAGCAAGCAGACGATTCATTGGCGGAGTGGCCGCGCTCGCGATCATACAGCGCTGCTTGAACTGTCGATCGAGAGCATCTTCTCGTCCCCACGCCTCCTTCCGTTGTGATACGAAGTCGAGGTTGGATGTCAGGCCATCGCCCCGACCTTGAGGCTGAGTCGGCAGCCAAGTGGAGATGAAATCTGTGATTTGAAATTATGCAAAGCCGAAAGTCGAGGCCGCTGCACCTCTGCGTCTTTTGGCGTGAAGCGAGAGAAGGGCGGATGTGTATGCACTTTTTTTAGGTTAGCTACGCATGGACCTTCTTGTGGGACCAACGGCGTCTGATTGAACATGTGCATATGGTTTCACACTCCGACGCTTTACACAGCTCTGTAACGTTTGACCGCCTCTGTTTAGTGATTGGGGTGATCCGTTCAATGGCGATCGAAGAGATCGCTATCGCAGCCCGTGCACTTGCATCTGTTCTTGCTTCCATATCCATTGCCCTCGCAAGGCGATCCGCCTTCTCTAATCCCATCACTGCCTTCAGCTACACTCATCACATCTGCCTCACAATGTCACAATTCATCTCCGGATCACCCGAGGGTGATGACAACCTTCCCTCGTTCATGGAGCAGAGGAAGAAGCTATCGGCATCACCGTCGCAAACCGACCGAAAAGCATCGGCAGACCCGAGCTCATCGAAACAGCAGCACGGCAGCACACTCTCGCCTCATTCACATGGTGCGGGTCACCACCACCACTCCCACGGTCACTCGCACAATTATGCGCACGGCCACGGCAGCTGCAGCTGCAACGCTTCCTCCCACGGCCAACGCACCATGTCCAACACGTCCAACTCTTCGCTCGGGTACGGCTCGCCTTCGCGCTCCATGACTCGCACGCCCTCGCACGAATACCGCGAAACACTCGATGCCAAGAGCAAGAACCTCGACGACGGCTCACTCGTCATCAACCAGTATAAGATCACCGACACCATCGGTCGCGGCGCCTACGGTACCGTGCGCAAGGCCGTCCTCGTCGAAGACCCCGAGGTCAAATTCGCCGTCAAGGAGTTTGGGAAGACTCGCCTGCGCAAAACGCATCGTGCCGACAAGCTGCGCAAGCCTGCACGAAATCGTGCTCCTCGCGCCCCCGCCGGCGCAGATCGAGACAACGCAGGCAACCACAGCGATCCGACAAAGGGCGGCGAGAAGCACGAGCAGAAGGAAGGCGACAACGCCAAAGACCCACTCTCCCTCATCCGCCACGAAATCGCCATCCTCAAAAAGCTTCACCATCCACACGTCGTCAAGCTATACGAGGTGCTCGACGACCCATCCAAGGACAACCTCTACATGGTCTTCGAGTACTGCCCCGACGGAACCGTCATCGATATTAAGCTCAATCATACCGTCGAGCCGCTACCCGAGGACGTTGCGCGCTACTACTTTGTGCAGATCCTCATGGGCATCGAGTATCTGCACGAGAACGACATTGTGCATCGCGACATCAAGCCGGACAACATTCTGCTGAGTGACGACCGCAAGACGTGCAAGATGGTCGACTTTGGCGTGAGCGAGATGTTCCTCAAGCCGGGGGATGACACGATGCAAAAGTCAGCGGGCAGTCCGGCCTTCATGAGTCCCGAGCTGTGTACGGCGGGGCATGCCGAGTACCATGGAAAGGCAGACGACATCTGGAGCTTTGGCGTCACGCTCTATTGTATGGTGGTAGGCCACCTGCCATTCGATAGGGACAACTTCTACGAGATGTACGAAGCGATAAAGAACGACGAACCTGAATACCCGGATCATCTCAGCGACGATCTCAAGGATCTGTTGCACAAGATGCTCACCAAGGATCCGGAGAAGCGTATCACCGTAGCTGAGATGCGCGAGCATCCCTGGACGCTGGCTGTCGAGGACGGCGTGCTGCTCTCGAAAGAGGACAATCTCGAAGCGCTGGTATCGGAGATCACAGACGAGGACCTCGACTGCGCCATTTGCAAGATCACCAACATCTTCACGTTCGCCCGCGCCATCCATCGGTTCAAAAAGGGCGGGTCGATGCAGCGTGCTCGTCGCGGCACATCGCAGACTTCCGACGGCAGCAGCAATCAGGACCACAGTTGGTTCCCACGCTCTTTGGACAGCCCGGAGAAGCAGAGTCGGTCTGGCTCGAAAGAACGGGGGGCCGATGACGCCGCCAGCCGCCTGGCTCGTGATGTATCCACCATCAAAGAGGAATCTCCCGCACCATCTACGGCCACACAACAGAAGAACTTCGAGCAGATCAAGGGCAGTAGGGAAGACAAAGAGGAAGGGGTGCACGAGATCCAAGCCGCAGCAGCGCACATGTTCGAATCTCCGCAGATGCACACCTTTGAGCTGCCACCGGAGGAGCCGGACGGAAATGGGCCGTTGCAACGCAACCACTCTGGGCCCATCTCAACGCTTCACCGTCCCGACGACGCCGATGGGCAGCGCGTGAGCGAATCACCACGGTGCGCCTCACCCGAGATGGTCTCCTCACCCACCTCCGAAGGCGGCTTTGACACAGAGCAACCCCAACGCTCCACGTCCAATGACCACATCACCCGCGCCGACTACACAGCTGACACGAACAAACCCGACGAATCCATCGCGACGCATCTCTCGCACATGGTGCTGGAGCACGAAAAGGAGCAGAAGCAAGACGATCCCGATAGGAAGGACGAGGCGCGCAAGAACGAGGTGCTCCCACCGAAGCATCCCGATCCTGCCTCGCCGGACGACGACGCGGATCACCGCGCTATGAGTGTCCAGGAGCGCGCGGCGTCGCTAGGCAAGAAGGGGGAGAAGAAACCGAAACCCAAGCTGTTGCCCGATCAACCGACGGTGTCGAGCCCACACACGGAGGATCTTGGAACCCCGCCCGGCGCCGCAGATGTCTACAAGGAGGGCAAGGACGATGGAGAGGAGCGCGACAAGAATGGGGAGGAGTACTTCCCGCAGAAAGGGAAGGAAGAGCAGAAGGGAGAGAGGGAGGAGCAGGATGATGAGACAGAGGTGGAGAAGCAGGCGCAGACTGTGTGAGCTTGCAGATTCAAGGTGCTGGCGATGGATGATGGAAAGCATTTATGTCTCCGCAAACCAGCATTGAATGCTTTTGTCTGTGAGCAGACTAGCAGCTGGATCTCACTAAATGAGCCGCTTTGTGTTATGTGTGGGGACCCTGAGCAAAGCTGCGGGTCGAAGACGGGATCGATGTTAGACCGTCGAGTCGACAGGAATTTGTGCAAATGAATTCCCTGCACAGCTTAGCCGAGAACGACGCGGAAAGCCTTAGAAAGCGTCGGTGGGTGGAGGGCAAAATCGAGCTCTCGATGACTTCACAGCTGCGCAAGGAAGAGTCCACCGCACGGCTCAGCGTCGGTGGCACGTCAGATCACACGAGCCTGCTTTCATCTTCTTCACTATCAACCATCACACCTCCTCTGTCGACACTGCATCGATCGCATACACAGCACACACCGAGGCACTCATTCATCTGGCACAACCTACCTCTCTCTACACAACCATTCACACAATGTCGAACACGGACTGGGACAGCAAAACCGTCATCGGACGCGGCGTGCGACCCTCTGGCGGCTCTGGTCCATCCTCGGGCCCCACCGCTTACGAACGAGCCAAGCAAGTGGGCGCGATCACCGAGAACGACCGCAAAGTCGCGGCGGGTACGAACAAGGGTCATGCCGGCACGGATCACCAGCGCATCGCCAAGCTCGATCGCGAGAACGAGGTTGCTCCCCCACCCAAAGTCGCCCCCACCGTCGGCAAGACCATTGGTCAGACACGTCAAGAAAAAGGGTTGACCCAGAAGGAGCTCGCGACTAAGATCAACGAGAAGCCTCAGGTGGTGCAGGAGTACGAGTCAGGCAAAGCCGTACCGAACCCCCAGATTCTGGCCAAGTTGCAGAGGGCATTGGGAGTCAAGTTGACCGGCAAGGACATCGGCGCTCCGCTTGGCGGGCCGAAGAAGAAGTAAAGAGACGAAAGACGAGGAACAGAGCTCAGCCGAGACGAAGGCAAGTCGAACAGCGATGTAGACGGGGAAGGGTTACCACTTGCACCATCCAGATCACAATCGCGACAACGACTACTCGCGCTGAGCCGGTCTACAGAATACATCGTTTTTGCACGCCAGCCCTTTCTGACGGTCCTGAAGAGAGATGATGATGAGTTGAGTGCAAGCGTCAGAGCGCGGGCTATGCGCTGAAAGCTTGCAAAGTGGCCCGAGGGCGACGAGACGATATTCTTGGGAGTGGGGATTAGCCGCTTCGTGCGACGCAATCGCAATGCGCAGCTCCTCCTTCCGCTTCCTAGCAACGCTGTTTCATTCGCTCACATCTGCGATCATCACACAAGCCCTCAGCAGTCGACACAAAAGCCCGTTGAACAGCGTGAACATTTCCCCCAAAAAAAACAACCGTGACAATGTGACGACCCCAGAGATAGAATTTTTCTACAGATGAGAATGGTAGCAGTGTGAATGTGAGAGAAGATTGGAAGATGATGGTGCAGTTGGTCCGTAAAGATTCCGTGTGTGAGAAGGCGGGGTATGTTGGAAAGTGGTGATACAGCAGGTGAGAATGGTGCAGATCAGGCGCTCGCCACGGCCACGCCCACTGCAGGCCCCGGAGCGATGCCATTGCCGTTGACGCCAACCTCAATGTCTGAGTGGAACTTCTTCCTCCATTCCTCGAGGTCGCCTTTCAGCAGTCTCGGCGAGACGGGCTTGGTCATCCATGCGTCCATGCCGCACATCTCGATGCCCCTCGTCCTGTCCTCTTCCGAGCTGAGCGCGGTGACCGCCACGATGAAGGATGGGTGGTTGTGCGCTCGCATTTGCGTACACGCCTCGAAGCCGTCCTGGATCGGCAGCGAGATGTCCAGCAGAACAACCGAGGGACGGAAGGAGATAAATTTGGCGACGGCTTCGGCACCGTCGTGTGCTTCTTCGTAGCGAATGTTGAGCCGCTTGCACAGCGTGGTGAGGAGCTTCATGTTGATGGGATTGTCTTCGACCACGAGGACGCGGAACTCGTCCTCGGGAAGGGCCGCGCCAGCTGTGTTGATTGGAGCAAGCGACTTGCCTGGCTTGACCTCGATCGAGGACTCGGCAGCGACAGCAGCAACGTCGACGCCGTTCGAGACACCGTTGACCTTCTTTGCTCCTGTCACAGGCGTCGATGTCATGGAGCCCACTTTCAAAGGTGCGCTGACACGACGAGGACCCGTGGGGACGCCAAGCTCGGTCACACTGACCCTGTGCTGATTGCTGGCACGAATGGCGTTGCCAAGGTGAATCAGCGGTGGCTCTTCCTCTGCTAGGAAGATCTCCATGAGTCGCAGCGCACTGGGACCGTGTGGCATGGGCATAGGAAGAACGGCGCGCCCATCCAACTTCTCTAGGCCCTTCTCCATGACAAGGTGTGAGGAGCTGATGACGACAAATCTCGCGTTCGGCTTGACCAGGGAGAGAAGCGGCTCTTCGCCTTCATCCAAGGAGTTGGCAGCCCGCTCCGGCAAGACGATGCAGTCCGCCTCGGCATAGTCGCGCGTGAGCTCGACGCCCTCCATCGGAACAAAGTGTTCGCACAAGGCGTTGGCCAAGCGGCGTAAGCCACGTGTCTCGAGGCCGTAGTATGCGATCTTGGAGACGGCAAGTTTGGGCGCGGACGTGCTCGACAAGGAACCATTGCGGCCGTGAAGAGCCTTGCCACGCTGCAAAGGAATGCACATCGTGACGCGGGTACCGAGGTTGACTTCGGAAGCGACCGAAAGCTTTCCGCCGTACTTCTGCAACGTCGACGAGACGATCGTCATGCCGAGACCGATTCCGTCGCGGAAGGAGTCACCCTTGCTGAAGGGTCGGGTGAGCTGGTTGGTGCAGAAGTCCTTGGTCATGCCGACACCCGTGTCAGCGACCTCAATCTCCACAACAGTGGAGTCCTCAGCGACCTCGACGTCCAGATCGTCCAATGCACCTGGCGCAGCGACACGGATTGCGATCTCGACGTAGCCTTGCCTAGTGTAGCGAATCGCGTTCGAGACAACCTTACGCACCACGTCTTGCAGCGCTTTGACCTCGACCATCCATTCGCAATCACGTACCTCGGGACTCGCCTTGATGATGAGCTCCATGCCGTGCAAGGGACCTTCTTGCGGCTTGAGCGAGTCAATCTCGAGGTGGTGAGATTGAAGGTCCAGACGCTGTGCGAACTCCCATTCCTCGTCGGCAACCGATTCGATGACTTTGACAATGTCTGCCGCGATGCGTTTGGGCGGAGGAGCGTTTGCCGTCTTGATCCCGGACAGATTCTGAAAGCTGAGCAGGTCGTCGATGTATGCATTGAGCGTGAGGCCTGACAGTGAGATTGACTCGAGCAGAGTGGCCAAGACACCGTCGGCCGAGAGATCGACCTTGCTTGCTTCGTCGTCATCATTGCTGATGGCAGCTCGAAGGTACTCGACAGCACCCAGCGCACCGTGGAGTGGTGTTCGGAGATTGTGCTGCACGTGCCTCAAGAATTCGGCCTGGAAGAAGTCGGTCTCGGAAAGCTTCTGACGCAGCAAGCTTCCGTGGGCGACTTGCATGGTGCTCTCGACAAAGTAGCGCTCTTGTTGGTCGAAATGCACCTCTGCTTCGAACATGACGAGGAACATGATGCCGGGGCGTGCCTTTGCTCGATTGTACGAGACGCAGACGGCATAGGAGCTGATCTGGGTCTCGCGAGGCATCAACTCCGCCCATGGGTCCATGTTCTCGGGCTGGGATGGGGTTGCCTCCTCGTCGTCTTCCTCGTCGGATGAAAGGGCGATTTCGGCCGACCTGCGGTGGAAGCCGCAGCGGATGTTCATGTTGGTATCAGACGCTTTGCGCGCCAACGAAGCGGCAAAGACGGCCTTGAGACGACCGATCTCTTCGGGCATATTGGGTCGGCAAGATTCAGGGCCGCTGTAGCTGAGGATGCTGGGCGGCGGAGAGCCCTCGTTGAGATCGATGGTTTCGAACGTCAAAGCAGTATCAGCCGAGGAGAGCTGACGACTCATTCTGGGCGAGATGATAGGCGAACTCGGGTCGATGTAGGTTGGCGTTGAGACAGAATCACCCGGGGGAGTCAAGGGCTCGGTGAGAGCTTGACCTTCCAGGGAAAAGCTGCGTGCCGGCAAGGTGGCCTTCGAGAAGGTGCCCGAGGTGCGCGAGCCGCGATGAGCTGCATGACGGCGAAAACGGAAGTTGCTGACATCGAAGGCGACAACCCCGGCCGCACCAAGGCATTCGCGTAGCTCTTGACACGCGCGATCGATGACGACGAGCGAATATCGTGAGAAGCCATCGCCCGAATCGGAACCGGAACTGGACGAGTTGAAGTGCCTGTATTGCGCGTGAAGCGAAGGATCTTCCAAGGCGCGAACGAGCGAGCTGGTGCGTTGCTGCATTTCGGCGGCTTTGGCGTTCTTTGAGCTTTGAAACTCGACCTCGAGGGCGTCGCCGGCCATCTTGCCGATAGAATAGAGAAGCTCGGCGTCTTTGTCATCAAAGTCGTCGCGAGGCTGCTCGTCCATGATGCAGAGACGACCAACCTGGACTCTTGCTTCGATACCGTTGAGATTGTACGAGAGAAAGAGCGGAGCGGAGGCGTAGAAGTTCATGGGCTTGCCCTTTGCGTTGGTGACGGTTCCTGCCAGGGTCGAGGGGCACGAGCGGAACCTCCAATCCTTCTTGGTGTCGCTGACGACAAGAACTTCGTCGTCTGGGAGTAGCATGGCATGCGAACACAAAGTGACGGTTCTGGGTACCATCTGAACCTGAGCGTCACCACCTTCCTGGGCCAGAATGAGCATGTATGCATCGTCTGTGCTTTCGACCATGAAAGAAGCGTATTCGCATCTGAAGACGGCTTTGGCGTGCTTAATGTAGAGGAGGAGAGCGTCGCGCTCCTGTGCTGCGGTGAGGCCATGGCGACGAAGCGCCTCGGCCACTTTCCGATGTTGGCGACGCGGTAGGGGAGGTGCTGCAAGCCAGCCATTTTGTCGATAGAAGTCCATCGAGTCCATCAATGCATCGGCATCGACTTTGACAGTTCGATGGGTCTTGGTGGGTTTTGCGAATTGAGGAAGCTTGGGAGATGCAGTGTGGGTGGCTACTTGCGCGAGACCGTTGGCAGCTGACGAGGTCGGAACCGGCGAGTTGGCAGCGGTGGAAGCGAGGGACTCTGCCGAGGTGGAAGCTTCGTTTGAGACACTTCCGTTGGATCCCGATTGCTTTGGGTCAAGGGAGGATTCTGGTTCCACCTTTTCGCACCATGAGCCATGCTGATATTTGCGAAGCCATGCACCCCAAGCGATGGAACAGGTGGGGGCTTCGACTGCATTGGCGGCGATCTTTCGCGCGGACAAGTCGGAAGCGATGCTGGATGCGCCGGGCGACGCGGGCCTGAGCAGCGACTGCTGAAGCGGATGAGGCGTTCCCGACATGATTGGGTCTGTGCTGGGCGACGAATTTGTATGACGAAGCGTTTTGGCCGGGTCGTATCAGAGTGTAGACGACGTCGCGTTCATTGATGTGGACAAAGTGCTGCCAGCTACGCTGGATGAGTACAGCCGGATGTTCTATCGGTGATGGTCGATAGGATTCATGGGTACCAGGGTTGCAAGAACAACGATGCTTAGAGCCAAGGCTTGATATAGACGGCGACTTTCAAGGCCGCGTACGTTGAACGTCTAGAAATCTGAAGAGCAGCCGGGGAGAAGACTGGTCGCGTACGTGCGGTTGGGAGAGCACTGCAAAAGTATGCAGAGCGATGCAGAACGGTGCGAGAGGCTGAATGGAAAGATGAAGCGGAAGGACGGGAAGCCAGAAAGTAGGCAGCGAATCGAACAGGACAGTCAAGACCCGGAACCGACGGCGGTCGCGTGGGAAGGAAGAGCGGGATGAGAAGATATTGCTGTACGAGCTCGAACTTGAACGTTGGGGATTGATGATGGTCCACTAGACCGAGATTGGCGTGATAGAGGTGACGAGGCTGAGCTGATGTCGACGATGAGGATGACGATGTATACGATGCAGGGCGGCAGAGAAAGCGAAGGAGGTGACCAGACAAAGAGATAGTGGACATTTCAATACTGACCGCGAAGTGGGAGTCAGCAGCGCAGCAGACAGCAAAGGGCGTGACACGCGAAAATGATGGGCAAGGCTCTGGCGAGGCTAGCAAGCGAAGCGCATTTCCAGCTGCCCGAGCTCAGTCCTCCGCAATCGCCAGGCTGCAAGCCCAGTCTCGGCTTGAATTTAAGGCACAGCTTGGAATGATTCCAGAGGCAAAAAAAAAGGAAAAAAGGCCGAAATCGAATAGTTCCACTCGCATCGAGGGCAACTCCGCCCATCTTCAGCCAAAAAAAGAGAGTTTTAAGACTGGAAAAGCACGTTTTAATCCAAGCTTTAATTTTGGCAGCGTGGCTCGGCTGTTGCAACTCAGCCAGCGACGGAGTGGAAAGTTCTCAATTGTTTGGAGTGTTGGGCCACGAAATATTTCTGGCCAGAGACACTCTGCGGGCGCTCTGTGCCGTGCTTGCTGTGGTACGCACTCGTATGGCTTCTTTCGCTTTGCGTTTGCCCGCTGCTTATCCTTTCCTGCGACAATCAGGGGCACAGTCAGCAACTCAACACTCTACAAACCCGCACTCCGACCCCGATCATGACCGTCGTCCAGTCAGCAGCAGCGAATTATGGACACAGTCTGCAGGTAGTGGGCTGAGATTCTTCATTCTCAGCCCTCAACCCACCCAGCGAATAGCACCACACTGCAGCAAATTAGCTCGCATCAAAGGCGAGCAGAATGAGATGGTGGGTTGACCGGTTGGAAAGGCACTGCAGCTTGTATTACAGCTGCATCATCGCTTATGTGATCGCGTCTGTTTCCCACGCGGGAGTGACAAACGTCCTGTGCATGCGTTCCTGCGCTACAACGTCCGCTGCACGTGCGCCCACCCGGTGAGATCGCTTCAGAGCTGCGAGACGGCAGCAAACGGTGCAAAACATACATAGGAGAGAATCGGGACGAGTCGCTCAAGAGAGCAGAAAGAGAGGCCGGGCGATCGCGGCGGGGTAGCGAGCCACGGCTAGCCAATCGTGCGCACAGGACTTGGCAGAAGACCCAGCGTCCCGCAGCGAGCTCGTTAGTAGGTCAAGGTCAAGTCGACATATGTTCTTCCGGATGGTGCCAGTAGCAATCTCTTCTCATCTGCAGCTCAGAACCACAGGGTTCGGCGAGTTCGACGGCAATGAATGGGTCGGATGCAATTGTTTCCCCCGGTGCCCCCGGGGAATCATCTGCGCGAGTACATCACCTGCAAAGAGCGTCTTCCAACCACGAGCTGCAGCTGAAGTCGCCTGGAAAACAAACTTGATGCTTAGCCACCTCGGCTAGAGCGAGAGAAACACGCTTTTCTGTGGTACATTCGGCAAGAGGCGGAAATAGCGGCGGAATTTTCTTGATCGCCTCGCCAAGCCACGAGACCGGGTTGCCTACTCCGCTCGAATCAGTGACCCAGCTCGGGATCATCGTCACCCAGTCGAGAGCGCGCCGGAGGACAAGAGCCAGCGACAGACGCTGCGAATGCGCTTGCAGACGTACTGACAGGGTCTCTCCTCGCTTGACCGTGGCCAGGCTGCCGAGTGAAAGCAGATAACGTGCCGCGGGGAACCGTAACGCTTGCATGCTGCTTCTCGAAACATCCGACAGAAAGAGGGTGTCTCGTCCTTATCGTGCATCGAGCACGGATACCGCAGAGTCAGCTTGATCGGTGTGTCACTGATCATCTTGTGTCGCTGACGGAAAAGTTGACGTGGCTGACGGTGAGGCGCGTGATCAAGGGGTGTTAGACCGACGAATGGCAGGCAATCACCCGATGTGACAGATCAGACAACCGATTCTGGTCGAATCAGCTAGAAGAAGCACGTCCAAAATTTTGGAAACCCACTCGAGCTCCACACAGCACGGACAGAGGTGGCGCAACAGATTTTTGAGGTCACTCGACATCAACACCTTCCGGCTGCCACTTGACCACACTCTCTCTGCTACCACCACTGATCAACTGCTTGATCTCCAACTCCTCTTCAACGGCGCTCTATGAAACGAACGACAGAACCATCCGAAGGACCGCTGCAAAAGAGACCCAACACTGAGCCCACCCTTTCCGCCGACGACGACGTCGAAATCGCCGACGCTCCCACCATGTCTTCCACAACACAGCCAACCGCGCAGGACTCCAAGGACTTCTTCAAGCCCATCGGAGACTATGTAGCCGACGACGACAATGCCGTTGCTGCCACCACGATCGATGGTGAGGGCACGATCGCCGAGCGCGAGCAAAAGATGGTTGAAGAGATCCCCTCGCTCTGCATGGACTGCCACAAGGAAGGCATGACCCGCATGCTCCTCACCTACATTCCCTACTTCCGCGAGGTCATTGTCGTCTCGTTCTCCTGCCCACACTGCGGCAACCGCAACAGCGAGATCCAGTCCGCCGGTCAGATTCAGTCCAAGGGGTGCCTCTACACGGTCCACGTCACCAACGTCGCCGACCTCAACCGTCAGGTGGTCAAGTCGGAACACTGCACCATCAACATTCCCGAACTGCAGATCGAGATCCCACCAAAGAAGGGCCAGCTCACCACCATCGAGGGCGTCATCTCGGACACGCTTCGTGACTTGGAACTTGACCAGCCGTTGCGAAAGCACATGCAGCCTGAGGCGTACGCCAAGATCGAGGAGGTATGCAACAAGTTGAGAGACATTCTCGGCGAGGACAAGCCAGCGGAGGATGCCGAGGTCCAGGACGAGGAGATCGGCTCGTCGGGTCTGCGCAGTCTTGGTCCTGTCGGTGCCAGCTCATCGTCGATGAGCGCCGAAGAGAAGGCCAACCGCAAAGTGCCACCCTTCTCGATCCGCCTCGAGGATCCTTCCGGCAACTCGTTCGTCGAGTTCATGGGCGATGTGTACGGGAAAGGCATGTCGGATGCCAAGTGGAGCAAGCGCGACTTCCCCCGAACCAAGGAGCAGAACGAGCTGCTCGGACTTGCCCATACCGACGCTACCGCTGCTGACGACGTCCACACCACCGGCTTCGACAAGAACGAAGGCGAGACGGAATTCGACAACGAAGAGGTCTACACTTTTGCCGGTGTCTGCTCCTCCTGCAACGCGCCACTCGAGACACGCATGAAGAAGGTCAACATCCCTTACTTCAAGGACATCCTCATCATGTCGACCAACTGCGACAACTGCGGCTACAAGGACAACGAAGTCAAGAGCGGCGCGGCCGTCTCTGCGCAGGGTCGCAAGCTGACGCTCAAGGTGGAGGACAAGGAGGATCTGTCTCGTGACGTGCTCAAGTCCGAGACTGCTGGATTCGCGATTCCCGAAATCGACCTTCATCTGTCGCCCGGTACCCTCGGTGGTCGATTTACAACGCTGGAAGGACTGCTGCAGCAGGTGTACGACGAGCTCTCGGAGCGCGTGCTCATGCGAGGAGACTCTTCCACCCAGGCATCCAACTTTGAGGGCTTCCTGGGCAAGTTGAAGAGCGTCATTAGTTGCGAGACGCTGCCGTACACGGTGATCTTGGATGACCCGCTGGCCAACTCGTATATCCAGAACCCCTATGCGCCGGATCCGGACGAGCAGATCGTCGAGGAGGTCTACGATAGGACGTATGATCAGAACGAGGATCTCGGGTTGAACGATATCAATGTGGATAACTACATGGAAGAGGAGGATGCGGCGCCTGCCACGACGACGACGACAGAGGCTTGATTAGCACCTGCCATGCTCGCATATGATCTCTTGCAATGCTATCACTCTAATCGCCCGTTCTCGTTCATTCGGTCTACATGCTCAGTTAATCAGCTGCAGCTCACGCGTTTGTTGAAGGTTGTGGTGATCTGCATTCGATGCTACCATCCTGAAAAGTCACCGAACCCTCCAGCGGTCTTTCTCTTCTTCGTGCCGCTATCAGCTGCGAAATTGGATCCGTTGCTCGTTTCTGTCTTTGCCTTCGTCCCAGCTCCAGCATTGAGATACTTTCCAATCGACGAGTTGGAACTGGCTAGCAACCCAGCCTCCTTTGACCTCCTATCTCCATCCCCCTCCGCCTTGGTCGGTAATTCCGTTCCCAGCCAAGTGGTCCTATCCGCCTCTCTTCTTTTCCTCTTCTCCATCCTCCTGATGTTGTCTGGATCCGTCGGATCGTTTGCCTTTGCGGCCTGCTTCTGCTTGAGCTGGTACTTTTCGAACGGATCTTCCGTCACGAGCACGTCCTGTATCCTAATCTTCCTCAGCGGTCGGTCTGTCCCTTCTTCTGACGGGATGCTCTCTAGCGCCGTCAGCGTCTTGTCCTTCTCTCCGTCGACCAGTCTGCCGAACACGGTATGCTTGCCGTCCAAATGCGGCACCGCTCGGTAAGTGATGAAGAACTGACTTCCATTTGTCCCCTTACCCTTATTCGCCATGCTGAGCACTCCCCTTCCTGTATGCTTCTCCGCTCCCGGCTCGTCATATTCATCCCTAAACTCGTGGCCCCAGATACTGCTTCCGCCCCTTCCCGTCCCTGTCGGGTCTCCACCTTGGATCATGAACCCGCGGATGTTGCGATGAAAGATGGTATCGTCGTATTTGCCCTGCTTGCACAGCTGGAGGAAGTTGTAGCATGTCTTGGGCGCCTTATCGCAGTGCAGCTCGAGGTTGAGAGGGCCGGCATTGGTGGCGAGACGGACGTAGGCCTTTTCGCGCGGGCGCCCGCGGATGTGCTGGAACATGAGTTCTTCCGTGTCCAGGGTGATGCGCTCGATGGCGGTGCGCGGGGTGAGATGCGAGGATGTGAAGCTGGCTGCGGTCATTCCGGTGGATGCTCCTGTGGCTTTGTTGCGCGTGTAGGCCGAGGTCGTCTCTTTCGTTGCTGGGGAGTGTTGGGGCTTGGACGATGATGCGGATGAGGTAGGTGTGTCGGACGACGTGCTGCCTCGAAGCTGGTTGATTAGCTTTTGTGCACTGCCACCCAGGTTGACCTGCTCCGAGCTGTCGATGCCCTTGTCCGCCTGACTCAGCGCCAGCCCTTGCTTGACATGATGCATCGAGCTCGGATTCCTCTCCTCGGGCCGATTCGGATCTTGGATCGTGATGATGTCCGCCTTGGTAAACGCCTCATCGGTGACCAGGTCCTTCATATACTTTGCCTTGACATTCAACCTCTGCACGGTATCCCACAGGAAGACATTTCCGCTCTGCCTCACCGCCACCAGATGCGAATGCTGATCAAACTCTTTGAAAGAGACGGGATCGTGATACCTGCCCTGCTCGTTCTTAAGAAAGTGGAGCCGCACCACATCGTCCAGCTCGAACGGTCTGCCGGTGACCGGATGAACGCCGAACTTGCGCAAGAAGGGAATGAGGCTGGTCAGCTCAAATGCAACGCCACAGTCGGGCGAGCAGACGGGAATGGACCAGGGCTGGAATGAGATGGCGCAGCAGTCGAACGAGACTGGATGGAAGGTGGATTCTTCCAGTCCACCGACTTTGCCGGAAGAGGCGCCGTGGGAGCCGTAGACGCCTGAGTGCTCGGCAGCACTCAGAAAGGGTCGGTCGGACTTGCCGTGACCCATGATGAGGCGATGTGACCTCTGAGCAGCCCGGTCGGTGGCTTCCGATGGTGGATGGTCGGGTGGGAGGGTGTAGCAGGGCTGACTGTGCAACTTTTGGTCGATCCTGGACCCTTGCTTTTGTGGTTTAGCGATTTAAGAGCTTTCGCCTCCACTGCATGCCAGCTGGGCTGGCATCGGCCGTATTTCTCCGTTGGCCAAGCCCACCAGTGCTTACATGTTGCCTTGAGCTTCAGCGCTTCGTGCAATCACTCAAGGCTGAGTCAAAGACGGTCGGAAGAGGCCGAGGAAGCATCTGAGATGAGCAAGGCTGTGAAGGCTTAAGGCGCTGGCGTCGCTCTCAGCCAGGCGAACAATAATCTCGGCATGGGAGCGCGGCTGACCAGACAAAGTGGAATTTTGCAGGCCGAATGCAGCAGCACTTGGACCAATCAGTGAAATCAATCGCATTTCACTGGCCTTCTCTCCTCATCGCCTGCTTTGCTGCACCATTGTTCCTCTTCTACGTTACTTTTACGCCTTCTGTCCCTCTCTCTTCCTTGCAAAGGCTCGCACTCTCGATGTGCATGTGCTATCGCTCTTCGTAGCACATTCTCGACACCTGCCCTGCTCAGGGACGCTCAATCGTCCCTTGCATGGATCCTTCTCACCGCAACAGCCTATCTGGAAACCATCAATTCCGCTCTTCAGGCTCACCATCTCCCTTGCGCCCACGCTCGGCACATCGGCCCTCGCACGACTCAGACCAAGGCGAGCTTATCCTGCTTCAGCCCGTCGGTCCATCTCGGAGCTACCACGTAGACACAACTCCTAGATCATCGAATCTTGCACGAAGCGTGCAGCAACACCTACAACAGCACGGCGCCATGAAGTTCTCGCACAGTCTCCAGTTCAACGCCGTCCCAGATTGGGCGGACAAGTACATCTCCTACTCGAATCTCAAGAAGAGCATCTATTTGATGGAAAAGGAGCTCCCTTCCGTTCCCAACGCTCCATATTCTGATGTCGAAAACGAGTCTTCCGGGCTGCTGCAGGATGCCGATTCGAGCGACACAGATCGCGCCTTCGTACCTCTGCTCGACAAGGAGCTAGACAAGATCGTCGAATTCTATCTCAAGAAGGACACCGAGCTGCGCGGCGATCTGCAGCAGCTCAAAGAGGATCTCGAGAGAACCGAGAATGAAGACTTCGAGGACGACTCCGACTTCGGTAACAGCGACGACGATGAGGACGATGACTTGGTTGATACGGTTCGCACCGGCAAGGCCAGCACGAATCGACGCCCTAGCATCGACAATGTCTTCACACAACCACATATGTACAACGAAGCCTCGCGCCAGGAGCAACGCATGCGCGAGGGTTCAGGTCCGTCTCGCTCACGCAAAGACAGCCGCACCAACCTCGAAGATGGCAGCGCTCCTGCTCGCCCTTCTAACAACAGGAAACGATCCAGCCAGCTCCTAGACCAGTCGGCGGAGTCGGCGGATATTGGTCCGGATGCGTCTGGCTTTGCAAGGAGGGCTCGAAGCGGTTCCAATGCCAGCCAGTCTGGCGGCAAGGGCCGTTGGGGCAGCATCTTCGCCAAGAAGCCGGTTCGACGTCGCTCGCTCGGTCTCATGCTCGCTGGAGACGATCCAGCCAACAGCGAAGCGCCTCCAGGCTCCAGCGAAGGAGGCGATAGCAGCTACGGCGCCAACGATACCAAGACCATGTCCATTTGGACCGCCGAGAACGACTATGCCATCGACATGCGCATCACCTTCAAGAAGCGCATCACCGACATCTTCGTCGCCATGTCCGAACTCAAGCAGTTCGTCCAGCTCAACGAGACCGGTATGCGCAAGATCCTCAAGAAGTACGACAAGATCACCAAATCGGATCTCAAGGATCGCTACATGAATGACAGCCTGCGCACACAGCAGCCCTTCACCGCCGAGACCAAGCGCAGCCTCGACGAGTGCATCGAGACGCTGATCCAACTCTACGCCAAGGTGGTCACCGGAGGTGACATCGGTGCCGCTAGTCAGCAGCTCAAGACGCATTTGCGCGAACAGGTCGTTTGGCAGAGAAACACGGTCTGGCGAGAGATGATCGGTATCGAGAGGAGGGCGCAGGGCGCCGCGCTCGAGAGGACCGTCATGGGTTCGGGCAAGAGGGACGACTACGAAGCCAAGAAGCCTTTCAGGTTGCGCACCCCGTGTGGCAGCTTCACTGTCCCTTCCTGGTTGAGCATGAGCACGGTGCATCTCATCATCGCTTTCACCGCCTTGGTCGCGCTGCTCAAGGCTCCCGGTCTTCGCTTCTTCAACCGCGTCGAGGAGCAGAACTGCCTTGCTATGCTCGTGTTCTGCACCATCCTCTGGGCCACGGAAGTGATTCCGCTGTTCGTGACTTCGCTCATGGTGCCTCTCCTCGTCGTGGTGCTTCGAGTCGCCCGCACCGACGACGTCAAGGACCGTCGCATGACCGCGCCCGAAACAACGAAGTGGATCTTTTCGCAGATGTTCGCACCCAATATGTGCCTGCTCCTCGGCGGTTTCACCTTGGCTGCCGCTCTGTCCAAGTACGGCATCGACAAGATCTTGGCCACCAAGATCCTGCGCCTTGCCGGCACTCGTCCGAGCATCGTACTGCTGGCTCACATGGGCGTGGCTTGCTTCGCCTCGATGTGGATCAGCAACGTCGCTGCGCCCGTGCTCATGTACTCGCTCATCCAGCCTATCCTGCGCACGCTGCCGTCCAAGTCGCCCTACGCCTCGAGCCTGATCATGGGCATTGCGCTCGCCTCCAACATTGGTGGGCAGACCTCGCCCATCGCCTCGCCGCAGAACCTCATCGCACTGCAGTACATGAAGCAGCCCGTCGGATGGCTGCAATGGTTCGCAGTCACAATTCCGGTCTCGGGTCTCTCGCTGGTCGTCATCTGGCTCATCCTGCTCTGGTCCTACGGTGCCGGCAAAGGTACCGTGATCAAGAAGCTCAACGAATCCCGTGACTCGTTCACCAAGATCCAGTGGTTCATCTCGGCCGTCGCTATCAGCACCATCGCGCTCTGGTGTCTCGAGAAGAACTTTGAGTGGATTGTGGGCGACATGGGCATCATCGCCATCGTTCCTATGGTCCTCTTCTTCGGCACGGGCATTCTGACGAAGGAGGACTTCAACACGTTCCTCTGGACAGTGGTATTCCTCGCTATGGGCGGCATTGCGCTCGGCAAAGCCGTAACCTCATCGGGACTGCTAGAGTCGCTCGACGATCTGATCCAAGAGATCGTCAAAGAGCTGCCGTTGTGGCAGATCCTCATCGCCCTCCTTTCGATCGGGCTGGTAGTGGCCACCTTCATCAGCCACACCATCGCCGCCGTCCTTCTGGTTCCCATCGCCGCCCAAGTCGGAGAGTCCCTCGCCACCCCTCACCCCCGCCTCCTCATCATGGCAACCACCCTCGTCGCCAGCGCAGCAATGGGCCTCCCCGTCAGCGGATACCCCAACCAAATCGCCGTCAGCATGGAGGACGATCTCGGAGACAGGTACGTCAGCGTCAAGGACTTTTTGCGCGTCGGCGTGCTGGCTAGTGTCGTGGCCACCATCATTGTGGGCACCATCGGCGTGAGCATCATGTACGCTTTGCAGTTCTGAGTGCGGTGGAATAGAAACGTTTGCAATTCATGTTCAGCTGAGACGTCGATTGACTAAGGTTGTGTGTTCGGATGATCATCTGAGGATGCGCACCGTATCCTAAAGCGCAGCACACCTTCTGCTTCGAAAACCTCGTCCTGAGTCGTTGTCTGGATCCTCGCACTGAGTGATGTGGCACAACCTGCCTTCTCACAGTCTCGCACAAACAACTCGCAATCGATGAGAAACACAGTGAAACACAAGTTGCATTCAACCCCTACTCGAGGTCCTCGGCGCTAACCTCCTCATTGCCCGTATCGATCACGGCCTTACTCGGTCTCCAGACCATGACGATGTTATCCTCTGCAGCACTGGTGAGTGCCCACTCCATGTGTGGGCTCCAACCCAAATCCGTCGGACGACTGGTATGACCTCCGTGAACAAAGATCAATTCGGGTGGGCCATCCTCTGCGTCCTCGGGGGTCTGTTCCATGCCGATCTTGCTGAGATCCCACACGTTGACCCTCCTGTCCGCGCTGGCGCTCGCCAGCACCGTTGGGTGGTGTGGACTCCAGCAAACGCTCAAAATCTCGTCCGTGTGAGACTCGAGCGAGTGGAGCTTGACTTTGAGATTGCGCACATCCCACACGGCGACGGTCTTGTCCGACGAACCGGTCACCAGGATATTTTCGTTCTCGGGACTGAACGCGAGGGTGTTGACCTCTCCCGTGTGGGCCTCGACGCGATACTTGGGGGCTGAGGGCGACTCGCGCGTGTCCCACAGCAGAAGCTGTCGATCATCTCCAACCGAACCGAAGAGCGATTCGTGATGATGGTGCCATGCAACGTCTTCGACGATCGACGTGTGACCCGTATACGTCGCCGTGGGTTGCAGGGTATTGTTCCCCTTGGTGTAGTTGTTGATGTCCCAGTGGCAGACGGTTGTGTCCTCACTCGCAGCCAGGATGTGCCCCTGCTTCAGAGGGGACCAGGACAACCCATATCCCTCCGCCTCCTGCCCTTCCAGGATGATATCCGGTCGACAAACCCCATCCGCACTCGGCGTGTTCGAATGCTTCGTTCGATCGAAAACATACGTCTTGCCCGTCACCGTCCGCGTCGCAATCAGATCCGGATTCTGAGGACAGTACCGAGCCCGGTTGATCTCGCCATCGTGGTTGATCTTTTGCACCACCGTCAATCGCGCGGTCGTCGCGGAGTAGGAGCCAATCTCGCCCTTGTCCTCGTCGTACTGCTTGAGGTCGAGTCGGCTCTCGGCAGAGTTGGACGGTCCGTCGGCGCCGGTGTTCGGAAGCTGGACTTGAGCGATCTGGAGGTAGTTCTGGTCCTGACCGGATGTGTGCGTGCCGAGAAGCAGACGGTGTTGCGTGTAGGACTGACCTGCGGGGGACTCTTTGTCAGGGAACCATTGGCATGTTAGGGAGGGCCATTCGAGTGCGTGAGTGACAACGAGGTCGTAGAGGAACGGAGAGTTCTTCTTCCAAATCTTGTACTCCTCGTTGGAGAGTTTCTGCTGCGCAATGGCGGCTTCGTCCTCGATGAGGTCGGAGGCGTCCATCTTGGGTAGCTTCACAGGGTAGCTAGGATTGGATTGTTGTGCCGACGATCGTGAACGCGATGTGTGATCCAAAGCTGCAGAAACGGATGAGCGCTTATGCCTCGACGATGTTAGGAGAGAGGCGGCGACGACCAAGAAGGATGGGGAAGAAGGAAGGAGTCGGCAGTGGAGGGCTGAGATGGCGCCAACGCTGATCAGTCGCGGGCATAGAAGAACGACGAGGCTGAGCTGCCTGAGCGCAAAGTAACAGACTCGCCGCGTAGGCTCGGCTCACGCGAAGGACTGCCCGTTTTCTCGGGCGGATCGCTGGCCTATTTTCGGCGCACAGACTCGCGTCGCGTTGAGTGTGTCGGATCGACAGAATTCTTCCTGCTGCTGGAACGCGTTGCAATTCCTCAAGGATGGTCACCAGGCTCGTATGAAGCTATTGACGGCGCAGCACAACGACGTTCTTGTGCTGCTTCATGTTGAGCAGCGCACTCGTTGAGCACAGGTCGAGCACAGGTCGAGATGATTTGACCAACGACGTAAAGATTGTGCGCTGCAGAGCACACTTCAAGGAGCCAAGAGGGAAGGCGGACCGGCGGAAGCTCAGAACGCTTTGACCATTGGCTTGCTATGCTGCATAGGTACTATGAACGTGCTCGGCCGCTGAAGCACTTCAATGGCATTCATCATTGTCTTTGGCCCAGCAACTCCTCCAGCCTGCACACGAAGGCAAGATCTGATGAATGGCTCTCTGTAGCGAGGAGACGATTGAGGTTCACATGGTGACGTCCGTGCGCCTGCCAAATTTTTCCTTCAGGAGCATGCACAAATTTTGTCACCCTTTTGCCACCTCTAAAAATCTGATGCACCTGAGCTGTGTTTGCAGCATCAGGAAGAACTTCCAACTTTTTTTAGACGTGCTCGCTGCCGAAATTTTAGACTGCCTTCTGCCGCCGCTGCTGCACGTTTGGAAGAACGGCTCAACTTTTTCTTTGTGCTTCTGACAGACGCTTGGATCACAAAGCCTGGTGATCTGCTTCACTCAGGCTTCCTTCTGGACCACAACCATCCGTGTCACTCCTTTCATCAAACACATCTATCACAATGACCGACGCTTACCGATCGCCCGAGGCCAAGACCTTCACCGACGCTCTCCAGCAGAAGGTGGACGCGCTCAATAAGGACTTCCGCAAGGCCGATGTCGAGCTCATCAAGCACGAGCTCAAGCTCAACGCTCCCCTCTACAAGAAGCGTGCCGACATTGTCTCGTCCGTTCAGGACTTCTGGTTCCAGGCGCTGATCAATTGCATGGCCACCAACGTCTACATTGACGATGCGGACCACGAGGCGCTTTCGTACCTCTACAACGTCGAGGTCGACCGCGACATCGAGGACCCCCGTGCGGCTACCATCACCTTCAGCTTCCGCGAGAACCCTTACTTCTCCAACGAAAAGCTGGTCAAGAAGTTCTCGCTGGTCGACGGCGCCAAGTCGCTCGAGGACGAGTTCAACTTCCTCGAGGAGACCAAGCCCGAGAAGACGCAGATCGACTGGAAGAGCGACGACAAGAACCTCTCCAAATTGAAGCCTACCATTGGCGGCCCCGACAGCGACGACTTTGAGCCCGGCTCGTTCTTCTCCACCTTCTTCGAGAACACTGATCAGGAGGTCGCTGGCGGTATCGGCCACGCGCTCATCATGGACTTCTGGCCCGGCGCCATCGACTTCTACACTGGCGCTGACGACCTCGAGTTCGACGAGGACGACTTTGACAGCGAGGACGAGGAGGACGAGGAGGACGATGACGAGGACGACGGAGAGATCGACCTTGAGGATGAGCCCCCGAAGAAGAGGGTCAAGGCATAAGTCTTGTCCGCTCTTCAGCCGCTCTTTTCTTTCTGCCTCTTCTCTCGGATGTCCCGTCACGCTCTGACTGTCTCGATCATCGATACCTTCCACAGCAATGTCGCTGTCTTTCTCCCTGGCCTTAGCCAGTAATCTGCTTCCGTTGCGTTGCTGCCCTTTCCCTGCTCCATCACTCGATCTCTGTAGAACTCCATCTTTGTTCTGCGACGCTCACCTTTCGGCTCACTTGCAAGAGCACCTCGCAAGAGCGGTTCCAGTGCGGTCAGAAGCGCGCGTCCGTGTACCAATACCATTCATCGTCTTCCCATATGATCTCAGTTCTGTGTTCTGCCTCCGTGTTCCAAGGCTTGCCTGTGCTGTTTCTTGATGCAGGCATCGGTGTGACTTGCTTCGGTCAATCAGACCCGATAGTGGACTTTGTGCGTCCGATCGATCTGGCCACACGTTCCGCACGAGAAAAGCTCACCGTCGTCCTCGACCAACACCTACCCCTGTCGCTTTCATCTTTGGTCCTCTGACTGGCAGCCACCGAAAGCGTGCGGCTTACTCAACACGGCGCTCAGAGGCGGTGCACGATGTGTCTCAATTCGGCTGATAGACCACACCTTGGACCGCCTCGATGCGGAACCTCTTAGCACCAAGTAGGCCTAGTTAAGGCGTTGTCTTGACCGCATCTTGGTCTCCGGGTTTCTGAATTAGAGCTGACAGGGTCTGCGCTAAGGAGGCAAGGTGGGGAATTGGGCGGCTATGCGTAGGCGAGAGACAAGGGTGCGTCTCACTGCAGGGCTGATAGTCGGATGATGAGCCGAGGTGGCGTTGACAAGCCGGTACGAGCAGCCAGACCAGCGAACCGGTTGCGACGAAGGTGGGAAGGGTGGGGAGGATGGTCAGGGGCAAGCCCTGCGTTGGAAGCGAGCGTAGGACGGGCTTGCCGAAGGGTCAGGAGACACGCCAAGGCTGACCACACACGCTCCCGACGACACGGATGCGGAGTTGAAATGGACGAGATGTTGCCACCGCTGCGGCCGGGTCGATCATGATCGGCCTGCAGTGCTGAGCACCATCTTTGGGCTGCGACCGAGATGTAGCCATGTCAAGGCGTAACAAGTAGCAAGTGGATTTGGAGCTCCGTCCGAATGCAGAAAGACGATCTCTCTCTCGTCAAGCCACAAAGTGGGAAAATGGCACTTTACGCGATGTTTCAATGCTACCGCGCCCAATTGCCTCGCGTCGCGCAGCGCCCGACTTAGTCCACACTCAGAGCCGAGACAGACAATGAAGCCCCTCTTTACTCCCCTTTGACCCTTGGCTCACTGCAACGGAGAAGCAGGATGCAGATCATACTCAGATTACCCCGCCCAGTGCGGGTCGGTGCGGTCGACGGCGGCTGCCGTGGGACCACCCTGCATCAGCCGCGCAGCACACCAGCAGCCACTGCCAAAGCGCGCCCGCACCGAATCCGACTCGCGTCCCGTCAGCATCCCTCGATTGCGGCAAAGTGGTCAGCAAAGCCGAGACTGAACAGTCATAAATCCCACGCTAGGTAAGGCGGTATATCGGTGCATCCGACCATCAGCTTCAGAAGACTTCAAAGTAGTGTTCCGGATGAAGCCAGAGACGAGCTCTGATTGCTCATTAGTCCAGGGCTTGCCTAAATTGAGTTGAGCTGCAGGATGGAAGAGCTAAGCGAGCTCTTGGATCGTCGATATCGCCTGATCTTTTTTCAACGCAGCTTCAACACTCTCTTTTATGAATCGAGACCGCTTCTCACTCATCGTTCTCACGATCAACGGCGGTTCCGACCAGCGGAGATGGAAGATGAATTGCTCGCAAGGGTCAACGATGAGAAGTCGGATGCAAAGAGCTGCATCGAATGGCGAAAGAGCCCCTGTCACGCTCGAGATGTGCATCTGCGGCTCCATCGGGGTTGCAAAAGGGCAGTCACAGGGTTGTTTGTGCTTGTGGGGCAGGCGCAATGAGATCCGAGAGGGCGGGGCTGAACTCGAGCCAGGCGGTCAGGAGCTAGTTTCACGTTGTCCCTGCGGCAACCGCACTTTGCCTCGAGAAAAGCGCAGGCGCAGTGTTCCAGCAGAGGGCACTCCAGGGTCTCCTCGTCTGACACACACGACCCTGAGCCATCCAAAGACCCGTTATTGCGAAGAGCGAGGAGAATTTGACGACAGTCGGAGTGCCAAAATCACAGACTCAAGCTCTGCTACCAAACATCAGCTGCTTTTCCGTCGTTGTGGGTTGCCGCATCGAAAGAATCAAATGCTTTTGCCTCAGCCCAAATGCGCTCGCCTTTTTGATGCCACTGCTGCACGCCTAGACTCTGACGACACTCGCTTAGGCGTCGCGAACAAAGGGCCTTTGCAGGCTGCACAAGCGCACAGCACAATTCAAGAAAAAAGGAAATCCGAATTTCCTTGCATTTTTCACCGCCTCTGCCTCTGCTTGCGGAGCTACAAAGTCAACGGTCAACCAGGAATGCGGGGTGATTCCGCAGACTGCTCCTTCGCTGTGTCGTCCTCAAAGACCTCTGACGCGGAAACCTGCTTCTATGAGATCACCATGGCGGGGCATCTTTTTGATAGAAGCCGGTTGCCTTCCTTTCGGGCCAATCACAGCAAGCTCTGTGCAGTGCATTCTTCTAGCTCTGCTTCGACCTTGCTTTTTCATCCAGCTCACGATCTCAGCCTGAGCCTTTGTTCCGCCACACCGTGTGCTGGATAGAAAGAGGCTAGCTAGGCTGTTAGCGATTTCAGCTCAGAGAGGGCGCAGGAAAAAGGCGGGTCAATTTCTGCTTGCGTCTCCGAAGTGGTTGCCTTTTTTTCTTGCGGTTTCAGACGAGCATCCTAAGCGAGGGTCAAAAGTGTTTCGATCTCCGCACTTTGTTACGCCCTCGACTCAGCTAGTGTGCTTCGCCAGAGCCGCAGGCAGGGCTTTGCAGTGTCACACGCTTGCGGTGCCTGCTTTCCCCCTCCCCCTTGCTGCGCCGCATCCTTGAAAGGGCTGAGATGGTTCATGCAGCTCAACCCTTTTCCAACTCGCTCGCCTGTCACGGGCAAACGTCAGCGGCCAATTACTGCCCCTTTGCGCGCCTGCACAATCTCGTATGAGCGAGCAACCAACCGGCTCCTTGGGATCGACTGAGCCTTCTTTTTTTTCTCCTTTTGCCCCGCAACACTGACGAGAGCCTGCTGCCGCTGCTGCAACGCCTCTTGATTCACTCGCTTGCACGCGTATCAGTGATGGTGAGCAATAGGGCCCAACAGCTCTGACACCCTTGCGCCGGTCGCCTATCCAACTTGAGCAAGACTGTCTTAGCTACGCATACCATGCACAGCGGATCTGCTTCTCTCGTCTCTCCCACCTACAACACTTTGGTATAAGACGAAACCATCTCGACGAGCGTCCACGCTGGACCCCTTTCGAGCCCTAAGAACTTCCTCCTTGGCAACCACTCCTCACCCGTTTCTGTACCTCACTGCACTTCGCTGCACTGCACTGACCTCGTCCTCAGCCGTCGATCGTGCATCCCCCACCCAGCACAGCCCTTTCCTCGCGCGGACAGACTGCCGCCGTGCAACCTCGCGCCCCGCCTCGTCTGAACCAGAGAATTCGGTACCTGCTTCTTGACCCACCTCTTCGGCGCCTCGCATCCCTCAAGCAGCCGCCATGTCCTCCTTTTATAACTCAAGGAAGTCTTTTGACACCTCGGATCGAGGCTTTACTCGCTCGCCCTTCTTCTCGGGCAAAACGAGCTCCCCACAAAACGAACTTACAGGCGGCGCCCCTCTGCACGCAATGATGGTCCCAGGTGTGGCCGTGCCGTCCAGCGAGCAAACCACTTCCGAGAAGCCTTCCTCCAAGTTCCAGGCTTTCATCGGCAGCAAGCGCGCAAAGTCGACCGCATCTCCTCCCAAGAAGGACTCGCGCATCATCTGGGCCGACCAGATCCGCAAGGCATCCCCTACCGCTCAACCGCTCACATACACAAAGGCCAGCGACCGCCTCGCGATGGCGGCCCCTCCCGCATCTCCTCCTGCGGACGCATCCCCTCCCAGACCGCGCGGTGGCATGCTGCGAAAGGCGTCTCTCGACCTCCTGCGCAGCTCGCCAGACACTGGACGAAGCACCACCCCGTTGCCGCCTGCTGACAGGCGGCCCAGCATCTCCGGCGGTCTGCTCCGCAAGGCTTCTCTCGATCTCTTGCGCAGCTCGCCAGACACGGGTCGAAGCACCACTCCTTTGCCCAACATCTCGTCGCCCATCATGACCAGCTCCACCCTCACTGCTTCGCCGGCCATGTCATCAAGACCGCTTCCCAGGAGATCCATGGACGCTTCCTGGAGCCGTCCTCGCCCAGAGCCGCTCCAGTTGGCGTTCAGCGCCAATCCCTTTGCGTCGTCCAGCCGCAGTATCGCACCGCTTCCGCTTACGCTGTCTACTGACAGCTTCTCTGAGGAGCTCTTCAACAGCTTTGGAAAGCGTGCTTCGGCGAGTTCTGGCTCTTCTGGTCGTGCACCGGGCCCTTCAGATCTTCTGGCAGTGGATCTGCCTCTGCTCTTGCAGCCGCAAGCTGGTGGGCCGCCTTCGATCGCCGACACTTACTCGGTTCGCTCGCGTCGCGATTCGTTGGCCAGCTCCATCGACCTCGATCCCGCCGTCCTCCGCACCCCTACTATCTCGGACAACCAGTGGCAGGCGCAGGTGCAGCAGGATCGTGCCGCTTTCCTCGCCGAGTACGGTCTGGATCAGGACGACCATGAGAGCGACACCGACGGCAGCGTCTACTCGAATGACGACGACGCCAGCGTCTCGCTGCCCTCGTTCAACCTATGCCCTCCCAACACTCTTCAGGAGTACGAGATGCCTCCTCCCGTCTTCCAGCGTCTCGATGCCGACTTGCTCTCGGTCAACGATCACGGCGATGGCATGAACGGCACCGGGCGCTTCATGCCCGAAGGTCGACTCCTTCCACCGCTCGAGATTGCCAGCCTGCCCCGGGAGAAGGAGGAGATGATCCGCAAGTCGCGAGCTCGCCTCATCAGCCCTCGAACCTTCAAGAAGGCTTTCTCGATCAAGCGCCGAGGATCCGACGACTCGCCTTCCGCCGATTCGACGCCCAGCCTTACTCACAGCAGCTCAGACGAGGCCAGCAAGTCTTCGGACGCATCTGTGCCCCCTCGCATGCCTGGCCTCGGTGACCGCGAAGCGCAGCGACGCTTCTCGGATCCTTCTTCCGAGGAGGGGCCGACCACTCCGACTGCGCCTTCCATGCCGATGCCGCTGTTCAACGATGCGCTTGACAAGGACACCTCCATGTCGCCCGTGTTCAGCAGCAAGGCCGCCTCCTTCACGTCCGAGTCGTCGCGCGGCGTCTCGTCGCTCAGCTCGAGCTCTTCCAAGCGACACCGCGTCGGCACTCCCGGCCTGACCAAGACGGCCTCGTCACTGTCCAAGGCTGGATCGGCAGCTACGATCGACCCGCACTTTGCCCGTGTCCAGACCCGAGCTCGCTCCAACGGCAGCATCATCTCGCAGACGCCTTCCGATGCCCCTTCGTCCAACGGACGTCGCTCTACTCGCAAGAGTGGAAAGAGCGGACGAACCCGCATCACCGACTCGATGCCCAGCTTCGCCCACTTTGGCAGCGCCCTCCAGGTCCCTGCCGTCAGCAGCCAGAGGCGTCCCTCGACACGAAGCACCTCGAGCGAAGACTCGCACAGCAACGCCTCCAGCAGCTCCAACTTCGACAAGGTCAGCGGCGGCTCTTCGGATGATGGCACCGTCGCTTCGTCCGTTCACAGCGTATCCTCGTCGCCTGTCAAGGGTGTCCTGCGCAAGCGCTCTCCGTCGTCGGCCGACTCGTCGGTGTCTGCCAGCAAGAAGGAGGTCTCCTTCGAGCTCCCCGCATCCGTCGACATCGAGACCGTCGACGAGATCCAGGAAGAGACTGAAGTCCTCGAGCACGAGCAGAAGCAGCGCAGTCGCCTCGCTCTGCCACCCATGAAGCTGCAGGTGCCCAAGAGCGATGTCGTCGAAGACGTGCAGGCTGCTGGTCAGAGCCAGAACGACATCGACATCACCTGCTTCCTGTCGACCTTTGGCGCCAACGTAAAGAGCGTCGAGTCGCTCGAGGTGCTGGACAACATCCACGCTGGTGCCTCCGACTGGCCCAGGCGCGAGGACTGGAACTCGCTCCCCGCCTACCTCGTCGCTTACGCCACCACCTTCCTCTCCGCGTACACGGACGACAGCGCGACGCTCGTCTACTCGGACGCGCGCCTTGCCAAGGACACAACCGTTTCTGCCCCGTCGGCTATGAGCCAGAACCCTCTCTTCGCTTCCATCGTGCGCTCGATCTACCGCATCGCGTCCTGGGAGCAGCCTGCCGTGTCCGCCGGTGTCTCTTCGGCCTACGCCTACACGTGGTCGCAGGGCAAGCTCGCCGGTGTCGGCTCCGTCGGTCTGGCGCTTCTCGCTGCGGTGCAGTCATCCTCTCAGCAGGACTCCACCGTGGACGCCAAGGAGCTCGGTGAGGCGTACTCCCAGATCGCCTCGGTCCTCCTCGGCTCAGACCACACCAGGGAGCGCGTGCGCAACCTTATGCTCTCCCGCTCGCCCAAGGCGTCGCTGCGCGTCATCCTCTGCCTGACTGCCCTCCTCTGCGGCGTGCACCGCTTCGGCAGCGGGCTCATCTTCTCCCTGCCCGGTCTGTTTGTGGGACTTGCGCTGTTCGTGTGGCTCCCTGCCATCCTGTGCCAGCCGAGCTGGGCACCGGAGTGGCTCAAGCAGGGCAACCCGCTCGATGCGTTGCTGCTGTACGACGTCCCCACCGACACGCAGCACGCGATCCTCACGATGCGACGTCGTGCGGCGAGTGGCGAGCAGCTCGTCCACCGCGAGGCGAAGGAGGGCCTGACGCCGACGGACTTTGACCACCGTGTCTCGCAGCAGGACCTCCTGCACGCGGGTGATGTTCTCGACGGCGCCTTCTTCGGCACGCACGAGGGCAAGCAGGGACACCTGGTCGTCCTGCCCTCCCGCGTGGTCTTCCGCGCCCTCACCGCGCCCGTCGAAGTCGTCAGCCTGCGCGACGCACTCAAGCACGAGTGCAGGATCTCGTTCGATGCAAGGCTCGAAAAGGTCGTCGGCCTCACCAAGGTCGGGACCGGGCTCGAGATGAGGTTGAAGAACGGTCAGACGTGCACGGTAGAGAACGTCCAGAGCAGGGATGAGGCGTTCAACCGCTTGTTGGCGCTCGCTCCGCAGAGGTGGCACTGAGTCGCGATTGGACTGGCTCGTCACTTTTTTTTAACATGAACACTTTCTTTTTACCCATCCTCGATGTGTGTCGGTCTGAAGTGTGTGAGGTGAGAGTCTGGTTCAGCGTTGAAACGCACGGCATGGAGCGGGTCAAAGGCAGCTCAGCGTCACACACGACGAGCAAAGGCACAAGGAGTACATTTTGTGATACATCCGCAACCGATCATTGAATGGCCATCAAACTGCCGACGAAGGTCAAGATGAGTCTCTGTCGCACCTCGACAATGTCTTCGGGGACCAGGAAGATGAGCGCGCCCAACTTCCTCGCGATGCTGATGGCGAGTTTGGCGTTCAACCTGCACTCGTCCTCGGTTCTTCCGCCGTTGACCAGGCTGTAGTCGACAATGCCGGGTCGGAGGGCGTTGAGGAGGTCGAGGAAGAAGACGGCGCTCTTGAGCTGACCATCCTTGAACGAGCGGATCTGGGTCGTTTTCCCACTGCCCTTGACCAACTTGTTCGCCCAAGCCACCATATCCGCATCGCTCACCCCGCGCCCACCTTTAGAGAGAGACGAGAGGGTCTTGGTGATGTTCAACCGCATCAACTGCCAGACCAACCCCAAGGTGAGCGTCCGGGTTCCATCGACAATGTCCGCACCCTGGATGCCGACGATGTGCATGTTGGACGCCTTTGCCAGGTCGACGGCGTAGTTGGTGTTCTCGACCGCCTTGAATCGACTCAGCTCCTGGCCCTCTTTCGGCTTGCTAACCCGTCGCCAGGTGACGCTGCCGGGGATGACCTTGTCAAACGCCTGCAAGATGACCGTCCCGTCCTTGAGATCTTCGAACAGGTTGTACACGCCCGGTTCGACGTCGAGCGAGTTGAGCCAGAGCGTGAAGACGCGCGCCTCGCGCTCGCCCTCGGCATCAAAGTCCTCGATCTCCACCGGCACCGCTTCCTCCAAGGGTTCCAGGCAAGGCCACGTGTTGAACAGATGCGCTACAAACGCCAGGTTCAACTTGGGGTTGCCCGCCACCATCGAGCCGGGAGTCAGATACTTGCGACACCCGATCGCGTCGGCTCGCTGCAATACCATCTCTGCGCGCTGCGTCACGTCCGTCTGCTGCAGGGGCGCTCGATCGCATTGGTCGGGTTTGAGCTGGTTGAGCAACACCGTGTAGTTCTCTCCATCGCTCACGTCCTTACTAAAGTTGGCCACGCGACGGTGCCAATTGGCCGCCTTGAGATGATAATTGACCCATCGCAACAGGATCTGATCCGGAGGCAGACGCAAAAACTCCTCCAACGTCTCACCGTCGTCCAACAGCCGGTAGAGCTCGGGATGGTTCTTGAGATCGATCTTACTCAACAGACCACGACGGATGATCTGCCATACGAGGCCGAGAATGAGGTGCTCCTTGCCATCGATGAGGTCCTGCGGGCCGATGTTGACGACGCTGCATCCGATGGCTTTGGCGGAGGTGATGACGATGTTGTTGTTTTCGGTCATTTGGAAGGCGTTAGGGGGTTTACCGGCTTTGCCAAAGTTGAGGACGCGCTCGTCGATGGTATCGGGCACCGAGTCGTTGATGAGCTTGCAGAGGACCAGGCCGTCGCGGCACTCGTCGAAGAGCTGGAAGGTGTCCGTGGGGATGGGGAGGCGCGAGCCGATGTTGGCGTCGCCAGCGAGGGAGGAGTTGATGTGACGTGTGAACTCGGTGCGTTCATCCTCGTTGATCGTGTGCTGCGTCGAGGAGGTCGCGCCCTTGACAAAGACTTTGCCCTTGGTCACCACGCCGGCGGATGCGTTGCGACCCGCACGGAGCTTGGCAGCAAGATCGACGTAGTCGTCAAGCTCGACGCGACCCGAAGCATCCAGGTCGACTTCCTTGAGCGTCTCGCGCACCTGATCGTACGATGCGTCGCCCGCATCCTGGATGGCCTTGATGACATCCTGTTTGGGGATGCTGCCCTTTTCTTCGACGTCGAGCGTGCGGAAGCGCGAGATGAGACCCATCATCTCCTCTTGCGAGAATTGAGGATACTTCCTCTGCAGCTTGATGGCCTCCATTTTGAGCTGAGTAAGGACTGCGGCCTTATGATCGATGCTGGATGGGTTCGAGAGTTGGAAGAAGGAGCGGAAGAATGCGATATCGGATGGATTGGCTGCACAGCCGAGGCCCTTTCTTCGACCCTTGCCCTGGTCCAAACGCAGGTCAGCGCCGAAGTGGAGCTGCAGCGGCAGAAGGGCTGTGTTCGTCCAATTCAGCCTGGGATTTCCCTCTCCGCAAGCGCTCAAACGATCTTGTGCATCATCATCGTGCGGCGAAATTTTGGTATAAAGATGTTATATCGTGGATTACCTCAAGACTGGAAATAAGTGCTCACGTGAAGGTGAAAGCTTGCTCCTCGAGAAGATGGAGTCCAACACTTGAACCCCTTGATCTTCACTTGGGCGATCATCTTGAACAGTCCAGCTCGCACTCGCACACAACGCCATTGACCCAACTTACAGTTCGCAGGGACAGCGAGGATCAACGCGGCCTCAATCATATTACAATGTCGTCAGCAGCGACACAACAGGCAGCGACCGCGGCGGGGCAGAAGAGGCAGCTGTCCGAACAAGGTGAGTCCATGGCAAAGTCAGACAGCGTGCAGTCTCCTGATTCGTGCCATGTCAGGAGCTGCAGCACCCGGAAGTTTGTTCAGGACATCCGCTGACCTTGTCTTTGTGTCATGCACGGCGTCGCACGCAAACAGAGGCGGCGCAAGTCTACCAATCAAGACGATCCGAGCTGCAAGGCATCGCATCCAAGATCGGCGAGCTCGAGGGCGAAGCGGATGAACACAAGTGAGTCGCTTCCCATGCATCTCATACATCTTCTCTCTTTCCGCAGACCAGCTGGTGGCTTCAGGAGAGCAAGTGCCCTTGAACGTCGCAATTGACCATGGCGCTCATTCTCCCTCTCTCTTACTACGATGATCTTGCTGCTCCACAGACTCGTCATCGACACACTCACAGAAGCGTCCAAGGGCGACCCAGATCGCAAATGCTTCCGTCTCATCGGTGGTGTGCTAGTCGAACGCACAGTCAAAGAGGTGCTCCCTGCGCTGCAGACCAATCTTGAAGGGGTACGTGCCAATTCCACTTCTCACATTTTCGTCCTGTCCTGCAACGGCTTTGCTGACACTGTCTCCTCTCATTTCCGTACGACTCTCTATACTGGACCGCGTTCGCTCCGGTGATATGGATCTCCGACCTTGCAGCTCAAGCAGATCCTCGAAACACTGCTGAAACAGTACAAGCAGAAGGAGGGCGAGTTGCAAGACTTCCAGCGCGAATACGCGAGCTGAATCGGTCGTCCGTTAAGCCTTGTTCAAACTTGACCCGTGAGCAGCAGTGGCCCCGGCACACTTGTACTTGTACCTGTACCTTCTGGCAAACATCAGCGCAACCGTGACAACGGTGTAGTCTCAACCAAATGCCTGTGCCTCTTCCAACGCCTGCATGGTGCGCAGATAAGGTGAGCTGATGCTATTCGATGTGAGGATGAGTCCTGGGGACCTCAGTAGAGCACATGCATGAATCGAAAGGCACACTGAATAAGGACGGAAGAAGGTGAGCCTTAGATTTGTGAGACAGTATGTAGGTGTCTACGCAGTGTCGATGACCCTGAAGCCCTTGACCTGTACATCAATCGCATCGGAAGCACACGTCAAAAGTCAGCATTCTTCGCTTCACTTCGTTCGATCCCGCGTCCTCTTCTCCGAAACATGTCCATCGCATCTCCCTGAGGTCCTCGAGACGTAGAACGGTCAAACAGAGACGGGGCTGCGAAACTCACCTTGGCATCGGCCAGCAACGAGTGGTACTTCTTGGCAAGGTCGCTGCACGCCTGGTAGTGGTTGACGCCCTCGGCCTTGTGGCACTTCTGCAGTTCCTCGCGCACGATCCTCGCCTCCATCGTGCGAACCCACGATTCGCGGATCTTCTCCTCTCGTTGCGAGAGCGTCTCTGGTTGGCCGCAAATGGGTGACGATACGACATGTGAGCGGACGTGTGTGATGTTGCGCGTCGGGCAAGAATAAAGGGCCGATTCGTCGAGTACGATTAAGGTGTTGGGATGTGGGGTGAGAAAGAGGAAAGGGAGATGTGGTCAGTCGAAGTGGTCAGGAATGGGGCAGGTCAGAACGGGCGCCGGAAGGCGTGGATCGGCATACGAACCTCGCATCTCTTCGGCGCTGGGAAGCTTGTCCATGTTGGGGGGTGTTTGTGCTCGTGCGTCGCTGTTGTGCGATGCAAAGGAGTATGAGGCTTGGGATGGGAGGGCGTGGGTGATGGCAGGGGTCGAAGTTCAGGATAGTGTATCTGCTTGTGGTCGACCGGAACCGATTCGCATTGCGCTTTCCTCGGGTCCCGGGCCCGCTCGAAAACCCCCCAATGTTAGGCCTGAAATTTTGGCTCTCCACCTCGAGCTGTCAGGAAGAAATTTCTCCCTCACCACCATCTTCAACCATCACCTACCTCACAACAGCGCACAACCGTCATCCCCGTCGCACGACCACCCAATACCCAGCACCATTCCATCACGGATCGAAGACGTCATGGCTAAGCGCAAGCGATCCGCCCTGGCGCACGTCGCCTCTGGCACGTCCACCGCCAAAACCGAGCACGACCGCATCGCGCTCCTCCAATCCAAGTCGCACATCAATCAGCTCTCCGGCGGCCGCATCATCATCCCCCAAAAACGATGGTATCGTCAACGAGCGCATGCAAATCCCTTCTCAGACCACTCGCTAGCATATCCCGCGCAACCGGGAGAGATGAACTGGGGCACGATCTTTCCTCGGTTTTTCGACGCCAAGACGGGGGCTAGCAGGGGTAAAGGGGTGGTGGAGTTTGCCGATGTGGGATGTGGATTTGGGGGGTTGTTGATGCAGTTGGCGCCGTTGTTTCCGGAAACGCTGATGTTGGGGCTGGAGATTCGGGTGCATGTGACGCAGTATGTGCACGATAAGATCGTTGCTCTTCGTCTAGCTGCGCAGCAGGGGCGGTTGGAATCCGCCCCCGCAGAACCCGTTCCCGAGGACCAGACGTCAACACCACAGCCAGCAGCGGAGGAGGTCGAAGGGGAGGAGGCAGACGAAGCAGCACAAAACGCACAACTCGTCTCGTCCGCACACCTCACCCCTGGCTCCTACGACAATGTCGGCGTTCTCAGGGCAAACGGCATGAAGTTCCTCCCCAACTTCTTCACAAAGGGCCAGCTGAGCAAGCTATTCTTTCTGTTTCCAGACCCACACTTCAAATCGCGCAAGCACAAGGCGAGGATCATCTCGCCCACGCTGCTCGCCGAGTACGCGTACGTGCTGCGACCAGGTGGCATCGTGTATATCATCACGGATGTCAGGGAGCTGTACGATTGGATGGATAAGCATTTAGGAGAACATCCGCTGTTCAGGCGGTTGGTCAAGGACGAGGGTGTGTTGAAGGGGGATCTGTGTGTGGAGGCGGTGTATGGGGCGACGGAGGAGGGGAAGAAGGTCGAGAGGAATAGGGGAGATAAGTGGTTCAGCGCGTTTGAAAGGGTGGACGATCCAGCGGAGGACGAGTTGTAGTCCCGAGCAATGGTCATTGTGACGATCACTGTGACAGTCTTGTCTGTGTGTGCAATTGTGCGAGGGGCCGCTTGATGAAAGTGCGCAGCTGTGCACCGAGGCAGAGCGTCAAGCGAACCTCTCGAGGGCTGCCGTCAGAACCAGCCTCTGTGTTCAAGATCATGCTCCTGCGGTCACAATCGATAAAGACCTCTCCAAAGACCTCATCAAGCCCACACTCGACCAAAAGCATGCACACATCTTGTGTTGCAGTATCACAACTTGCTCTCGCCCGCCTGCCCACCGACCTTGCCGTTGTCCAAAAAGTTAGCGATGCTCCTGACCCAGTACTCGATCTCGAAATACTCGTACCAGAAATGGCCGAACTCCTCGCTCGGCGTATCCGTCAGTCTCTTTGCATGTTTGACTCCGGCCAGAATCCTCTCGCTCTCGTCCCACAGCACCATCCTGTCCCTCTTTCCGTGGATCACCATCACGGGTACGCTCTCTGGGATCCTTCCCAGTTGCTCTCTCAAATCCTCGCTCTGGATCGCCATGAATTGCAACCCGATCACCCACGCGGGTCGGTTGGTGTTGCGTACCATCTCCAATCGTTCCTCGAACTTGCGCTGCATCGGCTTACCGGGTCCCAGCACGTCCTCGTGGTACTGCACGCGCATCATGTTTTCCGTGATGTAGTCGTTGCGCTTCTTCTTATCGGGGATCTTTTCAGCTTCGGCATTGAGTGCGTTAAGGTTGACGTCGCCACGGGGGAGTTTGACCATGGTAGCAGTCAAAATGGCCTTGCGCACACGCACGCCGTCGATGGTGACACCGGAGGAGTCTGCCTTGGCGTATTCAGGGGAGGAGAGGATGGCTTGCGTGATGTGTCCGCCCATGGAGAAGCCGAGCAGGTCGATCGTGCTGTACCCCAAGTGGCGGGCGAGGTGGATGACGTCCAGACCCATGCTATAGAGGGTCAGCTCTTGATCCCACTCGGAGGAGACCGTGGACTCGCCGATGGCGCGGTGGTCCGAGATGACGAGGGGTCGCGTCGCGCCCAGGGCTTCGAACAGAGGCGACCAGTCGGGCATCACGGCGGACAGGCCGTTGATCAGGAACAGGGGCGTGCGCGATTTGGCAGTGGAGTCGGAGGGCGTGAAGGTGCGGTACGCCATCCGACACCCGTCGGACAGGTCGAAGAACTGGGTCTTGGACGCCATATTGGTTTGGTCGAGGGGATATAGGGCGAGATGATGAAAAGAAGGAAGGAAGGAAGAAGGATGCAGCATTTGCGGGGGAAAAGCAGTCGTGTGGGGTGGGTTGAAAGAGTGCGTGCGGACACCATCCGGTACCTCGGCAATCAAGTGGTAACCGTCCGAATTATTTTTGAAGTGTTAGAGCTTGGGTCGATGTGAGGCATGCCCCTTGATGCCGGGTCGCCATTCGTAACACCTTGCTCACGCTTGATTGCTCAATCTCCTCTGTATTGAGGTCAAGGCTCGACACAGGCACACGCCAATTTCTGATCTAGCATCGATGTCGATCAATGCCATTTGCAACTGAAGTTCTCCGTCATCGCCCCAAAGAGGGCGCTACAATTTCTTAGAAGCGTTGCGTGGCTGTGGTTGCATGCCGCGGAAGCAGCTCATCGCGATGATGCGCATTCGTTTCTTGCTGATATCTCGAGGAGCTTCTGATCTATTTCGGCAGGATCAGTCATCTCCACAGATTTGATCACATCGAACTGGATACCTGCAGCATTTTCCACCTTAACGATTCTGTAGTGCTGCTGCTTGAGCGACTCCTTGCTTATATTCAGATCTCCAGCAAGATAGTTGGGAATGCCGTGCAAGATCCACGAAAAGTCGGCATGGGGTCCGGTACCAGCGGCATTGGCCAAGTCGGGATAGATCTTGATTCCTTCCGCCTCTTGAGGTGCTTGGCTTAGAGGCATGTATCCGTGCAAGCCAAATAGGTGCGGGGGCGGCAGAGCACCGTTGAACAGAGCGTGATTGTGCTTAACGTTGCTGTCTGCAGTAGCTGCCGCAAGCACTACGGTGTACATCGCAGCTGACACGATAAAGTGCGACAGCATCGAAAAGATTGAACGGTCGGGATCAGGTTGAAAATACAGAAGATTCGAGACAGGGTGATTCGGCTGAATGTCGCAGATCGTGCAAGGTTGGGAGGGAGAGGAGAGGAACAGTAAAGCAGCTGTTAGTTGGAGCTGCTCTTGATGAGGCTGACACGGCCGTTCGGAAGCTGCACTCCGCCTGCAGGAATGAACACGTGCGTTGCCGTGTTAGCCGGCGGGTCCTCAAGTGGAAATCTGTCCGAGGGATCCAAGCGCCATTGCTTTGAAAGACTGACTTCCTGCGGCTTCATGAGCTTCTCAAAGTGTCACAGAAAGTCATCTTCCCTCCAGGAATGTCATTAACACAAAGGACGAGGAAGAAATCTATTGAGCCGTCACACTCGACGATGCGACCAATGGAACGATTTGGTAGTGACCTTGCTCTAGTAGATCTCGATCGAGATCCCTGTTCGTCACAAGGTAGCTCGGGATGCCCCACAGCTGCCAGCCGAAGTCGTGGTGCGGCGAAGTGCCGTTGACGGTGGCCAAGTCAGGCCAGATCTTGGTTCCTTCCGGCACCTCGTCACCTACCTGACTCAACGGCACGCGGCCATACAGACCAAACAGGTGGGGTGGAGGCAGTCTGCCCTGGAAGAGGTCGTGATTGTGCTTGACGTTGCGTTCTGCCGTATCTGCGGCTAGCACCACTGTATACTCCGCAGATTCGTTCTCGATTTGGCGGCCTCCAGCATCTTCCACCTTTACAATTCTGTAATGCCGCTTGTCGAGCGCCTCGTCCCTGAGCTTCTTGTCCTGAATGAGGTAGCCGGGAACCCCCTCCAAGATCCACGAGAAGTCGGCGTGTGGGCCGGTGCCAGCAGCATTGGCCAGGTCGGGATAGATCTTGAGATGTTCAGCGTGTTCAGGCGCTTGGCTCAGAGGCGTGTACCCGTGTAGGCCGAACAAGTGCGGGGCCGGCATGGAGCCGTTGAACAGAGTGTGATTGTGGGCGACATTGGTGTCGGCGGTCTCAGGGGACAGTATCACCGTGTACTCCACAGGTTCGACCTCGATCTGGCGGCCTCCAGCATCTTCGACTCTGACAATTCTATAGTGCTGCTGTTGGACCAAGTTAAAGTCAAGGTTTCTCTCCGCATAGAGGTAGCCGGGAACACCGTGATCGAGCCACGTGAAATCGCAATGCGAACCGGTGCCAGCAGCGTTGGCCAGATCAGGGTAGATCTTGAGCCCTTCAGCATCTTGATGCGCTTCGTTCAGGGGCATGTATCCGAATAAGCCGAATAGATGCGGAGCAGGCATGTTGCCGTTGAACAGAGCGTGGTTATGGGCGACATTGGTGTCGGAGGTCTCAGGGGACAATGTCACCGCGTATACAGCTTGCATGTCGGAAAGCTAAGGGGTACAGATAGGATGATCGAAAGGAGGAGGGAAAGATCACCGACCTGCGTGAAGCGGAACGAGGACATGCAGGGCGAAGCACTGGTCAGAGTCTTTCGACTCGTGCGTCCATAGTGCAGGCGTGCACGGTGGCTCACGGGCCCCCCATTGTCGTGATCGCTGTTCAAGGTGTGGGTGCACACCACGAAGCCCACCGACGCCATAGAGCATGTTCCTAATTTTTGGGTCGACTGTTAGACCCCGGCCCAAAGCCACCGGGCGGCGAAAAAGTTGACCTCGCATGCAAGGACCCTGAACGACCCGCATTCACCTTCCACCATCACCTCTTCACCAACCACATCATCCGGAACGGCACGATGGACGACGAGCTGGAGCTGTACACGCTGCAACTGGCGCAAGTGAGCACCGCGCTCGAGGCGGATCCATCCAACGAAGACCTGCGAGCGCTCAAGGAGGAGCTGGAGAACCTGGTTCGGCTGACGCAGTCGCTTGTTGGATCGTCTTCCAGCACTGCATCGACGAGTCAGACACCCGCCGTCAAATCACAGAGCGGCTCGGATGGCAAGCGCAAAAGGCACGATGGAGAAGAGGCGAAGTTCAGCGTGGGTCAAGAGGTTTCGGCCAAGTACTCGGCAGATGGCCGGTGGTATCCTGCCACAGTTCGTGCGGTGAAAGACGGGAAGGTGACCGTGAGGTATCAAGGGTATGGCAACGAGGAGGTGCTGCCGGTGTCGCAGGTCAGGGTGAATGATGCGACGTCGACTTCGGCCCCTCCTCCACCCTCGAAACCGTCAGCACCTTCACCACCACCGGTATCGAGTACTGACCTCAATCCACCACCTCCGCCGCCAGCATCATCAAGCACGGACCTTAACCCACCACCACCACCCGCACCATCAGCACACCCGCCTCCACCACCTCCCTCTTCCAGCCTACCCCCACTCCCGCCACCACCCACATCCAGCCAACCTCCACCTCTTCCATCCGCAACACCACCAGCACCTGCCCTCGACGAGCGCGCGCAACGCAAGCATCGCAACGACAAAAAGCTCCTCCGTCGAGAACAAAAGTCGATGCAACAGCTCCAAAAGGCCGCCTCATGGCAAAAGTTCGCCTCGAAAGCAACCCAGTCCGGTGCGCTGCGCAAGAGCATGTTTAGCACCAGCGAGGATCCTTACGCCAAAATCGGCGGCAATGCACCAAAAGGCGGGATGAAGAAGTTAGGTTGACAGCACAGACATTGGTGAAACTGGGTATATTCATGACATTCCATGGACAGTCGTGAGAAGCGTGTGAGGGTGACTAGCGGCGAGCAGCGGTGAAGCCAGCCGCAATGACAAGCGTGCTACTCGCGCCGTTGCTGAAAGTGAGCGCGGTAGCAGGTTCGCCAATGACCTTGGTGATTTCGCTGTTGAGCTGGCGCTCCACGGCGTCGCCAGAGTGGTGCGTCTGAATCAAGGCCTTGAGCTCGTCCCGGTGCGTCTGGGTGGGGTTCCTCCTCCCACGACCTACGACGACGATAGCGGGTTGGTGCGTCTCCGTCAAATGGATCAGCTCGCGCAGGGGTCGCGCCGTGGAGACGATCTGAACCGTGAGTCGGCCGTTGAACCTGTCAGCGGCGATTTGGTCCTCAACGCGTTGCAGCGCAAGGTCGTCCTCGAGCGTCGCTTCGAGGGCAGATTGAAGTGGGACACCTGCACGAGCACCGTGCTGCGTGGGGTATACAGTGTCCATGTTGGATCCGCCCGCTCGAAGCGCCGCTTGGTGCGTGTAGTTGAGGCTCAGCTCGTGGTGTACCGTCGGCGGCACAGTGGGAAGCTGGTCTTCACCCGCTTCCTCGGACGAGATACGGCTCATGCGGACGACGAGCACCGAGAGGCTGCGGTTGTTAGCGCACAGCCTGGCCACGAGGTCGAGAGCGGCTCGGTCGTCGGGACCACCCATGAAGGCGAGCAGGACGTGCTGCGTACCGACACGAGAGAAGAGGCCTTGCTGGCTGCGCTTATTGGTGACCTTACGCTCGATGAGCAGGCCCACGTCCGTCTCGGCCGTCTGGATGATCTTGCGGACCACGTTGAAGTGCTGTGCCGAGTATCGGCCCTTCAAGCCTTCCGAGGGGTTCGAAGCCCATCCGCCACCGAAGAGGTTCTCGAGCGGGTTGGCGAGCGTTGCAGCCAAAGGCGAGGAGGGGCCCGCGACTGGAGCAGCGTCCTGTCCGGCAGAAGCACCACTGTTGACATTCGAGCGCGCCGACGAGAGGGTCATGGGCAGAATGATAAAATTGGAACCAGCGTGCTTGCAGCGACGAGTGACGGCGGTGGCAAACTCCTCTTGAGGGATGACCGACATGCTCGACTGAACGGGCAGACCGTTGAGATGCGCAAAAGTCTGGAAGACGTTGATGATGGGGTCGGCACGCATCGTGTCTTCAGACTCGGAGACCTTCATGACAGCCGAGGTACGATCGGTGAGTTCGACGAGGCGCAGAGCGTCGATGCTGATCTGAGCTTGCGAGCGGCCGCCGAGTGCTGAAGCATACGGTGCCTCCGAGGCCAAAACCGGTGGCTGGTATTCAGCGCCATTGACCGACGGCTCGTCGTCATCGCCAGTGTCGGTCGATTTTTCGTTAGCTTCGCTGTGCGTGCCCGAGGAAGCTTGCTTGGATCTGCGGTGACGCAAGCCCTGGGACGCGACATCGCTTTCGGCACTCGTGCCAGGGTTGGCAGCGGCGAGCGTGGGCTGCATGAGCTGAACCAGGGTCATGAGACCGGGGAGGTGCTCAAAGCTGCTGAGTACGACGAGCAGACGCTTGGGCGACAGGCGCGAGCTGGTGTCGTGATCGTCCTCCTCTTCGCCCGTGCTGGTCTTGCCGCCGTGGTGCGAGTGGGTGGAAGCATCGTCGAGGCTGGTGCGGTGGCTCTCCGGGTAGATCCAGAGGGTCAAGGGCGTGGTGATGACCGTCGACACGACAGCCATGAGCACAAACATGGAAAAGACACGCGTGTCGAGAATGCCAGCGGAAAGGCCGATGTTGAGCACGATCAGCTCGACGAGACCTTTGCACGACATGAGCGTGCCCACTGCAGCCGACTCGCGCCAATTGAAGCCGAATACCTTGGCCGCAGCAGCACAGCCGATGAATTTGGAGAAGAAGGCGATGACAATGATCGCAACGGTGTATGCCCATGCAATACCAGAGTTGAGATCGCCGAGGTTGGTCTTGAGACCCGAGAGCGCAAAATAGATGGGCAAGAAGATGACGAGCACAAGATCCTCCATCTTCTCGGTGAGAGCAATGGCGTAGCCGCCCTCGTGCGGAATCATGAGACCGACAAGGAACGAACCAAAGATGGGATGCACGCCAATGATGTCGGTGATCCAAGCACTAACGAGGACGAGCAGGAGCGTGATCATGATCATGACCTGGTTAGGGCCATTCTCGAAGCTTCCAGTGCGGCGAGCGAGCCAGATAAAGGCGGGGCGGATGAGGAAGAAGAGCATGAGGATCCAGCCGATGGCGCAAAGGAGGATGTAGAGGGCGGTGAGGCCCGTGTCGGCGTTGACGAGTGCTACGGTCAAGGCGAGCAGAATCCAGCCGACGACGTCGTTGCCCACACCGGCAGCGAGGACAATGACGCCGACCTTGGTGTAGAGCAGCTTGGTTTCGGTGAGGATGCGAGCGAGCACGGGGAAAGCAGTGATGGCCATTGCGACACCTGTGAAGAGGATGAAGTGGCCGAAAGAGACGTTCTCCTTGTCGATGAAGGTGTTGTAGATCCCGACTGAGACAGCGGCTCCCATACCGAATGGCAGCACCATCCCTGCGAGACTGATGGCGGTGGATTCCTTTGCGCAGCGACGAATGACACGAGTGTCGACTTCGAGACCGACGAGGAAGAGAAAGAGCACGAGACCCAGAGTGGAGACGAGGTTGAGATATGGCAGGGACTGAGGAGGAAAGATGTGCTGGGTGAAGCCAGGGATGCGGCCCATGGCGGTGGGACCGAGCAAGATGCCGCCAATGACTTCTGCGATGACACGAGGTTGACGGATCTTCTGGAGCAGGAAACCGAGGACGCGCGTGACGATAATGATGATGGCGGCTTGGATGATGAAGAGTCGGAGCGGGTTGGAAGTTTCAAACTTGGTGGGGTCAGCGCCGCCAATGACGCTGTCGCTGCTAGCAGCGCGCGCGATCAAGAAGTGCGACATGTTGGCAAAAGGTGTACGAGGCGGCGACTGTATGCTGTATGACGCAGAGATCGCCTGCATCTGCCAGAGGCGCTCGAGAATGACTGAGCTTGAAGATCTCTTTGTGTCGTCGCCGTGGGATGCGGTAAGAGATGGCGGGGACCGTGAAGAGGTGGTGGTGCTGAAGAGCGGGGTATAAGGTCTGGCGGGAAGGAAAACCAAGCGATCAGGCAGACGTCTATAAAGGAGAGCCGGTAGTTTTGCGAAAGGAAGGATGGCCAACAATAAGGGAGGAACGAAGCCACGTGAACGAGGAAAGCCAGTGCTTGCCAGCAAGGAGGAGATGCGAGGCTGGCTGTTGGCGCTGACAGCTGGTTGTAGCTCCGACGATGCAGGGGTGAGAGTGAGCGACAGTCACGGAAGGATCTGTGGTGGTGGCGGCAGCACTGAATCAAGTCGCGTTGGTGGTGATAGGCTGTGACTGCCAAGCCAAGCAGCAAAAGGGGGGTGTTGGTTGGTCGTTGGAAAGAGGCAGAAAGCCAAGAACAGCAGGCTGCGCACCTGACAGCCTGCGAGCTCTAATCACGAATCGCCAAGCCCTGTGCCCTCTTGGAAAAATATCACGCACCTCCGAGAGTGCGCCACCAAAAAAATCAATCACTCACGCGCTCCCACGCTTCCGATCATCACATCACTCAGATATAATAGGAGCAAGAGCCGCTGGATCGGACATGCCGAGGGCCCGGTCTGGGCCTCATCCAGACCATATCTCGGCTCTTCCGATCGCTGTTCTTGTCCTGTACTACGTGACAATGTGACAGGAGCAAGAACCCACTTGTCGAAGCGGAGTCATTCTGGAACGTGGAATCGAAATGGCATTTTGCAACGTGGCAAAGGAGCAGCGGTAAGCCACCTTACCTTCCTTGCTCACAGGCGTAAGTTTCTGCTCCCAGTCTGCTTTGCTGTAACTTGGCTGTCGGTTGGGTCTGCTCGGACAAGGCGACGAGCCTCTTCGGCTCCCTCAGGCCTCGATCTCAAAAGCCCCGACAAGCGCTCGGGATGGGTCAAAGGCTTTGCTAGGGGCTTGGCGCGCGTCTTGGTTCCCCGCTTGGTTGCACCTTTTCCAAAGAATCAGGAGCTCCCTGCATCTCACTCCCATGCAGGGTCTCACCGTCCTGCGTCCACCTCCAGTCCAATGCTGTAAACCGCCCCTTTCGCCCAGCCATGACTCCTGAGTTGCTTGATACTACAGCACACGAAGCCTCGATGCTTCTATGGCATTGTGAATGGGGTGTAGGTATATGGCCGACTTTAGACGCCGTTTTGAAGCGGCGAGAGAAGGGAGAGAACTTTCCTGCTGATAAGATGTTAGAGTTGCTTGCACTTTACATTTGATTATGATGGCATCTTGTGCATGTATGCCGATGACTCTCGTCTAATGGAGATAGCATGTCGGCCAGCTTGATCCGGACGCCAAGGTTACAAGCCATCGTGTCGATCACGGTGACATCATCTTCATGCGCTTCATGTGCGCATCGGACAGAGGCTTCAAGATTATATGGGGTGCAGCTGCAGTTTTCGCGGCTCTGGAATGTTTGAAAGTGCGACATTGGCTTGCTCGGAAGCTGGCTGCCGACCGTCTCTCGCCTACCACCAATCACAGTTCGATCGACGAGGCCCGACTTGAGTTTGAGCTACCGCATATGATCACGCGGCTGGGCATCATGTCTCAGACTACAGCGCCACACCTTACTCGTCAGCAAGCATATGCCCTCGGTATGGACCATGTGATCTCCCCGCCCGCTGAACAATGACGTGCACCCTGAGCTCGCTCTCGTGCATCTGTCGTGTACCAACGGATGAGGCGCTCCTCAGTCGCTTTGGTCGAAAGCTCAGACTACAAGTCGAAACTCGATCACGCCTCCTTCAGAGCTTGTCGGCGTGTGATGGAACGAGGCAGGAACGACCAACTCCGAACAAGCGAGGGCATTTCGCTCGGTAACGTGTGCCTTTCGAAGAAGAGGCGTGAGAACTTTGCACGACTCGCTTGTATGCTTCCGTCGTTCGCGTGCAGCTGATCATAGGCGAGTTCTAAGCTGCATACCGATCAACTTTGCTCGCTGAAAGCTACACGTAGCAAGCCGGCGCTGGTCTGTAGGTGTGTCACGACCAAAGAAGAACCACGCGCATGTAGCATGACGACGAAGCTTCAGCAGCTTTATCTCTCGCTTAGAGTTTTCGCGAGCCGATTGACGAAGGTCCAATCCGAGTAAGTCGTCCGAGCTGGCCGAGACGATTTGAATGTGCAACACTCGAAGTGACTCGATCCGGTTTGGCATCGCAAGTCCACAGACAGGCACATGAGAACGTCGAGTTGTGTCACGACCCTGCGCCTTCGCAAGAGGAGGAAGCACGCAAGCCATGCAAACCCTTGACAAGCGAGGAGATAGATTGCTCGATTAAGGTTTGCCGTGTTCAAGCTCAGTCCAAGACAGGTTCCAGATCTTCTCCAGCTGCGAGTTGAGCCAGGGGCAAGGCCTGTTTGCGCTCGGGTTCGAGGAGAATGAAAACCTTTTTTCCTGCGAAGGCGACCAGATCTGTGGAACCTCGCAGGATGATGTCATGTTTTTGCACGCTTCTGCAAAGCTCGCGTTGGCGGACAGGCGTGGCCGAGGTCGTACGAAACTCATTTTCAGGAAAGGCCAAAAGTGCGTCGACCTACTGCAGACGAAAAGATTGGACAACTGACAGACCGGCTCTAACAAGGCCAAAATTTGCGACCGTGCTAACCTACCACCAGGAGCATTCATGGTCTCGTTCGTCGGCCGGACAAGCTTCCGTCCCCTTCTCGATCGAACATCGATGATGTTTCGGTTGCCGGCCTGTGGAAGGGAGGATCAAGCTGCTGTGGCCGGGAGCTTTGGCAGCGAACGAGCTCAAATGCTTCGTGTGGCTTGGCCGCGGGACATGGCTCGGTACTCAGTTTATGGAGTGCCTCCGTCTGAGTCCAAGCTACACCAGCTCAGGATGAGGTCGTTGGACGTTTTTTGACCTTCCAGCAGAAGCTTCAAGGCCAGCACGCCGTCAGCTGCCACGTGAATTGCCGATCTGTCATTGGGGCTCTGCCGAGCCGCCCCTCGGGATCGTCGGACAAGCGCGGCGGGACTGAACGAATGGGAAGCGCAGGAGAGACTACGGCGATCATCGTGTCAATGGACGTCGGTGTCTGATGCGACGGCATTCGAGCTCGGCATCGTCGCTTCTGATGCTCAAGCAGTCATCGACCTTTTGACGCGTCAGTGAGCGACCCCGCGGTTGGCTGTTTTGACGCTCCGACGGTGCAGGATAGTTTTCTCCGAAGCGATCGCTGACATTGAAAACGAGGGTCTGGACCCGTCTGTGTCATTGAAAGGGGCTGCCGTCGGCGGTGATCACCTCCAAAAGCCAAGCCGGCCTTTGTATGCGACATCCAGGCCGCGGCAAGAGTGTCGTTGCTTGCCGCTTTCCGTGTTTTCCTGGCCAGTATCGATCAGAATGGGTAGTGGCGTCGACGATCGATTGCCGAAGCGATGCAGACTCGGACGCTGTGGATCGAATACGCCCCTCATGAATGGCGTGACAGACTTGAGCCGTGGCCGCGGCCTTCGGGCCGCCAGCTGACATGGTATCCGATGGACGGCGACCGGATCGGAGTCGGTGGAGCGCACCATGTCAGCTGAGCCGAGCATGTGATGGTCGTGCTTGCCGTGGGTCAGTGTTTTGTCTCGCACGTTGGCGCATCTCGGAACAGTCTCATGGGTCTCTTGTACAGTAACCGGCGATCAAGATTTGGATCATGTCAAACCTGGACCGGACACGCCCGTCTAAAACGAGCATGATCGACCCTTGTTCGCGAATCAGACACATGTCGAGATGCTGCCGCGCGTCGAACGCCTGCTTCTCATTGCCGCCATCGCCGAGGCTGACTGGCTGTAACTTTTTGACAACAGAATCTACACGAGGTTGGCGCAAGCCTTGATAGCTCCCGGGAGAGATGGTCCGGGTCACAACAGCGGCTGTCTTCTGCAATCGACATTGCATTGCGCCAAGGGGGCTCGAGAGGCGCCAATTGACCAAGGCCAAGGTCACGCGACGTCGGCAGAACGCAAGCGAATTGTGCTCGTACCTCTCGTCAAGCGTGCCACGCTGGCTATCGACGGACTGAATCCACGTCAAAGCGGTCGCATCCAATGGCTTGCCAACGACATGCTTGAGGTCCAACCTGTTCGCCATCGTCCTGGCCAAGCTTGGGTTAAGAGTGGCAGGTCGAGGAGCAGGCGTCAACGTAAGCAGGCAAGATCATTTCGCAGTCCGCTGTCTCGATCTTGCTTCTGCATAGAGCGTGCAGAGTTGGCAAAGTCGACGCCAATCTTGAGCGAGAACTGTTTAGATGCAGTCTGCGTCGGATCAACAACAATTATTTTTATTAATAGCCCCCAGCCAGCCAGCCAGGCTGCAGACTTCGATGAAGTGACAGACTCTTCCTTGAATTGGAGTTGGCTGCTGCACTTTGCTGCCCGCGCCCCGCTGTGTTGGCTTCTCAATTTGGCCAATTTCCAAGATTGACTGTGGCTGCTGTGACCCTTTTCGAGCCTCCACTCTAGGGCGCGCAGTCTCGCCGCCTGTTGCACCCAGCCACCCTCTCTGCACAGGGCGAAAAGAGAGAGAGAGAGAGAGGAAGAGGTCAGTCTGAGTCGGAGTGAGGCACGGTCAACTCTGCCCGTCCGCAGTCCGCACTGAGTTGTTGGCTGCGCAGCGCAGCGCAGTGACGATTGATGGATTGGACCTTGTCGAGACCATCCTGCTCCTTCCTCATCCTCGCATTCCTTCTTGCCTCGTCCCACGACTCATCTTTTTCGACACCAACCACTTCGATACCGACTTGAACCATTCGGCAAACGCCTCTCCTTCGTCTTGGTCTTATTGCATTTTGTCGTCGTATACCGCACCTCCAGCCATCACTGCACAGGTACAGCTGCAAACATAGACTAGGCTCAGCCATCAGCTTCAAGCTGAGCACCCATCTCGACTCTCATCCATCTTCGCCAGCACAGTCGATCAACTCGCCCTCGAACCTTCCACTGCGCCGATAGAATCTTCTCGACAGCTTCATTAAGGCTTGAACTTCCTTCGCGCCCACAGCAACGAGTCCGCAGCAACATCCCAGCAGACCGTCATCGCTTGCCAAGCCGCGATTCGTATCGACTCAGGTGTCATCATCGCTGCCGTCTCCGACTCCTCATCGCAGATCTACGCGCGACTCGTTCTGTCTTTGATCAGATCGCGCCCATTCGTCCTGCATTCGACCATCCGCTTTCCACGTTCTCTGCTTCAGCACTTCGCCCTCACCCGCGGTGTTCCAATGACTTCCTCCGCCTAGACGCCTCAAGTGGCTTCCTGCTCTTCTCGGTCCACAGTGACGCCATTCACGACACGATTCAGAAGCACCCTGTATCAGGTCGCATCGTCTCGAGCGTCCAGCCACAGCCTGACACCTTGATCACGCCCAAGTCCGCGTTGTTGAGGTCCGGATCCCCTCCACCTTTGCCATAATGCAGGCCACAGGGGGCATAGTTCCGGGAGGTTCGGGTTCATCCGACAAGCTGACTTTGCCTGCGCAGCAGCCAGATAGCTCTGCCCAGCTCTCATCGGCATCTTCCTCCTCTCGCTCAGCACATACATCTTCTGCCGAATCGATGCCCGCTGCCAACCGCACCACAAACACGCCCAGCTCTTCCACCTCGCCGCAGCCTTCCAAAATCGCCAGGATGCGCCTGCCCACTTCCGATCTCGATGAAACCAGCAGTGTCGGCTCCAACGATCCTCTCGTCGCCGCCAAGGTCCACATCAAAAGCGCCATCTCTTCGCCTCGCTCTTCCGTCTCGTCCTCTGGCGCCGTACGAAGAGGTGCATGGAGGGCCATGGGCGCTGCCTCTTCAGCCTCGGCTTCCCGCAGCTTCACGCACGGCCAACGTGCTGATTCCTACGCTTCTTCCAATGCATCCGAGCACGGCGCAGAAGACCTCCTTCCCGGCGTTGCAAATCAGAGTGCACAGTCGAGCTCTGTTGTGTCTGCCCCTAGTCCTCCCCCTTCAGATCCCTCCGTCGTGGATCAAGACGAGGGCGAGGAGAGCTATCGCGACAATCCTCAGGAACTCTGTGTGCGCGACCACCCAGCATGGCATCGAATGCGAGATCAGCCTAGCGTTGCCGCCCCCGGTGCGCTCAGCTATCTGCCTTCCGTACCTGCAACGGTCACCTCTGGCTCAGTGGACGAGGATGGCTCCTTCGCCCGTCGCCCGTCGGACACGAATCAGCATAGCGAAGCTCCTGCCTTCTCGCATCCCTTCCGGGAGGCAGCGTCGTCCGCACCGCAAGGCATTCCCAGTTCAAGTCAAGCGCAACCTCCTTGCTCGATACCGATCGCAAAGGACAGCAACCCCGTCGGAGCCAGCGAAAGCGACGGCCTGTCGCGGTCCGTCGAGGCTGGTGCTTACGACTGGGCGAATTTCGTCTATGCCTATGCGCGAGGTCGCTGGAATCCCGGTCTCATTCCGCAACCGCCCGGTCAGTCGACCGCGTTCCCAGGCGCAGCCACTCGCATCAACACCACGCAAGAGCCATCTGGCGAGCTGCAAGCCACTGCTGCGGATGTGCTCAATCGCCGCAGACCTTCACTGGAGTATATCACGTCAGACGCGGCGAGCCAGGGTGCCACCGCCTCGCAGCTGACCAACGCGCTCAACTTCGAGGCCCACAGCCTTCCTCTGAGCGCACGAGGTAGTGTCGATGGCACCACGGACGCCGGTGATTCCAATACAGTCGCTTCCCTGCCCCTCGATGCAATCGGACATGCGCCCATCATTGACGGCCCACTGGACGACAAGACACCGCTACGATCCCATGCGCTCGAGTACATCTCATCTCCCGGCAATGACGCGCCCGTCTCCGATGCGGCCCGAGCCGCAGAGTCGAGCGGCGCAGCGGGTAAGGTGATGGATCCCAACGTCCTCAATGCACTTCGCGTACCTTCCGTGAGCATGTCCTCTGCCATGCGCAGGCCCACAGACGTCGCTGAGAACGCTGCAGCAGCACTCAAGGCTAATGCCGACGCTCTCGACGGCCACACCAACGACAACGAGGATGCACAGCTTCCACAGAGGGCCAAGACGGTCCCCGAGGGCTTGCCGACCAGTGTTCTGCACGGGCAGCTACCCTCGCAAATCGAACACGCAGGCTTGGCTCCCGCCGCGCAACTGAAGGCAAATCCATCGGCTGCTCGTCGCCAAAAGTCCGACTCCATCCTTCCAGAGGTCCGAGACAGGCCAGCGTCTGCCAAGCCGGTCTTTACCGACGAACCTGGCAAACCGGTAGTGAGCACACCAATCAGTGCGATTCCCGACCCGTTGCAGCGCTCCACTCCGAAGAAGGATAAGAGCTCTCTGGCGAACGAGATTGTTTCGCCCATGTCCAAGCCCCACGCCGAATCAGCGGATGTACCCCCAGCAACAACAAAGTCGAAGCTAGCAGATGACATCGCCAAAGATCCCAGGGCGACCTCGGCAGACCAAGACGTGTTTGCAAACGACAAGGACGGACAAGAATCTGATCCGCTCAGCAGACCTGGTCCGACCCCGATCCAGAGCCACAGCGTCTCCAGACAGCCTGTGGTGTGGCAATCGGCGCCAGAAGGCTTCTCCACCTTTGCCGAGGCCATGTCACGGCAGGCATCGGGCGCTGCTGCGAACGACTCCAAATCGCCTCTTGGCAACGAGATCACCATTGACAATGTCACCGTCGCCGGCCTGCGTCGCGCTGCGCGAAGGACGAGCATGGAGAGGTCGGGGGGCGAGATGGACCGTGCTCGCCTGGACGGAGGCCGCAACTCGAGAGGCTCCCTGGTCTCGCACAGTGCCAGCTTCCCAGGCAGCTCGCCTAGACCATCGATCTCAGGTCCCGGCGGCCCGCGCGAAGGCTTGCAAACGCTCTCTCATCTGTCGATGGGCGCCAACTACTCGTCCTCCAGTGGCTCCGTCTCGGCCTCTGCTTCGACCAACAACGGTCCTACCGTTAATGTCGCTCACTTTGTGGGGGGCAAGCAGAGCGGAGAGACGCGCATCGACCTGCGCGGAACTGTCACAACCTCGCCGGGCATTGCTGTCAAGGACGTCGAAGACAGCGTTGCTGGTAGTTCAATCCCGCACGATGTCAGTGCAAAAGACGTCTCGCTGGCAGCCAACGCATCGGCGACGAGACCGAGACCCGCAGCCACCAGCACATCCTCACAGCGCATCCAGTCTTACCTTGCAGCGGGCAAGCGTGTCGAGCTCTTCTACCGTGATCATGGCTACCTGCCGTCCATCCTTCCGCCCCACGAGGAGTCGCGTCTGCATGCCCTCTCGCGCTACGGCCCGCCCAAGATCGCAGGCAATCCCAATTTTGAAAGGATCGCTCATCTCGTCAAGCTTGTCTTCAACTCCAAGATGGTGCTCATCACGCTCGTCGGTGAGAACGAGCAGATCTTCCAGGCGCAGATGGGTGGAGGCGGTGAGATCACCATCGCATCGCTGCAATCGCTTGCCGGTTCACGCAATTGCTCGTTCTGCTCGCACGCCATTCTGCAAGACAGCGACGAGCCCATCGTCGTCTTCGACGCTGCCAAGGATTGGCGCTTCTCCGGCAACCCGCTCGTGCAAGGCTCGCCCGACATCCGCTTCTACGCCGGCAGTCCGCTTCGCACCTCGGATGGTCTCAACATCGGAAGCCTGTGTTTGATCGACGACAAGCCACGCGCCGAGTTTGGACCACGACAGCGTCATACGCTCAAAGAGTTTGCCCGCGTGGTGATGCGCGAGATGGAGCTGCTGCGCGACAGAATTCAGTTCGGGATGCGCGATCGCATGCAACGCTCCGTCGAACTCTTCACCAAAGAATGCCTGGAGATGGACTCAGAGGACGGCGAAACGGGGACGGTGGCCACGGCCGGAGGAAGCATCGGTACGCACAAGGTCTTCCAGCTCGCCGCACAGAGCATGCGTGAGGCGCTGCAAGCGTCCGGAGCGGTCATCTTTGACCTCTCGCACTTTGAGCTCATCGACTCGTACGACGACGACTTTGCTCCCAACGATCTCGGCACGGGCACCAGCAGCAAAATCTATTTCGCCAACCCGCTTTCTTCGCAGGACATTGGAGCGGCAGCATCGAGTCCCAGCAACGACATCGAGGCCGGAGATGGTCCTGACACACCCGTTGGTGCATCAGGTCACAGCAAGAGGATCGCTCGAGAACGTCACTTTGACGGCACCACCGGCGTCGAGACATTCCGAAGTCCGTTCCCCTCGCCGGCGGGAGAGCAAAACGCAAGAGCCAAGCGCGTTCCACCCATGAGCGTGCTCGGCGCTAGCGAGGCAGTTGGCGCGCCCCCAGAGCGCAGCGAATCGGTGCCACTGAGTCACCACATCCAGATGGCCGAGTTCCTGCGTCTGCATCGCACGGGCAAGTTTTACTCGTACGCGCCACCTCCTTTCCGCTCCCTGCTGCCCCACGGCGTGACTGGCCTCTTGCTGGTGCCCATCTTCGGACTCAACAAGCAGCCCTTTGCTCTGATGTGCGCTTACATTACCAGCTCAGAGCGATCGATCGCGCTGGAAGAGCTGCAGGTGAGCGGTCTTCAGTACCTGCGAGCTCTGGGCATGATCGTGCTCAGCGCCATCCTCAAGAAGGACATCATGCTCGCCGACAAGGCCAAGAGCAACTTTATCTCCAACATCTCACACGAGCTGCGTACGCCGCTCCACGGTATCCTCGCCGCCGCCGAGCTGCTCGCGGAGACAAAGATGAACGCCACGCAAGGATCGTACCTCGAAACGGTGGAAGCATGCGGCAAGAGCCTGCTGGAGCTGGTCAACCACGTGCTCGACTTCACTAAGCTCAGCGGCAACACACGCTCTGGTCAGCGATCTATCCAGACCAAGAACAAGTGTGACATGGTCAAGCTCATTCAGGAGGTGTGCGAGAGCAGTTGGATCGGTCAGATGGCACGACAGGTCGAAAGCTCCTCTTCGGGCATCGGCAGCGTGTACGCTCCGCCGGCGGGCGGCGCATCGAGCGGCAGCATGGTGCAAGCACGAGCAAAAGCGGCACGAGACAGCAAGGTCGAGACAGTCATCGATATCGCGCTCCGAGAGGATGGCTGGCTGGTCAACTGCGACACGGGCGGTATCCGTCGTGTGCTCATGAATCTGATCGGCAACTCGCTCAAGTTCACCTCGGCCGGCTTTGTTCACGTCTCGCTGCGTGAGGTGCAGAGCTCCAAGACGCACATCATGATCGAGCTGGCCGTCACGGACACCGGTCGCGGTATCTCGCGCGCGTTCTTGGAGGAGCAGCTCTTCCACCCCTTCACGCAAGAGAACCCTCACGGCACAGGTACGGGTCTCGGTCTGTCGATCGTCAACAGCATTGTGCAGTCAGCCTCGCTCAACGGCAAGATCGACGTGTGGAGTACGGAAGGCGAAGGAACCGAGATCCGTGTCACCTGCGAGCTCGAGCTTTGCGGAGAGGAAGACATCGAGGGACCCACCTACAAGCCCGCGGTCAACGTCCATCAGAGCTACAGCGTAGCGTTGCTCGGTTTTGACGAGTCGCGAGGTGACCAGGATCTGCGCCACGCCCTCGAAGGCTACTTCCTCAACTGGTGGGAGTTCAAGCTGTCGGAGCAGACTACGATCGGCGATCACATCAAGCACAGCGACGTGCTCGTTCTCAACGACGACTTGGCGCTGCTCAAGAAGATCAAGGCGGAGCGCAAAGGAGAGCTGCCGCCGGTCATCTTCCTCACAGCCAGCCGCGGCGAGTCCGAAATTGCCAAGGCGTGCGAAGATTACCACGCAGCGGGCGGTGTGGCCCGCATCTTGTTCAAGCCGGCGGGTCCCGCCAAGCTGGAGAGCGTCGTCGACTTCTGCCTGCAGTGCCTGGAGCGTCGACAATCGGGCGAACCAGCCTCGTCGGAGGAGACCAAGCCCAGCACTCCCTTGCCTTCGCCGAGCGAAGCAGGAGCTGCGTATCAGCAGATGGAGAAAGGCGACAGCTACTTTGCGCCGCGCCAGAGCCGGCCCGACATCCATCGCATTCCTGGACACGAGCTTGGCTCTTTCGACACCAATGCATCGATCACTCCGCGCGCGGAGGTCGAGATGGAGAGAGCCACAGGTCGCGATGACCCGCGTGCATCAGCAAACTCGCACAAAGTCGCAGCAACGCACCCCACACTGGCGGAAGGCGATGTCAAGAATCGACGACCGACGCTGGACCCGGGCATCGAGCGCATCCGCTCGCATTACATGTCACCTGATCCACCGGGCAGCTCGTCCAACTCGCTGATTCGTCGACACTCAACGGAAGCGCGCATGGATGCGGCGCACGAGGATGCGTCTAGCTCGAACACGCTCAAGCCGAGCCGGCCGCTGCTGCCAGCTCGCAGCATCACGTATCACGAACCGCGTCTGCACAAGCATGTGCTCATGTCGCCTATGGGCGGTCGCGACGGCGAGGCGGATTCGTACTTTGATCGCGTTCCGACCCCCAACTCGGCACACACGCCCAACACGCCAGGCTCGACGGTGTCTCTGGAAGGAGGCGATGGAGCTGTGCTCAAGAGTGCGCTTGCATCGACTCGCAGTGGCAGCAGCATGCTGAGTAACAGCGTCAGCGGCAGCGGAGCCTCTCGCAAGCGCATGCAGATCCTGTCGGTGGAAGACAATGCGATCAACCGCAAGGTGATCGCCGCGTTCCTGGCCAAGCTGGATGTCGACTTTGTCGAGGCGACCAACGGCGAGGAGGGCATCGAGCAGTTCTCGCGCTACCCGGCGAACCACTTTGACGTGATCCTGATGGATCTGTCGATGCCTGTGCTGGACGGCATTTCTGCCATCGCTGCGATCCGCAAGATCGAGATGGAGCGATATCAGAACACTAGCAGCGGCAGCTCGCATCGGAGCAGTTCGGGCAACGCGGCGCCCAACAAACCACCTTCGCGGTATCGAGCCAAGATCTTTGCGCTGACGGGCCGATCGACGGACGAGGACAAGCGACAGGCGTTCCAGACGGGTGCCGACGGGTACATTGTCAAGCCGCTCAGCTTCAAAGTGCTCTCTTCGCTGCTGAGGATGTTGATGCGCTAGAATGTATCGATCAGCATATTTGTATCACTACACACACGAGAGCCGACTTCTGGCTTCTCACTTTTTTCACTTCTCGTTTAATCATCTGTTTCTCTTACACAATCCAAGACGATTCTTTCGCTCTCATCGTTGGCGTGTTGCGTGGTGCAGGATGGCTTCTTGGAATGACCGTGAGTGACGTTGATCGAGACCATGTGAATTGAAGAGCCTTGACCTGTTAGAGCTGGGTCGAAGGAGGGCTTGCGCGCCGATTTATCCGGGTGGCAAGTGGCCAACGCGTCCGGAAGCGGAAAGGGGCCATGCTCGCGGCTCACCAAGCTAAGCGAGATGGGAATTTCGTGGCCTCCTTTTTTTCAACATGAATTCTTGGGCAGCTCGGATCTGGGAACCAGAGGAAAGGATCGACAGAACGCAGATCCAACAGAGCCGCGTTTTGTTGCGCCCGCCTACGCCGCCACGCAGCAGAATATTGCCCTTTGTACGGCGTGACATTTGCCGGTACGCTACTGCACGGTTGCCTGCCTTTGGATCCGGGAAACTAAGAAGGGTGCTGCAGCGCCGCCGAACTTGCGATGCTAGCTCGCATCTGCTTCACAGGCCGATCTGTGGTGTACGAGGTGCAAGCGTTCCAAAGTGCTACGCAACCGGCAGGACCTCACGGGGCATAGCGCAGATGAGAAGGGCCCCAGAACTGGGCTCCAGCTGCGCAAAGTTCGTAACGAGAGCCCGGGTTAGCTGGCTCGTGCCCATACCGACATGGCCGACGCTGCTCACCTAATGCCGATCTCAAGGCGATGTACTTTGCGTGGGGTCATCAGAAGGACAGATGCGGGGGAGCGAGGCTGCACATCGATGTTGCTTGGTCATGCCTTCATGGTCGTGACAATCAGCTGATGTGCACGATGGTGGCAACAGGCTGAAGCCCATCCCCACAAGCGGCAACATCGTTCGCTGCGAAAAAGGGGATAGTGACCCTGGGCCGATACGTCGGAATGCTCACAGGCCTGTCGAGCGGCAGTCGCGGCGGCAGAAGAGTCAAAGAGAGGGGCCATCAAGACCCAAAGAGGAGGAAAGCTTCCGGATCTGCTCCACCGAGGATCAAAGAGCGAGACGGGATCAGCTTTACATATCACTCGCTCGGAGCGGAGTCTTTTTCCCCCCCTCCCTTCACTTGATTCTGCAGCAAGAGGGGTCCACTCTGACTTGCCTACGTGCAGCCAGCTGCAGCATGGCGGACTGACCCACTCGTATTGCATAAACTCACCCACACCGACAAATCCCGACAGCATTTCGAATCGAGGGATACGCGATGCTGTTTCATGGCCACATTGCCGTGATAGGCGAGAGGACCCAAAAGCTTTAAATGGTCGCATTGGGCGTTGACGGCTCGGCTTGGGGACAGTCAAGGTTGGCTGTGGTGAGGTAGCACGAGACGAGTTGCTGGTCGAAATAAGGACTGTCTCACATGGCATCATACGCGAGACGAGGGGTGAGAGAGAGGGTCTCGTCTTGAAAGGCAGGGTCAGTAGCTGGCTCTCTCTGCAGCAGCGACAAACGCGTTGCCCCTCTTCTGTAGAGCGGGGTCCAAATTTGAAAGTCGCATGCGTTTGAAATGACTGCCTTTTCTACACTCTCGCGGTGGCCTCGGCCATAGAAAAAGCTTGTCTTTTTGACTCTTGCTCGTATTTTGTGGTTGCAGCTCGGTCTTGAACGAATTTGCTCTGCCACAAAGCATTTGTCCGCTGAGCTGCTGCCACACATCCAGTCAGTGAGTGACCTGACACCGCGGATGCAGGTCCGCGTGTGTTTCTTTTCGGTTGCCTCTCGCTTTGTTCCCTCTCTGCCACGCACAGGGCTCTGCAGTCACTCACAGTCACCCAGCTCAACTTAGCCGAGCTTGAAATTTGAGCTTTGGGTCTCCCTCGCTTTCACCCTGCGTGGGGCCTCGGCTCGGCATACAACACCGCGTCGAGTCGTTGGACGCTTTCGTCGACGCTCGCCCGCCACTTTCCTACTCCTCCTTCCCGTCTCCGACAACAGAGCGCAGCTCAGCTCAAACTCAGTCGTCTCTTCCTCGGCAGCTCGACACGCTGCTGCGACCAAGGGAGCGGTTCCTTTTGCCATCTCTCCAACCGATTCCAACAGCACCCTTACATCTCGTGACTGCAGCTGCACCCTGCTCATTCCCCCTGCCCGTCCAGTGCGTCACAACGCCACTGCATCCAGCACACCAGCACTCTGTCGATCTTCCGTCGTGTTGATCCGCCTCTGCTGCAACCTCACGCCTTGCTTGGGCTCTCTTCTGTTTTTTGCCGCCCCGCCTGCCACGCCCAACGCCCTTCAGCCCATCTTGACGCCGGCTTTGTTTGCCTGCCTTCGCCTTTGTCACCATCCTCGCTTCACTTTTTCCTCACTCCCATCATCCGCTCTACCCACCTCCTGCTCCGTCTCCGTCGGTCGTCATCACGTACCCTCCGCACGACATTGCCATCTGCTAGCTTGCTCCATCTAGCTGATCTATCTCGAACCAGACGCTCGACTTCAGGCACGCACTCGACACCGAATCGCACACGCTAAAGCCATCATATTCGACTCCATCCCGTGACTCGCCCAGCTTCTGTTCCGTCACATCACATCACTCGCGACCAGCCATCCCAATTCACAACGCGCACGTCACGCGTTCACTCTGTCGCTGTCACATCGCTCACATCTGCGTATTAGCGCTTAGCTGAACTCAGCCTTCTTATCACAACGCGGGTCACCCGATCGCTTTCTCAGCGCATCACATCCCTCCTCGAACAGTCGAACGATCAGGCAATCCAACCGTGTCGCTGGATCGTCGCAACGACTCGTTACTCTCTCCACCATCACAAGCTTGGACCAACCCACAAAGCTGCCATGACCTCCGTCCTCGCCAACGTGCGCACTCATTTTCCGCAGTCAGGCATGTCGAACGAATCGCGTTTCCAATATGCCGACCTCTCCAGATCCATGCCTCCCACCTTCTCTTCCTCCTCTTCCTCGGCCTTGAATCAGGCCAACTCGGTGGCCTCCTCCAGCACCTTGGCGCTCGCCGCTGCCACCCCTGCCACCAGCACCATGTCCTCAGCGCCCACCTCGTCCGACACTCCCCTGCTTTCACAGACGTCTCCGTACGACCAATCCGCGTCCACCTGCGTACCCAGCACTCTTTACTCGGCAGCCGCCATCCCATCCTCCCAAGGCCTCGATGCTGTGCTAGGCGGATACGCTGCTACCAATGCGCTCGCAGATCTCTCGGCTTCGTGTCCGCCTGAAGGTCCTTCCTTCTCCAACCCAAATTTCGATGCTGATCTCGCCGCCGCTGCTGCCTTTGCTCCGCTTTTTGGCGCAGGGGATGCGCTAGGCCTGGATGCATCATCAGCGCCGCTATCCTTCCCAGTGCTGCCAGCTTCTCTCCTCGACGAGGCGCCAGAATACGAATACGTACGTTCCCGCTCAAAGCGCGACCATCCTCCACCGAGAGAAATCGCATGCTGACTTGACCTTTACACCCTTCTGCCATCGTACAGTCCACGCACACACGGCTCAATGTCTTCGAGGCCTCCGACTACGGCGGCAACATCCCCACCTTCACCTTCGCCGAGGACGGCACTCCATTGCTCGACGCCACGACAGAATACGGCCTCTGGTCTAGCGGACTCGATGTCGATGCGGGCCAACCCATGGCATCCTCTCTCTTCGCATACCCAGACGACGGTCTCTCTTACCTTGACAACAACGGCCTCCAGACACAGCCACGCACGGCAGCACAATTCGACCTCGCATCACGGACGGACGGCTCGTTGAACGTCAACGCCGACTCCTTCCTCGCGCCTCGAAACACTCTTCCTCTAGCGTCTACAATCGCAGTCGGCGAAGCATTCCTTGGCAGTGATGCATCGGCGATGGCCATCCTGCCCGGCTCGTCCGCAGACAGTGCTCCTTCTGTCCTTCACCCGGGGCCAGCACCCAACCAATTGCAGCAGCGACAACCACAACAAATTGGTCTCAACAGCGACGAGCTGTTTGATTCTCAAGCCGGTCCTTCTCGTGGACTGCACAGGTCTCGAGAGGCACTCGCCAACGCCAACTCTCCATATGGGCGCGGTCGTCCGTCACTTCAAGCGCATCGCAGCTTCAACAATCTTGGTGCGGCCGCCGGTGTCTCTCCGCCAGAGTTCAACTCGGAGCTTCGACGACTATCGACTCCAGGTCTGGTGGCAGGTGGTGCGGGCCCAGTTCGAGCTCCTAACCGCGACCCTTTGGTGCCTAGCCAGAACGTCGGACGTGCGCGTCTGATGAGCTGGCAGAGCGGCAATGCGCACACTGGCGAGCAAGAGTGGCAGTCCAACGGCTTCCCGGATCCCAGCCTTGGCGTCTCTGGCGATCCTGGCTTTGGTCCGCGAGGACCGCAGGCGGCAGCGGATGGGATGGCATCCAACGGCATGCCCATGCATCCGGCTGGCATGATGCCCCCTTCTCGATCTTACAGTTACGGCATGCAGCATTCCTCGTCCGGCTTCATGCCGCAATCAGGCATGCACCCTCACCAGAACGACATGATTAACGCGCTTGGAGACGCCATGGACGCCCGCATCGACGTTGACGGCATCGCCAAATGCCCTTACCCGAACTGCAACAAGACGTTTGCCAAGAACCGCTCGTACAACCTCAAGGCCCACTTGCGCTCGCACTCGCAGCTCAAGCCGTTCGCCTGCGCCGTCTGCCCACGCGCCTTCTCGCGCAAGCACGATCTTGAGCGTCACAGCCGCGTGCACTCCGGCGACAAGCCGTACGTCTGCGAGATCTGCGGAAAGGGTTTCCCGCGCAGTGACGCGCTGCGCAGGCACTGGAGGGTCGAGAAAGAGTGTGGTGACAAGGCGGCAGCGCTGGAAGCGAGTCAATCGCTGACGGGCATGATGGGCGAAGGAGGCTACCACGACAGGAGCCCCGATGAGCAGGATCATCCTTCGTATCTCCAGGCTCACCAGCAGCCGCAACAGCAGCTGCAGCAAGGTGGCAGCGGGTCTGGCATGTATGGCCAACAGCAACAGCAGCAACAGCAACAGATGCAGCAAATGCACCAGCAACAGAGGCCGCAACAGCCGTACGGTCAGCCCATGCAGCCGCAGCAGCAGTTCCCAAACCAACAGCAGCAGCAACAGCGGTCCTGGGCTGACCAGCAGCAGCAGGCTTTGAGACGATAGTCGTCATCGAACGACGCTTTGATACCCCCTCCTTGCTCCGTCTTCTTCGAAGCGCATCTTGTCACTTGCATCATCTTCACTCTGGGGTTTTACGAAATGGTAGTTAGGTCGCTTGACCCTCACACACTTTGCGTTTGCTGCCGAAACAGAACGACTTGAGATGTGACCAAAGTACGTTGGCAGAAAATGCTGCATTGAACATCAGTAGCGACTGCGTTTGGCTGGAGGCCCCGATGCAGGGTCATCATACGAGCGGGGAGCGTAGCCACCGCCGCCATTGTAGTCTCGATTTCCGCCGTACCCTCCTCCTCCTCCGCCTGCTGGCGATGGCCCTCCCGGACCGCCATTGTACCTCCCTCCTCCTTGTGGTAGACCGTTCTGATACCCCGATCTTTGCCCGTAGCCGTTATCAAATCCTCCGCTGCGGGGTGGTCCACTGAATCCGCCTCTGAATCCGCCTCTCCCGCCTGCAAACCCTCCTCCCCTGGGCGCACCTCGGAATCCGCCCCTTCCGCCCCTGAATCCTCCCCCTCCTACAAACCCGCCACCCATCGGCACGACCTCCACCGGCTCGGGCGCCTTCTTCGGTTTCCGACTCCCCCCGCCCAATCCCCCACCCAACCGCATCGGCTTCCAATCCTTCACCGTCCTACCCCTCTCCACATCAACCATAATCCGTCTTCCACCCATTTTGAGTCCTTCTGCGTCCTTGTACGCAGCTTTCATATCCCTCTCCCTCTCATAGGCGATAAATGCGTAGCCTCGACTTTTGCCAGCTCGATCGCGGATGAGGTGGATGCTTTGAATCGGGCCGTACATGTCGAATTCCCTGGCGAGGTCCTTTTCGGTGATGTCGTAGGGTAGACGACTGAGGAAGAGCGTCTTGTACGCATCTGGGGTAGCGCTCGCATTTGCGTTGGGGTTATACTCTTCCAAGCCGCGTCGTTTAATCTCGTCTTTTGCCGCACGGCGCGATTCGAGTTCGAGCTCTTTTAGGGTGACCCGTGTGTGGGTGAGGGTGGAGGAGGAAGCTTCGTCGGTCGACTCACCCCGATCCGCCGCTTCTTGCTTGATTCGTTCTAGCGTCGAGGCGATGCCGGTGAGCGGTGACCGAAGGGTCTGGCGTTTTGAACGGGAAGAAGGGTCTTTCGGGACAGGTGTGGCTGCCGGGTTCGGATCGTAGCGTGTGATGGGAGCGATGTGTTCGAGCGGAGGACGCGGCGCAAAGAGGCGGATGAGGGAGGGTGGGAGGAGGTGCGTCATTGTTGCGACGGCGCTGCCTTGCTATGGTGTGGTTCGTGCGCTATGTCCGATGCATGTGCTGCTGCGTGCTCGCTGATAACAAGATGTTGGCCGCGTACGGACGCTTGAAGGTAGCTCTGGGGAGAGATGCTGCTCGCCGCCGTGCAAAGACGCTACAATGAGAAGATGCAGGTCGAGGACCAAAGGTGGGTTTCCATCTCGAAACGAAAGGTGAGCAAGCCTTTGGACCCGCTTTCCGAAGATCTCGATTTTTCGCCCCCTTCGCTGCAAAGAAGCAGGTCTTAACAAGAATGAAAAATTTCGAGCAAGGAAAGTGGAGAGAGCGTGCGGTGATCGACCCTGTTTGAAGGCGGCTGTCTGGCTGCGTGGCTCAGAACGCGCAGGCCACCTTTTGAGAAAGCTCCACACCAACACCTCGACTCATCAACTTCACCTGCTTCATTCGCGCCTCACTCTCGCTCCGGCACTCAGCGCATCACAACATCCGCGCTACATCGATCACGAACTACAGCTACCGCATTAGCAGCACGGCACGGCTCACACGCTCATCACTCGAAGCATCCTCACTCGGCGCAGCACTTGCTCGATCTCGGCATCACAATATTCACCGGCTGACAGAGGCGTATCCAGCAGCAGAGGAGACAGTCATCAGCAGCGCACTCGATAATACACAATGGCCTCGCAAGGTACAGGCTACGATCTCTCCGCGAGTACCTACTCGCCCGATGGGAGGATCTTCCAGGTGAGTTACAGCAGACTCGAGCGGCAATTCTATCTTCGGATCCAGGCTCAATACTGACACCCTTACCCCTCCTTCTTGCCATCATCGCAGATCGAGTATGCGGCGAAAGCAGCGGAGAACGCAGGTACGGCGATCGCCATCAAGACCAAGACGGGCGTAGTCGTCGCCGTTGAGAAACTTGTCCAGTCCAAGCTGCTGGTCCCAGGATCCAATCGTCGGATCTTCAACGTCGCCCCACACATCGGTATCGTCTCTGCGGGTCTCATCGCGGACGGTAAGCACTTGGCCACCCGCGCTCGCTCGGAAGCTGTCTCGTTCCTCGACAACTACCGATTCCCCGCACCGGTCAAAACCCTCGCCGACCGCGTAGCGTACTACGTCCAAGCCTACACCCTCTACTCCTCGGTCCGCCCCTTCGGCGTCTCCGCCATCATCGCCGGCTTGGACGACACCAAAGGACCGCAGATCTACATGGTCGAACCCTCCGGCGTCTTTTGGGGCTACAACGGCTGCGCCGTCGGCAAAGGCCGTCAACTCGCCAAAACCGAAATCGAAAAACTCGACCTGGACAACCTCACCCAACAACAAGCGGTGGAAGCTGCAGCAAAGATCATCTACAAGGTCCACGACGAGGCCAAGGACAAGGAGTTTGAGTTGGAATTGAGCTGGGTCGGTCCCGAGAGCAACGGAGTGCATAGTAGGGTGCCGGACGATTTGAGAGATGAGGCGATTCAGAAAGCGAAGGACGCACTAGATGACGAGATGGAGGATTGAAGGGGCAAGGGCAATGTATGATTTCTTGTTCGACCACAGAAGTGTGTGAACGTGTGGTGAGGGAAGAGTGCGAGGGTGTTTCATGATTGTGCGAGGGGATTCTGTCGGTGGTGTGCAGGCTGGTAACGTCGCCGCATGGTTGGGAGAGGAGGTTCTTGGTCATCGATGGTATTGAGGCTCCATGTCCGCCGCAGCACGAGTTGAGACGGTGAGCGATGGTGCAATGCAGGACCGGGCCGAGCGGACGACGTTCCAGCAGAGACGACCTGACTCCAATGGTGACGCTACAAGGCTCGTTCAGGCCAGCACGCTTTGTGAGAGGGGAGTTCGATCGAGATTGCGCTGCAGCATCGGGCGAGCGGATGATGTCCGGGGACGTGTCGTCCAGCCTGGTGGGCCGACCTGCAGCCTTGCATGAGCGACTTGTGCGCTCGGCGCAGCCACCCTTCTGGGAGTGCCGAGATTTTGTGCGCAAAACCGTCCCGTCCGAACGCTCTCGCCTTGCATCGTCCCAGATGAAGTACAAGGTTTCTAGGCCCATTCTCGGCGCGCATCGCTCTCCCCTCGTACGGATGCTAAGCCTATTCGAGTTCACTGGCGTGTTCGGGAATAGCGCACAGTGCGAACCGTTCGAGGTCGCAGGGCCATCCTCCAATCACGCCTCGCGCCTCCTCCGCTCCGTGACGGAGCGGAGGCGAGTTGAGTCACACGTCTATTCCCACGGTCGGCTTCGATGAGCTGAGTGACAGGTTCGACGAAGACGGAGGAGGTGCCTATGAGGTAGGTCTGATCAACGTGATGATCCGTTCGGCAGTCCTTCTGACCCCGCTACCGAGAGAAGATGAGGTGAAGCGCCGGATGAGGCCGCAGGTGGCCCCGTCGAACCTGTCACGACGTTGATCAATGTCCAACCTCGACGTAGACATTCGTCCGCATCTACTGCTCGTGTGCAGGTCTCCGTCGTGGAGCGATAGCTTGCCGACACCCTGCATCGTCCTGTCAGGCGATTGATCAATCCAATGCTCGAGGTAGACGTTCACCAAGTGCCGCTGCCAGACGGGTGCCTAGGCCAGAACCTGCATCGCCCCAACCGACGCACCTGTCACAGGATTGATCACCAACCGTCGGGTTAGATGTTTGTCCCCCTTCGTGAGAGCTGCGCACAAGAACACTCGCCACCTGCTGTGACTTTTGCTCCGTCTCGCAACGGAGGTCGGTGAGATCGCACGAGGAAGCAGCGTTGATGAGGGTCTCGACACACGAGCAACATCTGTCAAGGATCTACTCGCGAAGTGGTCAACAGAGAAGCGCAAAGCAATGTGCGGAATGACTTCCGCGTCTCTGATTCGAGCCTGCCTAGAGGACGTTGCGGTCGAGCTCGCACTCGAAGGACGCTGGTCCAGAGGATTCTTCGAGATGACGAGCTGCTCTCTCTTCGATGGCTTCTTCTCCTGCAGCTCGCTGCGTGCGGTTCGATATATAAGGTCGTCGCCATGCTCGAACGGATCAAGCTGCCTGCTCAGGCTCCTATTCCTTAGCATCGCCATATCGTCAACGCCGTCGTCTTCGCTCGTTTCGCCACTCACTCTCCCTACACGTCGATGACTTGAACTCTGCCTTCAGTAAGTACGAACCATGCGGTCAGACTGATCCTTGAATCGGCGGCACATACTGACGTATCATCTAACCTTATTTTGCATGGCTACTCCCCCGCACAGTCAGCACGTACTTGGTTACCTGCACCCTCGCAACCACCACGACCGACAAATCCGGCTTCTTGATCTTCCAGCTCTCGCCCCAAGCAAGCTACCGCCCGGAACGACCTTGAGTCATGGCGGCTAAGACGGTTGCCGCGGCGAGGGGCTGGTCGACCAGCGCGGTCGGCTCCCGCCCACCCCACCGCGACAACCTTGTCAGCCGTCGTAGGCGGGAACAGTTAACCTTGCCGTCGTACTTTGGTGCCTCGAGGTACCAGGGCGGTGAGGTTACTCCAAAGCGTGAGGCAAAGCTTGCCCACGCCGAATATGATTCATCCCATACGCCGGTAAGTTGGGCTTCGTTTCGCCAAAGTCGCCGTTTTCGTCACGCCCACCCTCTGCGCACGACGTACTTTCCCCTCACCGGCCCGCTGACATGGTGAATCTTGCTTCGGCATGCGTCACCCAGCGTGACCGAGAGCCGCTCTTAGGCCCCCTTGTCTCATGCTCATTGGACATGAGCGAGGCTCCCGGAGCCTTTCATCATTGCCGATAGCCGAGAACGCATCAGTGTCTTGGTGTCACCTCGTGACATCAGGTCGTGATGCAACGGCTTGGTATCACAGGCTCTCGCCTTTTCATTTCTTGGCGATGGTGTCGTTGCTGGTGTTCCCGATCCTTTTACATGCTCTCCCGTTCCTTGGTTCGATGTCCGGTATTCCCATGCCGGTCTTGCACGGTCGCTTGACCGGCTGCTCATGAAGTCGAGTGGAGTTGATTCGTTCCTGTGGTCAGTCGCATTGTTACGTTCATTTTCTTTGCTGTCTGTCCTTGACGACCGACGTCAGGCAATATGGTTGGGGGGCAACCTCAAAGTTTGCACTCGCCTACTGCTGACATTGCTCGCCAATGGCTGACCTCAGAAGCCGTCACAATGCGATCCACGAAAGCGATCAGCACAACCATTGATACGGTTTCATATGATGCCCACTTTTCGCTTTTGTTGCCGTCGCTGCCCATTGTGGCAGAACCGCAAAACCTTGTCTTGCTTCATTTCCTCCTGTGCTCGGTTGTCCGGCACCATGGCACCATTTCGTGGTGCTTGTGTCAGTCGTTTGCCCACCTTTGACGCCTGTGGAGATATGTCACACCTCACCGGTGTGTCTTCTCTCATTGGAGGACGTTGGCGAAGGTGCACAGAGGGTCAGACGATGGCTATCGTTTACCCCACATCACTCGAGCAAGGTCACCTTGCTTGAGTCGAGTCAGCGCAATGCGATATGATCTCCTCAGCACGGGTACTTCATTTGCCGCTTCTCTGAGCGTCGACTCTTGGCGCGCATCCCCGCGACCACTGACGGAGTTTGTACCTCATGATCGATGCTTAGTGGCGCTTGTGGCGCTCTGAAGCGGCTGGGTGGCGGGCTTGAGTTTGAACGACAAGCTTGTTACTCGTTCTTGCTCAAGCTTTCCAAACCAGGGTCACGTCGGGAATGCGTCGTCTCGCGCTTGACCGGCCTTCGGTCGTGATCATCGCAGTGGTCCGATGTCATTGTTCCGTTTTGCCGGGCTGATGCGACTGAATCGTTCATTCCCCACGCCAGTCATCGGCGCTGAGATTACCCTTGCTCTGGGCTGACAAAGGCTGGCTGACTTTGCCGCCTGATGACGGCGTGTGGGGCAGACCCCACCGTCGTTCGGCGAGGGGGAAGACAAATTGCCGTATGGACACCGGGCATGTCCACCTCATCATGCCCGGTGGTCCGCATGACTCAGAACAGCCAGGTGCGCAGGTCGCTCGTCTCACGGCAACCTTTTGTCGCCCACCCTGGGATGCATCCATTGTGGAAGAGCGAGCGGCTGGCGCGTCTGCACTGTTGCATGGAAAAACGACGCTTAGCTACGGCAGCGCAAATGGACGCGGATTCGGTGCAATTTCGCCGCTCTTGGTTTCTTTTGGCGTCTTGGCAGCCGCGCCCTTCATGTTCCTGCGCAGCTCCGCCTCATCCTTGTCCTTCCGAACTCAGACGGGGTGGGACATATAAGGCGCCCTCCTTCTTTGTTCCCCTCGCCCTTCGTCTTCCATCATTAGGCTCCCCCTCTTCGTATCGAGCTGACCCTCGACTTGTCCACATTCTTTGACTTCCAGCAGAAGCACCACTCTCACCAACCATCCATCTTTATCAAGGACCTTCCAAAGGCGAAAGAGGCGCTTTATTCGTCACCTCGCTCATTCTCTCCCAATTTCAAGAACGCCTCTTCACGCATCGCAGACAGCGACAAGGACCTCAAAGCAAACGGTCTCGAAGGTGTCGCCTACGCAGCACATCTACTACTTAAGCTCAAGACCTCTTCGCCACCACCAGGAGACAAGATGCCCGCCGGTCACCACTACGACAACGCCCTCCAGACCGATTCGAGCATGGTTAAGAAACGCGGCCTTCCCTACGCTCGCGACGACCAGATGCCTGCGCCGGCTTATCAGACGCAGTCCGCCGCGACGCTTCACGGTAGCAATGGGACCTTCTACATCTCTGGTCCGCGCCCTGCTCGACTCTTCGCCACGCAGATCCACGAGTTTCGAAAGGGCAAGTACGCTACGACTGGCGGCGACCGCGGCTTCATGACGGTCTTCGAGTACGACGTTCGCGGCCACACCATGATGATCGACTGCGACACGTCTTTCATTCGCTTCACTTCCATCACGCAGGCGCTTGGAAAGAACAAAGGTATGCATCACTGACTTACTGGTTCGCGCGTATTCCACCTTGCGCCCTCAGCTGACCCGACCTCCTCTTGCCTCTCGTTAACGCAACAGTCAACTTTGGTCGCCTCGTCCGCACCTGCCCCGCCCTCGACCCGCACATCACCAAGCTCAAGGGCGGATATCTCAGCATCCAGGGCACCTGGCTTCCCTACGACCTGGCCAAGGAGCTGTCCCGACGCATCGCTTGGGAGATCCGCGACCATCTCGTTCCTCTGTTTGGCTACGACTTCCCCGCTACCTGCCTGCGCCCGGACTCGGAAGGATTCGGCCAGCTGGCCATCGGCATGACGCAAAAGAGAGCACGCAAGCGCCACAACAATGGTGGACCTCATCAGACGTCGTGCTACGGTCCTAGCACGCCCATCGCGTGAGTACTTTGCCGGCTGGTATCGGAGTTTGATAGGCGCAGCAGCTGACACTTGCCCAATTTTGTCGTGCACAGTCTCGTCGGTGGTCAAGCGATCGAGCAGAGAAGCAGCGGCCATGAGGGCGGCATGTACGGTCTTTACGCACAATCCCAAGCATCGGCCACGATGCACTACAGCAAGGGATCCGACGAGCGCTCCAGTCCGTACGGCAACGGTCTCGTCTCTAACGCGCCGAGTGCGCCGATGTCATCGATGGTGTGGCAGACAAGCTCGCCAATGGGTCTTGGCGCTGGAGGGGCAGCCTCGTCGCTTCCTCCTCTCTACCCACCCAACTTCACTGCGATGGGCTCTCCAATCCTGTCATCGCCACCTTCATCCAACGCTTCATCGCTCTCAGCTCAGAGTGCCGCGGCCCACGGGCTGATGGTGCCGCCCACCGTGCCCTCGGCCACCTTCTCCAACGAACACGGACCCAACGGAAGCGGCAGCATCTTCGAGATGCACCCCGCGACGGCGCTGGCCGGCGCCAAAGAGGAGAGTATGACCGACTCTCGCGGATACTTTGCGGGTCAGAGCTACGAGACCAACGCGGGCGCCCAGCTCTCGGCGTGGACCGAGTCGACCCGGCCCTCGGCGGCCACTTCTTCGTCGCCCTCCCCTCCTCCCGCCTCGCACGCTTCCTCGTTCCAGTTCGGCTCCTGGCAGCAGTGACCGCGGCGTCCTTGTCGGCTTCAGCGAGTCTCTTGCTTCAATCTCAAAACCACTTCCCCGTACCTCTGCGTGTGATTGGCGTGCTCAAGAGGCTGAATCGGATGCTCGGTGTCTAGCACCGACGAGAAGAACCGCGCCATACTCATACTTATGCACATCGTTGGACAGACGAAGGCTCCTCGGTGGCACTTCTGTCGCTGATGCGCATGCTTCCAGGTCGCGACGAAGCTTGAAGCATGTGATTGAGGCGCAGAAGGATGAGCTTGTGATGAGGGAACTTTTTGCAAGGATCGACAGGAGCTTGTCACCGTCGGCTGTGGCCAGAGCCAGCGGTACCGCAGGCTGGAATGGTTGACGCGCCAAGTTCAACGTGCTGAACCCTGAATTCGGACTGCGGTGACGGGCGTGTGTGTTGGTGTGACTGCCGACTGCGGTGTGCAGGCTGTATGTGACGCGTTTGAAAGGGACAGTTGGCCGCACTCGCTTGGTCTTCGCTAGGTGCTGTAGCTCGCTAACCGCCTTTTTTTCCGCCTTTTTGAATGCACCGCATCGAGACCGGAGCTTGAATCCGAGTAGTCTGCTCAGCCAAATCAAGGGTCTCGTCGATTCCTTTCGCGCTGTCATCCTGTCATCTTCACCACTCAGCTCGTTACCACCACCACCACTCACCACACCGCAGCAGACCCTTTCATCTGCTCGGACCATATCCTTCGCCTCGGTCACCGTACTCCGCTTCCAGCCTCACCCACGTTCGCAACATCGATCGACGGCCTCCACATCCAACAAAGCATGGACCAATAACCGCTTGGGCCAGCTGTCTCGCTTCAGCTCCCACTATCCGCCTTGACCTGCTAGCAGTCTCGCGAAGGCCAGCAAGAATTCGCACAATCCGTGCTCTCGTTGCCAAGGATGGAGCGCACGTGGTCGACCGACTCGGTCGCCTCTATACCGAAAAAGTCGCTCCCAGATCCGGCACGTCTTCGCAAAGCGGCTCGCCGACTCTCCAATCAAGCTTCCGCTCAGGGCGCGAGAGAATGGAAGAAGTCGCGCGCACATCAATCCAACGACAGCGCCGCCTCCAACGGACATGCCAATGGCAACAGCAACAACATCTCCTACTCGGCTAGCAATGCCAAGGCTGGTCCATCCTCGCGACGGCCCCCTCAGGCTGTGGCGACGGCTTCCGAGACACATCCATCGCAAGCCTCCAACGTTCGACGACGCAACATCCTCGACTCTGCTTCCCTTTCCATCGCCTCCGGCTTCGGCAACCAACGTCACTCGTATGGGGTCGACTCGAACGCTTCGTCTCCTTTGCCCGCTTCTTCTCGAGCATCCAGCATCTCCGCCTGGCCTGCCGCTTCCGACGGGTATTCTGGCTCTTCTACGGACGGTCCCACTCGCAGGTATCGTTCCAACACCGCCACGTCCAGGGAAGCCTACTCTGCTGATCCTTCGGCGGATGGCGGCGGCGGCTACGCATCTAGCGACGACGACAATTCCTCCAGTACCGATTTTGAGCCATTCGACTGGGATGTTGGGCGCAAGCGAAGGAGCAAGGATCGTTCGCGTTCATTAGCGCCTGGCAGGTCAACGACACCATCCAATGGCCACACAGCAGCATCAGCGACAGCTGCAGCATGGCGCGCTGCCACCTCCACTCCACCGCCTCGACCGCCTTCAGCCTCAGGCAGCGAACGGCGCTCCACCTCTCGCTCCGCCAGATTCACTATTGGCGGCGCGACTCGATCGCCAAAGAAGCAAACCCAGCACCTTCCATCTGACTCGTCAGCCAACACGCATGTCTCTTCCCGATCAGCTTCCCGGCCCAACCGCGATTCCATCCTCACCCGCGCGATGGGCGTGGCAGGATCATTGGCCTCTTCGGGCGGCAAACCGAAAATCGCGACCGCTCCTGGTTCTGCGCTGCCATCGGGTAGTGTGGCCAAAGCAAGACGAGGCAGTCACGATAAGGGCGCTAGCAGCACGGCACAGGCGCGAAGCAGTAGCACGCCGCGGGAGCCATCAAGCAAGGTCGGCGGAGATGCAGCGCGGTCTTCATCGGCCTCGAATGCTGCTGGTCCTGCCGACCCAAAGCTCGGACCAGCACCGTCGCGTGGAGGCATTCGTTCCAATTGGAGACGAATGCGCACCAATCCTTCTTTGGAGGCTTTGCTCGTGAGTCTAGCTTGCTGCATCGCCTGCTACGGCCTCAAGACACATGGAATGCGCGCAACGCAGAGCCACGCCTTCGAAGTCGGCTTCGTCACCGTCACCAGCACGCTTTACTTCTTCCTGCGTGATCCTGACGAGCAGGCCGCCATCTGGGCCACCGACCACCGCAATTACCGCGCCTGTCCAGAAGACGGCGCTCTCAACGCTCTCCTGCTTCCGCCGTTGCTCGCCTGTGCGACGCTCTTCTCGGCGATTCAGGACCAGGCCTTTGGTCGCAGCAGTGCGCGTGCTTCTGGCGAAGCCCTTCCAAACCCTCCCTGGCTGATCGAAGGACCTCCTGTCATCCTCAGTCACGACAAGAGACTCGGAGGCGGCATGACGACGCTGGTGGTGTCTCGCTACTCGCTTGTGAGCACGATGTGCATGACGTCGACCGTCTTGCTTTGCCACCTTCTCGCGACCAAGTGGATTCGTCGGCCCCACCAGTTTCCGAAGAGCAATTGGATCAAGCTGCGAAGCTTCATCGTCTTTTCCTCGATGGTCGCCGTCGTGCTCGAGCTCATCAAGGATGCAGCCGCGTTCTACGGTTTTCCTCTGTGGTCCAATCTGGCACGCTGGGAGGTCATCACCGCTGCGCTCATCTATCAGGCCAACCTTTACACCGTCTCTCGACTCGCTCGCAAGAGCTTCACGCTGGGAGAACTCGGCATCGTTGCTGGAGTCGGAATCACACTGACGATGGAGACCCTCCATCTCTTCGTTGCCAAGCTGCTGCCTGTCACGACGCCGTATGTCAAGACCTTCCGGCGCCCTACGCCATTGCTGATCTTTCAGCTCGCACTGATCGTCGGCACTTTCATGATCGGGTTCATGCTGTCACCTCTCCTCTACCTTTCGAGGAATCTGGCACAGAAGCCGACACACCGTCTGCGCTGGCCCGACAAGCGGGATCTGCACCGACGTCTGCTCGCTGCGTTCTTCTATCTCTTCGCCACTCTCTACGTCGTCGGTGTGCTGGGCATGTGGGTGCGCTGGCTGCTAGTGCGCCGCGACCCGTGGCTCTGGGCGGTCTCGTTCATGCTGCAGGGCACCAAGCCCTGGTCGCGCCCAGTGCTGGTTGGCTACTGGGTAGTGCTCATCTCGGTCTCGATCTCGTGCTGGCAAGCAGTCGTGGCCAACGCCAAACGCTTCCGCGGTCTCGGCAACTCATACCATCGTACGATGCTAGGGTCCAAGATGCCCATCGGCGCTGCTGCAGCCAACAGCTCAGCAGCTCAGCTGAAAATGCAACAGCAGCAACAGCAACAGATCAACAGCGCCGCTCCGTCCGACGTGGTCCTCTCGGTCTCGCCCAACTCACACGCACCAGGCGGCGTCGCAGCTACACCTGTTGTCGTCGATCCTGCTTCAGCGGAGGCGAACGGCGGGTCAGATGCAGACCACGTCAATGGAAGCGCAGTCACCGGAAGCGAGAGCAACACGAACGCAAAGCGAGCCAGCGGGGTGCAGTTGAAGCTCTCAACTTTCGGAGGTACCGCTTCTCTGCTCGCGAAGGAGCACAACACGGCTGCCGTCAAAAAGGCATCGCACCTGTCGCTCAACGCTAGACGCAAGTTCTTCCACGCCCTGGCAGTCATGCTGTTCATTCCCGGCATCGCTCTCGACCCGGCCTTGACGCACCTAGCATTCTCGCTCGCCTTCTCGATCTTCGTCTTCGCCGAGTACATTCGATACTACGCGCTGTACCCGTTCGGAGCTGCGTTGCACGTCTTCATGTCCGAGTTCCTGGACCATAAGGACTCGGGACCGGTGATCCTGTCGCACTTCTACCTGCTCACCGGCTGTGCGGGTCCCCTCTGGCTCGAAGATCACTCGCGCATCCTGCAGCAAACAGGTGTGCTGGTCTTGGGAGTGGGCGATTCGCTCGCCTCCATCGTCGGGCGCAGATACGGCCGCACCTACTGGCCCGGTGGATCGAGCAAGACAGTCGAAGGAACCGTCGCATTCGTCACGAGCATCATGGCGTCCGCTTGGCTGCTAAGGTTGGTCGGCTGGTGCGAGCAGTTTAGCTCGATCAAGTACTTTACGGTTGTTGCGTCGTTGGGGTTGTTAGAGGGTGTCTCGGATCAGCATGATAACCTGGTGCTGCCAATCTTTGGGTATGTCGTGGCGAGTTTGGTTGGGTTGTAGGAGCGGGACGTGTCAAGACCCTCATCAAGTTTAGCTTCGTGTGAGAAGCTCGGCATTGTGGTCGGATGCAACGGAATGTGTCAAGATCCTCATCATCGCTGTGGGCGAGAGTGTGAAATGCGGTGCGACGCAGTGTGGATTCGTGTCAGGAGGCTCATCAATGACAACAAGCTCATGCCGCGTGTCTAGGCGTCCTTGCGTCTTTGGGCTTGTACGAGCAAGAAGGGCAACAAGCTCGAGCTGTCACGAGCCTCATCAGCTCCTTGACTCCTGAGCAGGAGCGTGGAGCGTGGTCGGAGCGTGTCAAGGGCCTCATCAAGCACGGCTCCCCGCGCATCTTGGCGTGTACGAGCATGGTTCGGAAGGGATAAGCTCGGGGCTGTCAAGACGCTCATCAACTCCTGTAATCTGCATGTGTGGATGCAGACGCAGCTGGAAGTGTCACACACCTCATCAACTCCTTTAAGCTCTGGAATGCCAAGGCTCGTGCAAAAGTCAAACCTAAAACTGGAGTGATTTGTAGCGACGGGGTTGTTTGTGTGCGAGCGCGAGCGGCGCTGCTCAATAGTACATTGTCGAATTGCCGCACAAAGGGATGGCAGGGTTTCGAGCTCGGTCACGGTGTGCAGCGGGTTCCGCTCGATCATTGCTGCACGACGGCCGATGGCAGTCCGCATTCGGGACATGTACAGGCTTGCATCCGCTGCAGGGTGGAAGCTCGCACTACTTGACTCGAGCCGACGGGCTGCCTGCGAGCCGAGTTCCGCTGCGGAACGGATGCACGGCCTCGATTGTGTAGTTAAACACGTCACAAAGCGACGGTGGACAAAGAGGCTGTCCGCTCCACAACGGAGCTCTTTCTTGGCATGCATCGAGTCGACAAGGATAAGGTTTGACATCACAGAGCTAGTCGCTTCCCTCCGCTCGCTCTTTGTGATCTCGTCAGGTCTGTGTTCGAGACGGTGTACTGGCCGTCAGGCTACGGAGCTAGCAGGCGTGTGATTGTTCCGCAGCAAACGACGTTGGAGGATAAGGTTTGGCATTACAACCGTTCGCTGTACGATCCCGCTCGCCCTTTGCGATCGGTTCAAACTTGTATTGGATGGAGTACAAAGTGCGGGATCATAGTGCGGAATCGCTCGAGCTCGAGCTGCGGACTCTTTTAGAGGTCGCACAGCGGAAGGCAGACGATCTTGCGAGATATAAGAACTTCAATCCTCCTTTGTTCTCGTCTTTCTTCTCCTCTTCTCGCTGTCAAGAGCGGATACCCTTCAGAACAAAGGACTCCTGCGCAGCTGGTCAGCACCTCTTACAGCCTCCTCTCCTGGTCACGAGCTGATACCCCTACGGCGTCGGACTCTTTCAAGCCTGACGGGGCGCGAGTCTGATCACGAGTAACTCGGGCCGCACGGTCATCGCTCGGATCGTCAAGCGTACTCATCGTCAAGGCTACATCACCACCGTCACAAACAATCGCCTCCGCCGACATCTACTCGCGCTTAAGGTCGAAGGCCTGCCCACGTCAAGACGCACTTCGGTCCGCTCAACAGTACCCTCCGCATCGGTCCGAACGTTTACGACTCGCCGATTCGAACCGCAATACCCGTGGCTGCTCATCCCGCCTGAACGAGATATCGCGTAGGTTCCTCTCTTTCACCCAATCTTGTTCTTTCTGAGCATCTCCTGACCTCATACTTGCCCTGCGGTCTTCTCTCAGGCAGGCTCAAGACATCTTCGACCTCTGAAGCGCTACTGACGCCCGCATTTGCCGCATTCTCGTCGTCCGTAACCTCGTTCCTCGCCCGCTGTTTAGGCTGCGGAACTTAGCCTCTTCCTCCAGAGAATCCTGCAACCCACCGATTCATCCGCTTTCGTCAAACCTCCTCCAGCTATCACGAAGGGCCGGTCGACACGATCATCCTCCTCACCCACGAACTATAAGATGGACTACCTCCGCAAGAACCTGCTCGGCGCATCCAAGCGCGAGACCACCCCCGCTGTCGCTCGGGAGGGCTCCCCGATCTCGGACATCGACGATACCGCGCTCGGCACGGACATTGCCATCGACGCGGCCATTCAGGCAGTGCTGAATGCTCGAAACTCTGCCGGTGCCGCTACTACTTCGACTCAATCTGCTCCAGCGAATGCGGTCGGTGACAGGGACGCGACAATGGAGGACACTACCCAGGCGCAGACGGGACCGGTGGAGACGCAGCAGCAGGGAAACGAGGAGGAGGTTGACGAGCTGATGGATGACGACGACGTTCCGCTGGCGAAGCGGCGAGAGCGAGAGCAGGGACCGCCCACGCCCGATGTTGAGGCTGCACCCAAGGACGAGGATCGGGCTGCCACAAGTGCTGGCAATGGCGGCGACGCTTCAGCCACCATTGCTGTTCCCAGCAATGCCGCCAACAACACCGTCACCGACTTGGTTCTGCGCAACAAGAACATTCAGCCCGTCTCTGTACCTGCCCCACTTCCTCTTCCCGTGGTGCAGAGCGATCAGCATCGAGCCAAAATTGGTCAGCAGCTCGAACAGCAGGCAAACGGCACCACTTCCACCACCAACGATGTCGCCACCAGCAGTCTCGCCGTCAACAACAACGAATCCGCTCCAAAGGATGAGCTCGCCGGCACCAATGTCAACCCTGACAACGGAGCCTCCGCCACCACTCTCGCTGCGACCTACGTCGACAATGGTGCTGCCGATGTCAACCTCCCTTTGGGTCGCCCCATCACCACCGGCGCTAATGACGATGATGACGACGATATGCGGATTGTCAGCACCAACATCGTCCCACGTCTTCCGCTGCCCCCTGCGGAGCCTCCGGCCATCACGATCATCCTGAGAGACGCGAACAACTACCAGGTGCGCTTCAAGTGCAAGCCTGACAGTAAGTCCTCTTTTCCCCCTCCATTCCCCCTACACTCTCAAGTCTCTCCATTCGTCCAACTGACCCTTTGCCTTTCCGTACGATGTTCACAGCGAAGTTGATCAAGCTCTTCGAAGCCTATGCCGCACGCTTCCAGTGTAATCTCGACCACATCCGTTTCATCTCGCAGAACGGCATTCAGCTGCCTAAGCGCGTGTTCGACCTCACCATCGCCGGCGCCGGTCTGCAAGACGAGGATGAGATCGATGTCATGCTGGAGCAGCTCGGAGGTGCGCGCTGGTATAAGTAGGGTCGAACGGGGGACGCAGCACGCATGGAGCCAGCGCGAGAGAGGACGAGTCGAAGCAGCTCTTCAGTCAAGGTCGGGATTCAAGTCAAGTCGAAGCAGTCGAAGAAGTATACAATGTCAAGCCTTCACAGTTCTGCAATGGTTTACGAGTGAGATATGTGATCGGGAGACTAGAACTGGGCCAAGATGACCATCTTCCAATCGGAAGCGGGCTTATCGACGAGGGATCGAGCGCTGCCAGGTACTGCAAGGCGGATGAGCTGGACAGCTTGGCCAGAGTCGGAGGTACGCCAGCTCGACTCATCGTCGTGCTCCCGGTGCCACTTCTTTTGATGGGCTGAGCGGGTTCCGTTGCGAAAGCACGGTGCGGGTGCGAGACGATCAGCTGTGTATAGGGAAAGTGTGTCAGTGAACGAGCTCTGCCTGTCGAAGAAGAAATCTTACTCACCATGACCAGTAGCGTTCGTTTGCGCAAGACCCCGCACGGACGGCACCGGTGTTCCTCCCACCACGCTACCGAGAACAACCAAGAGGATGGCAACCAACCACCTCACCGCCATAGGCTTCCCCCAAACGCCCGAGTTCGCACCCCGCCCCATACCGACGGGCACGGGCGGCTTGGAGTCGTAATACGGCATATGGAGCGCTGACAGTAGGGTGTTTGCGACGGGCTTTGGTTCACCCGCTCACAAAAGAGCAAGGGTTATATATGCACGTCGTTGCAGCTTCACATCTTGGCAGACCGAGCAAAGGCCGCGAGGCCGACCGACGAACACCGACGAACAATGACAGCCAGCCACTCAACGACAGCAGATCGGGATGAAGACCGAAATGACGGGGTGCGAGGACGATGAACGGCGTGCCGCTCTTGTGGCGCCTGTTGCCAGGACAGCGGTAGTACTGCCGACACGTCCCTCTCTCATCTCTCCGATGCCACGGTGGGCGGAGGCAAACCTTCCCACGCCCACACACAACGGCCTTGCGGCTGATTGGGACACCCACGATTCTCATCCGAAGTCGTTTCCCGGCCAAAGGCTGATCAAAGGTGGTCACATCATGAAAGGTTGCGATCGTGGCGGCGGTGACGCGTGTGGGTCGCGATCGAGATGAGATCTTAGTCAGATGGCTAAGTTGATCGGATTGCAGTAATGATACAGTGATGGGTGTTCGGTGTGCTGAAATGTTCGTTTCGAGCGCTGCCTTTGCACTTTTGGGAGGCGTTCATGCCCATCCAATGCTGCTGAATATGCTGCCGGTGTCGGGGAAGGGGTATCTGTCGGCGTGCACGCAGCAGCAAAGGTGGCCTGTCGCTTGCTCAAGCAGTATTTCTGAGCACCAGCACAACCGAATCTCCCCTCAGGAACATCTTGGAGATGAACCGGTCCTTGTTGATCGGCTTCTTGCCCTTGCCCTTGGGCACCTCGGTCCACATCTCCTTGACATTTTCGAGAACCATATTCGAGTGACGGTCGAACGCCTTGACGCGGGCGAGGAGCTTCTTGTTGTTGCGCAGTGCGATGAGGATTTGCGTGTGATTACGGACGGACTGCTGAAGTACCGAGAGCGGGCCCTGGGAGATCTCGTATTGCTCCAGCTCGCGGATTTGCGATTGGTCCAGCTCGGATTTGGGGACGTTGACGTATTGACTGTGGGAAGAAGGGGATTCGGCGTGGGTCAGCGTTAGTGTCTCTGCGCTCAGGTCCATGGTGGACGCTACAGCGACCTAGTAGCGGGTCGGCTTACCTCATGATGATGTCCGTGGGCCAGAAGACGAGATGCGAGCAAGTCAATATGGTGGAAGACAGCAAAGAGGATGTCGAAGAAGTCGCGGTATCTGACGCTCAAGCCAAATTCGGTTCCGATTCTTCGCAGCGCACAGAGCTGAAGGCGTGGAGGGTCTTGTGCCGAATTGAATGACACTCATCAAGCGTGTCTATAAGTCCGGATTTTTTGCAATCAATTTCGAGAAGCAGATCGAGTCATGGAACCCTTTTTCTTCACAAAAAGTTGGTTTTGGTGGAAGCTTTTGGCCGCTTGGACGTCGGAATGGCAAGATCAAGACAGCTCGCTCATACCTTCCTCCTCCACTACTACCATCATCTCACCTCGAACATAGGACAAGGCACTGACTGTCACGAACTCAGTCATGGTTGCTCCTACGCTCAAGCTCGATCCTCAGGCAAGGGTCGCGCCCCTCGCACCCATTGCTCTCGCCAAGCTCGTCGCTGCTGCTGATCCCGCTCAGGCGCCTACCCTCGTCTTTGAGGACGGTGTTGCACCCACACTTGAGCTCCCCAACGCCGCTCCCGTTGAAGGCTACCTTCATATCATCCGCGAGCTCGCCTCGCACTACGCCAGCCTCGGTCTCTCCGGTGCCGACAAGGACCAGAGCGCACAGGTCAACCTCTACGTCAGCCAGGGTGACAACCTCCTCCTCGCCGACTTCCAGACCGCCACCGCCACCGCCGACAGTCTCGACCAGCACCTTGCTCTTCGCACCTTTCTCGTCGGTCATGCTATCACTGCTGCCGATGTGGCCATCTGGGCTGCTGTGCGTGCCAACTCGCCCGTCATCGGTCTGGTGAGGAAGGGTCTCCACAAGCACCTCCAGCGCTGGTTCAACCACATCGACTCGCTCCCTCCCGTTTCTGACGCCGTCGTCCAGCTCGCCGACGCCAAAGCCGAAAAGTTCAAGAACAAGAAGACCGCCGCCGGCTTCGACCTCTTCCTCAAAGACGCTCAGCAGGGTCAGGTCGTCACCCGTTTCCCACCCGAGCCTTCCGGATACCTCCACGTCGGCCATGCCAAAGCTGCCATCCTCAACCAATATTTCGCTCGCCAGTACAACGGCAAGCTCATCATCCGTTTCGACGACACCAATCCGAGCAAGGAGAAGGAGGAATTTGAGCAGTCGATCATCGAGGACCTCGCGTTGCTCGGCATCAAAGGCGACGTTACCAGCCATACCTCGGACTACTTTGACAAGCTCTACCAGCTTGCGATCCAGATGATCCAGCTCGGCAAGGCGTACGCGGACGACACGGTGCAGGAACAGATGCGTGCCGAGCGCATGGACGGCATCCCATCGAAGCGACGTGAAGCCTCGATCGAGGAGAACATGACGCGGTTCGCCGAGATGTCCACCGGCTCGGCCGAGGGGCGCAAGTGGTGTTTGCGCGCAAAGATCTCGTACGAGGACCCGAACAAGGCGATGCGCGATCCGGTCATCTACCGCTGCAACCCGGATGTGACGCATCATCGCACGGGAAACACATGGAAGGTGTACCCCACCTACGACTTTGCCTGCCCCATCGTCGACTCCATCGAGGGGGTGACGCATGCGCTGCGTACCAACGAATACCGCGATCGCAACCCGCAGTACTACTGGATGCTCGACGCGCTCCAACTGCGCAAGGTCGACATTTGGGATTTCGGTCGATTGAACTTCGTGTATACGCTGCTGAGCAAGCGCAAGCTGCAGTGGTTTGTCGATAATGGAGTGGTGGGTGGATGGGACGATCCGAGGTTCCCGACGGTAAGGGGGATCAGGAGGAGGGGAATGACGATCGAAACGATCCAGGAGTTCATCTTGGCCCAAGGCCCTTCGCAGCAGATCATCAACATGGAGTGGGATAACATTTGGACGATCAACAAGCGCATCATTGATCCTGTTGTTCCGCGATACACTGCCTTGGACAAGGAGGGCCTTGTCAAGGTGACTGTCAAGGGTGCTTCTCCGCGTCATACGAAGGAGGTTGCGCGACACAAGAAGAATGCGGAGCTGGGAACGAAGGTGACAGTCTTCGACGATGTGGTTTATGTGGAGCAGGCGGACGCGCGTTCGTTCGCCGCTGGCGAAGAAGTGACGTTCATGGACTGGGGCAACGTGATCATCGATTCGAAGGAGCAGGATGCCGCAGGCAACGTCTCCGCCATCTCGGCCACCGCCCACCTCGACGGCGATTTCAAGAAGACCAAGAAGAAAGTCACCTGGCTCGCCGCCTCATCCTCCAACGACCTGGTAGAGATCGACCTGCTCGACTTCGATTACCTCATCACCAAGAAGAAGCTCGAGGAGGACGACAACTTTGCCGACTTTGTCACGCCCAATTCCGAGTTCAGGGCTGTTGCGCTCGCCGACAACAACGTTGTCAGCCTCAAACAGGGTGCTGCGATCCAGTTTGAGCGCAAGGGGTACTACATTTTGGATGCGGTCAAGGGTAAAGAGGGGAGGATGGAGTTCATCAAGATTCCGGATGGGAAACAGGCTAGTTCGGCGAGCAAGGTTGCTCCCGATGAGGCGGTCGAGGCAAAGAAGGCGGCAGCACAGAAGGCTCGCGCCGAGAAGGCGGCGGCTAAGGCGAAGAAGGAGGCTGAGAAGCAGGAACGCAAGGCAAAGAAGGCGATGGAGCACGGCGATGGTGTTGGGTTTGTCGCGGGCAAAGTCGGGGCAGGTGTCGCAGCCGCTACCGCCGGTCTGGCCGGCGCAATCGCCGCGCGCAAGGAGGACCAGGCCCAAGCGTCGAACCCCGAGACGTCCAAGGCAAGCTCCCACTTTCCCGAAATCATCGACACCGGCAAAGGAAAGATCAACATGTACGACGCTCCGGTCATCACCACCAACATCCCCACGCCCGTCGAGACAAAGATGTACTCCATGAACAAGATTCTTTAGTTAGTTGTCAATGGCAAAGCTGTCGAGATCGTATCCAACGTCGTGATGTGTTGTGTGAAGTAGCTCGATTGCAACTCTATCGAATCAGTGTCGTGCGATGGTCCGTCGTGTCCCGCTGTGCGGTGTGGGCTCAGAAAATGTTCATATCCTCCAACCCCTCCTCGTCCTCCTGCTGAACGACGAGTCGATCCTCCTCATCCACATCCACCGCCTCTGTCGTCCTCCGCTGGCGCAGGATGCGATCCGCATACTCGACGCGCTTCTGCTGCAGCTCCACCCCACCCTCACTATGCATCCCCGTCAGATCCGTCGCCTCACCTTTGGCCCTCTTCTCCTCCAACACTTCCTCCATTCGCTGGCGCCTCTCCTCCTCAAGCCGTGTCCACTTGCGGATCACCCGTTCGCGCTCCTCGATCGCCCGCTTGCGTCGCTGCTCCACCGCCGGCGACATGGTCACCACAAACAACACTGCCGGCAAGATCCAGCTTGACACCAACACTTTTTCTGCCAACGTCGGGCGACGACGGTGCGAGGAGGCGAGACCGAGCTCGGCATCCTCCCCATCAAGCCCGAGGTGCGCTAGCTGATCGAGGCACCAGTCGGTGCTCCACGCCCGTGCTGTTTGCCTCACGGGCGCTTGGGGTGGCGGTAGAGGTGCGAATGGGTTTTCTTCCGTCTGACGCTCCACGACCTCCTCCTGCGCAGGTGCGACGGGCACATTCGCGCCCATCGGCGCAGCAGGCGCAGCCGGTGGCACAACAGGCCGAACCAACCGCTGTCGAATCCGCATCCGCCTCTGTACAATCCGGTAGCTTTCGAAGACCACATAAACAGTGGCCATCCCCAACACAAAGTATCGCTTGACCGTATCGGCCCCTCGCAGCACCATCGAGAGGAGGATGCCCACTTTGAAGCCCACGAAGAAGAGCGGGATGACGATCGCGGTGAGGTCTGTCCAGGTGATGGCGCGGATTGCGGCGGTGGTGGATCGGAGTAGGCGGGCAAGAGGGGTGGTTTCAAGGGCCGGTGCGGGTGCAGCGCCCGGGGCAGTGGCGGTGGGTCCAGAGGATGCGGTTGCCGCGGTGGACGGCTGCGCCTGGATGAGACGGCCGAGCATGATGATGTTGTCCAGCTTGTCGGTCATGGCGCGGAGAGTGGTGATGCGGTGGAGGAGGGTGTGGAGCGCCTCGCTGCGCTGGGCGGCTAGTGACGTTGTAGCGACGCGCAAAAGGTACGGCAGGCCACGATGGGAGACCTGCTGATACAGATACTCCGTCTCTGGAGCATCGCTCGCAGAAGCGGCTGACGCGGCTTCATCCTCACTGGGCACGCGGACCGGATCCCAGCCGAGTAAAGTCGTCTCGACACTGGTGAGAAGGTCGCTCTGTGTCGCGGGTTGCGCGGACGTCGAAGTTGGTGTGGCTTGCTGCGCTACCTGCGACTCGTCGTAGATGCGCTCGTAGAGGAGCACGTACTCGTCGCAGGCTGTACTGAGCGCCTCGACGAGCAAAGGCCAATTTTCGGGTGCAGTGACCCGGAGTGTCTCTTCCAGTACGGCATACGCATCAGCACCAACCTGGGCGGTCGACAGGTCGATCATTTCCTCGTTGCTACTGGATCCAAGCACGTCCACGTCGGTGGCTGGGATGCTAGATGTGGACTGCGTTGGCAGAAGGTTGGGCTCAGTGAAGTAGGGCTCGAATGATGGGGTCCAGTGAGGAGGATGCTCGGTCGACGCGGCTGAAAGTTGAGGCGGCACGTCATCGTCAACGTCGGCGTGTGGGCCAGCTTGATGTGTCAACGTGGAGCGTAGCAGGCTTTGCTGGTGTTGATGCTGCAATTGCTGCTGTTGTCGTTTGAAAGAGCCCCGCCTTGATGGTGTGGGACGGTTCTGTGGGTCTGACCACGCGTCGGGGCGAATGACAAGATGAAGCGACAGCGGCTCAGCCTCCTCGAGCTAAGGAAAGATACCAATGAATCAAAGAATCAAGCGTCAGTGACTGGACACGCACAGACCTTTACTGGATTGGAAACTCTGCATGGGGTTCGTACTCACCTTCTCTGCGAGATGGCCCAAGACCTCGGTGTCGCTGAGTATGCGACCGGACCGAATGCAGCGCATGCCGCTTGCACGCGGAGCACCGGCCCATGTCGCTTCGATGATCTGCTTGAGCGACAAAACGGTATCGGTTGCCTTGAACTTGACGACGGCCGAATCTTTGTCAAGCGAAGGGCACTTGATTGCCACGAACATATCGTCTGCGCTCGATAGAGTGTGGGAACTCGCGCTGTTCGGGGCACCTTCCGCATCGGGCAAGGAGCGTTGACGAGTCTCCGATGCTGGAGATCGACTGCCTGTTATGGGCGCTGGCAGTTCGTCGTGATGGGACCGCACAAATGGGTTGGAGGAAGCCGCCGTTGATGTGGGTGGAGAGGCAGGGTTGGGAGCGTGCGAACTCGAAGGTGATGGCATGCTGCCGGAGGGTTGGGAAGGGCCGAGTCGCGGATGATGCTGGCCCTGGTGATGCTGGTGGCGGAAGTGTTGGGAGGGATCGGATGATGGATCCATGATGTCAGGTACGCAGGCCCTGATAGCCTGTCCTTGCGATGTCTGATATCTCCTAATGACACATCGAGTAAGGGCGAAGCAACACAGAGTCGGAACGCTCTACTGAAGCGTGGTGTGGGCAGATCGAGTAGTGAGCAAATAGCGAGCACGTTTGTCAGCAGCTTCGGTCTGCTGATTGTGATCGATTGTCGACGAAGATGCTGAGCTGGTTGATGAGAAGAAGGCGACTACGGCCGTGAGGTGGGAGCAAGAGCAACGGTCGGTGCTTCCGGAGCACTTCTGACGTGGAGGCAGCGCTCTCTTAAGTCACACAGTGGCTGCGCTGTGGGGGAAATTTCACGCGGCAAGGCCGACACAGGTCGCTTGGCTGACTTTTCAGAGCCGGCAAGCTGGACCCCTCTTTAGCAATTCACGCTGCAGCTTGCATCACCGATTCGCTTTGTAGCAAGGGTCTCACAGCTCACGGACCCTCTTGTCGATTGATCTAGCTTGCCTCTCGACCACCAAGCATCGCCCTCATCAGGGCCGAGGCAACCATAAGCATGTCCACCTCATCCTACGGAGACCTCAATCCGTACGAAGAGGCTCGCCTCTACACCAACAACCATGATCGCGAGCGCTACGAGAACATGGCGACGCTCTTCAGTCTTATCGTCGCCCTCGACTATCTCGAGCGTGCCTACGTTCGCGAGTCAATTTCCGAGAAGGAGTACGCACCGGCATGCACACGTCTCCTAGCGCAGTACAAAACGATGCTCAAGCTCATTGTTGACCAAGAGCGCAACTCTTCCAAGCCCATCAACGATCTCGCCGACTTCATGCGCACGTACAAGATGAACTACCTCGCAGCAGTGCACCGCCTCAATGTCGGCGTGCCAGCAACCGTCGAACACGCTTCGTCATCTTCATCACAGACCTCGTCCGAGAGGGCCAAATGGGTGGCTGAGACGACGCAGAACTTCATCACCTTCATGGACGCTCTCAAGCTCAAGCTGCGCGCGAAAGACCAGCTCCATCCGATGCTCAGCGACCTCATGCGTGGGTACAGCCGCAGCGATGAGGCAGGCAAGGATCAGGATGGCAACGATACCCGCGCAAAATTGCTTAAATGGCTCATCACCTTGAACCAGATGAAGGCTAGCGATGAGATCGACGAAGATCAGGCAAGACAGATGCTCTTCGACGTGGAAGGGGCATACAACAGCTTCTTCCGTGCTTTGCAAGATTAGTCGCTGGTGGCTACTCGCAAACGGGAGATCGCGGTGAAGATGCTATTGCAGACGAGACATAGTAGTACAAATGGGTGTGGGTCAATCAGAAAACGTGATGCGCGCCGGTTGAGGCGCATGCAATGCATTGCAAGATATGCGGTAGGCTCAGTCCTCGCGGACGACACCCGGGAGGAAGAAGGTCATGACACCGCTGCTTTTGTCCACATCACCTATGTAGACGTAGAAGATGGCGCAGTGGTTGGCGCAGATGCAAGCGATGGTGGTGGTAGCAACAATGTAGCTCGACAAGAACTTGAGCAACGACTTCATCTCGAGATTGACGCTCTTGTGTTCCGACGGATCGCTCTGCTGATTCTGGGCTGTGCTTGACTGAGATGCGTCGATGGTTGGATGAGCGAGGCCTGACCAAGTGGTGTCCAAGCTTACTTCATCCTCGACGACAGAAAGCCGCAGCTCGCCTTGTCGGTTAGCCGATATTGTGACCACGTCCGAGAGCGAACGCATGTGATCCGCGACAGTCCGCAGGTTGAGCAGCTTGGGCAAGATGATGTGCACGTCTGGCTCGGGACAGAGCGGCTCGACAATGCGGCTCATCTCGGCTGGTTTGAGCACCTTGATCAGCACATCTTGCACCACCTCCAACTTGGCTCCCGTGTGACTCTGTGCGGAGATCGAGAAGCTCAGCAGAGGATCCTTGTTCCTTTTCGCCAAGCGAAGTATGACGCTGTATGCGTTGTTCGCCGACTTGAGCGCCTTGAGCAGCGTATCTGGCGACACCTCGAGGTTGATGTGGTTCTGAAAATTGGACTCAATCCGGTAGTCCTGGAAGATCGAGTCCACCTGCATCTGCGACCAGATCTGCGTGCCGTCTGTGTCGCCCAAGCAGATGATGTGGATCTTGTCCGGTGTGAGCTTGAGGATGCACTTGTTGGCCACCTTGCCAATGGACTGCACTACTCGTGTGAAGATCGAGACGTCGGCGACCTGCGTTCGGAATCGCATCTTGGCGAAGGCGAGGCCGGGATGACCGTCCAAAGAAGCGGAGAGCTTAGCTAGACAGTGAGGCTACCATTCGTCATCGAAGCCTGCGCATTCCATCAGGCGAGGCGAGCATGCGGCTTCGCTGAGCGTCGTTGAAGGTCGAGAGCAAAGCGAGGCGGCGGGACTCAAAGTCTCATCGAGAGAAAGCGGAAGTGTTGGACTCGCAGCCGCTGCTGCGCGTAAGGCGCGTGCCTTTCGACTGAGCCTTTAGTGTTAAGTGCCATTGAATTTCCTGAATGTGTTACGCCTCAGCAGATGACACTTTTGCAATTTTGCGGCGGTGGAGGTTTTCATCGATCACAGAGCCGCGATGAAGCACTGAGACAGGAGAGGCAGCCAGTTTGTGTGTTGCGCTCGACCCTTCTCAGTCGCGTCGTCAGCCAGCGGAGAGTCGAGCAAGCTTCGCATTCCGAAAGACACACTTCGCGACCTTCTTCTCATCATCATCCGCACCCCATCTCATCATCCTCACTGCATCTTTCACTTTTCTTTCGGCATCGTCTCCGCATACGCACCGCTGGAATCATCCCTGTTCACAGCGCCGCGATCGATCACAGGACGTCCAGAGCACAGCTCGACCGCGCATTCTCGTTACACACTGGTAGCACCGCGCCGCTCTCACAGCCATGGTCGCACCGGTCACATCTGCAGCGGGCATCGTCGCTCTTCTCGACGAGCAAGAGTCCGAGCTTCAGTCGTACGCGCTCAAGCGTCTCGACTCTCTAGTCCACCAATTCTGGGCAGAGATTGCAGATGCCATCTCCAAAATCGAGATCCTCTACGAAGATGAGCGCTTCCCCGACCGTCAGCTCGCCGCCCTCGTCGCCTCCAAAATTTACTTCCATCTCGGAGAGCACGACGAGGCGCTTATGTTTGCTCTCGGCGCCGGTCCTCTGTTTGATGTAGAGATCAAGGACGAGTACGTAGACACTGTCGTCTCCAAGGCCATTGACCGATACATTCAGGACACGGCCCCAATCACTGCCGCTACCATCACGCCAGAAGCTGATGCCCCTGCTGTCGGAAATGGAAAAGCCGCTGCCGGAAAGCCTGCCGTGATCGACCCGCGGTTGAAAAACATCGTCGACCAGATGTTCGCTCGCTGCATCGCAGACAAGGAGTTCAAGCAAGCACTCGGTATTGCCCTTGAAACGCAACGTTTGGACGTCATCGAGGAGGTCTACTCAGTCACTCAAGATGCGGACCTTCTGACGTATGTTCTGGAGAGCAGTATCGGTGTTGTGCCTTCCATCGAGGTCCGAAACCAGATCCTTCACCTCCTCGTCAAGCTCTTCCAGAGACTGCCCAGCCCAGATCACTTTAGCATCGGCCAGTGCTACGTCTACCTCAACTCGCCCAACCTCGCCTCGGAGCTTCTGTTCGACCTCATCCAAAAGGCGCATCAGCCTTCCAGCTCCTCGCAGGCCAACACACCTCACGACCCTCTTCTCGTCACATATCAGCTTGCATTCGACTTGGCAGAGAGTGCCACTCAGGAGTTCCTCGAGAACGTACGAAGGGATCTGTCGTCCAAATCTTCCACCCACGCTCCCGCCGTCAAGACCGAGACCGCCGACGCCGATGCCGACATGAACGGCGCGAGCGAGTCGGAAGCGTCGACGGTGCAGTCGTGCATCGAGCGCGTACGTTCCATCCTCCAGGGCGAGGAGAGCATTCAGCTCTACCTCGAGTTCCTCAAGCGCTCCAACAAGGCCGACCTGCCCATCCTCAAAGCCACCAAGGAGGCGCTCGACGCTCGAAGCTCCATCTACCACTCGGCACTCAGCTTTGCCAACGCCTTCATGAACGCCGGTACCACCTCGGACAAGTTCCTGCGTGAAAACCTCGAGTGGCTCGCAAAGGCGTCCAACTGGTCCAAGTTCACCGCCACTGCGGCGCTCGGTATCCTCAACAAGGGAAACCTCAGGGAAGGCATTAGCATCCTCCGACCCTACCTGCCGCAGGACGGTGTTACGAGCAGCGTCTACTCGGAGGGGGGCAGTCTGTTCGCTCTCGGTCTCATCCACGCTAACCACGGCGCCGAGGTCATGGAGCTGCTGACCAACACGCTCAAGAGCAATCCCGCCGAGATCGTTCAGCACGGTGCTGCTCTCGGTCTCGGTGCCGCTGGCATGGCCACCGGTAACGAGGAGACCTACGAGGAGCTGCGCAACGTGCTCTATACCGACTCTGCCGTGGCTGGTGAGGCGAGCGGCTACGCGATGGGTCTCGTCATGCTCGGCACCGGATCCGAGCGCGCGGTCGAAGAGATGCTCCAGTACGCACACGAGACGCAGCACGAAAAGATCATTCGCGGTCTGGCCATCGGCATCTCGCTCCTCTTCTACGGCAAGGAAGAGAAAGCCGAGACGATGATCGACACGCTGCTCGCCGATAAGGACGCCATTCTGCGCTACGGAGGTGTGTACACCATCGCGCTCGCCTACGCGGGCACTGCGAACAACAAGGCGATCCGCCGGATCTTGCACATTGCCGTCTCGGACGTTAGTGACGATGTTCGTCGTGCGGCGGTGACGTCGTTGGGCTTCCTGCTGTTCCGCAACCCGACTCAGGTGCCTCGGATCGTGCAGTTGCTTTCTGAGTCGTACAACCCGCACGTGCGATACGGGTCCACGTTGGCTCTGGGCATCGCCTGCGCCGGCACTGGACTCGATGAAGCCGTCGACCTGCTCGAACCCATGACCAAGGATCCCGTCGACTTTGTCCGTCAAGGAGCCTGCATCGCACTCGCTATGATCTTCATCCAGCAGAACGAAGCTCTCAACCCACGTGTCACCAACGCGCGCAAGACGTTCGACAAGATCATCGCCGACAAGCACGAGGACGCGATGGCCAAATTCGGCGCCGCGCTCGCCCAGGGTCTCGTCGATGCTGGTGGACGAAATGTCACCATCTCGCTGCAGAGTCGGGGGGGCAGTGCGAACATGCCCGCGATCGTGGGGATGGCACTGTTTACGCAGTTCTGGTACTGGTTCCCGCTGGCGCACTTTTCGGCGCTCGCATTTACGCCGACTGCGCTGATCGGGTTGAACCGCGAGTTGAGGATTCCGGAGTTCGAGTTTGTCAGTGAAGCAAAGCCGTCTCTGTTTGCGTATCCGACATCGTTCAAGGTGGCGACGGAGAAGAAGGTGGAGCGGGTCGAGACGGCGGTGTTGTCGACGACGGCGAAATCGCAGGCGCGACAGAGGAACAAGGAGCGCGAACGCGCCCAAGCTGAGGGCGAGTCGATGGATGTTGACGACGCCCCCGTGAAGAAGGACGATGGCGATGTGGCCATGGACGAGGATACGGGGAAGAAGAAGGGCAAGAAGGAGAGGAAGCAGGAGCCCAAGTCCGAGTTGTTGCCCAATTACTCGAGGGTGACACCGGCCCAGGTGAAGTTTGTCAACTTCCCAGCGGAGTCGCGCTTTGTGCCCATCCGTCCTGTGCAGGGCTTGGGCAGCAAGGTGCGTCAGGACGTGTACAATACGTCGAGCGTGGCGGGTAAGATGTTGGGTAACGCCTCGCCTGCTCCGGGGGCTAGTGGGACTGTTACCCCTTCTCCGAACACCGCTGTTGGTGGTGCAAAGTCGTTGCACCAGCAAGCGCTGGCCAACGCCACCGCCGAGACTGCGCCGACTTCGGCGGGTCCGACCGCCGAACAGGCACGCAGCATCCTCACCTCGTCCATCGGCGGCACAGGTGGGATTCTGCTCATGATCGACCGAAAACCTCACGACGCCTTCCGACCGCTCAAAATCGGGGATTCGTCCGACGACGCTCCCGCCAACAACAACACCGACGCCGCAGCTGCAGCTGATGATGACGAGATCAGCCCCGAGGACGCCGCTGCGATCGCTGCCGCTATGGCCGCCGACGACGACGGGGATGATAAGGTCAACAGTGTCGCCGACGAGAGGAGGAGGCGCGATGGCGAGGGCGAGGGAGGGAATGGTGGCGCTGGGATTGGCGGTGGGCTGCCGGAGGCTAGATAGGCGGAAGAAGAAGAAATCAAAGTTTGCTTGTGTTCTCAAGTTCGATGCGTGCAAGCGAGTGAGGGAGGGTGATTGACAGGTCGATGGCACACATGAGACACGGTAAAGGTATTGACATTGATTCATGAGCGAGAGTGCCCGATCAACCAGCAATACCCACAGACCCCTGCTCGAGCTCGCCCTCGGCCTCCAAGCGTCCAATTTCCCTCTTGAGCGGGTCGAATTCGCCCATCGTGCGACAGACCAGACTTGCGTCTTCCAAAAAGGCATTCACGCTCAGCCTCAGCTGCCTCACCGTGGTCGCAAAGATCTTGACGCCAAGCTCGATGGTGGTCGAGGCCGAGTTGGGGGAGAGGATGGTGAACTCCTTGCGCACCTCTTTCGGCTTGAGCTCCTTGTCGACGCTGATGGCCTGCTGGAGGGTCAGGGCGGACTCGCGATCGGGGAAGGGGAGGATGAGGGAGACGCTGTGTCGCATGTCGTCCGAGGGCTTGCGCGACGACGTGCCGATGGTCTGGAAGACAAGGCCGCGGTTCTCGATGCTCGAAGATCGGACGTGTGAGCCATTGGTGGCGGAGGCGTTGGCTGTGGCGGCCGATTTACCGCCAGTCATGCTGCTCGAGTAGAGACCGGCGCTGCCGTTGGCTGCAGTGCCCGCGTCAGTTGGTCCCGTGCCATCCTCCTTCTCCTTCTTCATCAGACGGATGAGGTCGAGCAGGTCGTCGACGGCCCGCTTCTCGATCTGGTAGTGGACAACCATTCGACCGCCTCCAAGCTTGATGGGCTCGGGAAGCGAAGCTGCGCGGGAAACCAGCTCTGAGATGGGAATACCGATGGACAATGTGTCGAGGAAGACCATGCTCGTCTCGACAGGCGCAGTCAGGCGCACGCCAAGCTTCTCGAGCTCCTGACCAGCGTAGCAAGCTAGCTGGTGAGTAACTTGAAGCTTGGGGTAGTTCTCGACGACACCGACGCGTGCAGCGGCCACAAGAGATCCGACCTGACGGGTACCAGCACCGTAGAGCTTGCGGAAGTGGCGGACCTTCTTGATGAACTGCGAAGGTCCAACGAGGATACTGCCGATGGGAGCACCGAGACCCTTGCTGAGACAGAGCGAAACCGTGTCGAAGGGGTCACAGAGCTCCTTGAGCGACAGGCCAGTCTCGGCAGCCACATTCCAGATACGAGCCCCGTCCAGGTGCATGATAAGGCCCAGCTTGCGTGCTTCGGTGGAGATCTTGATGATCTCATCCTGAGGGAAGATGGTGCCGTTGAGCGTGTTCTCGAGCGAGATGATGCGGGTTGGCGAGAAGTGGACGTCGTCGCTCAGGTTGAGGTTGGGCTGGATATCTTCGTCCCATCGCAGGTGATGGCCATTGGAAGGAGCGACGATCTCGGTGGAGGCACCGCAGTGGAAGGCGATACCGCCGGCTTCGTAGCGGTGAATGTGGGAGCGTGTGTCACAGAGGACGGTGTGAGGTGGCTGATGCAGGTGAGTTCGCAGTGCCAGCTGGTTGGATAGAGTGCCAGAAGGAACATAGATGGCGGACTCCTTGCCGGTGAGAGCAGCGATCTCGGCCTGGAAGGAGTTGGTGGTCTCGTCTTCTCCGTACACGTCGTCGCCACGAGAAGCATCTGCCATGGCTTGGATCATGGACTCGGTGGGCGCAGTGATGGTGTCGGAACGGAAGTCTCTGGCGAGCAGTTGCATCCTCCTGACATTGTCGATCTTGCCCTTGAGAGGGTCAGCTGAAAGAAGAGGCGCTGTCTTGTTGTGGTCGCGCGACGAGGACGCATGAGTCTGAGCTTGAGCTTGACCGTTGGCCTGTACGTTGACGGGCTTCTGCGTCTTAGCAGGCCCGTGAACCTTATCTACAGGCTCAGAGGGCTGCAGTGGGTAAGCCGAGGTGGTCATCTTGTCGGTGTTCCGAGCCTTTACCAGCGAGCTTGCGGCTGTGAAGGCGAAGGTTTGGGTTCGTGATGTCGCTCGTGAGGGTAGTGTGAGCAGCGCTGAGACGGTGGAGAGGCTAGTGAGCCGTTGCGAGGAGGAGACGAGATGGGCTGAACGAGCTGCAGCTGGGCGAATCGAGGATGCGAGGATGGGCGCACCGAGAAGCATGTGGGATGGAGCAAAGCGATTGCTCCGATTGCTGCGTATAAGTGCTCCAGCGTTTCTGCTGGATGAGCGATAAGGGGCGACCGTGAACGTGATGATATGAAGAAAGCTCTGCACTTAAGCGGCGGCACACTGCCCTGGAAACTTCTTCGGCAATGACGGGCAGCCTTGGATCTGTGCCGTCAGCCGTTCTTTTCGGCCAATTCTCCGGCTCAGCTCCTTTTTTTCCTGTAGATCGTGACCATGCACAGAACTGCTTCGGCTGACAGCTGGCCGAAGTGACACAAAATGAAGCGACGTTGTTGGCTGAGCAAGCGGTGCTTTGCCAGTAAGGGGCTACCGACAACGCTGGCTAAGATGGTTCGGCCTCGCCGACCTGATCCCTTCACTTGGCTCCCACGGTGGGCTTGTTGGACGGAATCAGCCACGGCGGGCTCTCCGATCACGTTAGCTACGCCCCTTTCCGTCGGAGCAAGCGTCAATCCATCTCATCGTTGCCTTGTGTGACCGCTCCTTATCACAAAGAATCGTCACAGCTCGGCAAGCAGCTGGCAGATGGCGTGGCATCCTTGTGATCTGCAAAGCTTCGGTGGAAGATGGCGGTCAGGGTCCAGCTGAAGCTCAACACTTCCGGATTTCGGGTGTGCACCGACCCAAAAAGTTAGGCTTCTCCTCACTCTGATCTTCTGAAACGCATCGACCTGCTTCAGCTCTGTCTACATCTCACGATCGCTTCAGCCAGCGGAGCGAGGCCTTCGCAACGGCAACGCCGATGACTCCGTTGAGATGCACCGCAGCTGTCGCGCTTTGTCGCCGATGTGTCTCGCAAGCTGCATCGAGCTCGAGAGCTTCGACCTCGACTTTTGCTAGGTCGACGTGGGCCTACGCCCGCGGTGGGCGCATTGCATTGGACTCGCCCGTGAGCTGCTCCGTACGTTCAATATCGGCATCTTCCGACCGTACCCCTCGGTCCTTCGCATACACAGACAAGAGGTCATTCAGCTCGTCCCCATCGACAGCTGCCAAGAAGAAGAGCAAGAATAAGTCAGCTTCATCCTCCTCAGCGGCAGCAAGCGACACCCTCGCTGGGCCATCACGGTACCCTGCGCTTCCGGAAGGTTGGCAAGCCGTCATCGGCGTCGAATGTCACGTTCAGATCAAGGACAAGCGCAAGCTGTTCAGCAATGCGCGACTGCCTACCCCGTCCACGCCGCCAAACACTCTCGTCACTGCCTTTGATGCTGCTCATCCCGGCACCTTTCCGACACTCAATCGCTCAGCATTGCGACTCGCCGCTCGAACAGCGATGGCTCTCAATTGCCACGTTCACCCCGAAAGTCGCTTTGATCGAAAGCACTACTTTTACTCGGATCTGCCCGCGGGCTACCAGATCACTCAAAAGTATGCTCCTCTGGCAAACAACGGCAAGGTCAAACTCGGCTTCGAGGACGGCTACCTTCCGAGTGCTGAGGATGAGGTGACTGTTGAAATCGAACAGCTACAGCTGGAGCAGGACACCGCCAAATCCAGCTACTTCGACACGGGCACCACTTCCCGATTTAATGAGGACGAACAATCGTCGCACGCCAGTCGCGACGACCAAGGTTCAGAAGGGACAACCAGAGCAACACTACACGAAGCGGACGATGAGCGAGTAGGACGCAGCTTTGTCGATCTCAACCGTGCCGGCGCAGGACTGATGGAGATCGTCAGCGGGCCGCAGATGCGTTCTCCCGAGCAAGCCGGCGCGTACGTGCGTAAACTCCAAGAGCTCGTTCGCCGTGTCGGTGCATCTGACGGCAACATGCAGGAAGGCTCGCTCCGTTGCGACGTCAACGTCTCTGTCAACCGCATCGGCGATCCCTTTGGCACTCGCTGTGAAGTCAAGAACCTCAACAGTGTGCGTTTCATGATGAATGCCATCTCTCACGAGTCGCAACGCCAAGTCAAGATAATCGAAGAAGGAGGGCGCATCGAGCAGGAAACAAGAGGGTACAACGAATCCGACGGCACCACCTTCCGACTGCGTGGCAAGGAGGATGCACCAGACTACAGATACATGCCCGACCCAAACCTGCCCCCTGTCTTGCTGTCAGAGCGACAGCTTCAGGCTCTTAGGGAGGGCATGCCGGAGCTACCCGATGCGAGGCGGGCACGACTGAGCGAGCAGTACGGCCTCGCCCCTCGAGACATCAATGTGCTCATGCGAGTCGGATCTGAAGACGAGAGGGACGGGAGAGCCGCGACAATCGTTTCCCAGCAGCCAGACGAACAACAGCAAGGCTCAGATGCAGTCGAGTATTTCGAAAGGGTAGCAAAGGGCCGCTCGGCACAGACAGCACTCAACTGGATCATTCATGAGCTCATGAAGAGCCTCAACGCTCGCAACCTCCCTTTCAGAGACTATCTTCTCCCAGCGGACCACTTCGGCGAGCTAATCGATCTTGTTGAAAGCGGTCGAGTCACGGGCACCACCGCCAAATCGGTCATTGCCGACATCCTCGCCTCTGCTGACACAGACAGAGCCATCTCGCTCGCATCCCTCCGCGAGCTCGCCAAGGCTTCCTCTTCGCCAATGTTCGACTTGCTCAAGCAGGAGGATCTGCTGGCACTTGCAAGCGAGGATGATCTTCTGCCTCTCATCCGATCAGCGTTGGACAGGCTGCCGGACGAAGTCGCACAGGTGCGCAAGGGCAACCTCAAGGTAGCGATGCGCATCGTGGGTCAGGTTATGAAGGACGCCAATGGTCGAGCCGATGCCAAACTTGTACATCAGACCATCCTCAAGGAGCTCGGGCAGACACCCTCGTCCTGACACGAGCACGCAATCGAAAGCAGTTGCACTCTAGAATCAGTCGATGCAATTGCGAAAGACCGTCTAAGCAGCGACGAAACAACCAGCCTACGCCTGATCACGCACATCCTTCTGCACGACCTTCCTCTGCTTGAACGTCCTGCTCTTCTCCATCCCTGACTTGTCATCCACCTCGCCTCCCACCGCCTCGGCCTTCCTCTTCCGCCTCTCCAGCTTGTCCTTCTGCACCCTAGCCCTCTCGACCTTCTTGAGATAGTCCTTCTGCTCATAAGCGCTTTGGCTGAGCTCGGTCCTCAGCCTCGCGGCGTGGCTTGCCCTCTCCTGGGCCATCTGCTCCGAAAGCATGTGCCACTTGAACCCTTTAAGATACTTCATGGTCCACACGTCGTCGGCGAATCTTTTGCTGCTCTTACCCATCTTACTGCTGCCACCACCGGATCCCGACTTTTTCGAGTTGGACGCGGCAAGTCCACCAATCGGTTGGGCGTTGAGCATCTCCGCTGCGGCCTTGGCCACTTTTTTCGACGTAAACTCCACCCAGCCTTCGCTATAGTGCGCCACGGAAGAGCGCTTCTTGCTCTCCCCGGGTTTGGTCGAATCTTGGTGAAGGTAGATCCGTCCGAGCTCACCAAAGTTCGAGAGAATGTGACGCACTTTGGCGGGTGTCATCCCGGGAGGGATGCGCGAGATGTACACGATCCCCAACTTGCGCTGCTTCTTCTGGAATGCTTCGAGTTCCGAGGTGGAAAGCGGCTTGATGATTCTAGCTTCTTCAGAGGCCGCCTGCATCGGGTCGTCCTGGTCGTGCTCGGCGGGGTCGATGTCAGAGCCGGAGGCGTCGTCGGCGACTTCGACGGGTGCCGGTGCCGTGGATTTTTTCTCCTTCTTCTCTTTCTTTTCCTTCTTGTCTTTCTTCTCTTTCTTCTCCTTCTTCTCGCTCTTCGAAGAGCTTTCGCCCTCATTCGCGGCCTCGACTGCCACGTCCTCGTCCCTCTTCTCCTCCGCCTTGCTGGGCGTCTTCACCTCCTCCACCTTTTGCACCTTTGTCGGGCTCTTGCCCTTCTGCGACGTCCCATTCTGCGAGTCGGCATGCTTCGGACCCCTGTACACGGTGCGCTCGTACTTCTCCGCCTCGCTCACGCAGCTATTGTGCGCCTTGAACTCGTTGGGCGAATTGAACTGCTTCGAGCAGTCCAGGCAGGTGACCGGTGCATAGCAGCGGTTGTAGTGTTGGATGAGTTTGGGTTTCTTGACCACGTCTCCGCAGCCGTCGCAGTTGAACGACACCATTGTTTCTGAGTATGAGGGTTGGGTCGGTGGGGGAAGGAGGGTGGAAAGGTGTAGCAGGGCCGGGTTTGAAGGGTCAAGAAGTTTGAACCCTGGCGAAAAGGAAAAATTTGAGCTCGGGGCGCGGATATCGGATTGCGGGTGCTGCCTTTTTTTCAATGTGTTAGGTCAAGTGAGCTCCCACTAGCTGTTCGATGCCTCGGGACCTCTCCCAGCATGTCTTGGCTGGCGGATATGGCCCACGCAAGAGCACCCAGGAAAGCGAACGCCTTTCATCTTTCTAGATCACGATGCTCACTCACTGTCATGTACGATTCTGCTCGAGCGTATGTCTTGGATTGAAGCAGCGAATTTTGCGACCCCGGTTTTCACTTGACATTTTGGTGATTTCTCGTCAACAAAACCAATTTGGCTCAAAGGAAGGTCTTGCTCGAGGTCTCGAGCTCGTTGCAAGGGTCACTCCGACAATTCCTCTGCACAGACATTCAACAGAAAGCAGCTTGGCAAGGACGAGGCGTTGATCGAGACGATTCGCGTAACCAGCCCGATACCGAAGAAGCACAATGCAAATCGCCCCGATGGTTCACAAAACCGCCAAGCTGTCAACGTGACGCGCGGTTTCGAAAAAGTTCAATCACATGGCGACCGCCCAACCAGTGTTGGTCTCGGCCAAGCTTCTTTCTTCATCGTTCCATCACCAGGAGTCGGCCGGGAGCATCCAGTCTGCAGCTCGGTGTTCAAGCTCGGCGCCCTCCTTCTACGAAACATTGAGAGCTGGAGAAGCAGTGAACATCGCCGAGAGCAGAGTGCAGAACGGCGTTCGCGGGTCAGCAGCTTGGATGTTGCAAGTCGCCGAGGCGGAGAACCGGCGCGATGAAGCTGACCGCAGGCATGACCGAGGATGTGTCTCGAGCTAGCAGGCCGCCTTCATCTTTCTCACGAAGGAAACGAAAGTCACTTCTCGACCGTTCGTTACGCCACGAAGGATCTCGATTCTGTCGTTGCAAACAATGGAGGTGCATAGATTGGGTCGACGACGAGGTCTGAAGGGAACAGATTTGGCCGCACAGAGTCACCCACCGCAGCCAGCTGCACGAGCGACGAACCAAAGACGGTCACCAGCTTGGCGAGGATTTGCTCGTCTCGCCAAAGCGTAAGCGATGCGCCCACACCTCTTCTTGATGTCGAAGCGAGCGCTGCAAGGCAACGGGTCGGGATGGTGCATGCTGTGAGCCGATCCTTACGCCCTGCAATGCGTGCACAGTGACCCCTTTTCGTAAAGTCACACTGCAGCGGACGGCATGGACCGGCTGCTGTTTCACCGATTCGAGGGATGTCTACCACACGAGACACCGATCCCGGAACCCCGGTCAGGTCTGTCAGGGAGGGAACAAAGCGAGTCGCAGCCTCAAATGACGCGCTCCAGCCGTCGAATGCGATCCGCGCGGCTGTCAGTTCTTTCAGGGAAGCGATGCACGAGCTTGAATCTTCTCGACGCATTCTCTCCAGACAGCAGTCGGAAACGATCCCACGCATCCCTCTTATGCTTTGGAATTGCCAAGCGAGGGCGAGGAGGCACTTGCTAGGTCGTCATAGGCTGAGACCATCACGGTTCTGTCACCTCAACCTTCCATTCGCAGAGACCAACACTGACACAGACGCGCTTCCCTGGTCGCGAGACAGGTGTTGCAGTTGGACGTGCAGCAGCCTGCATAATTTTCACCGAAACCAACAGAATTGCGGCACTTCATCAGTGTCAAGCATAAATTCACGCCGAGCGGACTTTGACGCTCCTCTCCGTCTCCTGTCTCGACCTCAGGATCCTCGCTGCACGTCAGTTTATTCACCTCGGACATGAGGTGAGGGCGTCATCTCGCTACGCCGTCCTGCCTCGGTGAGCGTCCAGCATCTAGACTGCTCGCAGCCCATCGATCGACGCATCGCATCCGCCGCACCGCTGCTGCTGCTGCTGCTGCTGCTGCTGCTGCCTGAAGTCAATCACTGGCCTATCGAAGAGATGTACAATGCTCGGTCATGAAGACGTTGTCGCCTTCTGGTGTTTGTTCGGCAGTCAGGGTCCACGATGAACTGCAGTCCAGTCCGAGCTCTCGCAGCTGCTATAGCCGTCCGCCCTGTCCTCTGCCATATCATGTTTCTTCTGGACACCGAACCGCATACTTAGCCCGAGCTCCTTGTCCGCTTGCGAAACAATCCTGCGCCTCTGTAACGGCGAGCGAGTGTGGACCCTTTCTGTAGCATTGCCTGCTGCTCTCTCCGGCGCTGCTGCCCAGCCAGCATCGAGCAGCTTCGATCGGACCTGCGTCCCCCTTGGGCTGTCACAACCTTCTTTCGGTACAATGCGATCGTCTTCGAGCAGATTTCGGCGTCCGCTCTCGTGGGTCAACAAAGCTGATTCGAGGCCAAGTGCCGTCATAGCTCGCCTAGTGATCCGCGACCCATGCATCTAGACTGCATTTGCTTCGGTCTGCTTGCTGCATCGTCAGCATCTCTGCCCGAGCGCTTGCGCCTCGCTGTCCACCCCGGCGTACCAGTATGGTCTTCTCCCTTCAGCTGACAGCTGCCTCGGCCGTCTCTCTGTCGAACCCCGCAGCCTTCATTTCAGGATCACAGAACTGAAGCCTACTGTCGCTCACGCTCGCCTTGTCCGGTCGTCGCAATGCATACAGTGCCCTCTTCATGATCGACATTGCTTCCGAGCGGACCTCGGTTGTGCAGATCCACGCGGCATGCACAGACACTTGACCGATCATGGCTTTGCTGTCGAAGCCGTCGGGCCTGCCTGCTCTTGGACAGCTGGCGTAGCCAGAGCCGCAACTGCTGCTCGCAGATCATCTCAACTATCCTGTCGAGACCGACCCCCGGTCTACACCGCACAAGCTTGGACGAAGTATATACTGATCCATACTTCCTCCGTCTTCGTCATCATCTCGTTCCTATCTTTCTCCTTCACCACATCGTCTTCTCCTCTCCACTCTCTACCACTCCCCCATTCTCTCCCCTCCTATCTCTATCAAGATCAGCCTTTGATCCACCACATTCCTTTCCCAGCTACTATCGACTCTCGACATCGTCTTTGATCTCGACCACACACGCTCTTTTGCACAACCCACGTTCTTTTTTGACATCGCTCCCGACCATCTCGTTGATTTGCTACTTCCCGTAAGTGACTTCTGCTATCAGTATGGCTTAAGGACAAGGAGGAGGCATCAACGACGCAGGTGTCAGCGCATCCTAAGCTGTGAAAGGAGGGTCAGGACAGCAATGCATCATGCTGCTTGCATCGCTCACAGCATGGGCAACTCGCAAGGAAGGCATGGCGGGTCTTCAACCTGATCAGACAGCCGACGACGATCGCACCCACTATCAGACGGTCAGCGTACGCCAAGCAGTACAGAGTACTGCCGGGCATCTCAGCATGATCATCTATCACGCTGCTAGCAATGACAAAGCTGGTCGCCGGTCTTTTGGGAAACGTCGAAAGACTCAGGTGCTGATGCCCTTATGTGGCAAGACGGCGAAGGTCTCGAATGACGTTGGCGCTGCGAGAAGCATACTGATATGACACAGATCTCTGACCCAGTCCTTCTCCTTCTTCTTCACCTCGCCTTTCCTCCACCGACTTCGACGACTCCATTCTCGACCATCGTCATCAATGCTGCGCCATCCGACTACACCATCGACTTCCCTGCATCCCTTGCACCGGCGAATTCCAACCATCAAAATTCCGCGGTTGCCGACTCCACCAAAACTGGACCCTGTCGATCCTAAACGACCTCCTTGCCTGGCATGCGCTGCTTGACGCGTGCTAATGCCTCGACATCGACTTCTGGATCGCCTCGACGATGCTGACATCGGCATTTGTTCGATGCATGTCCTTGTATCATGCCGCTATCCGTCATCCGCATCGTGGCTGCGACAACATTCATGCATATTCCCGCTTCGCACTCGCTGTCAATGGCGCGCGGAATGCAACGCACTCGACTACCGCCATATCCGCCATCTGACGCTCTCACGAACAATGCATACGTTGCTTCTCCGCTCACAGTGCCATTTCACTCTGCCGCAGTCCTCCGCCGCCAACACTCCGTCATTTGTTTGTTATAGGACTTCCATCGCCAGTCCCCCCCGCCTAGTCGAGCTTTAATTGTTCCGACTCCGAGCAAGATCGTTATCCGCCTGCGCCACTACCCGCAGCCGCTGCATTCCGCACTCCTTGTCTTCCAAGTGCCCGCCTTTGATCCGCCACTACGATCTACATCGCCCAGCCATAGGTGATCATTCGCTTAAGGTACGTTACTCCATCCTTTCCCTGCAGTCGTCCTTCCTCCTGCTGCATTTGTTGGCCCCTGAGTTGTGCATAGGCCCGACAATGCTTCGTACATACAAAGGCATTCAACACTCGCTCGGGACCAGCTGAGGTCGACCTGACCAAACTGCTTAAAAGGTCTGGGACGAGCGAGCTTTACAAGTGCCGCCCCAAAGCCATCACATCCCTCTTCCTCGCACATAGGCTTTCACCAAACCGAAGCTGATTGCTGACCTCGACTCCTCCGAAACTCCATCCTTTCGCTTTCGATCGTCCCATCTTCATCCCTCACTCGCTCTCACTGCTCTTGCAACAACCCAACAGCATCTATCTCGCATCCTTCAAGACAGCATACATCATGACTTCCTCCGCTAGCTCCAGCCAACCTTCCCTATCTCGTCGCTCGTCCTACAACCGCCACATCCGAGTCAGCTCTGGCTCGTCGAGTGCCAGTGCATCGAGCTCTCGTCCTCGCTCATCCCGCGGCCGAAGCATCTCGCCACTGAACCCTGCCAAGGAGGAAGCTGCTGTGCAGATGGCTGCCAAGCGTGCCTCGACCTCGAGCGTGGGCTCGACCGTATCTTCGACCTACTCGGTCTCTTCGTCCGAGTCCAAGGAGGCCAACACCACCGCTGCCACCTCTCTTTCCGCTTCGACCTCTACTAGCAAGATTCCCGCCGACGTTCGCGCGATGCTCTTTGAGGAAGAGTACCAAGAAGAGGTGATCGAGCACATGCACCACATGGAGCTGCAGACCATCGCCGCCGTCGAGCTGATGGACGTTCAGCCCGAGCTCAAGTGGTTCATGCGCCCGTACCTCGTCGACTTCCTCATCGAGATCCATCAGACCTTCCGCCTGCGACCCGAGACGCTGTTCCTGACGATGAACATCGTGGATCGCTACGTCTCGAAGCGCATCGTCTACAAGCGCCACTACCAGCTTGTGGGCTGCGCTGCGCTCTTGATCGCTGCCAAGTTCGAGGATGCCAAGGACCGTGTCCCCACCGTCAAGGAGCTCAGCCAGATGTGCTGCAACGCCTACGACGAGTCGGCCTTTGCTCAGATGGAAGGCCACGTGCTTTCGACCATCGGCTGGACCCTCGGCCACCCCACCGCCGAATCGTGGCTCCGAATCGAGAGTGTCCGTGGCGGCGAGGACCTCAAGACTGTCAACCTGGCGCGCTTCTTCCTCGAGGTCAGCCTTTTCCACCGCGACTTTATCTCGGTCAAGTCGTCTGCTCTGACCAAGGGAGCTCTGATTCTTGCACGATTCATCTGCGGACTGCCGCAGTCGGCCAAGCTTCTGCCCACCGACGAAGCGGCCAAGGCAGCGCACATGCTCGACGCCTACGTCTCGGAGAACCTGCAGGACCTTTCGTTGATCCTGATCAAGAAGTACTCGTACGCCTACTTCTCGAGTGCCTCGACGGTGGTGTGCGACTGGTACCGCGCCCGTGTGGATGCGGCCAAGTCGGCACCGCCCTCGGGCTTGCTGCCCGCGCAGCTTGTCACCCGTGACGCCGATGCCGGTGCGCAGGAGGCAGACGACGACGAGTCGATGCCCACCACGCCCGCCTCGTCATTGCAATCGACACCGTCGCGATCGATGGACGAGGACGAAGATGAGGACGACGAGGACGACATGCCCGTCACGCCTCTTTCGCTCTACTCGTTGCACGACCCCTTAGTGGCAGCTGCCAACGCTGCTGGTCTGCCCGTCCCTATGCCCTCCTCGCGTGCCTCGGTGCAGGCCAAGGAGAATCGCATGTCGATCGGCAGCGCCGATACCGCCAGCACAGCCTCGCCAACCAGCAAGAACTCTCACGTGTCAGTGCAGCAGCCTGTGCTCGGCGCCAGGCAGCCGCTCGGCAACGTCGTCTGGAACGTCAACGTCCAGCAGTTCTGAGCTGCGCGGCCCTCAAAAAGTCTCCCTTGTCAGCTCGTCTCCGGATCCGTCATACTGTGTTTCTAGTCAAAGCATCTCCCGTAGCATCTCATCTCACTCCACTCGCTGTCACCGTATCTTCTCTCTCGACCCTCCTCACCTTGCTCTCATCTTCTGCCTGTATCGGAACCGCATCGTGTCCCCCACTGCCGCATGGATTGGACGCAATCAACATATATTTGTGACGATGTCAGACACGTATTTGGCGATGGCTGTAATGCTGATGAAGGTATGACAGCGCACTGAGATATCGACTGAGTCGCTCATAGCTTGGCTGTTGCCTAGCGCAGAGTCTGGCAGGCCCTTGCTGTTGAAAGCCAGACAGGACCAAAAAGACGCCTGAAATGCGCGACTGCCCATTGGACGAGTCACAGGACGGCAGGGGGCGGGCTAGCGCGGAGCAAAAAGCATCTAATCGTCTCCGCGTGACTTTTTGGAAGATTTGGGAGCAAGCTCGGTGAAATGCCGAAGCAACAACAACGCACACCTCTCCCCTCTCTACCACGACCATTCCTCCTCATCAAAAGCACGAAACACACTTCGCTGTCTCGTGCACAATGAGGGCATCCACCATGCTGCGCTTCAGCGCGGCCGCCAGGCTCTCCGCGCCCTCCCTCCGACGCACCCTCGCGACGCATGCAGCCGTCAACCCGGCAAGTGGCACCTACAACCTGGTCGAAAAGATTGTGCAGAAGTACGCCGTCGACCTCTCGCCCGGCTCGCACGTCAAGTCCGGCGACTACGTCTCCATCCGTCCCGGCACCGTCATGACGCACGACAATACCGGTCCCGTCATCTCCAAGTTCGGCTCGATCGGCGCCACGTCGATCTTCAACCCGGACCAAGTGGTGTTTGCGCTCGACCACGATGTGCAGAACAAGTCGGCCAAGAATCTGGACAAATACAGCCGGATCGAGAGCTTCGCGCGACAGCACGGAATCGATTTCTATCCGGCGGGACGGGGCATTGGGCATCAGGTGTTGGTCGAGGAAGGGTATGCATTCCCGCAGACGTTGGCGGTGGCGAGCGACAGTCATTCCAACATGTACGGTGGCGTGGGGTGTTTGGGCACGCCGATCGTTCGAACGGACGCAGCGGCCATCTGGGCGACCGGTCAGACCTGGTGGCAGATCCCCGAAGTCGTCAAGGTCGAGCTCAAGGGCGAATTGCCCAAAGGCGTCACTGGCAAGGACGTCATCGTCGCCCTCTGCGGCTACTTTAACAAGGATCAAGTTCTCAATGCCGCCATCGAATTCCACGGCTCCGGTCTCACCTCGCTCTCCGTAGAGGAACGACTGGCCATCGCCAACATGACCACCGAATGGGGCGCTCTCGCCGGTCTCTTCCCTACCGACGACATCACTCTCTCCTGGTACGAACGTCAAATCCGCAAGCGCGACAAGTTGGAGTTTCAAATCGGAACCTCCCCGTCCCCTTCCTCCTCCCACCCGCGTCTCAACATGCACCGTCTCGACGAGCTCTCCCGCACGCTCCTGCGTCCTGATAGCGATGCGTTCTATTCGAAGCACCTTACTCTGGATCTGGCCACCCTCGTTCCGCACGTGTCCGGCCCCAACTCGGTCAAAGTTTCCACGCCGCTCGACGAGCTCACTGCACAAAACATTGGGATCCACAAAGCCTACCTGGTGTCGTGCGTCAATTCGCGCGCGTCGGACCTGAAAGCCGCCGCCGACGTTATCCGAGGAAAGAAGGTAGCCCCGGGGGTCGAGTTCTACGTGGCAGCGGCGAGCAGTGTTGTTCAGCGCGAGGCGGAGGAGGCGGGAGATTGGGGTGCGTTGATGGCTGCTGGTGCTCGACCACTCCCCGCAGGGTGCGGACCGTGTATCGGACTGGGTGTGGGGTTGTTGGAGGATGGAGAGGTGGGGATTAGTGCGACGAACCGGAACTACAAGGGGAGGATGGGAAGTCCCAATGCGCAGGCGTATCTGGCATCGCCCGCGGTGGTGGCGGCGAGTGCGATTGAGGGCAAGATCTGTGGGCCTAGCGATTTGGATCCGGCCTTGCTGCCGCCGAGTCGCGGATTGAAGTACTCCATCTCCACCGCTGCTGCGTCGTCGACGTCGACGAGTGCGACGAACGAGGGTGGGGTGGACATCCTCCCTTCCTTCCCGGCGTCCTTTTCGGGCCCACTCATCTTTGCCCCGCAAGACAACCTTAACACGGACGGCATCTACCCTGGCAAATACACCTACCAGGACGACATCACGCCCGAAAAGCAGGCCCAAGTCGTGATGGAGAACTACGACGCCTCTTTCGCCACTACCGTCTCGTCCCTCACCCCCTCGTCTTCCTCGTCAGGCGGTAAGGCAGGACCGGTGTTGATCGGCGGGTACAACTTTGGCACGGGCTCCTCGCGCGAACAGGCAGCGACAGCCCTCAAGTACGCCGGCATCCCTCTCGTCCTCGCCGGCAGCTTTGGCGACATTTTCAAGCGTAACGCCATCAACAACGGTCTCATCTGTCTCGAGTGCAGTGAACTCGTTCAAGATCTCACCACGCTGTATTTGGGACAGGACGGCGTGAGGAACCACAAGGCGATCCTGTTGGAGGAAAGTGAGGTGAGGATCGATTCGAGTACGGGGAGCATCGAGTTGAAGTTCAAAGGACCGAAGGGGGAGACGGTGGAGAAGAGGTACACGGCGAAACCCGCAGGGATCGGAAGGAGCGTTCAGGAGATCTATACCGCTGGTGGATTGGAAAAGTGGGTCAAAGAGAGGATTTAGATTCTCACTCACAGGTTCTTCATCACATCACGCGGTCTGCGTCAGATTCCCTTGATCAAGCTGAATTTGAGGTCCTCCTATGTACAATGTGCGCCCTCGCGCTCTAACCGCTGATGAAGGTGTGTTCCTCAAAGAGCGAGCCTTTGACCTGGCTTTCCTCCTTGCCGGGCAAGCGGAGCTTCAGCGTGGCCTCATTGAGCGTTTGATAGATGTACGGCTTGGTGCCCGCCACATAGTTGACCAGCTTCCTGACCATGTAGGGGATCTCGGCGAGCACATCGACCTTGTCCACCAAACCGTGGGTCTCGCTGCTCGGGAACGGTTTGCCCAAGTCGACCTTGAGGGACGCCTCCACCTTCTGGTCGACATCGCCCTTTCCGGTCGACGCATCGAGGAGGGGGCCTTGCCAGGTGTACTCGATGGCCTGCGGAGCGTTGTAGCCCGTGTCCTGGTCGAGCGTCTTGTCGAGGTGCGTGACGCGCGAGTTGCTCTTCTGGCTCTTGTCTGCGTCGGCCGCGCTCGCCGTCCTAGTTGCCGCAGTGACGGCGATCAGCTTGCCCTCGGCGACGATCGAGCCAATGTTGACCGTCAGCGACTCGCGCTTGCCCGTCGGCTGACCATCTTGCGCGGATCCGTAGTCGGGAGTGGTGGTGAACTCCATCATGACGCCGCTCACTCGACCGAGCTTCTCGTCGTCCGCCTGGAAGTTGGCAAAGTTCCACTTGGCGGCGACCAGGTTGGGCCTCATACCCTGGATGGCGTGGACGAACATGCCCTTGCCCTTGGCGTCGATAGCGGCGCCCTGGGCGATCACATGTCCCTCGCTCTCGGCCACGGGCCAGAAACGATGGATTACATATCCCTCCGGACTGCCGAGGTTGGAGCCGAAGTAGCTGAATCCACCCTTGGGACCCGCACCGAGCTTCCACCCCTGGATCGCCTTGGGGCGGGTGAAGGACCATGAGAGCTGCAGATCCGCATCCAGGTTGGCCGTGATGCTGTATTTGTCGCCCGCATCGGTGCTGCTGAAGACGACGCTGAACTCGGCCGCCTTACTGCTGCGCTTGTCGGTCTGGGGCGCAAATTTGGTCACGTTGACCGACTTCCAGATCTTCTTGCCCGTCTTGGGGTTGAAGTACTTGAACGTCATCTGCACTTGGGGGTACCAGAGACCCACGGCGGAATGGATGATCTGCGAGGTGGCGAAGGAGCCATCGTCGAGCACCGAGTACCAGGTCTGGGTCTCGGTGGTGAAGCCGCCTGCGCAGGTCCATTCGAGGTCGGTGGGCTCGAGAGGGCCGAAGAGCGCGTTCTGAGGAGTGGTGTCGGTGATGGCGTGGAAGTTGCTGCCCGAGGCAGCGGGTGCGCTGCCAGCTGCGCCGGCGGGAGCGTCGCCTTTACTGTGTGCGATCCGGAAAGGAAAGTGCAGACGTGAGTACGCTTCCACCGTATGCTCGAGAACGAGGAGCTACTTACAGCCAGGAACCCCAACCAGACATGTTGAGAGAGAAGCTTCGAGGGATGCAAGTGGATGCGAACGCCTTGAGCGGTGGTCAAGACGGATGATGGAGGTAGATGGACAAGCCGAGACGAGCGCGGAGGATGTGCTTTGCTTTCAACGTGCGTGCGTGCAAGGCCAAAAAGTGTTTGTGTGTGTGTCACACTCGAAGCGAAGCGAAGCGAATCTGAGGCGTGGTCAGTGACCCTGACGAGCCAAAAAAGCAAGCTCGGCTCGTGCTTTCCTCTTGTCCTGCCAAGTTGACTGGCCCAGTGCAAGCTTGATGACGCGTCGGAGCTGCCTCGATCTGCACATCGCATGCTGCCACTCGGTCAACGCCAAACCCAGCCAAAATGCACCGCGGCCCGTCAAAGATTCCGCCTCCACGGACTTTAGCTGTTTCCGAAAGGCTTCCTGTTGATGCTTTCTTCGCAACTTCATGCTAGCCTCGACTTGTTGCTCCCACCATGTCATCATGTGTGTTGTCAGGCTGCTGCTCAGACCCCGACCGTTCTCACTTGCAACGTCTCAGCGAACGTGTTCAAGCACGCTAACATTGCTCCACAGGGCTAGCGGTCAGCACAGCAGGGGGCTAAACATGAGATTACTGTCCAAGAAGACGCGGCTCTGTACAGCTGCCATGATTTGGCTCACACATCCAGCCGTGAGATATCCATCTGCGGGCTTTTGGCCAGAATCTCGGGCGTGGCGATCTTCTCCTTGTGCTTGAGAAGCTCCTTGAACGAGTTTTTGATTGTCACGTCGCTCACACCAGCCGCTTGGCTGATGCGCTTAGCCCCCTTGTCCACTCCCCACAGCAGCGTGGAGAAGTAGATGCATGCTGCGGCGATCGTGATCGGACTACGGCCGGCAAGGATGCCAAGCTCCCGCACACGCGCGGTGATGTCCTCGGTGGATCGTGTGATGCGCATCTCGAGGCCCAAGTGGTTGCAGTATCGACCCACAAGATCCGCTGCCCCTGTTGGTCCGATGCCAACAGGCGTAGAGGTACCGCTGTTGTCGGCACTGATCCTCGATCCATCCACGGAGCCCGTGCCCGTTGCGTTGAGACCGAACGCCTGCTGCATCTCCTTGAAGCATTGCCCAATGTGCTTCTTCGACACGCTGGTCAGCGAGCAGATTTCTGGGAAGGTTCGAGGCACATGGCTCATCTTGCAAGCCACGTAGATGGCAGCGGCGATGATCGCATCCGGCTTCTTACCACGCAGGATCTTCTCCTCTTCCACCCGTCGATACGCCTGCTTGGCCACATCTGACACCGTTCTTGGCAGATGAATCGAGTCGCACTTGCGCTGGATGTCCTCGAATGCGTCGAGCATGTTGCGATCCCTCGTTCCCGTGGCGCGGTTCATGGTCCGCTGCAGATCCCTCGATGCACCAGTGCCACCATCCCTGTATCCGATGCGCGACTCGAGCTGCTCGTTGATACCGTCCAGCAGCGGGTTGCTAGCTGCGCCCACACGCGATGGATCGTCGCCGTCCTCGTTCGCAAACGTACGCCATTCCGAGCGGGTATCGATGATGTTTTCACCCACCACCAGTCCGCAGTCGGCGCAGACCAGATCACCCGATTCGAACTCCTCCGCCAGATTGGGTGGGTCGACCTTGCAGTCTCGGCAGATCAGACGCACGTTGAGATCCGGCACGAAGTCATCCTCGCCTTTGGGTGCGTCACCGCGGTCGGCAGCATACCTAGCGCTCAAAGCGAAAGGCTGCGCAAATGCATTCTGTGAGGATCTGGCAGTGTCGGCCGTCATGGCTGCTTATGATGTGATGCTACGAAGAGTTAGGCTTTACGATTGCTGAACGATTTCAAATGCCTTCCTTCGGCGACACCTTTCTGCTGGGAGCCGGTACAAGAGCCGTCTTCCAATGCTCGTAGTTCTGCGTCGGCAAGTATCGCGTTGCGACGAGCCAGCGAAGAATCGGTCAGCTTGGATGATGCGATGCAATTGATTCGTGACAGCAGCGGATGTCGTCTGCAAGGATAGGGCAGATGATGGTGGCGAGAGGCAAAGATTCACCCAGGCACGCCGTCGATGCGGGTGGAATTATCAACTGTGCAGAGGCTAAGTTGCAGTCCTGCTGCGCAGGAAATGAATTCGTGCGAGAATCGCGTCTCCGCTGCCGCACAAAGCTCGGAAGGCGGCAAGGTCGAAGCACGCGCCATGAAACAACACTTTTTGACGACCTTCTTGACAGAGCTCTTCACCATCATCACCGACCTTCTCACAGCCTTCGTCGTACGTGGTGCTATCATCGACGTCGCTGTACATTCGAAAGTATGGCCGTCGCGACGCAGTCCGCTCAGGGTGCTGCCTCGACTTCCGCGTCCGGGGCGGCGGGCTCGACACGCAACAGCGAATCCAGCTTCACTGCGTTCGCTCGCGTCCTGCAGGCGTGCAAAGATCTCGATCCGGCCGCAAGGATCGATCCGGATGGTGGCACCGCTTTGCTGTTCGCAGATGTCTGCTCGGGTCTAGGCGAAGAAGCGCTGGACAATGCAGGGTATGTCGCACGCCATGCGGACCAGAACCTTGAGGACGACGACCGAGCAGCATGGCAACTAGAACAGAACACCTGGAGGCTCATCCACGGGCTCACTTCCGAGAGGCTACACCGACTCGAACGACAGTCTCAACTCGCATCAGAGGAACAGCAAGATAAGGCGATGCAGGCCTACGAAACGCCGCTTGCAGCGATACAGAGCATCTTCGAAAAGGAAGAGCATCTCAACGAGCTCCGAATCATCCGCGAATGGCTACAGGACACGCTCGCTCCCAGGCACATTGTTGAAGTACGCAAAGGCTACCTTGCATTCACCAAGAACCGCGTCCGCGCCGAGAAGCGTGCCAGCGTCGGAGGAGGCTCCACGGCGAATGACGGACGCAAGCTGACGTTCGGCTCGGCTGCCAGCTCGAGCTTTGCACCCAAGAACCGCGGCAAAGCAGTCAAGAACTTGGACCCGGATGCGGTCTCGCGAGGTGAGGGCGGCCTCGAGCTCGAAGACGCTACATACGAAAAGGCGCTGCTGCGAACTTTGTTCGAGTACGCGCGAGCAGGCCGCTTGGACGCCGCATTTGATCTTTGTCACCAGACCGACCAGAGCTGGCGAGCAGCAACACTTCGCGGTGCCATGTTGTATCACGATCCCGCCGTCGGCTTCGAAGTGCAAGACGTCGACCGAGTCGTGGGCAATCGCAACCGATCACTGTGGAAGTCAGCGTGCAAGAAATTGGCGGCCAACACCAACTTGGACGAATTCGAAAGGGCATTGTACGGATCGCTGGCAGGTGACCTTTCCTCGGTGGCCCACGTCAGTCAGAGCTGGGAGGAGCTCCTCTGGGCACACGTCAATGCCAAGCTGGAAGCTGCAGTCGACCTGAAGCTGGACGAGAGGCACAACTGGTGGAGTCAAGAGGCGGACGTCGAACTCTTCGGCGAGGGTGAGCACGGCGCTGTCAAACTCTCACAAGGCGTCTCTTCCACCTCATCCGCTGCCGCTGCGGCCGCATCCTCGGGAGGCGGAGAAGGGCCACAAGTCGGAAAGGTCTCGAAGAACGAGATCGAGCTAGGATCCCTCAACGGCGTCTTCGAAAAGCTCAGCCAAACGCAGTCCAACAGCATCCATCTCGAGGCCAACAACCCTTACCGCCTCGTGCAGAGGAGCATCATTTCCAACAATCTGCCAGAACTCTTCAACCGATTTGCGGACAACCTTGGCGACATGCAAGCCAGTCTTGAGCCTGCAACATTCGCACGGCTGCTGCGTTTCTTTGCTCATTTGATCCTTTACCTGCGCTTGCTGTCGATCTCGCTGCCAGACTTTGCATGCAACGCGATCCTGTCGTGTTATGTGCAGGTGCTCGAGGCAGCCGGCGAGTCGGATCTGGTGGCCATGTACGCCAGCTCGCTCGAGCCCCAATCGGCAACGAGAAGCTATGCCAATTTCTTGCGATCCATGGATGTCAATTCGAGCTGCGAAGCAAAGGCGCATGCACTTCGACAAGCAGAGGAGCACAACCTCGACTTCGCAGCGGTGGCCAGGTGCACGGTCGACATTGTGTTTGACGAACTCTTCCCGACCATCATGTCCGACTTTGACGAGACGGCCGGCTTTGGCGGAGCGAGAAGCGGGCCAGGCAAGCTCGACGCAGCCCGATTCGACATTCGTCTCGATGCCAATGAAGAAGCTCTGGTGCGCGCCATCGATTGGCTCACCTTTGATCCATCAACGTACGCCGATGCTATCATCCAATCGAACAACCTCACACGACTCTTCCTGTCGACGGGACGACTGCACGCGGCCAAGGTGCTTCGTGACCGCATGCCGAGCGACATCTTGGCGGTGCTCGACATTGTCGACGTCTCGATGGACCAGAACATCGAGCGCTCGGGCTGGGACACCTTCTTCACGGCTCTGGAAGCGCACGTGGCCTACAAGGCCTTCTGGACCACACGACCTGCGGATGTGGCGGCTGCGGGCGCTCGTACCGGCGGTCTGTCCAAGCTGGAGCGCATGAATTGGACCAAGGCGCTGAGCCAGGTGGTGGAGCAAGCGCGCGAACTGGATCTGGTGCTACTCAAGCGAGATTGGCTCAAGATTCCACTTGACCATACAAGCGGTGGCCTCGAGACGGAGCGAAGGGCGCGGGAGTTGTTCGACATCCGACAGACCTACATCCCCGAGATCGTGTTCCGCCTGCACGACATGCTGGTGGAGTCGGCCAGCGTGATCCCGACCAATCTCAACATGGCACTGCGTCTCTCCGAGATCGTGGCCGACGAGCGACACAAGATCTATCTCGAGTTCATCCGAGGCAACGGGCAGAACTTGCTGCAGGACTACCTGCTGCGCGTCCGCGAAGCATCCTTGTTGCTGCTCGAGAATGGCGGCGACGTCTTTGAGAAGGCAGTCGAGTCGTAGCTTCACCATCATTGTCTCGATTCAGTCATACCTGTACCAGCTTGAAGACCAGAATCCAAGCATCACACCTTACTCTAGCGTTGTCTCTTGTGATGTATATGACGAGTCAATGAGGACGACCCACAGGCCATGGTCGATGCTGACGCCAAGGCCGCCATGACTTTGACCTGCTCTTGGCCTTGGCTGTAGGCTGGCCTGTGCGGCTATTCGACGCTTGTCCTTGGGCCAAGCCCCTTGACGTAATTTGGCGTGGGCATCCTGGGAAAAAGAGCAAGAGAGCTTTGAACCCTGTTCTGTCTGAGAAGCAAGCGCACAGCCGAGCAACCAACCGACATTTCGGACAACGCTGTGCTCTTGCCGCTTGCACGGCCACACCAAGTTTAAAGCTGACGGTCGACTCAGTCAGCTGTGCCGAGAAGCTCTTCCCGAACACGCTTGCGCAGAAGCAAGCAAGCCGAACTTCAAACGTGGTTGACAGCACGAAAGCAACCGACGACGCCGACGCTCAGCTTGGCAACGCTGCACAGCTTAAACTGCACGTCGATGCGGCATCGCATCAGTGGGTTGCCTTCAGCGCGTCTCCACAGCGCTCCCACCTGCCTTATCGAGAGACCACAACCGAAGACTTTCCCGGCATCACCACGATCGCTTCGTTCCCTCCACCATCAACGCGCCGTGCCGTGTCGACGAGCGGTACCCTCCTCATCTGCGCACGCTTCCCGAGGTCTTCACTGCGAGAACGGCACTCGAATAGGTCATCATGTCGGATACAGGTTCGTCCCCACGCAAAAGTCTGTCAGAACGCCGAACCAGCTTCAGCTCCATCCGATCGCGGCTACGCAAACCCAGTCTCAAGAGTGAACAGAGAAGGTCCCTGGGCGAGGACGATGATGCCAGCGCCCTCGACGTTCCGGCCGATCACGGAGAAGCGCGCTCCAAGCGCTTCTCATCCGCATCAGATCGCTCCATTCCACCGGTACCGCCTCTTCCTCCACGCTCACCCAACGCTGGTCTCGGACCTGGGAGTCCTTCTCATCTTCAAGCCAGCCCATCGCGGGCAAGCTTCAAAGCTGCCATGCCTGACTCACCAACCCCCAACAAGCGCGCCTCCATGATCAGTAACGCTTCTTCCTCCAGGAAAGAACAGCCCGCTCAAGGCGACGTCTCCGCGCTTGCCCAGACTACGCTCGGTATGACACTCGGCGCACATGAATCCGAAGAAGCTCGTCCCGACATCGATCCTAGGGGCTACGACGCGCAAGCCGCTTTCAAAGAGACAATTCCCTTGACCATGCTCTTCTTTGCCGGAACGCTCGTAGCAGCACTCGTGCTGGCAAGATACAGCATCGTGGCGGCTGCTCTGATATCTGGCTGCAGCGGTCACATTCTCTACAAGAAGCTCAACGAGAGAGGAGACGATGCCAAGTGGGCGCTCGAGATGGAAGCGTCAGCGAGACGCCTTGCCATGCCTGGTGCAGGCGAAGAGTCGGTCGAATGGCTCAACAAGGCGCTTGCCACCGCATGGCCTCTCATCAATGCCGACTACTTTGCTCCCTTCATCGACCTCCTCGAGGACAGTCTAATGACACAGGTGCCTGGTATTGTCCACAGCGTCCGCGTCGATGATATGGACCAGGGCTCCATTCCCTTGCGCGTCAAAAGCTTCCGCGTCCTGCCCTCGGACGACCGCGCCTTTCTCAAAGGTGCCGTAGCTCAAGCGCACAAAGATGCTGGCAAGTCAGCGGCCGATGCCCCGCCGATGCATCAGACGGAAAGCGACGATGACCAAGAAAATGTGGACGTGGGCGACTTTGTCAACCTCGAAGTCACCTTCGCCTACCGAGGAGCGGCTCCCAAGAAAGGCATGTTCCGATCCACCACCAACACAAACTCTGGACCGCTCAACACATCAGGTCCCGTTGCAGCTGACGCCAACGATGGCGACGAAGACGACGCTGAGCTCCAGGATCTGCCGACAGAAAGAATCCATTTGCTTCTCAACCTCAGCGTGGGTCTTCAGAAGCTTGCCGCTGTGTCCATCCCTGTGTGGATCGAGATGGTTGGCATCGAAGGCAAAGCGCGTGTCCGTCTGCAGATGACGCCGGTAGCTCCATTTGTTAAGTCCGCAGCTCTGACGTTCGTCGGAGCACCCACACTCGAGATGTCCGCCAAGCCTCTGGGCAAGAAGATGGTCATCGACGCCATGAATCTGCCCTTCATGTCTACATACGTGCTTCACGCAGTCGAGGACGTCATCAAAGGCTTCATCGCGCCGCTGTCCTACACCATCGACGTCGCTGGCCTCCTAGGAGCAGGCGATGGCCCGCAGGACGTCTATGCGCTCGGTGTCATTTGCTTCGTGCTTCACCAGGCAGACGACCTCGCTGCAGCGGACTCCAATGGTCAGAGCGATCCCTTCGTGCAGGCTTCGTTCGCCCGAGCAGGCAAGCCGCTCTTCACGTCTCGCATCGTTCGAAAGAAGCGCGACGCCGTTTGGCAAGAGACCGGGTTTCTGCTTGTCTCACCGGATGAGGTGCGCGACCACGATCGTCTGCGGTTCACGGTGTTCGACGCCGACCGCTTCTCGGCGGACGACCCGCTTGGCAAGGTCGAGATCTCACTGCATCGCCTCATCCACAAATTCCGTCCAGGCGGCGAAGCCCGCAGCACCAATCTGCTCGAAACGCGGACAGACAAGCTGCTGCCGATGAGAAAGGGCAATGCAGTGCAAGGAACGCTCAAGTACAGCGTTGGCTTCTTTGGTCTCGCCCATGCTCCCGGCACCGGTCATGCTCCTTCCCGACGCAAACTACTTCAAGGCACATCAACCACAGTCAAGAACGAGAGCGACGACATCGACCTAGTCTCTCCGATCGACGGCAAGCGCAAAGCAGACGACAAAGACGACAGCGCTGGCTTGTTGCCCGCGTCTGGCAAGCTGGAGGACGAACCGACCGAGTCTGCTGCCGACTCGGATCTCAGTGCCTATATGACCGGCTTCGACAAATTCGTTCATGGCCTCGGCCTGCCAATGGACGACGATGTCCTCCGCCAGAGGAAGCAGCGCAAAGCTCGTGTTCAGAAGCTGGCCACCATGATTGAAGGTGCAAAACAGGCCACGGCTCATCCACCTTTGGCTGAGCTGCCGTCAGGTATTCTCGCGTTCCACATTCATTCAATCACGGGTCTCGAGGTGCCTTCTACACAACGATCGCTGGGTACCTCCAAGAGGCTGTCTGCAAAGCCAAGGCATGGGCTTGCGCCAACCGACGAGAAGCAGGCCGAAGGTGGCGCTGGCGGCAAGCTGCCGTCGTCGTACGTGCAGGTGTTCCTGAACGACGAGGCCATCTTCCGCACTCGAACCAAGACATTGAACCCGCGGCCTTACATCAATGCAGGCAGCGAGCGCTTCATCGGCGACTGGACGACCGCAAGGTTGGACTTTGCAGTGCGCGATGCTCGTATGCGCGAAGGCGATGCGATCCTGGGTTGCGTCGGTCTGCAATTGGCAGATGTCCTGACGAAGAGCAGCCGCTCGACTGGCTGGTACACGCTCACTGGTGGTCTCGGCTACGGCAAGATTCGCATCACGTTGCTGTTCCGTAGCGTCGAGCTTTCGGTGCCACGTCCGCTGCGTGGCTGGAACGTGGGTATCGTCGAGATTGCCAAGGTCAAGGTCACGGGTGTGCCGCAGTCTTTGCTCGACAAGAAAGCATGCCACCTTTCGGTGGAGACAGTCGGCGGCAAGACAAGCACGGACGACACCCTGCCTGTTGATGACTACGAGTCCGGTGCGGGCGACGCAGCTACCGTTAGCTATGACTGGCCGCTCAAAGAGCCCATCCGCTTGCCTGTCCGACAGAGGTATCCCAACTCGCTGTACCTGAGTCTGCGGACCGACTCACGCTTGCCGGGACGCTCGCATCACCATGCGTGGGCGTTCGTGCCACTCAATCGAGTTGCCGACGAGATGCGCATCCAACGTCGGATTCGCTTGTTCGAGACGTCGGACTGGGACGAGGTGGAGCAGGACGTGTTGCGCGCCACGAGCGATCCGAAGCTGCTGCAGACGCAAGACGATTCCGTCAAGTCCAAGCTGCTGCCCGTACTGGAAGATGTCTGCCACACGGGATCTGCCACGATCTCCGACGAGGCGCTCCGAGCTGCCAATCTCAAAGCTGTGGGCTGGATCGAGATCGACATGATCTTCCACCGAGGCATTGCCCCAGAGCACCGATCCTGCACCGCTGGCGATTCCGAAATGCGTTTCGCATTCGAGTCGTACATGACGCTGCTTGACGCAGGCGAACGAGCGCGACCTCGCACGCTAGCCTCCGAACGACGATCCCCCAGCAAAGCCGCCTCCACCCACCGCAGAACCGCATCCAACACCTCCGACCTCGGCCTCTCCACCTCGCAATCCGCCCAATTCGGAGAAGACGTCGGCGACGACGACGACTCGCTCTACGCACAATCGCTCACCGAATCGCAGCTCGACGAATTGGCCTCCGACGCCGACTCGGACAGCCCAGAAGGCCGCCGTGCCCAAGCCCGGGCTCTGCACAGAAACCAGCGCGGCGCCGCCCAGATCAAAGGCTTCCGCACGTTGACATGGATGAAGACCAACGCCGAGGATAGCATGGCCAAGATGAAACGCCAGTTCGAGAGTAAGAAGTCCAAGCGGATCGGCAAGATGGAGGCTGAGGGGATTTCACATTTCTGATGCGGACGGGCAAGCACGATGATATGTTGACGCTCATGATATCCAATTTCCTCGCGAATCGTCACCATCCAAACAGCGTGTCGATTGAGAAGAGTTTACAGTGATCGCCTGTGAGAGTGATGACGGCGCAAGTGATACTGAGCAAGAGGGCCTCATTTGATGCAGTCTCGGTCTATTGACACGGGCGCTTCATCTTGTCATGGTGTCCTACTCGACGATGACCACCTCCAGCACATGAAAGCATAAAAATGGTCGCTACTGTCAGAGGAAGTGACGGACCAGACGCTTGATAAGCGCACCTACTCCCATGATATCCAATGCGTTCGTCGTCACCAATCTGAGCCCCTGTGGCGTTTACAGGGGCGCAGCGTTCGACCGCGAAACTTAAGGCAGGAGCGTGTCGTTCTGAGGAATCAATACAAAGCACGGCAAGCCATCCATTGATATCCCATCCGATGCGTCGATCATCGCCTTGCGTAGCATACGAAGTTAGGACCGCGCTGCCATGATTGTCTGAAGGACTGATGACGCTTCCTGTAGTGACGGGGCGAGCGCTTCGACAACCGGAACAGCGGTCCGGCCGGCGTCTTGATCTCAAAATCGGCGATCCAACTCTTCGCTTGGCAGCCACGCTGCCCAAAAAGAAAGCCGAAGAGCTCAACAGACACGCCTATGACAACACTTTTTTCTGGAAATTTGGAATTTTGCCCCCTCCCGCCTAAGTGCAAGTTTGCCAAGCGAGCACGGCACAGCATCGATTACGCTGGGCTGCCTACAAATTTAGAAATGCTTTCCCCCTCAACTGGGCCGTGCGGCAGCGCAGGCGGCGCCCACTGGTGGTGGTGACTGATTGTGCGTGAGCTCTATCTTTCGCTTCGCGCCTCTCGCAAAACAGATTACCGCTCGTTGCTTTTCGTTCCTCACCATCAACGTCGGCCCTCCGCTTCTCATCGGGCTTCCTGCGAGGACAAGTACACCACGAACGACGAATACATACCTAGCTACCAGCAGGCTTGAGGTGATCGCACCACCGCCCGTCGAACGACTCTTCTTAGGCAAGAGCTCATCCGCATCACTTCTGCTCGGTCTATCGCGGCTTCCATCTCCGAGGCACTCTCACACACGAAGAAAGCGGAACGACCGAGATCACGCACACCTTATAGTCCGCCTCGAACTCGGCTACCGACTCGAATAGCGGTATCGACTGCATCGGCGAAAGCGCTCAATCCGACAGCTCGCATCTTCAGCTCGGACATAAGAGCGCCTCCTACGGCTCCTGCGCTGATCATAGCTTTGCGATCGACACCCTGCGCGCACAGCATCTTTCTTTGATACGCAGCTGATCGAAGCGACCCTCTTCTATCTCCACCACATAGCATCGTCGACCCCGACTAGAATCGCCCGCCATGCCAGCCACCAAGATCGCCCCCTCGGTGCTCGCCTCGGACCTAGGCAACCTCAACTGCGAGTGTCAGCGCATGATCGATTCGGGCGCCGACTGGCTCCACATGGACATCATGGACGGCCATTTCGTGCCCAACATCGTCATGGGTGCACCCGTCGTCGCCTCCGTGTCCAAAGCGGTACCGGAAATCTTCATGGACTGTCACATGATGGTTGCAGATCCAGGACGGTGGGTGAAGGACATCAGCGAGGCGGGGGGCAAATCGTATACGTTCCATCTGGAGGCGACGGACGATCCGATGGATGTGGTACGACAGATTCGTGCCACCAAGATGCGCGCTGCGGTGGCGATCAACCCTGGCACACCCGCCAGCGAGATCTCGGACGAACTGGGTAAAGCCGTCGACATGATCCTGGTCATGACCGTCTGGCCCGGTGCGGGCGGTCAAAAGTTTATGAAGGAATGCATGCCCAAGGTCGCCGAGCTCCGCGCTCGGTTTCCGGACCTCGACGTCGAAGTCGACGGCGGTGTAGGTCCCAAGACCATCGACAGATGCGCCGACGCAGGCGCAAACATCATCGTCGCCGGAACCGCGATATTCAACCACCCAAGTCCGAAGGACGTCATCGCCTTCCTGCGCAGCAGATGCGACGAGGCACAGGAGCGAATCAAGAAGGAGAGGGAACGCATCGCACGCGGCGAACCAGTGGAACACGAGGTCAAGCATTATGAAGACGGCAGGAAGAGCGGTTGGCACAGTGGAGCCATCACACCGCTCAGTTACCCAAGGGTGTACATGAGCGCGAGCAAGAGGGAGAAGTTGAGAAGGGAGAGCCAGGGCGCGTTGGAGAGGGGAGAGAGGCCCAACATGGGCATGCTGCAGGGCATGAGCGGGTTGAGCATCACGCCTGCTGTGGAGGGCAAGTGACTCGCTGTGGGGAAGGCGAGGCTCTGAGGTCAGCCCACTCCAGAGCGAGATGCATATCGACACACACATGCACTCACGCCGTCGGCGAGCATCACACCTTCCTAGAGCTTCTCTCTCGGTTCAATTTGAACTTCTTTGCATTTCGACATTTTGAAGAAGACTTGTGCCAAGGCGGACCGCGTGACCGTTTCGGAACGAGATCAGGCATCGTCCGTATCGAGATTGTCGAGGAACCACTGGACACGCTGCGACTTGGTGTAGGGCACATACATGCCGCCCAACCTGAGCCGCTCGGCAGGTGGCACCAGGCGGACGGACAGCTTTTCGTCCGACGAGATTCCGCGGTTGGCGTGGGCGACGTCCTGATCGCTAGACGGAGGGGTCTGCTGATATGCGATCTCGGAAACAAGGTTCTCGAGTCGGTGTCGTCTCTCTTGGCCTTCTAGCCTCTGATCCAGATCAGCCCCATTGGACAGCCACGGCGTGTCGCTCAGCAATTGCTGGTCTTGCCGCGTCCATCCGAAGGTGGTGCGGATCGAGTCGACGAGGTCGGCGCGAAAGGCTTTGGACTGCTTGGATTCGATGGCGCTGGGGATGATCCAGGGATTGAGCGAGGTAGTTGCGCTCTCGGATCGAGTTGCAGCTGACTTGTGGGCAGCCGCGGCTTTCGACGTGTGCGGCGGCGGTGCTCGCGCTTCGTTGTTCTGCGACGTTGTGTTGGTCCAGATGTCGTGTCTTTCCGCGGGCCAATCTGATCCGCCGTTCAGGCTCAATTTTGACATCGCGGAAGGGACAGTGCCAGCGGCTGGATTGTTGGCGGTCGCGGTCTGATCCACACCTTCGGCGCCAGGCACGGGGTCCCAGCAAAGATGTAGTTGTTGGAACTGATTGCATCCGAACGAGTTGAGAGCCGCCTGCTTAGATGTCGATGCCTCCCTGCTGTGCTGTCCGCCTGGATCCGGCTTGGAGAAGTGCCCAGCACCTCTGTGGGGAGCTGCGTGCCGCGGTCCGCTGTGCGTGAAGGACGCCGAGGGGTTCTCAGAATGGCTATGGGCGGCATTGCCACCCGTCGTCGAAAGCTCTTCGAAGAACGGCTTCAATCGGCTGGCGGTGATCTCGCAAGGGCGGAAGGCGAATTTGCGAGTGTCGTAGCGGATCTTGGTGACGCCTTGCTGGAAGTCGGTCCAGAAGGAAGGTCGGATGCGACTGTATTCGTTTTCGAACGGGTCGAGCTCAGCCATCGTGGTGCTCTCGTCGGCGCTGCTCGCAGTTGCAGTTCCTGGCGCCAAAGGGTCGCTCCCCTCGACGTGGCGTCTCTTCCCTTTGGGATCCTCTGCTGGCCAAATGTACCATTTTGAAGCCAAAGCGTTTTGCTTTTCTTCGTGCGAAAGGCGCGGTGGCAGGCCGCTTAATTCGTGGTCAGCCATCTGGCGCAGGAATGACAGCGATCCGAAGCTTCCAGAACGCATCGCGTCGACCTCTTTGAAGGGCATCGAGATACCCGACAGCTCGCTCTTTGGGTCGATGCAGATGAAGTGTAGCGATCTGAGTCTCCTTCTGAACTGCTCGAGAGACGGTCGCCAGTTGCCAGAGCCGTCGGCACGCCAGAGAGCCTCTTGATGTGTATGTCGGATCCTTCCGGCATAGCTGATGGGATGCGGCGGAGTGTAAAGGATGCACTTGAGAGCGTCGTCGCCATCTGCCAGGCAGAGCATCTTGGCGGGCGAGACGGAATGAACCCTGAGCAGCTTGACTTCGACGGGCCCGAGGGCCAGGTAGTTGACATGTTGAAAGTGGCGCAAGATGCTATATACCCGATGCGGCAGATGACCGGGTCCGTGGACCAAGACATTGCTTGCGTCGAGATGCGGACATCGTTCTGCCCAGCAAGGCTTCATCTGCTGGTGCTTGGCCTGCAAGTTGAGGATCGTGCGAAGATCGGTGGGCGAGCCCGTGGAGGTGGTGAGTTTTGACGGGAGCGACTCCGGAAGCGTGTCGATGAAGAGGTTCTCGACGAATCTTGCCGGCTGACGAGATGGAAGCGATGTGAAGGTCTTGTCGCTCTGTGACGAGGGCCAAAGGGAGGGCGGGGGGTTCTCGACTATCTCCCACAAAGCTTCTATTTGACGGACATCGGTGCAGATGATAGTCCTCCATCGATCGGGCGCTGTCCATCTACAGACGAGCTTGGAGATATAGGCGCAGACGTGTGCCGTCTTATGATCCGTGGAGGCTGCCAGGCGAATGATGTGGTAGAGCAGCTCCAAGGGCAGCTTCCGAATACTCGAGTGACCGTCCTCGTAGGGCTGTGCGGCCGGCCCGCCGTCATGTCTCGCAATATCGCCGCAAGAAGCCATCGCAACGATGGTAAGAGGCTGCTATGGAGCTGACGGATGAGACAGACGAGATCGCCATCGTTTTGTGATTGGCAGGATGAAGATGAAGCGGTAGTTGGCTCGGTCAACTTGAGCTCTTGGAAATCCACATGATCTGCAGCCACAGCGCAAGCGATGGTCGCAGTTGAGGCCGATGCTGCTTTGAGTCCGTATTGGTTTGTGCGATGAAGAAGTCAAGAAGGAGTAGCCGAAAGCCAGCGTCTTATCGTGAAGGCGTGGGAAGGTGACTGCATCACAATTGACCAAAGCGCAGCTCTAAATTTCGGATATCTCCGACGATGTGATTCTCCAGTTTGTAGGGCCAGAAGCTTCCCTTGGCATCACATCGATCGAAGGCTTCGCACATCGCAGTGGCATGCTGCGCATTACATATGGCATCAAAGGGTGTTACTGGAATGGCTACTGTACAGAGAGTCGGTCGATGCCGCGTGTTGGCCCTTACGCTCGAGCACAACCTTCAATTTGGCTTCCCTTGCGCCGCGTTGCCCTTGTCAATGCGAAGCGAGTCGAGCTCGTCCGCCAAGTCGTCTGCGGATGGACTTGACTTCGATGACGGCAAATCCCCCTTTGTCTGATTGGACTTGTCGCTGGCGTCTCCTTCGTCTTGATCACGAGCGTCCGGCTCAGCCGACGAATGCTGACTCTGCGTCGGCTGCACTGGTCTACGCAGTCGGGAGTTGCGCCAAGGCTTCGCCTCGGATGAGGAAGCCCCGGATGTGACGGTCGCACTCTTGTCGGAAGATGCGTCCTTCCTCGATGGTGTCTTTTGTGGCTCAAGCGGAGCGAAGTTGCCGCGCGGCCGTTGAGCTGTGTCTTTGCCCGGCGAAATCGTGGCCGAAGCTGCTGCACGGGATGTCCGAGTGGTATCGGCTAGGGCGGAAGGAATGGCACTTTGTGAGTCAGGTGATGTTGTGGAAGAAGAGGCGCCCGGTGTCGAAGCTGCGGGCGATGGTACGCTTCCTGGAACTGCTCGTCTACGAGCTTCTTCGGCTTCCCTTGCTCTCCCGGGGCGATAGCGAACCACGTCCTCCACCGGGGTGAAGCCAGGCCGCACCTTCCGCTCTTTCCGTATTCTGTTCATCAAGGGTGGAACCGGTCAGCTATAGGAATGTAAGCAGACTGAGGACGAAGCCATTGGCAATACTTACGATCCGTCCGCTCTTCTTGACTCTGGGATGACCCTCTGCTGCGTATCAGCTCGCTGAACGATGCCTGCGGCCGATGCCTTGGGCTCTCTCGATGTCGACGCCGCGCTCATGTTGGATAGATGCCCTTGATAATGACGGTCGATTCGGCGGGGTGTATGCGAGCAGAGATGAAAGTCTGCAGAAGAGCTGGAAGCTTCGGATCAGGAAGAAGCGGCCGCTTTTCATCTTGGACCCTGCATCTTTAGACGTGGGCCAATCGGGCAGTCTGTGGATCGGCGCGTCTGAAGGATTTTGGGAATGACGGCGACTTGCAGCCTCAAACCTGGTGAAAGCCGACTTCTTGGGCTTCTGCCCGCAAGTGGCTTTCCCGTAGTGGTGACCTTCGGGCTGGGAGCTCGCCAAGGCAGGGCCCGCGCACCTCATCCGTGATGTTCCGCTGCAAGATGACCTTGTTTCCTCTGCGCTGATAATATCGTTTCGAGATCCGTGACTGATCAGCAGCAGCCACTGTCTGAACGGTTGTAGGGGCTCACTCAATCTGATAGCGTGGACGAATCGTGGACATCGCCGCTCCCTCTGACCACCACACCAAATCCCCAACCCCCACTAGCACCCATCGCAGAACGCATCACTCTCACGATGAGCTCCATCACTGACAAGGCAGCCAACTTCATCTCGCGGGTCAACCCGCTCAAGGACCCTGGCTTTGCGCAGGATGCCTCGCGAGCCCTGCACTACAACTATGGCCCCGTCTCGATCCTGGCCGCCTTTGCCGGCTCGCACCTCTTGCTGCAGCACCGTCTGCCCATGCTCTTCTACGGCCTCGACCAGAACGTCTACCCGCGTGACGACCTGCGGGTCAACGGCGAGAAGCACGTCGCCTCGGGCAAGATCACCCAGGCTCAACTTCGCCGCCTCAAGCGATGGGAGGCTGCCCACTACAACGCCATCGAGAACCTTCCCATCTTTATCGGCTCCATCTTGTCGCTCCAGTTCGCCGGTGCTCCCAACCGCTTGATCAACCGCGTCGCTGGTGTCTACCTCAGTGCACGTGCTGCTTTCGCCGCGCTCTACATCTTCAACGAGGACGAGACACTCGCATACGCACGCACCGTCGCTTGGTGGACCGGCAACATCACCTGCATCTACGGCCTGGTCAAGGCTGCCAGGTTCTTGAACCATGGTGTAGCTGCCGGCAGCCCGGCTCTTTAGGAGCTTGTAGAATTCTAGGTATAGCTTCATTTTCAGGAAGGAATGATGGAATGACACCCTAATTCTCTCCAACTTGGCCTTGGCGTGATCTCCTGTAGGCCGGTCCTCGACATCCAATCTCTGGTTGCGGACCATGAAAGCTCGTGTAAAGTCAGTGAGATCCGCTGCTGTCACGGCCGATTGATCTGATGAGCAGAGTTGGTCGAGAAGACTCGGACTCCAGCGTCATAAATCGCGCACGGATCAGAGAGGTTCGGCAAAGCAATTCGGCGACTGGCATTTCCGAGGAGGATCATTCGCCGGCATACACCTCCACCCGCTACGGCCGCACAGGCGGCAATCATGCTAGAAGGTGCTTTGGCTTTGCGTATGCGGCAGCTGCTCCTCGAGCGAACAACAGACATTTGGGATGCTGCACTGCGCAGGAGGATCGCCTTCGTGGTTCGCAATTCGGCGCTTAACTCCGAGGGCCTGTTGTGCTTGCCTCGTGACGAGGTCCGTGCCTCCCGTTCCACAATGCCTTCCCCGCGAATCTTCTGAGCTGAGAGTGAATATATAGACCCGCCACTGCGAACTTACACCATCTTCACTCCAGATGCTCCCACACACCAGCGATAGTCACATCCCTCAACATGTCATCTCAGTACACTCTTTACTCGCACCGTGGCCCCGGCCCCAACCCGCTCAAGGCGGCCGTGCTGATGGAGAACCTCGGCATCTCGTACGACGTCGTCCCGCTCGACTTTGGTGACGATGCGGAGAAGGGAGTTAAGGGAGCCAAGTTCCTCAAGATCAACCCCAACGGACGCGTCCCCTGCCTCGTCTCTAACGAGAGCGATGGCTTCAGCGTCTGGGAGAGCGGCGCGATCCTCTACTACCTCTGCGACAAGCACGACAAGGAGGGCAAGTTCCTCGGCAAGACGCCTGAGGAGCGCGCCATCGTCATGCAGTGGCTCACCCACCAGCTCTCGGGTCTCGGTCCCGTACAGGGCAACGTCAACTACCTCCACCACTACTGGGAGGGCACCTATGGCGAGAAGCCCCAGAAGAGCGCATTCACCAGATTCGAGGGTGAGACCGCTCGTCTGTACCAGATCCTCGAGGAGCAGCTCAAGAAGCAGCAGCAGCGTGGATCCCAGTTCATCGCCCTCGACCGACCTACAATCGCCGACTACGCCTTCTGGTCCTGGACCCGCATCGCCGGCTTCGGCAACATCGACCTCAGCCCTTACCCGGCCGTGCAGAAGTGGAACGACACCCTCGAGAACGACGCCAAATCCCAGGCCGCCATCAAGAAGCTTCCCATCAAGTAGAGTGCTCGTTGCGTAGCTGTAGCTCGCTCGGGCAGAAATCAAAGCATGCTCCTTCTGATGCTGTACTAGGAAGCGTGGTCCAACCACCTGCAGGCTGCGGAGAGTTTAGGCCGATGCGAGAATTTTCATATCATTCGAGCGCATGGACATTCGTGAATCTTTTGAGGATAGGAGGACTGAGTGCCCCGAAAGGAATTGATGCTTGTGGACCTGATGACCATTGCCGGCGAGCTCGTGACTTTCAACGATGGCAGTGTAGGAGCGATGTTAGGCTCGACGCCATATGGATCCATGTTAAACTGGGGATGACACGAGAGAACTCTGCCATCTGTTCTATGCTTTCACCGAGCCTGAGAGCCTCTCGGTTCAACCGATATGATAGGCCGGGACCTGGCGTCCATGGGAGCTCTCAGGAAGACCTCATCGGGCGAATGCAGATCGAGATGATCCTGTCAGACGATCCATCTGATGCTGTAAACATATAAGACGCGAGCTCCACACGAGGTGTCGCTGAGTCACGCGCCCCCAGCTCGACATGGCGAAATTTGACAAGCTTCTTGACGTGTATGATGTGGTCAGCTGGGCGTCACCCTTCGCATGGTCAAAGCAGCGGTTCAAGAGCCTCCGATTGTGTGTTGAGCCCGGTGAATGATTGCGCCGGGCGGGCGCGAAGAAACACGCTTCCGTAACACACCGTAGCCGAGGTCGAAGATCGGCTTTGCTAAGCCTGTCAGGGTCCATCTTCTGAGACGCATCAACGACGTAGGTCTATACACCGGTACATGATGCGCTCGAAGGTTGGTCTGACGTCTACCTGGCCGTGGTGCTTCAGACTCGGCTGCTGAACCCCCATCTGACCGGCAGCAGCTGCATTGACAGGTGCGTCACGTCAACATCTCGCATCGCGTAGAGTGCCGTGACGTTGTCTCGTGGTTTGATGGCCGTCTGCCTCGTTCTCACCTGCTCGGCCGCCTACAATGTTGCGTTCGGTGAGGTCTGAGCATGAGTCAACATTCCGCCCTGCTGCTGGACAGCGTGCTTTTGCGCCAGCTCGTCTGACAGCGAGGATGGTGCAGGGTACCTGATCCTCAATGACGATGTTAACCCTCGCCTCCTGTGGAGGCTCGATGATCTACACAAGTGCCTGTTACGACCCTGCCCACGCACTTCTCCGTTGGCTTTACAGCCCTCATTTGCTGTACGCTCAGCCTCGCTACCCCCTCTGACATGCGGAGTCTCAACGTCTATAAGTACCCTCCCGAACCCTGATCATCATCTCCATCCCTCCTCTCACAACGAACCACTTCCCACCCACAACACAAACCTCTTAAACTCATCTCACCATGTCTGCCCAGGAAGAGAACATCCCCGTCCAGGACGAGTCGGTCCAGGAGTCCAACGTCGATGCCCAGGCTGAGGACGAGGTGGTCTCGAGCGGTTCCGAGCAGAAGCAGCTCAACGCCGAGGCTTCCGAGCTCGACGAGTCGAACATCATCGACGATTCGCCCGGTGTCTCGACGCGCGGCGCCAAGGTCGACGCTCTCAAGCAGGTAAGCATCCACCCTTGACCCGTTGTGATTTTACGACTGTCCGTTCACGAGCTGATACCCTTTGCTGGCTTTGTGCTCTTCTTCTAACGTTTGTAGGAGCGCGAGATCGACCAGGCCGTCGGCGCTGCCGAGGAGGCTGACGAGCAGGCTTAGACCTCTCCGATCGACATGTCGGAGCTCTAATATAAGATACCATCTCTATACCTCCGAAAGCGTGTGCGTGTCCTGAGCCTGTCTTCCCAATCTGTATCTGCTTGTGTCGGGGAATGTCGTTGAAACTTTGTAGCAACGCATGTCCGTGTCACTGCAAGATTGCCAGCGCTTTGCACCCGATGACAAGCAAGAGCTGCTGGTCGATGTCGATGCCGATCAATCGGATAAAGTCAAGCATGTTGCGCGAAGCTGAATCTGTGAAATGTGTTGCATTGTGTGCATGCAGTGTTGCACGCTGAACAGATAAGGGATTCTTTGTCAAGTCGGCATAGTGTTTAATGGTGGCCAGCGTGCTCGTCGCCCTCGAACTCCATCTGGTAGACTATTGTCGATGAAAAGCAAACGATCAAAAGGATCAGCAAACATGGACCGAGACGCTGCAAATCCGTTGAGTTGGCACTTACCACTGCCACACTCGGGGCATCGGTGGTGCTTGAGCTGGTTGTTGAGGTGGAGGTAGATGGTGTCGTGCGAGTCGGCGGGGTAGCCAGTGCAGCCGACGATGCGGCTGGGCCAGAAGCTCTGGATCTTGATGGGGTTGTCCGTGGTGCCGAGGTGGGTCATCTGGAGCGGCTCCATGTCGAACACGTCGACGCCCTTGAGCTTGCCGAGCAGCTCGAAGCGCTCGAGACCGGTAGCCTGCTGCTCGTCGGTGGGCATCTCTCCATCCTTGGCACCCTCACCCTGGATGACGGGTGGGCCAGCAGCAGAGCGGAGCGCTGACGAGGCAAAGAGTCGCGAGGCGGACGAGACGGGCGTGGGAGCCACGCGCAGAGCAGCAGGTGCGCGGGCGACGAAACGGCGTGCAGCGAAGAGCATGTCGAATATGAAGCTGGGGTAGGTGATGCAATGCGGTGTGGTGAGACGAAGGAAGGGACGATAAAAAGTGAGATGTCGACCAACACGCAAGCAGATACCGCCCCGATACGCTCTCGTTGCTCTTTCTCTGAGCTTGCCCTCGATCTTCCGAATTGCGGAACTGCCTCTTTCAAACTTGGCATTCTCGCGCGAATCAGCTCTTCGGGTCCGACTACTCTGTGTTTTTCTGAGCAATTGCTTCAAAATCAGGATGTAACATTCCACATCTCACGAAAAATCAGCTCCGCTTTTGCCGGTGTTTCTTTACCCCGCACTCAGGTTTAGCCGACGTTGAGGTGGTCAGGGCGCCGGCTATTTCGACTCGAGCTTGCTTCGTGGAGAAGAAGCCTCGGCTTCATGGTGTATGCAAGTGTTGACCCGACCGGAAGCCAAGAGCGGACCGCTGTGGACAAGAGCAAGTGAACCCTATCTTCGGCTCGAAGCTCGCCGAAGCCACCGAGGCTGGTGTATATCATCGAGGTTCGCACCACCTCGTACCCACCCTCGCAATCAACTGCTCCGTCTGGGTAGCACCTATCCGAACCCCTACCTCACCTCGACGCTCTCCAGCATGCACAAGCGATGGAATCTGACGGCATCCGCCCTGTCGGCAGCCTCCGACAGCTTTCGATCCTCAACTCGAGGCCAGGCACGCCTGGCATCGACACTGCAGTCCACCTACAAGCTGTACCCGACCAAGAAGGACTCGAACGGAGCATTGCTATCACGAGTTTCCGGACCAACAGACAAGCCGCTCTGCCAGCTTTCGCTCGGCCAGTTCTGGGAGGAAGCGGTTGCCAAGTATGCAGATCGTCCGGCCTTGATATCCAAGCATGAGCCTGCACATCAACATGGCCGCACCGGCTCAGACTCGGATGATTGCATTCGCTGGTCGTACGGTGCAATGAACGAGCACGTACAAAGCCTGGTTGCTGGTCTGCTCGAGCTGGGAGTGCGAAAAGGAGACCGCGTAGCAGTCCTCATGATGTAAGTGTCAACGTGACGCGTGGTCGCGCTCAGAGACGAGTGACTGACTGAACTGCCCTTCCTCTTCGACAATAGGAATTGCTCTGCCTATGGAGCTCTACAATGGGCTTGCGCCGAGGTCGGAGCCGTGCTGGTGACGTTGAACCCTGCCTACAGCACCTCGGAACTTCGGCGGGCCATCAACCTGGTCGAGGCCACCACGCTGTTCATCGTCCCGTCTTTGCGCGGAACCAACTACCTTGACTCCATCCTGGAGCTTCTCCCCTCCCTCACGAGCTCGACCAGCAGCTCTGGAGATCGAACCATGCTGCAAGACGAATCACTGCCCAGCTTGAAGCGCGTCGTGCTAGTGGACAACCTTGACAACAGGCCGAGACACTGGGAGAGCAACAGCGTCCTGGCGCAACAGGGCAAGTCGTTCGCTGATGCCATGTCTGCGCTGCACAACCGAGCTATCGACTATCGCGATCTCCTCGTCTCTGCAAAGTCTGCTACATCAAAGCCTGAAGTGCTCAACACGGACGTCATCAACCTGCAGCTCACTTCGGGGACCACCGGCATGCCCAAGGCGGTCGCGCTTACCTCCAAAAACCTGTTGAACAACGGGATAGCGATCGGTGATAATCTCCGATTCACGGAAGCAGATAGGCTGTGCAACATTCCACCGCTGTTCCGTGAGTGTGCTGTGCATCTACTCATCTCACGATTGAGCGTCCGAGCCAACTGACGAATCCCTCTTCTTGCTCACAGACTGCTTTGGGTTGGTTCTTGGCAATCTTGCTGCATGGACTCATGGAGCTTCGATCGTCTACGCGGCCGAGGGCTTCGACCCATTAAGATCTCTGCGAGCCGTATCGGAAGAGCGCTGCACGGCGATGCATGGCGTGCCAACACACTTCATCGCGGAGCTCGACCTCCTCGACTCGGCGAGAGATCACCAACGGGATCCAGAGCGGTATCCATTGCCCACAGGAATGCTGCCTGGCGAGACGTTCGACTTTTCTTCCCTGCGCACCGGTCTCACGAGGTAAGTGACGTTGCTGCGCTTGATACGTGACTCGATCGACTGACAAGGTTTGGGCGACGCTCGTTTTGGTTCGACCAGCGGCTCAACCGTGCCCATTGCCCTGATGCAAGCTCTGGTGGACCCAGACCTGATGCACTTGGGGTCGCAAACCGTGGTGTACGGCATGACCGAGACCAGCCCGGTAACGTTTGGATGCGACGTCGATGCACCGATCGTGAGAAGATGCGAAACCGTCGGACGAGTATATCCGCACGTGCATGCAAAGATTGTCTCGCCTGACGATCCCACGGGCCAGCCGCTGCCCGTGGGTCAACCCGGAGAACTCTGCGTAAGTTGCTCGGCTGAGAGGTGCAGATGAAACGCGAGAAGCTGACAACAACCTTCCTGCTACACCTCATTCCGCGCCGAAATGTAACCGACGCTCGACAACAGACTGCAGGCTATGTGGTAATGGAAGGGTACTGGAAGGATCCGAAAAGGACCGACGAAGCGATGGAGCGACATCCAGATGAGCCCGACATTGTGTGGATGCGAACTGGCGACATCGGTATCATGGACGAGGAGGGCTACGTGCGCATCGTCGGTCGATCGAAAGACGTGATCATCCGTGGCGGTAAGTATGGGCCTATTCGAAGCATTTTCCGCTGGCTGCGCTTTCGACTGACCTGGACTGCTTTCCTCCTGTCTGCCTTGCCACCTCCCACACACAAGGCGAGAATCTCTTTCCACCAAACATCGAGAAGTAAGTTCAGCCTCCAAGTAGCCAACAAACAGACCGGACCGCTGTCCGCTGCAAGATAAGAGGTCGGCGCAACAATCCTTGCTGCTCGGAATCTTTCACTGACACTTCCGTTACTGACGTCGACTATTTCCCGCGCACAGCTGTATTGACCGCATCGAGGGCATTGCGACGAACGCCGTCATTGCTGTGCCAGACGACAAGTATGGGGAGGTGGGTTTTCTGAACAAGTCGTGTCATTGATCGATCAGATCGCTAACGCTTCTGTCATCTTGCTTGATTTGGCAGGCTGTTGGCGTCTTTGTGGCGCGGTCACACGCAGAGGCTCATGTCACACCGGCAGACATTCGTGCTTACGTCAAGAAGCACGTTGGCGGACAGAGCGCTCCTGCTTGGATTTGGTTCCTTGGCGAGCAAGGTGTTCCCGCCGAGTTCCCTAAGACGGCGTCGGGCAAGATTCAAAAGGTGCGTGGTCTAGTCACAATGTGACTTTAGAGAGGGAAGGCGTCGTGACATTGGAGCTGACTTTGCGCTTTCCTTCGCTTTCTCTTCGGTTCATCATCTTACTTGCAAACCTTCTTGCTTTGCCGCTAATCCTAACTTTAACGTTCCCATCGGGAATCTCTTCCCCTCTCCCCAATCGGAACGGCACAATCGCATGCATCCCGCCACTCATCGCGCTTCGCACACAGGTCATCCTCCGCGACTGGGCTAAAGATCTGGCGGCAAAGGGCCAAGGCAAAGTCGACAAGGCTTAGATTTGGCCGCCTGTTAGCCCATCTCGGCTTTCTGTACCACTTATCGTCGATGAATGATAGGCTTTGTCCATGCACGGCTCCATGCAGCAACACCCGCTCCCTTTGGCAAGTCTGCGTCCACCAGATGTAGGTCAACAGCCGCCTCTCTTCATGATCGCACCTCGTCTCCTCACACAGGGCCATCATTCCGTCGGCCATATCGGCATCAACCACTGGATTGAGTTCCCCATGCACCTTCGAGCCCACTTCATCTCGACTCGCCCATTGTCATCGACATTTGCGACGCTCAGCTTCTGCTTCTCACCTGCCACATCTGGCAACATCCCTCGTCTCATCAGGCTCCAAAGCAGCGGCGCGACGTCCGCACCGTTTTGGAAAGGATTGTGCACGGACTTGCATAGTACCAGATTTCTTTGGCGATCCACGTTCCGCTCCTTTGGGTTTGTCTGTTGGCGCGCGAGGCTTCATTCGGCCATGCCTGCATTCGCTGTCGCCCTGTTACCCTTGGCGGACACGAAGACTATCTTCGTCAGCGCATGTCTCCACACTCGAGCTACTCGTGAGTCTGCAGAGCGCTCCGACCCCTCATCACACCATCCTACTCGCCCTTGGGCAACCCGCGCTTGCCCTTCTTCCCGCTCCCTACCTACCACCTCCGAAAGACAAAGGGACAGATCCTTCCACGCTCAAGAGCTTCTCCGCAAACCTCAGCGCACCTTCTTCGTCGAATTCTTCGGCACACACCACTGACCCACCATGCCGGACACGAAGCCGTCAGCTACCGAGGCAAGACGTTCGTGCAAATTTTGGTACGACCGGGGAAATGGCTCGACCATCACGTCATCGCAGGCGACGCGTACTGACCGCACGGCCCGTTTGTCTGTCCCGCACCTCACTGGCAGTCGCGGAAGAAAGATGAAGTATGTTCGACGATCATGGCTTGTCATTCCCCTTCTCTACGATAACGCCGTTCGACTGACCTATCCCTCCCGGCCATCGCTCATCTTTCCACCTCAAAGATGTACAGGGGTAAGCATCGACGACATCGTCCGTCAGCTGGGCCTTGGCTAACATCCTCACGACATTCGCGAAATCGCAGGAAAAGCCATGGTGTCAAACTTGCAAGGAGAGGAACAAGCTTTGTAAGTCAAGGCGAGGCCGCTCTTACTTTCCGTTGCCAGGGCACGTTGCTCAAGCATTCAACGATTTCGCAAATTGGGTCGTCTCTCGATGCAGGCATCTACGACAACGGTTCATTCGGCGTGAGGCAGCAAGAGGCCGACGCTCTGCTCGCTCTCCGACGCACCAACAAGCTCCTTCCATTCGCTGGCTCGAGTATCGATGCGACTCTGTATCAAGAGCTCATCGTCCTCTTCGGAGTAAGGATCCTGTCGCGATAGCGCGAGGCAGGCGACTAGAAGCATGTCTTGCTCACCTTCTTTCCTTCTCATTGATGCTCGGTAGATACAGTGGGACAGCAACTCGGGCTACTGGAAGACGGCACGCCTCGCGACAAGTACCGATCCTGCCCACCCACTCGTGAAGATCGATGTGAGTGTCCGGTCAAAGATCGTTGCTCGTACTTGCCAACCGAACAGATCCATCACTGACCCTCTCTCCAATTGTCACTGCTGTCTCAGTATCAGCACGGGCTGTCGCAGATCCTCAAAATGACGGTCGATCTACTGGTGAGTGATCCGTCAGAGGCATCTGAATCATGCCTTCGCGTGCCGTTCGGCTGGACAATTGACATGGCCACCTCGTACATACCGAAACATCAATCGACAGGTCACCAAATCTTTGCCTTTCGGTCAACGCCTTCGCGTCCCTTCAGCGACAGTATTCTCCCACCAGAACGGCCGGGCCTTCTCGCCTTCTGACAACTTCAAGACGTAAGCTCACAAACTTTGGACGGATCGGAGCCGTGCGCCTTTCTAATCTTGATGCCTTCCTCCAATACGCGCGGCTGATCATACAGTTATCGATCGCAACGTCTTTGCGACTATTCAGACAACGACCTGCTCAGACACCGGGAGATCTACGAGCTCGCATTTCATAGCCATCCTTTCTTGTCATTGATCGTGTCCCGAACAGTAAGCATTCTCCGCCACGCTCAGAAGTTGTCTCTATGGAGCGGAGCTGACCTGAACCAAACCTTCCTGCATTCCTTATTGCGCATGTCGCTCAGATCAATATCAGCAAGATTGAAGACAGAATGCTCGACGAATTATGCTACGACTCGATCCTGCTGGCTGGCCTCGATATGAAAGCGGAAACGTCGCCTGCAGCACGCGACTCGGGAGTCAGTGCTCACGGGCTGCCGAAGATCAACGATCTCGTCGAAAGGGTGACAAGCGCGCTCTATGGCACGAAGCCGGCAAACGTCAAGGCATCAGATCTACACACTCACGCGCAGTGCCTGATGATTCTAGCGTGGCGCGAGCTCGCTCGCGGTCTCTTCAGGTAAGTCTTGATTCGTGGTTGTGCCAAATCGGGGCCAGCAAGGAGACTGAGCTGAACCTCAGACACTCGATGCCTCACTTGCCTGCTTGCCTTAACAGACGAGCGACCACCTTTTGGACCATCATCTGGTGCTTGTTACTTAAAATCCGAGCTCTGAGGGAGCAAGAAGTCGACAGAACGGAATGCTACATCAATGGCGTGGAGATTTCCCTCGTCACCGCAGAGGAGCTGAACAATATGCAGGCAATCACTCAGCTCGTGCTGCTCTGGCTCGAGCTCAGCCTTGGACCCACTCCCGCGCATGCGTTGACCGTCTCGTTGGATTCTCAACGTAAAGCCAACGACACATCAACGTCCTGGATTTCCGAGCTCGACAAGAGAAGCGGTAACTTTGCGGCGATACAGGGTTACCGTCGATCGTTTGTGCTCCTTTGCAGCATCGAGTGCGTGCTTGACAGCTTGACGGAGAGCTGCGACGCGTGGACGAGCTTCAGTGACGGGCGCTCGCTCCAAACGAAGCAACACGACGACGCCACGGAGCGAACGGATGCCATTCTGTCACAGGCACGAGTGTCTCAGACGAGCCGCAGAGCGAAAGCGTCATCGAAGGTCATCCCAGGAGCTGCGCTCATCTCGCTGACAGCGCTGCTGGCATGCTTCCATACCAGGAATGCGTCGGTGGCGTTGCGGCGGCCACCAAGCAAAATGTACGAGCAGTGGATCGCTAATGTCGTCAAGGCTTGCTCCAGCGTCACTCTACAGCTTCGAGACGCCTTCATCAGCTGCGCATCCACCGACAGTGATGTCACTCGATCGGAAGCGCACGAGACGGCATGTTGTATCGCGAACGCGACAAGCTATGGAGATAAGCTGAACGCGAACAGCGTGACGCTAACCATGATCGAAGCGGTCGCGCTGACCTTCGAGCTGCTCCTCTCCCAGGTCGACAGGGGGAGCTTTGCCGGCCCGCCGGGCTTTGCGGACGAAGCTGTGTGGCCGACGGATGACGGATGTGGATGGGCTATCACAGAAAAGCTCGGATGTATGCTTGGCATCACGAGCACAATGATGGATTGCCTCGAGAGTGTTCCAACACCAGGCAAGAGGCCTGGCCATGTGCTGAAGCTCCTTCTCCAACTGCAGGAACGACTGCATAGGCTCGGCGTACAGCCCGACATCTCGTTCGCTTTTGATGTCGATATGCATCAGAGCGCTTTTGACGCTGTGCCGAAGGCGCGGCAACTCAAAGGCGAAGGAGGACTCTCTCAGTTCAATCTGCAGGGAGACACATCAGCGCGCTGCTATTCGTTGGCTACTAGCACATTCGCTCAGACCTCGACATCCGACGCCCAGCCGCAGGCGATGCCGAATACGGTAGACAGCGCTGAACAAGCGCAAGCACAATCTTTCTACCCGACGCCGCCGTACAGCGACATAGCACTGCCGCCGCTGCCCCACAGGCCCATCTGGTACGGTCCGGGACCGATGCCAGTCCAGCGTCATGACGCATCAGCATCGGCAAGCTCGCATCTACGAGGTCCAGCTTCTCAGAGTATATACGCGATTCAAGATCGCTCGGTGGCTCAGCAGCAGAGCACCCATGCATGGGACAGGGCCGGCTACGCTGCACAGCCGTATTCAGCGACCAGGACAGGTTGCTGTGAAAGCAGATGCACGCCATCGTCTTCCCTGGCCACAGGCCAAGCTGAACCGAGATCGCCATTACACCCATCTCACGCGCCGTACTACAATCCTCCCCTCGCCGCGTCCCATGGCGGCCCACCATGTGAGTATACCTTTAGCCAGATCCCGCTTCTGATAAAAGCAGAAAGACATCTGACCATGCTTTCGCCTTGACTGACTTGCAGCCGGACATGGCATGCGCAGTTTGCCGTCGTACTCGGACACCGAGCTTCATCTGGTTTCGGGCGCGAGGATGCGTTCTTACGGAGCACCTGAAGATCAGCGACCTCATTCGCAGCCATCGTCTTCGACCAGTTGCGCTGAAACCTCGGCCGAGGAGCGCGCTGGTAAGAGGTTCCGCGTCCACTTGGACTTGCACGACGGCTGGTGGACGGCGAGACAGGAGGATAACTTGCACGGGAGCGAGTCTTACGGCAGCAGGCAGCTGCAGAATCTCAGACAAGCTACGGTGCCAGTATGCTGGGCGATCATGAGGAGGAGGCAACAAGAGGCGGCGAGCCGACGTAGTCAGGACCTACCGGCTGCAGAGGCGCTGGCATCGATCCAGAGCATGACGTTCCTGACGGACGAGATCGACGCCTCGGGTTGCAGCACGGCAAGCACGACGGGGCGGCCTCACAGTGGGGGCAGGATCACGGATCTCACCATCGTGTCTTCGAGCTCTTTGCCCAATGAAGAGAAGGATGAAATGAAGGAGACCAGCGATGAGGAAGGAGACGACGAGAACAGCGACGACGAGGACGAAGACGACGACGACGAGTAGGCAGGGGCATCCGAGCCTGGCAGTGACTAGCAGGCACAAGGAGGACGAAGCACAGAGATGAAGCGGCAAAGAAGGTATGCTGGCGTCGTACGAAGGCCAGGAGCGGAGATCGACGGAGCGGTCTAGACCTTGACACATTGGACAATAGCCGGCACTCATGCCGCGAGATGAAGAAGAAGCGGCGTTGATCGGGCGCACAATCAGATTGCTGTTTGCTGTGCACACGACGAGTCGACGCCGGACTGAGCTTGACTCTGCGAGCCCTGCATGCTACCACACAGTCATGAGCATGCAGCTGCGATGAGGAGAGACGCCAAGGAAGCAACTGCAAATCGCGGAGCAAAGGTACGATGACCGGAGGCATGCTACAACGAATTTGAGCGAGAGCGAATCAAGAATTGGAGGCAAGCCTGACATCGGCAATCTCAGACACGCTCCCAAAGCACCGCGGAAGGTCAAGGCGAGGGCACTTGGACAGTGTCCGAAAGGTCTCGGGAATCTCTGGAATTTCTTCTCGGGTGGACTGGCTGCTTCTTCGAAGTGCGGGGGAAAGCTGGCTGCCCGTAACCCCTCATTCGCACGAGCTGCAGACGTTGTCACTCCTGCCGCGAGAGG